CGTTAGTATTTATTTTATAAACCTTTTTAAAGTTTACTTTTATAAATATAAGTTTTAAAAAAACTTGTTTTTTAATTTTATTAAATATATTCTATTCCTTTTTTCCTTATTTAAAGGGTTAATTTTTTTTAATAAGGTTAGTTAATAGTATAAATAACTTTTTATAGTTTTTAATATATTATTAATAGAAATTAATATAATTTTAAAAGCCTTTAACTTTTTTAATATTAGTTAAGGTTAGTTAATTCTTAATTGCTATAATTTTAAAAGCTTATATTCTAATTTTTTCTAATTAGATTATATATTTAAGAAAGTTAACTTTTTATATATAAAAGTAACTTTTTTCTAGTTTTATTAAAAGTTTAGTATTTTAAAAGGTTTAAAGGATTTAGTATATATATTATTTATATTATTTAAGTGTTTTTAAAAAGATTAGAATATTATTTAAATAAACTATTATAAAATAGTTAAAGTATTTTTGTAAAATATTATTAATTATTATTTAAAAAAAAGTAAGCATATTAATAAAGCTAAAGGGTATAACTAAATATTTAAAATAACTATACTTTATTTTAAAAGTAGTTTTTTATTTTTTTCTATATTTTATTTTAATAAGGTTATAAGTACCTTTAAAATTTAATATTATAAACTATTATGCTTTTTAAAGTTTATTATATAATTTTTTAATAAGCGGAAAAGGGTATTAATTTTTAATTATAATTTTATTAAGCTATTAGTAGTTTATATAAAGGTATAGCTTTTTATTTTTCTTAAGTATAAAAAGGATAGGGTAGCTTATAGGTAATATAAATAGTTGGATATATTCCTTTTTTAGGTTATTATTAAGGTATTTTTATAGTATTTTAAGCTATTCTTTATTAAGGTTATAAATTTTATAAAACTTAGGGTAACTTTTTTTTTTTAAGGGTATTTTATAGTTTTATTAATTATATTTAAGTAGTTTAATATTAAGTATTATTTAAAATAGCTTTAAGTATTTTTAGTATTTTTTTAAGATTTATTTTAAATTATTTGTTTTTTTTTATTATTATATAAAATAGATAAACTTTTTAAATAGCAGTTATATTATTTTATAGTGCATTAGATATTATTATTTTTGTATTTATTATAAAGTTTCTTTTAAAGATATAACTATAATTTTTAAGATTTTTAATAGGTAGTATATTTATTTAAGTATTATTTGGATTTCTTATATTTACTATTATATTACTTAAGTTAGCTATTTTATTTTCCTTTTAATTTATAGTAAATTAAAGTGCTATTATTATTTATTTAATTTATTTAAAGAGTTAGCTATTTTTATTTTAATAACTAAGTTCTTTTTTTATTTTTAAAAAGGTTTATTATATAAATTTATATAAGTATTAATATTATAGCTATTTTTAAAAACTGAATTTATTCTTTTATTTTTAACTTTCCTATTTATTAATTAATTTTAATAAATTTAACTAATAATTTAGTTAATTTAAAAGTTATTTTTTTTAAGTTATAAAATTTTTAATATAATTTTATATTTTGCTATATTTATAATATTAAATTAGATAATTTTCTTATAATTATTAAAAATAATTAATAAATAATTAATCTTTATATTAATAATCCTATTTTTATAAAGTACTTTTTATTTATTAATAGTATTAAATATATAAGGTTTTATTTTTTATTACTATAGTATTTTATATTAGTTTACTATTATTAATAATATAAAGTTTTTTTATATTTTATTATTTAAAAGTACTATAAAGGGTTATTATTTAATTTATAGTATAATTTTTATATATTTATATTTTTTAATATTTATTATATAGAAAGATCTTTTTATATTAGTTAAAGCTAATTAAAGCTTGTTTAAATTTAGCTTTAATTATTTTTTATTATTTAGTTTTTTACTAAAATCTTTTTAATTTATTAAATAGCTTTTTATATAAGCCCTTTTATTATCTTTAGCGCTTATATTATAGTAGTAAAGTTTTTTAGTATTATATTTTTTTTATTAAGTAGTAAAACTATATTAGGTTAGTAATATTAATATTAGTTTTAAAGTTTTAGTTTAAAGTATATTTAATAATTAATTTATAAATAATGCTTTTATAGTTTAGAGTTTTATAAGTAGTATAAAAGGTAGTTTATTTAAAATTTAAGGATTATATATTTTTAATTTAGAAAGTATTATTAAATACTTTAGTATTATAGTTCTTTTTACTTATAAAGCTTTACTATTTTTATTATATTTAACTATTTAAAAAAAAAATCCTTTTTAATTTTATTTATATAATATATCCTATATTTATTAAAAATATATAAAGCCTATAAAATTTTCTTATAGTTTAAGTATTAATAGTATATTTAAAAGTTATTATTAAAAAAATGTATTAATAATAGCATAAGGAGTTTTTTATAAACTACTAATATTACTATACTTTTATCTTATTTTAGAATTATAATTTAAGTAATACTAGTATTAAATATTATAAAGGGTACTTTACTTATTTATTTATAAGGGTTTTAATTTTTTAAATTTAAAAATACTATTTAATTAGTGCTAACTATAATTATAAATAGCTTTTATTCTATTATTATAAGAGTTTTTTAGCTTTTAAGTACTTTTAAGAACTATTCTAATATTTTTTTATTTAAAAAGTATATATTATAGTTATTTTTATAATACGCTATTTAGCTTATAAACGTATAGTTTTTTATAAGTTTTTTAATAGCTAAATTAGCCTATTATTACTTTAATACTAATTTCTAATTATTCTTTTTTTTACTTTAGCAATCTTATATAAAGTATTTTTTTTTATTATAATTATAGTATTTAATGTTCTTTTTAGGTTTTTTTTAAGTAATATTAAGTTTTATTAGGCTTAAATACTATTTATTAGCTATTATTTATAATTAATACTATTTTTTAAAGTTTAGCTTATTTTATTAATAAAAAGGATATATTAAATCTTACTTTTTTTTTTTAAATTTATACTTATAAATTTAATTATTAATTTAAATAGTTAATTTTATATATTAAATAAAATTATTTAATTAGTTTAGTTTAAATAATTTATTCTTTATTTTATTTTTTAACTTATTATAAAATATAAAGATTTTTATAGTATTAGTATAATTAATTTTAATATAGATTTAATAGAACTTTATAATATAAGTTATAGCGGGTTTTTTTTAGTATAGTTTTATAAGTTCCTTTTTTATTTACTATTTTTTATTTAGATTTTAAAAAAGTAATTTAAGGGTAAGCTTATAATTTTTAAAATTATTAAAAATATTTTAAGTTTTTTGCTTATATTATTTAAATTTATTTTTTTTAAGAAAGTTTATAAAGTAAGGTTTAAACTATATTAAAGCCTATCTTTTTAAAAAAAAAGGCTATATATATAACTTGTTTTTTATTAAACTAATTATTAAGGCTATAAAAGCGCTAATAAGCCTTAATTTAAGTAAAATAAGTTTATAATTATCCTAAGGAACTATTATAAAGGGTTAGGTTAGTAAGCTTAATAGATTTTTTAGGTTTAACTAGGGTATTAATAATATTAGCAGCGCTTTAAAGTATTTTAACCTTAGCTTTAAGTTTTTTTATTTTATTATTCTAGCTAGCTTATCTTTAAATATAAATATAAAGTTTTTTAATTTTCTTAATTATTTTAAAATATTAAGCTTATAAGAATTTAAAATTATTATTATTTAGTTTTTGCTAAAGGTTTTTTTAAATATAGCTAGAAAATATATTAAAATAAAAGTAGTAACTATATAAGTTATTACTTAAGGTTTATATAAAACGTTTAAATAAAAACAATTAAAATATAATAATTATAGCTAGTTTCTAACTAATAAACTTAGTAAATAGGTTTATATTTAAAAAACGTTTAAAATAGTAATATTTTAAGCAATATATAATAATAATAGATTAAAAGCTTTATAGCTATTTTAAGTAAATATTTAAATTAACTATTAAAAAGCTATTTTAAACTAATATTATTTACTAGTAATAAGTATAATTTATATAATTTATTTTTTTAGCTAAAGTAATAAAAGCATTGCTTTAGGCAGCTTATTTAAAGCATTGCTTATTTAAAGCAATAAAAATATTAAATTATTTAGATTATTTAAAGCAAAGCATTGCTTTAGTTATTTTAGTTATCCTTTTACTCTATTACATAACCTGCTTCTATTATATAGCAAATTTTTTTAGGCTTGCTCTGCTAGCTTATAGGGTTTACCTGCGTTTTTAAAAGACTAATAGTGCTCCCCTAGTTCTATTCCTATTATATTTGTAATATATTTTATAAATTTAATTATAACTTATTATTAAATATATTTAAGTTTATATACTTTTAATACTCTTTTAGTTTATAATATAATTTTAAAAGTATATATTAGCTAAGCTATAAGTATAAGTTATTTATAAGCTATTTTAAAAAATTATTAAAAAATATAATAATACTTATTATTAAAGTAATTAAATTAAACTTTATAATTAAAAAAAAGGAAATTTATTAAAAATAATATAATATATTAAATAATATATATAAAAAAAGTAATTAAAAACTTATTAAATAAATTTTTTACTTTATAAATTTTTAATACTTTTAGCTAAAAAAAAAAATTAAATTAGTAAATTAAATTTATAACTATAAAGCTTTATAAATTATATAGCAAATAGTAAAGTATAAATAAAAGCGTTATTATTTTAGCTAAGTTTGCTTTAGCAAAGGGTAAGCTCTTAAAGTGTAATTTATAAGTGCTCCAGCGGGTGCACACTCCCTTGTAATAGCTTTTAGCAGCTCGCACGCACGCCAAATTTGCAACACAATATTAATTCTTGCTTTTGCTTGTACAATGGGAAGATATTATTGTAGATATTCAAATAAATGACGCTGTTGCACATTGCGGCCGTGATATTGATATGACCCGACCCCACGGGGTATGGTATTAGACTCCCAAACTCCACCCTTCCATGCAATCAATCACCTGCCGATGCTGAAGCCCTCGTCCAGACTGACCCAGGCACACCCAGCACTGAGGAAGCCCACCATAATGATCGTCAGGATAGCAGCTCCTGCCTTATCCCCAGTCGTGATCGGCTCGTAGATATCGTCCCACGGCCTCTCGTCACCGTACCCAGCCGCCGAGTCGCCGGCGCTCGTGCCACCCGTGGCATTGGTAATCGGCGCCCCGCCGGACCCACCGGCGGCATCGCCCGTGATCTCGTTGTCCGTCATCAACAGGGCGGTCATAGTGGCCAAGACATTCATCTGTTGGCCGGCGCCCGTAGAGCCGTCCCAGGTGTCCTGGTGCCACTTGAAGCCGCACATGCGGCCGTTGTCTCCGCCCGTACACGTCCGCACGGCGGCCTCGGCGCTAGACCGCAGCGCTGGCATGATCGTACTCCTCGTGAACGGGGCGATCTGCGCCGTCACGGCCATCCACCGTGCTACGTAGCCCTTGAAACTCAACATGTCGCTCGTGCAGGTCCCGACATCCTCACATGCCGGCTCGTGCGCGATGCCGTCGGGGAAGAAGACCCGCAGCGTGCCGTTCATCAGCCCATTAATCTCTGCCTCCCAATACGCAGCTTCCTGCTGGCTCAGAGTGGTGTTGTCTGTCTGTGAGGAGGTCCAGTTGTACATGAAGGCCGCGCCCTGGAGCAGCATGCCCGCGTTGTACGAAAACTGTGCCTTGTTGATATCCGTGCAGTTGTGATACACGTGGGCGCCGTCGTAAACATTGTACTCGGCGTCAATATATTGCACCTTTTTAAGCCAATCGTAGGTGTCGTATGCCCAAGAGTAGTAGGTTGTGTTGGAAGTGTAGCGAGCAAGGCGAGCTCCAATATTGAAGAAGCAGGCATTAGCGATAGCTGAATCGCGGTGTTAGTACTGGAGTTACATTGTAGAATGTGGAGTGGACCCACTGTTCTTATAGTTATAGCCGTTGTTGCTGGGAGGGATCTGCCACCTTAATCCACCATTACATGTGTCATCGTGCCGGTCTGGGTGAGCTTGCGTGTTGAAGACGGCCTGCGTGAGGGCCAGCCACTGCCGGAGGTCATCGGCCGGTGGATCCGGGAATCGCACCTCGGCGGCCGCCATCGTACTGAGAGCCCAAAAGGCCTGGTCATCATTACCCAGAGACGCTGTCCAGTTTGGTGGCATGTAATTATTGCGAGGCCCAGTCTGGAACAGCAGCGACTCGGTCGTCGTGTTTACATAGGAGGTGTCGCCTGTGTAATGCCAGTAGTCGATCAGCGCCCCCCACATCGCACCACCTTGCCACCAGTAGTAGTCGCCATCAGGAGGAGGTCCAGGAAGGATTCCGGGAATTTGACCAGACTGATTGCCTTTGTAGAAGGTCAAGAGGTCGTAAGCAACCAGAGCTGCATTATCTCTGATGGACTCTGCGGGTCACAGTCAGTCGAGAAGTCGGGGTGAGCAGTCACAAGACATCCTTACGGGCATCATTTAGGTCCACATCCAGCGCAGCCGACGCAACCCCAGCCATAGAAAGACATTTTAAGAGGAAGAACGAGCGTGGTGACATGTTTACAGCGACTGCTGAGAGTAGGGATGCCAACGGCAGCACTACAAATCGTCGATAATGAACGACGGACGATAGCAACGACGGAATGGGAAAGTGTACGAGAAAGTTATGGAAGAAAAGGGAAAATGCGGCAGACGGGGGGGGAAAGTAGCACCTGCACTGTGCCTTGCAGCAGTGAGCCCGTGAAAGGGCAGATGGCCGTCATCAGCCAAGTGCCCAAGACATGGACGCAAAACCCGTGGCAACCAAGCCTGAAGCCCGTGTTGCCGCGCAGAATCAGGGGGCATGTTCCTGGGCAGTCGTATTTGGCAGCCGTTGGGCGCCTTGTGTGCCGACCCATGGGACCAGAACAACCAACAACAAAGGAGGGACGGGCGCCCAGTGGTGGCAGTGACAGCGTGCTATGCACTTGGCCCGCTTGGCCGCGTCTTGGCCGAGCAGCTTGGCTCAACCAGCCGTCAAAGGGATGATTTCTTTTAGCTTCAGGCTGTGTCATATCCAATGCCCTGTACTGCCCGCCCTTCGCTGAGCGCGATCTCGCCAAGGTGCCGGTTGCAGCGGCCCAGATCTCGCAGGAGCCTTCTCCATCTTCTCCAGTCTTCTCCAGTCCTTCAAAGCTCCACAGACTCGAACATGCTTGATCGAGTCAAGGCACTGGCTGTCAAGCGCTGAGACTGTGGACACCAGAGGAGGGAGGCAGGCGAGAAATGAGCCGGATCGATGGGCAGAATGCCAAGTGCTGGGCGCCAAGTGGTCGGGGCGGTTCGACAACCCGCCGGTTTGCCGAGTGAATCCAGTGCGTCACTTGCACGACCGTCAGACGGCCCCTGAAGATCGAAACCATAAGAATAGACTGCCTTCTGTGCCTGGCCTGAGCGCCATCGCGCCGTCGTGAAGACGAGGTAAGTATAATTGATTAGCTGGCCGCCGGGTGGTTTCTGGAAAATGGTCGCATGGGGGCTGCTCCCTGTTGCTGTCGAGGAATTGATGAAGGCGGAAACGTCCTGCGACGGGAGGAGCAAGAAAGTGGGGAACCCAAGAAGCCGGCGGCGAGCTAGGCCCTCAGCTGTTGCCAGCTGCCGCCAGCTGGTGGCACCTGGTCCTGGAATTCAAACTTGATGGCACTTCACGTCCTCACTACAAACTTCACGTATGAATTGTCCAGGCTTCTCAACGTAATCAGAATGACATTGATTCAATGCCGTCCGTCTATGGTGTATTTGAACTGTACTTGAGCCGTGCCAGCACCGTGCCAGCACGGTTCCTACTGGGGCACAGCTCATCTGTTGGAGCGGCTTTGTAACAGTTCCAAGTAGTAAACGGCTCATTTCTGGGAGCAGCTCAAAATAGGAACCGTGCACAGAGGGTGCAGGGCGCAGGAAAGGTGTACGGAGGGTGCAAAGGGGGGAAGGTGTAAAGCGCAGAAAGGGTACGGCATTCAGCATAGCCCACTTAGAATTACTTCCTTATTTTCTTTTATATATAAGGCCCTTTTAAATTCCAACTGTATTCTAATCTTAAGGAGCTCTTCTTTAACTTCTTCTCTATCCCCTTCTTAAATCTCTTCCCTTTCCTTTTGGCTGGCGAGGTGGGTGTGCCTTCCTCCAGAGGAGAGGAAGGCGCTGGTGGCTGCGCTCTGCACCCTTTATGCGCCCTGCACCCTTTGTGCGCCCTGCACCTTTCCCCCTCTGTACCGCTCCTAAAAATAAGCCGTACGTGCACGGCTCCCATTTTTAAGCTGCTCCCAGAAATGAGCCGTTTACTACTTGGAACTGTTATAAAGCCGCTCCAACAGATGAGCCGTTTATCGTATTCGTATAAGCCCGGTATTGTTTATGCTCTAATAAATAGCATTACAAGAGATGCTTCAAACATTATGAACATTGCAAACATAGATCACACAAAAGGCATAACGCTGCGACCAAGTTTTGACACATTTGAGGACCTTGTGCACATGTTGTCAATTATTCTGAGATGCATGTCTCTTCATTTGAAAACGTTGCACAGTCCAGTGCGCATTTTGCTTGAATTCGATTATTCCATGTGCAATACAAAACCATTCCAAATCTTGACGTTTTCCGGGCGTTTCTCTTGTATCTCGAAATCATAATTCATCAGGATATATGCCAGCATCATCTTGACTTTCACTGCCCCAAAGAACCTGCCCGGACAAGCACTCCTGCCGCCTCCGAACTCACCTTAATTGAGCGGCGTATGTACTTTGAATGTTTCTGTCCCGGGTCGGGTCGGGTCGGGTCGGGGCAAGGGGAAGGTATCATGACATCGTCACCCAAAAGTGGTGGTCGTCGTGCCTTCCCGGATGGGCAAAAAGGGACACTCCAGGATGCGCTTGCCCGCCATCGTGTGCTCAACGGCCAGGCAGCTACCGTGCTGGACTTGGGAATGATTCTTAGCGTCGGCAATGTCGCCGAGAACGAGGCTGTCCTCGTCACGCACTTGCGCGAGATGGGGCGCAGAGGGCATGCAGGAGGAGGCGCTGCACGCTATTCCAATGAGCTGCGCGCCCCGCCATCAGCTGCTGGGAGCGATCGCTCTCCATCAAACATGCGTTCATTACTGCTCAAAAGCCAGATGTCCCTGGGCCTGCAGCTCCCAGAGACTCGTGCTGTAGCTGGCGAGGAATACTGCGATTAGATGAGTGACCCTCTCGTACGTCACCTGCACCAGATTCGCACGCGGTCTGGAGCTGTCGAGACGGAGGCTCAGACTGTGAACTATGGCTCGCTTTTAGCAGCCACCGAGGGGATTGTGGCAGCGGCAGAGATTGTATATGACGGTTTAAAGATCAAACTTGTTAAGTCACTGAATATTCCGGCTGATGAGGTCGATCCGAATAAACCCCTGTACGGAATGGGCTTAGACTCGCTGGTTGCGCTTGAGCTGCGCACATGGATTCTAAGGCAATTCAACGCCGACATCGCAGTCTTCGATCTAATGGAAGTTGCAAGTATCAGGTTATTGGCCATGATAATTGCAACAAGAGGTGGATTTAGAAATAAGGCAGGTGTAATCCAGGAGTAGACCAGTAGTAATTGAAAGTGCGCTCAGAACAAGGTCTATCCTTCCTGCTTGCACAAAATTTATACAGTGTGTACGAATGGAAGGGTGTACTAACTCTGCGACTCGCTATTCTTTGAGGCATTTCCGCCGAGATTGCCTGTCAACAATGCTCAAAATGGATCGATGACAAGGTCGATTGTAGAAGAAAATCTGCCCGTGAAATGATTGTACATGTCTGCCCAGATATTGAAATCTTGAAAAGGTTTACAAGATAGGCCCTTTTTCTACTCTCTTATCCTGCTCTCTGAGATTCCTTTCAATCTCTTCCAGCTTTTCCATCACTTCTTGGCTTGAGGCGCGGGCAACAACATCTATTACGAGCATCCGATCTCGTATGATCGCCAGAAGTTGCCTGATTGAAGCAGTGCATCTCTTGTGCCTCTGTAGCCTCTCAATTGATTCTGTGATAATCGGCCGAATCCTGTATGATTCATCGGGATGGCTCTTGCCTTTCGAGATTACGGGCATCTTTTCGAAAAAGCCACTTTTCGCAATATGGCCTTGTGCAGCTTCGGCAACTTCTTCGAGGGTTTTTACCCCTGCCGGACCAATAATGAACCAAGTAATGAGTTGCAGCCACACAGTTCCAAGACACCACACGTGAAATTTGGACGCTGAAAGCCTCGCTGATGGTGTTTTTTGAGGTTTCTGCGCAACATTTCCTATCATAGTATGCACTGGGGCAATTTCGGGTGCCCATACACTTAACATTCTCGATCCGAGTCTATGAGACTTTTCTGTGTTCATGTCTGTGGGAGGTTGATCTGCGGTGTGTAGAATCCTGGAGGCTAACGTTCTCTCTCTGAGTCTATGAGACTCGTCAGTCTACATGTCTATGGGAGGTTGGTATACGGTGCGTAGAGCCCAGACGGCGAAACTTACGACAGCGACAGTGAGGAACCCGTCGCAGGCAGTGGGAAGGAGGTAAAGAAAGCATGCGAGTGTCGTGTAGTCGCAGCAAGGTCAAGTGCTTCTAACGTTCTGTGATTCTGAAGCTTCGGTGCTTGCTTGCGAGTGACGAGATCCAAGTATGCTGGGCACAATGCATCCAATAATTTGCGATATCGTGGATCTTGTGGCGATATTGACGATAGTGATGATAGTATCGGTAGCGATGATTGTGATGACTTCTTCGAAGCAATGAAGTATTCTGGGGCTGATTCAAAAGCCCCAGGGGGCTCTGGACAAAGACCGCCGAGAACCAATGTACCAAGTTGGCTTTCCGAAGACGACAGCCGAAATATCACGTCAGGCGCTAGTCTCCCTGATCGCAAAAAGAGGAGTCGAGGTACGTGTAATATGTTGAGAGCCGCAACCTGGTGTATTTCCGATAGCGTGGCTGCCATGCGAGAACACTGCGATACCAACCATGGTTCAGTTAGCTGCCCTAACCAATTCCGCCTCGTCGGGTCTACTTTTGTCAATTCACCCAAACTTTCTCGGGGAAGTGGAAAGATGAGATAGTAGTCGCTCTTGGACGAGTCTCCAAAGCTCGGATGCTCTAGGGTACACAATAGCGGAAGGACCCCTGTTTCTCTGTCTTCGCGGTGAGAGAGGAGTTTGCACGCGTACACCATCGACAAGAAGCGCTTCCAAGTTACGCCCCTGAAAGATTTTAGGACGAACAAGGCGGAATTCTCGGGTACTTCTTTCCGAAACTAGCAGAAATGCCACTGTTCAGTATAGATTTTGAATAGAACTCTGCGAGAAAAACTTACTCCGTACTCCCCAAAGTCAAAGCTGTCGGGGCTAAATTGGACTATCTCTTCAATGTGCTGCTGAAAACGACCGATGTGGTGTCTCCCGATGATCGGGAGTGGCTGCTTATTAGACCAAAGTTTGTAATGCTGTAGCTGACCGGCCGGTCTAGCCAAGAACGGGCTTAAGAAGGCCCACTGATACAGTTCAAATGCTGTCATCTCTTTTCCAGTCATCGCTTTCAATCCTGCAGGTATACATGTATCCTTGCCAGGTACCTGGGAGACAAGACATGATCTTTGACCAAACCTGGGCCGGGTCCATTTTATTGGAAGGTATGTGTCATTCACCCCTGCCTTGAAAAGCTGTTCCATGTACGACAGGTTTCCAACGATTATAAGTATTCCCAACACTCTTAAGTAGCATGCTCGAACTTTACCTGCTTTGTCCGGGGCCAGCCCCGTTTCTTGACCTAACAAATCTGCCACCACCGTTTCTGTGAGTACGCTCTGAAGCCTCATATACGGGATGAACCATTCCCCAGACGAAGTTTTGGCCATGACACTGTTAAGTTGGACTAACAGTTCTTCCCGAAGGGAATATGATGTGGTGGCGCTGGAAACGAGACGCGCTGGCCCAGGAAGATGAAAATGGACAGACTGTTTGACGAAACATTCCCCACCGTCGAAACAGTAGTTCAGGCTCATGTCGTCACCAATTCTTCTGCTGCGAGCAGGCCTCCTTGTTTTGCCAGCGCGATAGAAAGCGGACGAGTTCTTCGTGCGAAAAAGAAGTCTTACCCATGTATGTAGCCCTTGAGCTTCAGCCCATTGCTTCAGAGTAGTATTCAATGTCACCTGCTCCGATAGAAAACGCCAATGTTCCCAGAGCCCGCCCTTACAAAGCCTGATAAGAATCTGGCTTGAGTCAATTCCTGCTTTCTCCGCAGACCGGGCAAACTCTGGAAAGAGGGCCAAGAGATACGGAAGGAGTTCTGATGACCAACGTTCCCATCTCAGGCTTTGTGTAGAGTATTGAGAACTAGAGTCCATATCTGGGCTTGGAATGCCGGAAAAATGTCCTGCTTCCGCCACAGAATCTCTCCATCGCTCGATTCGGAATCGCTTCTCCTGCTGGCTTTCCGAATGTTGCTTCGCCACTCGATTCAGATGAGCCAGCACCGCTCTCATTTGAAGTGCTATGTCATCTGATTGGATGTCTTCTGATGACAGTGTGACACTGGAATCAATTGAGTATGACATATTCCTGTGGTAAGCCGGTTTGTGTACTAGAGAGCGCGCTGAGGAGGGACAGCTGATGCCGGAAAATCCTGAAACATCGCCCACGGAAAGAAAAGACGCGGTTATTTTCTGGGATTTAGGTGGGCTTGTCTCAGATTCAGAAGTATCCTGACTCGCTGGTGAGACCTTTGAAAACCTCGAAAATTCTCGGGCCTTAATGAAGTCAAGGCAAGTATTCATGGCCATGATCAAGCCTTCACCGTAGTGGTCCTCTATCATGGGCTCCAGTATGTCGAATCCGGCCTCATCCTGAAGAAATTGCCTTAAAGATCCATGCATGAGTCGCACGACCATCGTGTCTCCGTCTGCAGTATTCCAAGACCCTGCCTCTCCACCAGTTGAATGATGATCATCGGCTGGCACTTTGACAGTTGAATATGGCACCAATGCAACTTGGACCAGTCCAAGGGATATGCGACATATGATTCGTTGAAGATCCAGAATCCACGAGTGCCCTTGCACAGAATTGCTTAATCCGGAAGCCCAATCCTCAGAATTCCGACTGTTTTTAAGCGAACGAGGTGCGCTATCTTGCAAGAAAGGAATGAGATCTCTCCAGGCCCCAAGGCTCAGGTTGGGGGCCAGTAAAAGCCATTGGAAAAACCGCCAACTTTTCGCACGATCTTCTGCTGTGCAGAGAATTCCATCATACAGATTCTGAAGACGACTTGGAGTCGGCTGGAGTCGAAGCTCCAGTTGGCCGGGCCTGTTCCTGCGAAGGTCTTCTATCAAGCGGTCAACAATAGCCTCTACCCAGAGAAAAATGCCCGAGGACCTTGTCTGAATCTGTTCTTTGAGAGCAACGAGATCCGAAGTGTCCCGGCTGTAAACACATAGTTTCTCTTCAATGTAATCACTAATCGCACCACGATTCTCCGTCTCGACTTCGATCACCGGTGCATCAATTTCGACGAGTGCGCCATTCTCTTCGATAGCACTTAGTGGGCTAAGCCAGAGCCAGCGTGCAGCGCCGAAGTGTCTGCTGGAAAGACAGATGTTCAAGGCGCTGAAATCGTTGGACCTCACAATATCGTGAAAGAATCGGTCCAAATTCAGGCCACTTTGACTACCGCACTCATCCAACGCGTCAATGAGTATTGTCGTGCTCCGAGAGCGGTGCCGGTCTTCGCTGAGAACTCCAAGAAGTAGTTCTCGGTAGTCATATGCGTCTTGTCGATAGGAATCAGCTGATTCATCTCCCCTCAACTTGGGAGCTCTCTTCTTGATAACTTCATTAATGGTTTTCCTTTGACGACTGAGAATCTGGTAAAGTAAAGCGCGGTACATCCCATCGGGGCAACGCAGAAGAGGCCCGGAATCCTTCTGAAAACAGAACGCTGCGACACGGTGCGAACCGTCAAGGACCTCTTGTTCCTCCAGTAACTGGTGATATGCGGCTCGAATAGCTGTTGACTTTCCAGATCCTGGCGCACCGGTAACCCAGAGTAGTCTTGGTTTTCTTGGATTTCCTCGATTTCGAAGCCAGTCTTGAAAAGTCTTGTCACGATATAACCATTGATAGTGTTCAGAGTTATGGATGTCTCCCAACCCTTCGAACATGTGAGGAAAGCGCAGAGAATTAAGAAAAGCTAGCAAATTCAATTGTTAACCCTATTTCTGGGGATTTGCTTAGTGTGCCCTACCATCTTCTTCGCTGTCTGTACAAATCTTTCATTAGAAACTGTCCAAAATGATTTGCAGTTACAGGCATCGAAAAATAAGTTCCCGTACTTATGTCATTCCTGTGCAAAGCGGCTTCGATGATGTCCCGCAATGCGTTCCTGACCGGCTTGTACTTCTGACTGCCGTCAGAAAAGAACTTGCAGATGTCTCGATGGTTCGCGCCTTGAATTGGGATCGCCCGCTCATTGTTCAATTCGAGACTGGCTGAGTACTTGTCAACAATCTAAATCTCCGATTAGCCTCTATATACAATTAATAATTTTCCGCACACATTGGAGGACATACGATGTTGTTTGCAATCTTTGTTGTCTCATAGAAACTTCTGATGATCACCAAATTTGAGGCTGGTTGAATAAAGGCCTCTGAAATCTGCCAAAACTCCGGCGAGTTGCGTTTTAATGCTTCGACAAAGTTTTTGTTTCCTGCAAAGTTCAACGTTGCAAATCTATATACCTGAGCAGCCACTGTTGCCAGGTAGGCAGCGCCGGCTCCGCGGTGTGGGACAGCGAAAAAGACAATGCTGAAGACACTTTCGACAATGTCTTTCCACAGTTCTGAGCGCTCGTTGGCCAAATTCATGGCCTGAATACTCCTGTTAGCGATATTTTGCTCAATTATTGTTTAATCACAGTCTCTTTCCTTTTCTTCTTGCTTACTCGTTTGACAATGATACCCCCAAGGCTGTGAGCGATGAAAATGATTGGTCTTCTTCTCGAGCTCTTCCTCTGTCGCTCCCCGTCTAAGGCGTTGATCAAAGCCTTGGCTGCATCATCTATGTCTGCCACACTGTTGGTGAAAGCAGTCGAAGAATCATAGCCGAAGGACCAGATCCGCAACTTAAGGTCAGGAAACTGCAGTGGAATGAAATCTCTCAGCCAGAGACTTTTGCTGTCGGGGTCCGTCCAAGTCGACTCCCAGTCTCCGGATAGGCCATGTACAGCCACGATGCTGCAAGATTAGGTTTAGATCCACCTGTCGTGATTCATCAAGAGTGGATGGGCCTACTCAAGAGAAAAGTCTTCCTCTAATGCGACCGATAACAAATTGAACAGACCATGTTTCTCCCTATTAGTCTTATGGCTATGTCAGCTTGCGTCTGAAGAGTATAGTCAGAACGATTAGATTGATCATACCCGAGTCTGGACAAATGCTGATTCTCTCGATGATCCAGCAGCTACTTCCGATCCTTGTCCTTCCTCAGGTCGAGTCTTAGCGGAGCTCTTGAAAGGTCGCAAACGCAAGAGCTTCTTGGATAGCTTGCTCATTGTACCCAAGCTTGATAAGATCGGGGATATCAGACGCCTTTTTGTTTCGAATACCCTGGTAGACGAAGGAAGTCAGAGTGCTCTATTGACACGTCAGCAGCCGTGAGGGGCCAGGAATATGCGACCCTTTTGAAGATCCCCCAATTTGGTTTGTCCTACCACACCACCCAACAGATGCACATGAACTATACCTCATCTGTCAACTTGCATCGCAGCTCTCAATAGTACAGCTATCCATGGTTATAATTCCTCAAAGTATCTGACTCCCAAATTTCACATACATCGCCATACTGGCATCTATCCTGTTCACATTCCATGGTTTAGCTCCTTTCCATCTGGACTGCTCCGAGGCGATGTCCAACTCAGCCTCGGTTCTCTTCGCATCAGACAGCCTGCTTCAGCGATGAGACAACTCCAGGTATGTCTTCTGTAGTGCCCTTGGGTAGGCAACGGATGGTTGAGTCTGCAACGAAGTTTAATGACGCCGTCCAAGCGTTGTTCTCAATTCTCAAAGTACTTGAAACAGTCACTCTTATACCCCGTTTTAATTGAAAGAACTGTTTTCAAAAGAATGCCAATACTGTTATGCCAAATAAAATTCTCGTCTCGACTCTTTGGGCTGTCCATTCTGGATTCCACAGATCTTCAGATTTGGTTATTTCGATACTTAGCTTGATTATAAGTTGTGTATACCCCGTATCCAAAATCATAATTACAGGAATACTTAAATTTCACATTAGCATTATATTCCGCTCTACCCTGGTAGCTTGCGTGAGTACGTGGAGACAGCTGGGCATGTTGATAGACTGACGGCGCATTCAACTGATTCTGCTACTTATGAAATTCGATCCCATCCGCTCGTGGTCTAGCTAAATCTTTAGTCGGGTAAGATCTAAAGAATAACATGCTGGCTGTCATGTTTAGTACCAGCTGTAGCTGTTTAGAAGCGCCGATAAATATGTGCTCATTCGAATGTTGCCCAGATTTATTTATAGCAACTGCGAGTCTTCTATAGGTTGCGGCGCGCGATGAAAAGCGCATTCACACCCATTCCTTAGCTGTAGAAGCTTAGACAGCACAACAGCACTTTTTGGCCCTAGCATATACACCTCATGTTTCGCTCAACGTAATTCACAGCACTCGGTATGCATACTTTTACAGGAATGGTTCCAAATACTTCACAGATAGTTTTACATTTAATCTTATTCATTAAGTTTAGTTATACATAATTTTGAAGATCGTGAGAACATAGTAAAAGTATTGAAATAATTCCTGGCAGGAAACTTTTAACTGGAGGATGAGGAGCTGATGTGGCTATAAACTTAAGATCAAGGAGTACAATTTATCGAGGGCTCTACATGAGGCAGCCATATTGCATCATTTTAATAAAATGCCTGTCCTGCCTATCCCTGATTCCCTTGCTTCACCTCGCATGATACCCTGTGCAAAACACCAGCTTATCAGAGAATATAAAGAGCGATCTTCAGTGTCTGAGGACAGTTGTTGAGAGAGCCGGTTCGCTCGAAGTATTAGGGGCAATCGACAGCCTGGCACAATACAAAGAAGATCTCCAACTTGGACTTCTGGTGGTCCGATGCAAAATGTGCCTTCTTGGGTGAGGAATGCTTTCCAGTCATCAACCCTTGGTGTCATTGTCCGGTGATAGATGTTCTGTTGAATCTGGACAAGATCATCGTCACTAGTGCTCGATAACAGACACGTAAGCCACTCGTTGAAGTGCTCGCGATAATCTGACCCAACCGGTTCATCATCAATATCAAGACCAAGGATTAAGCTTGGCCACACCAATTCCAGCCACTGTTCGTCAGAGACGCCGCCCGGGATCCTATGCCTCAGCTCAAGAACTGATCGAAGCGCAGCCTGTTGATTGAGTACTGACCAAGATTGGAACACCGGACAGTCCACGTCAACCACACCAAGAAATGTCACGTCAAGTTGAAGTTGGCTTGATGTACACCTTTGTGCAGGTACCTGGAGGTGGCCCCCAGCATCCCATCCTCCATTGTCACAACTGACAAATGGCTCAGAGAAAGAGTGGTTCCTCGGATCAAGAACCCAAGTGGGCAGACTTGTGGGCCGTTTGCACATCGAGATACCCGACAAGGCCAGAGCATCAAGTGAGGTCCCGTGACAAAGCAATGCTTCTGCAGTCTGGGAGTACAATTCTTCCACGGTGATGCTGTAGCTGGGTTCTGGGATCGGTCTTTTGTGGTCTCCGATCCCCCAGAAAGCGAAAATCATGTCCCGGTCGTCCGTCGCTCTGACGTGGTAGGCAGTCTCAAGCAGGTCTTCGTACGGAAGTGGCCCCTCACTGAGAAATTTCTCCCGGATCTGTATGACTCTCGTTGCGTTCCATAATCCCCTCAACCTCGGTCCATCGTATATTGGCATATCGTGGAATTTCCAAATAGGAAAGACCGAATCGCGGAAGCAGCCAAACGGCACCTGGTCGACGCCGCATGCAACAGTAACCTCCCGGTTGACCGTGATTTCTTGAATGACCCAGACACGACGAAACCAAGGGCGAGCCAGCAGTGACAGCACAGCCCTCAGAGGCTTTGGCTTCGGACTGTCTCTCAGCAGGAGCTTGATTTCGTCGTCAGTGGTATATCCGTGCTCTCTTATCAACTGCATGAACCGGAACGCAACTCTCGCTCGGTTATCACTCTCGCCTAGCCACAGCAATACTTGCTTAGCACAAGCATACACTCTACCCATCATGCTGACCTGTTGCGCTTTCTCAACGGGGTCTGTCTGGTTTATACAGAGGGCATCGATCCATACGGTGAAGGTGGATTGACCTTGCCGCAACGAGTTGAAGAGTGCAACAAGTGTCTGGCTCAGTGGAAGCGACCGCCCATCTGGAAATGAGATGCTGGAGACGGGAGTCGTGTCTTCCCAAGCATATGAGATGGCCGAGTACTCGACATTGCAATTGTCGATGCAGATGTATCTGAAGTTGCAAAAAAGTTCTGAGTCGACCTCATGTACCTCCAAGACCCGGATCCACTCACCGCGAGGAAGCGGTTGGTAAATGTCTCCCATAGCGTCACGGAGTATACTGGGCCCGCCCGTGTCACCAGTACGTCTGTCGTCAGATTCCAGGTTGTCCTTATCTCTAGACCTGGTGACGTCGGAGCCAGGCACGGTAGCGCATATTGGTTGTCTTGTCTGGGTTTCGCTTCCTTCCATCAAGTGTTTGCCGGTACCACAGCATGTCAGCACGCATCTCGGCCATTCTCAACCCGGCACCGGTGGCACAGCAACCAGTAAGCATGCTGGATTCAGGTCATCTATTTCGAGGAAAGATCTGCGCCTAGCACATAGTGCCGCCTTTTGCTACGAACCCCCAGGCACGCAAAGCCTAATGTTGGTGCCATACGATTTATAAAGGGGCCTAGGGGCCCGTGAAGCTCAGCTTAAGATAGGCGGAGATCGTCTTCGCTGAGCGTCATATCATGATTGAAATACTTGCAGAGATCAAGGAGCTGAAGATGCCATCTCTTCATCTTTGTGAGACCCGAGGAGCAGCTGATGCGGACGCAAGCCATGGATTCTCGCGCCGCTGACTGTGAAGCGAGAATACGAGCGCTTCAGGTCAGCTTATAGTCCTCAGTTTAACGTTGCATTCTTTCAGCTCGCACTGGGCATGATCGAGCACTGTGCTTTCTGCCTTGCGGCCGCCTACTCGCCACCATTATTCACAAAGAGGGCCGGTTGGAATCAACGTATAAAGCGGGAGGATTCTGCACCTGCATCTGTGGCTCACCGCATCGTCAAGTTCCCTCATCACTTGTCTCTGTTCAACACGAGTTACAACCCCGGGGTAAATCCTTCTCCGTAGATTAGTCTTTGCTGTGCAGATTTTGCTGACAGTGTCTTCAGAATAAGCGCAGCTCGTCGAAAAGTCCCGAGACATCTACCATAAAAACGACCGAGAATGAAGGCCATTTCCCTGCTCGCCGCTATTCTGCCCGCTGCATCAGCAGTGGACTGGACTCTCACCGGGTACGAATCAGACAACTGCGATAGCACGACTGCTGTCTATGAGAACGGATCTGATGGAGTAAACTTCACCTGCTATTCGTTCGGTGAAACGGTTCACAGCGCGGACTTCGAAGGCAACAACTTCTGGTGTTTGTATCTGTATGGGGACGGGGGGTGCCAGGATGAGACCAAGTACCTAGCAACTGGAGCGACGGGCTGCCAAGTCGGCGACTGGGGGAGCTACTCGTTTGCCATCCCGTCCCATGGCTTTCCTTGTTAAGTGAATGGGGTGATGATTACCTCACGCCCCAGGGGCACAGGAAGGATTGAAGCTTGGGCCATGATAGTTCGGGTCGCCATGAGTTTCTGTCAAGGGCCATAGACTCCCAAAGAAAAGATTTACTTTCAGCAATCAAGTAAACCCGCCTTTGGCTCATTTAGTTGCTCAATCATCCACGCAGAACAAGTCCTTCAGTGTGAAATTGCTCTTCATGTGGTCTGAATATGGTCGCCGATGTCCCTTCATGCCGGACTATACTTCACCGGGCACACCATGCCCATTGTGCCGCATCCTCACTCATCGTAGATTCCAGTGCCCAGTTCATCTCAGAAAAAGTACCAGAAAACAAGTTGATTTGCACCAAAATTGGTTGATGCTCACGGCGCTGTGATTATACGTGCCGTTTGTTTTGCAAGGTTGAGGTCAATAGGGCAGGAAAAAAGGCGGGCCTGTTTCAAGGGTCTAACCCTGTGCTTGTAGGTGGTGCCACCCAAGTATGTTTGCAGGTGCTCATGGGGCACCTTGACGTGACGGGGCACCCCTCAAGTTATCTCCTAGGCTGCATCTTAGATATCTTTTCTGTCGTTCACTGCGATCACCTCACCAACGTCTAGTTGCATCACAAGATGGAAACATCAACCTACATCCTTCTGGCGCTCATCGCCATTTTCTTCGTCTTACCGGTAAGTTTCATTGACCCCGCCTCGTCTGGGCGAGACACGCTGGGGCCCAGCATCCTCGCACACCGTCCTATCAACGCCAACACCAGAGGACGTGGAACTCATCTCTACGGAGGCCTTGCGACAGAGATGCGCCCAACACCACTACGACGGAAGTATTTTCCTGGTGTGATCAAGCTGACACTCCTCACAGGCCCTCCTCAAAGACAACTCGCCCATCCCGGAGACGTCGGGCAACGTGCACAAGATCACCAAGGCGGCCGAGTTCGACGCGCTGCTCAAGTCGACCAGCAACGTGGTGGTCGACTTCTACGCGGACTGGTGCCCTCCCTGCCGCTCGATCGCGCCCATCTTCTCCAAGCTGGCGGACAAGCACGCGCTCAAGGGCCACCTCGCCTTCGCCAAGGTCAACGTTGACCACGTCAACGACATCGCCGGCCGCTACGGCGTGTCCGCGATGCCGACGTTTGTGTTCTTCGAGGGGACCAAGCCCACGCCCGTGCAGGTCAAGCTGGCCAAGTCTAGCCCCTCTGCGGTGATGGTAGATGGGGGTGTTGAGAGGATCCGGGGCGCTGACCCGATGACGCTTACGGCTGTGACGCTGGCTCTGTATGACAAGGTTAAGGGTGCTGCTGGTATTACCGATGCCGCTGCTGGTGATGAGAAAGCGGCCGAGTCCTAGAGGATGTGCAAAGGGCTATGTCTGCGGCAGCAGGGCGGATTTGCCGCGTCTAGGCCGCCGTATAGGCCTGGTATGAAGTGGCCACAGGCACTCGGATCCGAGGTAGTGGGGTCCGGACTTGACGGGCATGGGAATGGTGCCGTCAAGCCCGTTCCCCCATTCTGGATGTCACCGTGAGGCATGTTTACCTCGTGGACATCACATAAAGCTATATCTTGAAAAATCGGTTGGCAATTAATCCTCTGATGATGAATGCACAAATACCAGTCCCTAGCGATGCTTAACCTGCGCTCCTGCACTCGAGAGCCTTTTCATGTTTCGCAGGCCCGTTTTCGGGTTGGAGGATCAGTGCACCACACCAGTCCAGTGCTACGCACGGGGCCAGCTCAGGGGCGATCTCCAAAACAACAACCGTTACAGCCAAAATGACAGTGAGCATGGGCAGCTTTGCTCAACAAACAACAGAAGAACACCTTGCTGTAAAGTTCATCTGATCAGAAACAAATCCACATCTGGCCACAAAAAGAATTCCTCACATTGGTTCTCATCGTACTCTTTCTGTGCATTTGTGGTCACCTCCAACAGTCATGGATACATACCAGCTCAACTTTACTGGGCTGCTGGGCCTGTGCGCTGCCCTCTTCATCGCGCAGAGGAGAAAGCCAGCTCAGCCCAAGAAGGATGAAAAGCCGGCGAAATCGAAGAACGATGCCGCATCCAAGCAGAAGGCAGACAGCACAGAAGCATCTCAATGGCCATTCCTCGTGGTCTTCGCCTTGGTGATGGGCTCAGACTGGCTACAGGCAAGACAGCTCGCCTAGCTCGCTCGCGGAACACAAAGGCTAACTTTCCCACCCAGGGCCCATTCCTCTACTCGCTGTATAGGGAGGAGCACGGCGTCTCCTCAGGTATGGTCTCAACGCTCTTCACCACCGGCTTCCTCTCCGGTGCCGTCTCGGCCTACGCCACCGGCACCCTCGCGGACCGGCACGGGCGCCGGCTGGCCTGCCTGGTCTTCTGCGTCGCCTACGCCCTGAGCTGCGCCCTGACCATGGTGCCCTCGCTGCCGCTGCTCTTCGCCGGCCGCGTCCTGGGCGGCGTCAGCACCAGCCTGCTCTTCAGCGTCTTCGAGAGCTGGATGGTCACTGACTTCCACGCGCGCCACCTCGCCGACAAGGGCGGCGACCTCTCGCGCACCTTTGGCGTCATGAGCACCCTGAACAGCGTCGTCGCCATCGCCAGCGGCGTGTTCAGCGAGTGGGTCGTCGGTGTCTCGGGCACGCGCAAGGCCCCCTTCGCTGCGGCTGTGGCCTTGCTGGCGGTGGCGTTTTGGCTGATTGCTACGCAGTGGGAGGAGAACTACGGTGACGCCGCCAAGGACGGCAAGGCTAAGAAGGACGACAAGCAGGAGGCAGCCCCGCGCCCGAAGCTGTGGGATATGCTCAAGGACCCACGCCTTGTGTGCCTCGGCCTGTCGTCTACCATGTTCGAAGGCTCAATGTACCTGTTCGTCTTCATGTGGGGCCCCGCGCTGCAGTCCGCGAACGCGTACGAGTCGACCACCTCGGGGGCAGCGAGCACCGGCCTGCCGTACGGCATCATTTTCGCAAGCTTCATGGCCTCGGTGCTCGCCGCGTCGCTGATGTTCAACATCGCCATGGACAACAAGCTGCTCAAGTACACGTACCTTCTCGGCGGAATCCTGGCCGTGGCCGATCTCGTCTTCTACCTGCTCGAGCAGCCCCGCTCCGAGCAGCTCACTTTTTGGCTATTTTGCCTCTTCGAGGCCTGTGTTGGTATGTACTGGCCGTGCATGGGCTATCTCAAGGGCCAGCTCATCGAGGACGGCATGCGCGCCCAGTTGTATGGCATCTTGAGGGTGCCGTTGAACGTGTTTGTGGTGGTTTCTCTGTATTTTACCGGTGATGGGGATGCCTACGCCAAGGTCTTTGCTGTGTGCTCGAGGCTGTTGCTTGTGTCCATTGGGGCTCTCTACGCGATGATCATGAATGAGGACGAGCTTCCGTAACAGGCATGGGAGATACATTGCATGGTTTAAGATTGCTGGATAGCTTCCACTTTGACATCTGACGATGGTCTGAAGATGAATTGATTAATGCATTTAGAAAAACACTCCCAATCATGGTCAACTATGAATCCGCTTTCAGGCCGTCCATAACAACTCCAACAAAAACCATCAAAACGGCCGCGTAAGCCAGTGTCGCCGCAAATACCGCTTCCAGCGTCTCCAGAGCCGCCACCATTACCAAACCAAACATTACCACACACCCTGTGGTGACTCCTAGCTGCAGATAAAGATTTTGATTCAGAACCAGGAGCCACATAGGCCCAATGAGGAAGGCAGCCCCAACGAGCGTGCTCGCGATGCGTGACCATAGGGCTCGTCTAAACGTCTCCCCACGTGTCCCACCTATGGGTCTCATCACACTCTCGCCATCCTCCCACGGTCCTGTGGCTAGCGCCTCCGGCTGGAGGTGCGTGAAATCGGCTACCGTCTTTCCCAAGCGAATGGCGACTCTATCAAGGAGAATCTTCTCTTGAAAGCGTTCACTAGAAACTCTGAAAGGGTCGTGGCGTTGTCCGGCAAACCGGCCCATGTACTCGTGGTCGTGAACGGCTTGCACTGGTGACAGGAATAATTGTATGAGAAAAGCACAACTTGCACTAGGTAGCCGCACAATGCTTTAAATAGGAGGGGCATAGGGAACGCACCGTAGTCATGTAGGGCGGGGCCCAAATCAGAAAGCACGCCCTTGCTGATACCGTGGTCATTATCAAATCCCGCCGAAAGAGCGAGCCAAGTAACTCGCGCTTGCAACAACCGCATGTGCATTCGCTGAACATCTGCTAAATTAAGACAGAAACCATATTCACAACCTTCGTCGTAGCTCTTCCTGCCTTTGCGTAAGCGATGAAGCCATCGGGGCCCATTCCAGCCACGGTTGATGACCAGGTTGATAAAGCCTGGAGTCCCTTCGCGGCGGTTGTCGATGCCACCATTACATTCCCGGTCGTTATCTCTGACCGTGTTCGTGGGCTCCGCTGTATTGTTTCGAATGTTCTGTTGAGCTCCTACGCTAGCGTTGCGAGGGGGGTTGCTTGTATGATCACGGCGGATGCGGTAGCTTTCGACGGTCTGCTCCCATAGTGCTTCATCTATTGCTGTTATAGTAGGCCGCTCCCTGCAACAACATAAATTCGACGATGGCCTTTCCTGCGAATTGCTTTCACTCATCATTTTCACAGCCGTCGAGGTTCGTTAGAGTTGGGAGAAGTTGACACAATGCTGCAAGCTGACTCTTAATACCAGCTGATCATCTCTCGCCTGGAGTGCCTGACCCTGTCGGAACGCCAAGCAGCCACAGCACATATCCATTCGATATGAGCATTCGACACTGGCCATCCATCTGCGGTGTAGCCTGAGCCACGTAAATCAGGCAGCAACCCGAGCTGCTGTGTCCAATGCTTCGCATGATCTTCGAGAGGAGCTGGCTCAATGATTTAAAGTCAGGCCCCACCCGGGTCGAAATCACAGCATCTCAAAGCTCCAAGCCGCCTTAAGAATATGATCAAGTTGTGAAAGTATAATATTGCGTTCCATTGTTGAATTGGTGGTTTTAATCTTTTTTAGATTAAGATGGAGTCATCAGATATTGTTATTTTGAAAGTCACACAACACGAAGAAGGGACCAACACGTTTCGCCTAACCTACTTGACCGAGCCGCTGGACACTAAGAAAGCCAGAATCCTACGAGATACGCACTTCAAATATATTCCCAAAACCCTGGCCAAAAAACATTGCCGTCGATATGAGAATAGCAGCATCGTGATTAGCGACCTTGGTATCGATACCTCGAGTCTCAGATCCCCTGCGAGAGGGGAGGCAGGTGCATTTGGGGTCCCACCCATCACCGAGACTCTGCAGGATGATGGAGTGCGATTCGATATCTCAGTGGAGCCCGGGAAGTGTCAACCCAGAGACGAAGTCGACAGGATATTCCGCCTCTGCGTGAATCCATTATCGGAGTGGTACTTGGAAGTTAGAACAAGACTTCCCTTTAGGGTTTGGGAGAGGTATATGATCTCGGCGGATGCTCGGGCATGCATGGAAGTGTCGCCCGAAATGTTTCGGTGTGGGCATGTGACGCTTGGGTTGCGAGGCAAGGCAATGAGTTTCTGGCTGAGTTGCGGAAGGTTTCTGAAGCATGGGAAGCATAGATACGTTTCCAAGAGGAAGTCGCGGGGAGATTCCACCACCAGCAATTAAGCAGAGTCGTTCTGTCCCTTGAAATGATAGCCGGCTGGTATATGTAAGAGGGCAAATTCAACCAAGCTCCAAATACCACCCTAAGTGGTTCCTGTCAGGCTGGTGACAGGTGGTGCCGTATGTATTTGCTCTCTTGCCAAATGTTCTTCTGCCTTGCCCCCTTCGTTGGCTTCCTTTCACCTTGGGTAGGCCGGACTTCAGGTCGACTCCGGCCGCAGGTCAACACCCGTAGCGCCACCCTACCCAAAACACGACACTTAAGACCTCGAATAGATGAACCCCAGACCGTTAAGCCAACGCATATATTGAAGAAGCTTGCGACGTTCCATTGACCCAGGACGAAGACTCAAAGGCAGGTCAGCACGCAAAATACGCTGAACGCCATGACATGCTGAAATCATGCAGCTAATCCGGGATATCCGTTCTCTCTCACTGTATTCCTACCCCTCCTGGCCGGACTGCTATCATCTGGTTCTCAGTGATTCATTTCGGTTGGAAACTCAATGGAAGAGCTAGGGACTGGTACTAGGTGCAGGTAGGATTGGTCGCATAGGAGCTCGAATCGTTGCTGTAACCCTCACACGCGGCTGCGGCCCTAACAAATGTGCCTGTTGTTGTTAGACTGAGTCCACGCCAAGGATTTCGGGATATTTCCTGCTTCTAGTGAGCCTTCACATCCCACTCGATGCAATGGATGACCTCATCAGGATTTCAGCTTGCGGCTCCCTTGATATCTAAGACAGCTAGCCGCCAAGCTAAGTCCGGGTTTAAGTTAACCTCTCAGCTCCGGATTCCGTACTCTGCGTCTTGTCTCACGATAATTGGCTACGCTATCATTCAATATTCTCCCGTCTTATATTGATGGCATGATGGCGTGCATTAAGTTGTCAAAAATTGCTACGCAGCGAGGAGTATCAAATGGACCACTGCACTGCCCCCAGGTATAAAATCGATTAAGCACCCCTTGCCCATTCTGATCGTCATAAGTCACCCATCTCTTCCGAATACCAGGTATACGACTCATGACAATTCCAAAACCACCATGGCACCTCTTGAAATCCTCGTAGTCGGCTGCTCCATAGCTGGCCCAACTTTGGCAACCTTCCTGCTTCTCTCCTCCCTCCCAGCCTCCCAAAAGCCACACATCACCATCCTGGAGCGCTCTCCGGCCCTGCGTACGGATGGTCAGAACATCGACGTCCGCGGCGCCGGCGTGACTCTTATACGACATCTAGGCCTCGAAGCCGCCGTACGGGCCTCAACCACGGGCGAGGAGGGTGTGCAGTTTGTTGATAGCAACAACACCGTCTGGGGGCAGTCTGCGGCCGACAAAACGGGACGGTATCAGACGCCCACGAGCGATATTGAAATTCTAAGGGGACGGCTATCCGAGCTGCTCTGGAAACGGAGTAAGGGCGTCAGTGACGAGGTTGTGAGGGAAGGTGGTAAAGGATTAGAGTATTTGTTTGGGGATTGTCTTGATGAGATCGAGCAGGATGGGGACAAGATCAATGTGCACTTCGCAAAGAGCGGGCAGCGGCGGACGTTCGATCTAGTGGTCGGGGCGGATGGGCTTCAGAGCCGGACGCGGAGTATGGTCTGGGGCAGTGACAGCGAGGAGGACCGAGTAAGGAAGCTGGGCATGTATGCGGCTTTCTTCAGCATGCCAAAGGGACAGACGGATTCCCAGTGGCGTCGATGGTTCCATGCCCCTGGCAGGAGGGGAATAATGATACGACCGGACGAGCAGAGGAAAAGAACGACGGTGTTGATGACCGTCATAAAAGACCGTGACGAGAGGCTGCCTAGGCTTGCGGGCAAGCGGGATGCCGTCCAGGCGCAGAAGGATATCATGGCGGAATATTTCCAGGGCGCTGGATGGGAATCCGAGAGGATCATCGAAGAGATGATGACTACGAAAGACTTCTACTACGACATGGTAGGACAGGTTAAGATGGACAAGTGGAGCAAGGGCAGGGTCGTGCTGATCGGTGACGCGGGGTGAGCTTTACTTCCTCCGGCCGGCATTTGACAACTTCCTTCGTGATTCACTCAGCTAACAGACAACCAGGTATTGCGCATCTCCCATCTCCGGAATGGGCACAACGCTGGCTCTCACTGGCGCATACAATCTTGCCGGCGCGATCCTGCGGCATCCAGATGACCTCACTGCAGCATTCGCCCAGTACGAGGCAACGACACGTCCCGTCGTGGACCGCGCCCAGAAGCTCGCCCCCGGTATGCCGCGCCTGGTCAACCCGGAGACTGCTTGGGGAATCTCGGTGTTGCATTGGTTCGGCTATCTCATGTGGATCTCCAGACTTCAGGTCCTGCTGTTTGCGCTCGGCGTTGGGCCGCCGGCGAATGCGGTGCCTGTGGAGGATTATGGATTGAGGAAACTGGAGGCGCTCGAAGAATGAGAGCGGGCTCTTGATTACGGCAAACAAATTGACAGCAATACTTACAGGCATTGGTTCGTTGAGCAGGCATTTGACCTAGAACAATGTGAGTTGGCATCTGGCTCTTGTTTGTAACTTGACTGTACATCATTGTCACGTATCCATAGCCAACACCATGGCCCTCGGCAAGTACTAGTGTGTATTATGTGATAAATATCCTCTCAATTCGAAGATCCCTCCAACAAATACACCTCATGTGCTTCCATCGCATGTACTCATGTCCCTGAAACTATCATCGCATGGGCTTCCATCGCAGGGCCTCCCGTCTGAGTGTTCCCGTCCTACCACCACAATCTCAGTGGCTCCCATCCTAACAAACAGGCACGTTACTACCAGATGCTGCCAGACGCATACGATACTGGGCATGTGGGGGTAACAGTGAGCTTGACATACTAGGACTGAGTGTTCAGCAGATAGGAAGACCCAGAATTATCTATGAGACGCGTCCCAGGACAGAATTCGACTCGTTCTCGTCGAAAAGAAATCAAACCACCTGTTATTGATGGAAAGATTGCTTGTGTGACTTATCAGACCTCTGAAGAGCATGCTTTCACCAGCCTTGAATGCTCTAATGGTTGATGAGCATTGACACAGGTTGGACATCCACAAGTGCAATTGTTTGGACAAGTACGCCATCTTTGGGTCGTGGCCATATTATGAGGCACTAATTTGCAATGTCTGTTCAATCTCTGCTGGCAAGTACAGCCTAGAGCTATACATCTTCGCAATTTCATTTCATAAGGTGATGTCGGAGTTCCTATCTTGTTTGCGGCGCTGCCAAAGTGAAATTAACAAACAATCAATCTTTCAACTCACAAATTGTGTTCCCAACAAGTTGGACTCCTTCCTTGTCCCTGCCTCTAAACGTGACGATATCTCAACATTTGATCCTTCACTACACCGGACTTCCTCTCCTTCTGCCATTACAGCCGCCTTGCCACACAACCGACCTTGGAATCGACTACTCTTTCTCCCAAATCACTCACCAGGCTGTCTCTCATCTTGACCCTGGCAAGTTGTATCCCCTCCCCTCCACTCCTTTGCCCCTAAGAAGCAAGACGCCTCGGGTCAGGGCAAGGCCGTGGAAGAGCATGGCCCTGGAAAGCGGCGACTCCTACCACAATTATCAGTGAGTGGCCTTCCCTTACAAAACTACATCATCTGTGAAGTCTTTTGACGACACCCTGCCATGCCTCTGATTTCTTCGCAAACACCATAATCACCATCTTCAAAGCGGATACAGAACTCAGCGCTTCATCGAGCTCGTGAGCGTTCAAATCGCGTCAGACCTATCCAAGGCGCATAGACTCTGGGGTCAGCCGCGACCTCAATCATCTTGTGCTTCCTTTACAAACAACCATCCCACATTTCCTTCCACAGCCCGCAAACAGTCCATTCCACACCATTAATGATCATTTTTGGGCCCTTCGACGCGAATATCTCGCTCCCCTGCAAAACACCTAGCTAACCGGGGCTATAATGTCTCTTAGAAGCCTTTCGTCCGAAGAAACCATGGCTTTGGGACCTTGTGCCGAGGCTGCGAAATTCTCTGGCCATGACAACGACGAGACTGCCTCTGATGAGGCTGATGACCACGGCGGGCCATCGTTTGTCCAGTACTCAGCTGGTAAGATTGCAGATGACCTTGAAGAGTTGAAGGGGAATGTTAACAACCCAGCTCCCGTGTCCCAAAACGGGACTGCTCTACAGACAGGACGTCTTCTCCCTCGTGGCCAGGAATGCGATAAGAAGGCCATCATTAGGAATCCTGCTTTAGGCTCAAGTACGATACTTGACCTCCCGACAGAGTTGCTCCTTCGAATCTTCAGATGGCTTTCGAAGCGGGAGACCTGGTCCGATGCCAATGAGACAAAGTGGAATTTCTCCAGGCTTCCTAATCAAGGCATCAAAAACGTTCGACTCTCTTGCAAGCTCTTCGGAGAGGTTGCCTCGGAATTCCTCATTGACCATGTCAGGATATATGTGTCAGAGCGCTCTCTCGCCCATTTCGAAGAAATTTGCCGTCACCCGCGCATTAGCCGATGTATACGCGCAGTTGAGGTCTGTCTTGCGCAATACGACATCGCCATGGCCAACGATCTCGCTCTATTCACTGGGGACTTCATCGACGAGCTGGACCGACAAAGGTCCGGAACCCCTGAGGAGATATATAAGGCTCAGGCTATTGCCAATACATGGCGCAGAGCTTTGAAGGCATATGAATCTGGACATTACATTACATTGGATAACTTTGGCACCGAAGCGATCGGCTACATCAAAGCTCTCGAAGAAGGTTATGACGGCTATTGTCATAACTACGAAAAGCAGCAAATTTTGCTTCAAGAAGGCAGCTTCACTAGCAGACTTGCGGCAGCGATGGCAGAACTGCAACAAGCAAAGCACCTTGAAGTGTCTGACTGGGACTTCGTTCACTGGGGACATCACTGGCAAGGAAATCGACGCCTGGACGTTTCCAACAACAGCTCACTGAGTCATAGCTTGTCCAACTGGCGCATTCCATTCAGTGAGGTCCAGGGGTACGAACTTTTGCCCACAATCCCGGATCTCCTGTGCAAGTTGCACCCCGCTGGAAGGAGCATTACCTCGCTCAGCTTTGATATCTCACGCTCGTTCAACGACTCATATCTCCAGTTCTCTTTACCTGAACATCAGCAAGAGCAACTAAGTCTTGCTTTGAAGGAACTGAGATCCTTCAGATTCGAGCACCGCGGTATCATAGCATTGACCCCGAAGGCATTCCGGGCATTGTCATGCTTCTTGAACGCTTGTTTGAAATCTAACAAGCTTGAATGCCTCGTGATTAACGCAGGACATTGGTCAGAGCACAGCACAAGCCTAATCAGCACGCGGTCGTGGCCAAAGTTGAGGCACGTGGTGCTGGAGCGATTCGGAATCACTGAGCGCGATCTCGATCTCCTAACTGAAGCCAGCCCGTCCTGGACAGAAGGACAGCTGGTTCTTGACGAAATACGCCTCGTGAGCGGCACATGGGCCAGCGTCCTCGATGTATTGCGCCAAAGGCGCATTCGCTTGAGCCTAGGCTACTCAGGAGGCGCGGAGTGCGATACACGTGGTCACACCTGGGCCTGCGACATTTTTTGCAAGCGCGATGATGGTCATGGACCTAGTCTTGCCGAGCTCTATGTCCGGGGTGAGGACATGCCTAATCCCATCCAACCCCTCTGAGCACGATACGTGACAAAATGATGTGCCTCGGCGGGATCCATAAGGACGATCCCCCTGAAGACGAGGGCTGCATCGATGGGGCCATTGAAAGGGAGTCTCTGGAGGACTGATATTATGAGCATTGATCCGAAGATCGCCTCGAGTCGGAAGACATTTAGAGGATGGCTGAGCGGAATAGCAGCGAAAACGTTCGGGACTGAAGAAAGAAGCTGGTCTGAACGCAATAGTAACTCTACATCATCAAAAGATGCGGAGTACGCGTTGGGTCGAATTGACTTTGGTGGAACTGAGATCAGCTCAGTCGACAAGACAGCTCATGCTGCTCCTTGAGACATTAAAATCGAGACACTACATATTGTATAAACACAAAGTTTTTTGGCAACCACGCTATTAGTGGGACTTAAAATTCGTGTATGATGCTCCTTACCAAGGACACGATAAGATGCCACTAATCTGGCACATCACAGAGTCGAAAAGGTGTTGTCAAGACATCACCAATGCTTGGCTTTGCATCAGAAATACATCATGATAACAAGTTGAGTTTCCTAAGGCTAGTTTTGGGCCATTCCTCTAAATTTATTCGGGCAAGTGTACCAGCTTGCTGCTGCATGACCATGCCGCCCGGCGGCAGAGCCCTCCAATGAGCCTCCCACTACCCTTTACCAGAGGCATGCTTTGACTTGCTATTTCCTTCTCGAATTTTTCTTACGTGAATCCTAGGGCTTGCCATATCATTGCTCAGTTGCTTCAAAAATTCAGTTTACATGTCTTGTTGCAACGAATCCTGCTCATTGCTCCTGGTTATCCCACCCACGGACACCGCAGACAGACATCTGTCATCCAGAGCGGTTCCAGGCATCTCAACCACCATCCTGACATCGTCTACCTCCTGTGGAGCTTCATGTGTGAGAACCTCGGATGGAAACCGATGTACTTCTGCAGCAAGACCAGACGTCAAGAGCAGCTTGGAGCTTGGCTGTAGATGCGGTGGCGCGGGAGCTGTTGCGGGGATGACTGGTATCCCGAGAGCTTTGTACGCGCGACGTACTTCTAAATAAGCAAATATGAAGAGTGCGAAATGGCATACCCTGGAAGCGGGTCAGTCATGTCAATTGCGACAACTCAGGGTTGTTCTAAGCTCATACGAGGCGACCAATGCCATACCACCCCACATGAACACTGAGCTCAACCACAAAAGCATGGTTGTCACTTCGGGCCAGTCTGACGGGTACTCCAGTTCAAACGTGTCTTCTAACCATTCTACCATGAACGGTCGATTTCTCTCCGTGAGGACGAGCATTGGAATTGCAAGTGCAAATCCAGCAGCTCCGAGAAGCAGGTTGCAAATCAGATGGCTTGATGCAGAGAAACCAGTAGCTGTGCTGTTCATAGCAGTTTTGAAGAACTCTGCTGACTGCCAGACGAGACTAAGAAGTGGCTGTGAAGTTTTCAACTACCGTACGATGTTTTCAAGATCTTGTTTTTACTTACGCAAGGTAGACCATACAAAGGGGGAGGAAAATAGACCCACCAATAGAAGTCGTCCCGCGGCCCTGCCGCCCAAGCTAGCGATATCGCTGTTGATGTCAAAGAAGCAAGCATTACGACTGATCCAAGAGCAGTTTTGGCCGATTGCGATCTAGTCCCTGATACTTTTGATGGGGTGGGATTCGATACCTCCGAACCTCCCATGCGAATCTTGAATATGTTGGACGGCGCCATCTAGTGTAAAGTTCGTGGAAGTTCTGAGCGAAAGATCAAAAGAGCGCTTGTGACATCGGCGAATTTGGACTGGAAGGATCAGGAGTCTTCAATATTAATATCAGGAGGTGTTTTAAAACTCATGTCCCCTATGGCTTTTTGATTGAAATGGTTATCGGAAGTCAAAACGCCAAAGTTTATTTCATCGGTTGTCCGAGGGCCTGTTTCCTGGTTTGATTGGACCTGTCTCTGGCGAGTTGCATGTTAAAATGCTTCCTATCATGTTACTACTTCATGCGTGGAGCAAACTGCATGACTGTCGTGTTTGTGTCGGAGCTTTTATTTCTTGTTCGGCACGTATTTGTGGTGATACATGTTTGCCCGGCTCTTGTAAACTCGAGATACTTAGCACTACAAATTTAATTATCGAAAAGTTTTCAACAGAAGGAAAACAGACACTGCCAGATCACACGTGAATCCATTACGATGGATGATATGGCAAGCCATTCACGAATCGCGACCATCAACTAGACCCAGACTTGGGCGGAATTAAGTGTCAGGTGAGAAATACTGGACACTTCTACAAATAACAAGATCATTGGATTCTTCGTAGCTCGATAAGTCCGGTTGTACTTCTCTTTGTCATCCTGTGGTATCAACAGATGATCCTGTCAATGCCGAAGATTTGTGTAGATTCAATTTATGACACCCAAAATTGTGGCACGTATCAGAATGGCTCTACATATTGCCTGTGTTGTGATCCTGAAGGCTTTGTATCACCCATAGACAGCCAACTTCCGTCCTCCAGTCACACAGATCGACTGCTATCAACAATTAGCCCGTATTTCAGGCATCAGATTGTCGTACTTGATGGGGTTCGTACGACCCATCTCAGCGAACCCCCACTTAGTCAATACTGGACCAGGTTTTGAGATCTCATGGCAGATGCCAGCTGAACACTTTGAATAGATGACTGATCTTTCCCGTCAGCTCTTTGTTCAGGAAGAGTATCTGTAAATCGCAAAGTATATTGAGTCAATCTAGGTCTTTCTGATCCCAATGGCGTTCCCCTCGCGGCCACAGAAAGCAGCAAAGGGTGTGGCAGGGAGGACTGGGTCTGGCAAATATGGAATTGTCTGTATTTGGAGTGGGCTTGGTTGTGGTTCTGAGGGCAGAAGGGCCTCAGGGCACCCTATTTAAAGACGTACGACCCCACGTGACTGATCCCTTATTCACTGACCTCTTATTCACTACCGCAATGAGAGACCGGTTGGAATGAGCGCTGATCCATACGCTTCCCTTCCAGACCTCCCTGGCAACACGAGTAGCTCTGTCGATGTCACGCCAGTATAAAGAGGCAGCAAGGCTGATGCGTATGCTATTGGCGCACTTGAGAAAATAATCTTCGTCTCTGAGGACAGAGGTACTATGATGGGGCGCGGAGAACTCAGAGACGGTGTGAACTTGCCAAACTTTGTACTGAATCACAGTCTGTAACTTATGTGACGGACCGTCGATCACTTTGGGCTTGGATTAGTGTTCGTTTTGAGGCTTCTTATTTACTATATTTCTTTCTAGTCCACTCCCAGGCTAAGCTGGTGATATTATTGACAGAGAATGTCTTCAATACTTCATGCTGTATTTGTTCTTGGTATATGTGCTGAGCACTTCCCGAGCGGTTGGCTAGATCTAGAAGTCAAGGTTTTGTCTGTAAGTAAAACAATTCTCATAGAAGGGAGCTGATTCCAAAATTGGAGCGCCACTCTTGAACAACCAGCAATACTCTCCCCCAATCTCAGCTTCCCTGCTGCCCAGAAAAATAGGCTAGCTATCAAGTTTAGTAATAGCCAGCTTGCCAAATAAAAACTGGCGGGCTCGGTGAATGTTTTGGCTCAGATCCGTACTCCATAGCCAAGGTTCGCGAGGAAGATGAGGTCTTCATTGCCAAACATATGAGTTTAGCTTGAAAACTGCTATCCTTGAAACCAATCGCCAGGGCCACATTGGCACCGAGATGGAAAGGAAGGTTCTCTAGTTTTCATCAAAGAATTTCAACCATATCTAAACGCATCACTTCCTTGCGAAGACTTTAAATTCTCAACTACACAATCCTCATGGCTAAAGTCTCTGCAATTATATATCAAGGCCAGGATGTGACGTTCCTCGATGAAATCAGGGAGTTTGAATCCTGTTGCACGCTGTAAAATGTCAGGATCTGACATCTCTATCCCCTTGAGAGACGAGGGAAAGACTCTCTGTATTAAGACTGGCTGGAGCCAATTGAGGGTGACAAAGTGAATTTCGGCTTGGGAGCCTGCGCATAAGACAGTCTCGTTGGAACGGCCGAGAAGTTAACTATAAATAATGAATTGCATCTATCAAATGAGGCTGAATGCGTGATGTAGCTGAGAACTCCTTCAGGATCCAAGCATAAGGAGGCTCGTCGACAGGGTGGCGAAGCTTGGGGCTCAAACTGTTGCCTTGAGTTCGAGGGTCGTCACCTCGCTCGAACAACTCCGATGAGATCAAATCGATGGAGGGCTGTGCGTACTTGTGCCACATGGGGCGGTCGGACTAAAAACAGCCACATAGGTGGCGATGCCGCCAGACAGCAACCGTGCCAGTGTATAACGATGAACTGCTCCAACATCCCCTTCTGCGCAACAAGAATTGAGTCTGTATTAGTAGATGAATGCCTTTGTAAGTCCTTTTTTATAAACAGATGTTTACCCGAAAATAATTGGCATGAGTTTCGGGACTCAGTCCGTCGACATAAGTGATAGTTGTACTAGGGTCGAGTACATCAATAATGGCAGACACTGACGTGAGACTGGGCTGCGCTCACCGAAACGGCCTTGCCAAGAGTAAGCGACATGGTCTCATCCTTAATGTGTGATTTTGTGATACTAAGATATCAGCCAGCTTCGAGCAGTCCGAAGCGCTGAAAGCTGTGCACCTCGCCGTGGGGGCGAAAAGGAAAGACCTGTCTCAAGCTTAATCATAGAAATGAATTGATATAATCGAGCTTTGTCTCTCCTTGAGATCACATTCGTTATACACAAAACGACATGCATTTATGACACTCGCTCGCTTTCTGGAATTACAATATTTTTGAGACCAACCGCGGCGGTACACCGAGGAAACCGCCTTGAAGCCGATAGCACAAATGTTGCCTAAGTTCCAGACGTTCAAGCAAAGGCGCCGTGACAACACTCGGCCAAATGATTTACGGAGTCTTGTCACCCGATTTCTCCATGTCTCTGTTCTCTGGCTTCTCTTCGCCATCTTCGTCGGTGCCAGCACCGGCACCTTCGCCGCGTCCTGGTTCGTCCAGTCCGATGGAGGCAATCGCCTTGACAATGACTTCTACAACCTGCTCAGCCAAGCGTTTCTCACGCTTCTCGCAAGTTACTGCACACTACTGCCAGTCTTGCACGACGCTCTGACGAGAGAACGCTCTCGCGTCCAACTCCCAGTACCCACCGCGGTCTTCTATCTCTCAGTCATTGCAACGATCTGTACGGCCGTGGCGGCGCCCGTCACTTATGCCAAAGTGCGTGAAGACTCCAATCGTGCGAATATCGGCAACACCATGAATTTCGTCTCCAGCTTTTTCGCAGTGGTCACTGCAAGCCAGCTTGCTGGAGGGATTATGCGCATCCGGGAGTATTGAGCCATGAACTTAAGCCGACAGCAACATATACCACTTCAACTGGGAGGATCTGGCCAACAGCGCCATTGTGATGATCACAGTTATTTTGCAGTAGTCTCTTGGGGTTTATAGAGAATGGTATCCATCTTAAATCAATTTATTACCTCTCCAGTCCAAGGATTGACTAGGGCAGTCCGACGGCACATCGTCATCCCTCAGAGAAATCCTGACATGCGATGACGCATAGGGCTTGATAGGCTTTGACATCGCGACCTAAAATTTTAGTCAAGGAACGCGGCGTGATTTGTTCGACGGCTAGGTCGCAGACGGCTTAGCGGGACCTCAGCCTTGCGGACCCCTGATATTAGACGGGAACAAATTTGCAAGCTAGCCTAGCCCCAAGACCGTGAAAGTCAAAAAGGCCGGCGCACCGCGCGCACGTTGTTGTTGAAAGATCATCTTTCGATAATCACCCCACAAGAACAGCCTTCATTGCTCATCTCGAGGGCTTTCACATGCCTTTCCTTCAAGTGCGGAATTTGCCACCGGCCTCTACGGAGGTGATAAAGAATCATGATCCGATCACATGCCTCGATCCGATTTCCGGACATTTTGTTGAGATGATGCCTCGAGCCATTCCGTGCTCCGCCCCTCCGCCCCTCCGCCCTGTCCGCCTGACGTACACAGTACGGCAGCTGTCGTTGAATCAAATGGGGTGACTTCAAATGTTGAAATTCGGAGCGTGCGGCGCTCCGGCCATGTTTTCCGGATGAATGTTGATCCCTGTTTCTCATCACGGCCCCCTGTATAGTCTTGTAAGCTATGGCTGTTTAAACGCCCCAGAATTACAACGTGGGCGAAGCCAGTGGATCAAACGATTGGCTGTCAAAGTTCGCGTGGACCCGCAAAGCCGTCCGTTCGGGACTTCCAAGGTTCGAGCCGCCGAAGTTTCTCCCACATAGACTCGGCCATGCTTTGGAGTTGAGAAATGTTAATGGCGTCTCTTGTCCAACAATGACCAAGCACCACTTTTCCTGGCCACTATAGATATATTGAAAAGAGCAGGACCATTCCTTGCCATGACTTCGACTCCTGGAAATCCTTCAACCCAAAATGGCGGGTTACCTTGCAACAATGCCCACAGGCAGACCAACATACACTGAAACTCAATGTGGTCTAGGATGTTGACGGTCCGAAGGTAACTGAGCTCATTGTCAAATTATGCGAAGCCCAGGCGACCAATATGTCTCTCACCAACAGCGTTGCCCAGGTCACAGTTGCCTTGCGGAGAATGAGACATTACTAGGATCATCTACACAACTATCAAGACACTCGTCGCACTATTGTCCAAATGAAAAGAACCCCAAGAGCCTCCTTGGTCCGGCGCCACGGTTAAGAATATTTTCCATATTTCTATCCTTCATAAATTTCAGCGTCTCATAAGGCGCGAAGAAAGTGTAGGCTTTTGTGAACAAGTTCGCTGCGGACTGTCTGTGATCTCTGGGTGTGGTACTATGTATGTGCGGCGTGCTTCAGGCGCAGGATATACCACTAGCACAGATCATAATTCTTTGATGGATGCTTGTATTTTGACTGTATAGTTACATGAAGGCAAATTATTGAAGAAAAAGAAAAATGACAAAGGAAAAAAATGAAGAAAAAGGAAAACATGACATTCTCCCTAGAACCCTGGAATCGCTAGCATGCGGATCCGCATATGATGGACACGCATAGTACTCACCGAGCAATTATCTACACTCAAGCCCATTTGTTGTTTGCTTCGCACACCTCATGTATCGCAGACTCGGAGCCGGCCAGCGAAGCGAAGCGGCGAGCCGCGCCGGATCCGCCCATCCAGGTCTCAGGCACATTACGGCTGGCGCGGGCGGTGTACGGGATGAGTATGGAGGCCGGGTAAGACAGACACGGCAGCCTGTGGACGCCGAACACGAGCATTGTGAGGAATCTTACATGTACGTTGACAAATCCTGTGCACATGCTCCGTTGGCCCGAACCGGCTTGTCGTCCTCGGGTCAGGTCGCAAATGGGCTATGAGTGTATTGTCTTGGCTCGTGGGTGCTGCTCTGTGGCGTTGAGATGACCTGCGTGCGTCTCGAAGGCGTTATGCAGGCACCACTTGTCTTCGCAGAGGTCTAGGTGCATGGCCGTCGAGGACAGTGGGGGCAGCTCGGCCGACTACCAAAGTACTTACATGGGGAAGTGCCTGGACCCGACAGCCCTTGAGCGGCGTAGATCGGGGTCCAGGCACTCGGGTAGCTAGTCGCTATGTATAACGGGTGGTTAGTTTCCCAGCACATCTTGCATGCTTGTGCGTGTTCTTGTTTTTTCGTCTAGCTACCGCTAGTCTGCTATGGCTCTAGCAGCGATGTGGTCGGCGTGAATGCCGCCAGCGCTAGAGTGAGGCATGGAGGGGTCTGGGGGTGTGCGGGATCTGCATCATGCATACGCACAGGCATGATCCTGTCAGGACGACTAGCTCCCGAGATCCTTGCCTAGATCAGCCGGCCTCTGGGGGTGAAAAGCCACCACCAGGGTCTACACTACTTGTGGTGGTAATAACCCCAGCCGTGGCACGCCGCTGCTTATTACCGAGACCGGGACAATTCAAGGTTGGACGCCATTTTGGCGCAACAGCCGATGGATGCGGATCCGACAGTCTGTGCTAGTCTTCAGGAGGCATCGTCATTGGGTCTCGTGAGCGCGTGTGTCTCTCGGGCATAAGGAAGACCCCTAGGCGTCCTTAGCTGCCTTGAATGTGGCTTTTGACCCGTCCCGATGTTCGAGATGCTGCTCGAGCGAGAGTGGATGTCTTGCTCATAGGGCCGAAGTGACCATCTTGCTTTTTCAGTCCGCTGGGCAGCTCCTGGGAAACGAGTTGGTTGCCGTGTGTTTGATCCCAATGGCCATAGAGTTTGCAGAGCGAATGAAACGTGTTGATTCCCCCACGTAAATCGATGACATAATTCCTCGCTTGAGGGAACAAGCCTGCGGCTCGTAGCGTAGTATCTGAGCCTCGCCATGGTGGAGAGGGCTCATCAATGGTTCCCTACGGCCCAGTGATGAACCTGGCCCAGGCCCAAGGTGTTGGAGGGCCAAGGGGACGGGCTTCGTGCCGAGCAGGGAAGTAGAAACGAACTTTACCCGTGTATGCAAGCAATCTCCTGCCCAGCAGGTTGTGACATGGTTGTTCCCTTGCTGCGCCTGCGAGCAACTGCATGACCTGGAGGCACGATGTTGACACGGGAACGCGAACTTGACCGCGGGTTGAACAGAAGTTCTAGAAGCTGTGTTTCCGTAATGGGACGCTTGCCCCGCAGTAGTGGGGGAGACTGTAACCTTGAGAGGGCCTTGCCACGGTGGGCTCTCGGCTCGCAGACTTCGAGGCGTCTGGTGGATGTGAGACCATCAGAAGCGAGGGAGAGGGAGACACACAAAGTGTCTAGGACAACGAAGTAGCGCACATAGGACAACAGACTCCGAATCGCGCATATCCCTCGTGGATGGTGCCAGAGTTCAACGAGGATGCAGGGCATGTGCATCATAGGGCATGAGCACTCCCTGGGTGCGTCGGCACTTGGGTCCTCGATCTGGGCAGACTGGCAGATTGGCCAGATCTCGAGACAGATCCGGGCCGAGCCGCACGAATCGTATCCCTCGCCGGCGAGAGGAGAAGGCCGTCATAGTTCCGTAGTGTGCGGCTTTAATCTGGCGATGCGTCCCCATGAGACGGAGCGGTGCAATGAGCACCATCCAGCAGAAGCAGCCACGACTCATGAGCGTTGCCTGACTGACGATCCACGACAGCTGCCACGGACGACCGTTTCTTTTCTCTTGCTTTTCTTTCTTTCTCGTTCTGTATGCAGTTCCACCACGTTGCACTGCGTGAGTGTTGATATACGCCACGCTGGTGGGTGAACCATGCTTCTGGTAAGATGCTGATGTCAGTCAAATGCAGGTCTAGTATGAGATGGCAGAGATGGACTTTTTAATGGTATTTCTGTCAACTTGGCGGTATGGTGGCGATCCTTGCCTCGTTGGGTACAGGTGGAGGTAGATAGAAGGAGTTCGCAGGTGGATGTCTTGCAGTGTTGTTGGTCTGGTGTTGAATGCAGAGAAGAGACGAAGCTTGTCTGGTTTGATCGCCTGAGCCAGATCATACTGCAGGCCAGTCGTCTACAGCACAGATAACATTGTGCCTGGGCACGCTGGTTTGGGAGAGGGATGGGTTGGTTGGTGACAGTGACAGAGTGATCGAAGTGTCGGGATCGTCGGCAATCGGCCAATGACCACCCACCCAAAAAAAACCAAAACAGAGGCTAAGGAGCTGTCAGGAGCACCCTGTCTGGCTGGGCTTGCTGGGCGTGCTGGGCCATGCTGGGCCCTGCTGGTCACAGCTGGTCACAGCTCCTAGGCCCTTGGCTTCCCGGCAGCTATCGACCTGTCTGACCTGTCAGGGCTGGTAGCTCTAGGAACATGTCAGCAGCTCAGCGAGGCTCGCCAATAGGGCCCCGGCCCGCTCCGACAAGAGGTGGCCCTCGCTAAGGTGGGTAGCCCCTCTTTGGGGCAAGGCTGTCGGAAAAGTGGTCTGATTCTGATGGTAAAATCGCCTGGTTTTTTGCACGCAAATCGTGACATGTCTGTCTGGTCTGTCAGTCTTTTTTTTCTTCCCTCTGCGTGTGGCAGTGCTTGCTGACTGTCTCTCTGTCTTGTTGAGCAGCTCAATCTCTCACTTCTCCTGCCTACAGTAGGTAGTCCAATTCTAGCGCCTAGCTGGTACCTACCTACTACCTACAAACATTAGACACACCGTCTCCCTGTGTCCGTACCACACAGTTACTGCCTGTTACTTGCTCAATCATCAGCCCATTCTTGACAGTTTCTTACAGTGCATCGGTGTGCTGCCCGTCCATCCACCGACCGTACATCGACCGTCCCATTCATCCGTTCAGTCCTTGGTCCCTGTTGACGTCCCTCCCCAACCACAATCCGTCAATCCAATTGGCCTGTGGTCCCACGCAGACTCCCTCTCACTCACCGTCGACGACCCTCTAACACAATCTGGACACACCCTGACGCCCTCACGTCGCCCTCACACAGGACTCACTCAACTCTCACTCACCCAATTCATCACTCACTGGCCCATCACTGGTCCTGAAGCCCTGGCTGCATTACCTCCCCCCACTCTGTCTCTCTCCCTCTGCTGTACCTACTCGACCTCATCGTACCTCTGACCTGCCACCAGCCAGGTTCGGGTCTACCTGCCTACACCGTCCGTCACTGCATACGTACACAGCAGCTCGGCCACTGCCACTGTCACCGACAACTGACTCCTGACACGGGATACTGCTGGCTGGCTGTTTCTGTTTTATACTTGCCTGTGTGCCAATACAGTACACCTGTCTCCATCTGCCCGCATGTCAATGCCATCCGCTGGTTGATTGACTTTCGCATCCCACGCAGATCACTGCCTGTCACGCTCATCCTCCTTCATCACCCACTCGCGCCAGAATCGTTGGCGCAGCACCGACCATAGACGCTCTATCAGTCTCCTGACTGCTCACTTCTGGTCTCACCTCACCTGTTCATCTCTACTGTACGGTACGCTCAAAGAAACACACTGACGCCCGACACTGTCTGACGAAACCCGCCGAGGAGGCGACACTTCCCATCTGATAACCATCACGGCCCTGCCCAGGGTCAGCCCTCCAGCAGTCATACTGAATCGGTCTCAAACTCAGTCATGAGATAGACGAGACTTCCTTTTTTTCTCCCCCCAGGCCTTGTTCGCGCATACGTACTGTTCCTGCGGCCAACAATCTCACCAACTGGATCAGGCACACTTACCCGCTCTCCCCCGCCCACTTCTGCAGTGGCATCCGAGTCTTCTAGGACTTGCTGCCTTTGCGCCCGCGCCCACCTTTCCCCTCGGCGTCTCATCAAATCAAAAATCATACGATCAGCCCCCAGGTCCCTGACCTGCTGGCCATGCTCGGCGAATAACCATGGACCCCAACCTCCTCAGACACATCGAGTACTTTCTCGAGCCAAACGGCCAAGTAAGGTCAACCAACCGTCCCTCCTTGAGCTCTTCCCCTCCCCCCAAAAAGATATCATGATCGCTACTCTAGGAGGACACATGCCTATCCGGCCACTCGTCACTGGTGCTGACCAAGTGCAGACAGACGACCTCGAAAGCCAACAACAGCGCCGCTTCAACCAGCCCGCCGCCAACAACTCGGCGCAAAACTTCTGGGACATTGCTGGCCTGCCCTCCGACTCGGGCCTCGGCTCGCCGTCGAGTGCTCCCGGCACCCTGAACTTCGATGCCTTCGGGCAGTCGTCCAACACCACCAACGCGCCCAACAGAACACAGCAACAACGGCAGCAGAGCTTTGGTCAGGGCTCCAGGGTCATATTACCACCTCGAGCACCAAAACCAAAAGCCGGACACGAACGGAAAAGGACTAAATTAAGCACCGAGTCGACCCCTTTTGACAATGTTGACTACTGGATACAGTTCGATAATGAGGAAGGGACCGGGGACGCTGGAGGCTCGGACCTGAGCCACCAGAAGGGCAAGGAGGCGCAACAGCAGCGGTAAGCTCTTCCTCGGGCCACCGGTGGGAACGGACGAGCATCAAGGTGACCTTCCCGCCGATGTGAAAGACAATGGTCGCTCTCTCTCGGGGTCCCACCGGGCAGAGCCGTAGTGGTGTGGCGTGACTGACACGTGTTGATAAAAGACCCAAGATACAACACGCTCAGACCGAGCCATCATCCATACCAACCCTCCGAACCGGCGAACAACAGTCGCGGCATCGTCAACAAGCGAGCTTAGGTTCTGGACAGGCAGGGCCGAGCAATCCTCGGCGGCGACAGCTGAGGCCAGAAGACATGTTCGACGATAGCGCTCTTGATTATGCATTATCCGAGGAGGGCGATATGACTACTGAAGACTTTTCGACGATGAATTTGGCCGACCAAATGTCAAATATTGACACGATGCCGCCGTCCGAAGTACCGCCCCGCGAAGGTCTTTATTCGACGCCGCTGAGCTGGGAGAAGCCTCAGCCAGGATTGCGATTGGACTCCCTAATAAGCACGCAAAATCCACAGCAGCTTAATGAGGACGAGCAACGGCGACTAATAGCCATAGCCATGAACACAGGGCCGGTGATGGGCGGGCTAGGATCAGGGCAATTTGGAATGGGAGGAGGAAATAGGGGCTACGTATCGGGCAGCGGGCTACACGCGACGCTGGGCTCGGGACTAAGCCTCGGCGGGATGGGCGGGCTGGGAGGGCTAGGCAATGGCATGGGCAGCCTAGGGTTCGGGCAGATCACCGACGACGCGCCGCTGCTGAGGCCCGAGACGCCCGCCGTCGCGAAACCGCCGAAGCAGCAGCAATTCTCGCGCGAGACCACGGAGAAGAGCGGCGGCGGCGACGAAAAAGGTAAAGGGAAGGAGAAGGAATTCGCCGCGGATCCTAAGGGCAAGGGCAAGGCCGGCGACCGGACCGCGCACAACGACATCGAGCGCAAGTACCGGACGAACCTCAAAGACAGGATCTCGGAGCTGCGCGACGCGGTGCCTGCGCTGCGGACAATACAGGAGGGCGTTGTCGACGAGGGCGACGAATCCAACGGGCCTGCGCGGCCGAAAGTGAGCAAGGTGAGTTGTGCCAAGAGAAAGTTGGAAACTTAAAAAAAAATTCTTCCTGTCCAAAGAGGGAAGCCAAAGGCAGAAAGCAAAGAAAAACTGACAAGCAATGATTGCGCAACAGGGCACGGTCCTCACCAAGGCGACCGAGTACATCAGCTACCTGGAGAAGAAGAACAGGGCCATCATGGCGCAGCACCAGCAGCTGTCGCGCCGGCTCGCCGCCTTCGAGCAGCTCCTCAGCCAGACGGCCCGCCCGTCGTTCCAGATGCCCAACTACAGCAGGACGCTCTTCGACCCGCGGGCGTTCTGCTAGAACGTGGTCGGGGGTCTCCAGGTTCTCTCCGATACCGGGGTGTTGAGCATACGTTATCACGTGTTCAGCTTGTACGGAAGAAGAGGCGAAGTAGGGACAACAAGACGAGGGAAAGAAGGAAAGAAAAATGCATTCGGCTATCTACCTATCTATCTCTGCTGATAAACATAGCCATCGGCGTTCTCAACATATTGTGTTTGGTTGCGCGGTGGGGGGAACAAACTGGTGGAACCGGGGGCCTGATTCTACTAAATCGGCCGGCTTGGATTGAAATGAAATAATTTTTGCTGTTTCTGTCTTTATGGTTTTCCTCTACTTATTCGGGCAGCCATGAAAAAGAAGGCGCAGAAACTTCTCTCGCTCATAGACTCTCCTCTTTTTAAAGCAAGCAAGCACGCAAAGCAGGCAAAAATCAGGGCAAAGCATTGAAAGCATGCAAAGGCACTGACTGAACTGGGACGACGGGCATTCTGACGATACGAAAGTCATGGTGGCCTGTCTGTATATATATATATACACTTTTTATATTTTTGTTTAACTCACAACTCACAACTCTGCCCTGGGTTGGGTAGGCGGTGGCATCATCATAGATTTCGACACGATGGTTCGTGAAGCAATTGGGGGTTCTTTTACATAGGTGATCAATGTGGAAAACAGCACTACTGGACTCGCGCGACAGCAGTTTGATGCATCATGGAACCGACTTTTCTCGGTACCAAGTTCTATTCATGGTTTCTTTTCGTGAGGAAGGATCAGAGGCTGCATGCAATTCCGCCACGGCGTCTCCTTGAAAGGTAGTTTTCGCCTGGTATGAGGGGTGATATGCCACGCTTCCCAATGTATATACAAGACCAGGGGCCAAGCTCAATCGATCAATCCCTCAATGCCTCGATATCAACCACCTCCTTGACCGCCTCAGGGGTAAGCACGATGGGGCCCTTGTCGTCCACGCACACGCTGTCCTCGATCCGGATCCCCATGCCCCGGAAGTGCGCGGGCCACCGGTCGTCGTCGGCGGGGACGTAGACGCCCGGCTCGACGGTGACGCAGTGGCCCGGGCGCAGCGGCACGTTGCGCCCGTAGCCGGGGCAGTCGTGGACGTCGAGCCCGACGTAGTGGCCGACGTGGTGCGGGAACAGCGCCTCGAGCCGCCCGCTGCCGTTGGCGCCGACGTCGAACCCCAGGTCCGCCAGCTCCCGCCGCAGCGCCTGCTCCGTCGCGCGGTGCACGCCGTCGAGCGTGAGGCCGCTGTCGGCCCGGCACAGCGCCACGCCCGCCCGCTGCACCCGCAGCACCGCCTCGTACAGGTCGCGCTGCGCGGGCGTGAATTTCCCTGCCACCGGCCACGTGCGCGTGATGTCCGCGATGTATGTGCCGTACTCGGCGCCCGCGTCAACCAGCACCATCTGCCCTGGGTTGTCGTCCAGCCGCGCGTCGTTGAGCACGTAGTGGATCATGTTGGCGCGGCTGCCGCCCGCGACAACGGGGACGTACGCAGGGCCGCCGCACCCGTCGCCTGCGAAGCCGTGCTCCAGGAAGGCCTGCAGGTCGCGCTCGCGCGCCCAGGGCCGGCGCATCGCATCCGTGATCGCCCGTCCGGACACCCGCCCCGCGTGCCGCATGTTGGCCACCTCGGCAGGCGACTTGACCACGCGCAGCTGGTTGAGCAGCGGCTGCAGCCGGTCGATGCCCACCTTGTGGTCCGTCGCCTGGAAGACGGCGTCGCCGAAGGAGGTCAGCCGCCCGTCCTTTGTGCGCACCTCGATGTCTGTGTAAATCCTGGCTGCGCCTGCCAGGATCGGCGACAGGTGCTTGTCCAGCTTGTTGATGTCGCCGGTGCGGTCGGCGTTGAAGACGTCCTCGGCGGCCTGCAGGCCGCTCCAGGGCCCGGACCACTGCTCTGCGGCGGGGTCTTTTGGCCGTGCGAAGAGGTGGAAGATGAAGTCGCCGAAGTCGTCGCCCGTCTTCTGGATCACGGCCATGGCCTCGGGCTCGTTGAACCCCGTGAGGTAGAGGAAGTTGGATTCTTGTCGGAAGGGGTAGAAGACGGCGCCGGAGCGCCACTTGATGTCGGCGGCGCGGAGGACTGCGATGCCATCCTTGGGGAGCTTCTGTGCGAGGTGGGCGCGGCGGTCGAAGTATTCTTGGGCGGTGATGCCGGGCGTTACTGGAGGAGGGGGTTACTACTATGCTGCTACTGCTACTGCTGCGGAGCTTGCTTGAGCTGGAGGCTTGCACTCAAGAGACTGTAGGCTTGGATTGGGATCAATGACTCACATTCACCGGGCTTGAGGACGTGAGGGTGTGTCTCATGCACTGGCTGCCCGAATTGGAGCTGTGCTGCCGAGATGGAGGCGTAACTCCTTGACGGTCTCGCTGCGCAGGCTTTGAGATGATTTCGTGAGAGGCTGGCTGCGATGGAAGACAGCGTTCTGGGCCTGCAGCTGCGGAGAAGGCACGGCCTGGCCAGCGAGCTGGCTGCCGGTATTCGCATCCTCATAAGAATTGGTGTGTAGCCAGGGTGTCTCGGCCGTAGGCTGGCATCTCGACTGGGGCAGAAAATTGGTGGTTCGGTTGTCGTTGTGGAAGGGAAGTCCTAGGAAATGTGAGGAGCGTCATTGGCGCGCAGCGGGACGATCGGCTGTGTCCACAAAGGGAAGGACCCTGGTCCCTCTTAATCTGGGGTCGGCTGTCCACGGCTACACTACCAGGACACGCAGGACTACTCGCAGACGAAGAGTAGACCACCACCGAGATGCTGAACCATGTAGTCTATCATATTTGGTGCTTCAGTCACGCGAGAAGTGCATATTTATCTTCTTAGAAAGGCCAATTCCACGCCACCGTCTCCACGGTATTAAGCAAATTTATGATGAACAAGAGAAGATAAATTACATTTCTACGTGAACAAAACATGGCGGCCCACGGCTAAGAGCATCGGCGTGGCTGTTACACCGAGCGTGTGTAGGGCATTCAAACAAACGTGCCAGACACATCGGCCAGTTCGAGATAGCTTGGTCTAGACCAAGACCCAGACATCATTCGTACGGAGGGCGCAAGTTCAAGGTGTTGAAAATCGTGTAATCAAGAAACCTCACACTCGACCAAGCCTTCCGTACAGAGGCATCTACAACACATGAGGTCGAGTCCTTGCACTAGTTGTTCTCCTTCCAGCATTCTGCAACAGTCTCATTTGACATGAGAGTGGTCTTTCTGTGACGAATTTTGCAGCCGCGTCCAACCAGTATGGTGTAAGTTGCACATGCCAGTTGCATCTGGCAGCCTCCTACATATACTGCAGAAAGTGATGGACAAATAGTCATGAAGCATCCGTCCGACGAGGCATTCGGAAAATCTATGGCCATAGAGCTCGACAGTCACACTATTGTAAGCAGGAAACGCTTTTGAACATGGCGGCCGTGGCTGCAATGTCTCATCTGTTCCTCGAACACCCTTGACCCTTGACTATTTTCGGTGAGACCATGTCTTACAACGGGACAAGCTTCACTGAACCGATTCTATTAATCAACAGGATGTCCGACGTTCAAAATTGATATTTGAAGTATGACTGTTAGCTTGACTATGTCGTGAGCTCACCATTCTAGCTAGCCATTCTGATGAGAGGCGGTAGTTGTAGAGTTCGACATATCTCCGAGTTTGCCTCCGCGCGTCGCAGCCACTGGAATAATCAATGAGGGGGTCATTCTTGGATGGTGGCCGAGACAGTCAATTCAGGACTGGCCGGTTGGCCTTTATGGTGACTCATCCAAGCTGCGAGGCTTTATACATGAAGGTCTGCCGATGGACTTGAGTGTGGCACGCCTCCGCTTGTCAAGACGACAATGGCCAATATGGCAGTGGCACAAGGCCTGCATATTCAGCACTTCGTGCATTGCATGGTCACAGTGGCCTGCACCCAGGGAGATGGAGAACCGAGGGGCATCTGAGTTCTCGGATCCGAGAACCTGCATCAGATCAGTCGGGTTGCGGCATAAGGCGCCGCAGAACAGAGTATATGATCGGCAGGCGACCTTCAAATTTGCCGATGCCATTCTGAGCTGTTCGTGCAGCAGTAATTGTTGGCATGGAAGTGGGTTCGAAGAAGGGAGCCGACATCAATAAGGTTCCTTCGTTGTTGGTTCCACTGATTAGTCGGCATTCACGCTATTACGTTGCCCCTGGGAGCTGGTGGAGAGAATGAAAAACATGTTTTCGCCGTGTTGCCCAGGCGGGACCCGGGCAAGATTATATGTCCAGACACCAGACACCAGTGCAGACACCAGAGCAGAGGAATTCATCGTCGTCTCGAATGTGCTGCGGCGAATGTGGGCGAGATTGGCGCTGGACGACGTTGAAATGACGGGAAGCTGGAGCTTGCAAGTCGGTGCCAAGCCCAGGCCGGCTAGGCTGCCCAGGGTAGGGTTGCCCGTTGCTGCTCCTACTGCATTTAGTGGGGCTCAGGGCCTGTGCGTGTATTTGTTGTCAGCTCGAGCGCCTTGCTTGGCAAGACAACCAGATGGATCCCTGTCCCATCCCAGCACCGCGATTTTCCCAGGCGTGTAGTGTGTGTGTGTGTCGAACGTGAGGAGAAAGAGAGTCAGTCCAGGTCAAGTCAGGTCTGAGAGCAACCTTGAGCTCAACCTTGGGAAGCTGTGAACCACCAGCGAGCGACTTGCACCACAACATACACGCTTGCACCGTATCCCCCTCTCCTTTCCACCCGTGCAAGACATCTTGGTGGCTTGTCAGAGTCGTCTGATCCTCTCGTCGGGCCCCAATTGACTGCTCTCCTTGGTCGTTTCTGCCCGCGTCGTTCAAGCTCCATCCCACCAAACAAAGCCCATTGAGACGCGTGCCTTCGACGCCAGCCATCACGCTGCACCTCAACTGCACCTGTGCATCTGCACCGGCTGCCCATCCGAGACCATATCCCCACCATTCGTCCCACCAGCCAGCGAGCCTCCTTCACGCAGGAGCACTCCACGACGCGACTCCACGACGCCCGCAAATAGCATGTTGACATAGAACACCATCCTTACATGGCAGCTGTATCCATATCACCCTCGCCCGTCTCCTCATATCCTTCCATCATGTCCACCTCCACCAGACGGGTCCCTCTATCCTCCAATCCGAATGTCGCCAACTCGCCCATCCGGAACACCTCGGCCCTCGCCGCCGCCCTGAGCAAGCAGAGACAGCAGAAGAGAGCCTATGCCAGTGTGCAGAGGGAGGAGCCCTATGGACAGCCGCCTCCGGCCAAGAAGCAGATGCTCAACGACGGCTCCGAGAAGCCTGCAAGATCTCCCGTCAGACAGGTTAAGGTCGTCCGCCGGGATCCTACCAGGCTACCCAAGGACGACAAGGCATTCCAAGAGAAGAACTCCAAGTCCCAACGAGAGGAAGAGAGAGCTCGTGTCCACCAGTGGAAGGAGGCCCAGCGTCGCAACTTCCCTCGCTTCGTTTTCTACTTTGAGAGCGTGCCCAATGACCAGAGGTCCAAAATTGTGAAGCAGTTGGCCCACTGGGGTGCTGTGAGTCCAACACGAAACCAGGACAAAATGACGCTATATGCTGATATTCCGCGAACAGCGAGAGGAGAAGTTCTTCTCTAAAGACATCACTCATGTCATAACCACGCGTCCTATTCCTGCCGCCAAAAAGGCTTCTGACCCCCACCCTACCACCGACACAACAACCTCGAATCATGATCGACGCGAGCAGTATGACATGCCCAGGACTATTGACCCGTCTTTGCTCAGCCGCGACACGAGCGCCAAGGATGTTAGAAGGAGACTGCTCGAGAGCACCGGCCGGAAGCTGGCCGCACCCGCTCCTGTCGAGGATAGCCTGCTTCGTCAGCCCACAGCCGGCCGAAAGACAGACATATTGGTGCGAGCCCGTGAGATGGATAAGAAGATTTGGGCATTCAGCAAACTGGTCAAGATCCTGGAGATGTTGAATGATCCGGACCCTTTTGGAACCGCCGCTGCTCCCAAGGCAACCGAGGAAGCCAACTTGGCTCAGCTTCTTAACAAGGAACGAACCAGTGGCCCCTCTGATAGAGATCCAACTGTGGCTACGAAAGAGCTCATCTTTTTCAAGGGACCTTACATCTATGTCTATGACATTGAGGAGAAGCAGAAGCCCATCATGGTCAGGGAGTATGCCAAGGTTGCCGATAAGAAGGATGGGGATTGGCCACAGTTCCGATCAACCCAGCATGGCCGATGCCCGTTTGTGGAGGACGACGAGTCGAGCGAGCGGAAGCGTCAGGCAGAAAAGGTTGCGAGGGAAAAGGAACGACAAGAGAAGGCCGCCACGGACGCTGCCTCTACGCTGAAGCCACCTCCCGTTCCGACTGCGAAGCCTGCCGTGTCGAAACGAACCCTCACAGAGATGGAGGATGGTCACAATATTCGATCCACTTCCTCGCGAGTCCCCGAGGTGTTTGATCTCGCCAAAGCTGCTAACCCTCCCACCCTTGATTTCTCGCGGCCTCAGAATGCCTTCACCAGTCGAGCACGGTCAGCTCGTCTCCTCGCCGGTGAGCCGGTCGCATCTGGTGTGCAGAAGTCTAACATCACATCTGCAATCCGTTCTCAGATGATCTCGTCCGCGACTGGTATCCGCAGTGCCAAGGCAGGAACCAGCAAGGAGCTTTACGGTCTTCAGCGCCAGGTTCTTGAGAAGAGCAATGCACCGTCTGCCAACCCTACCTCACAGGATATGAGCTCACGTCGTCTCGCTGAGATGAGTCTTGACACAAGTACATACCAGCGCTCGGCTAGTCTCGGGCTTGGATCTCGCAAGCTGGCTCAGATTGACGAGGAGCGCTCGAAGGAACACAAGAGGACCCATAGCGTTCCGGTCTCTGCTCCTGCCCCTAAGGCAAAGAAGCGTGATCTGAAGCCTGGTTATTGTGAGAACTGCCAGGACAAATTTGCCGATTTTGATGAGGTACGTTTCATTCAGGTACGGCATCTAGCATGCATACTCACAAGAAAAACAGCACATCCTCTCTAGAAAGCATCGCAAGTTCGCCGAAAACGATGCAAACTGGGCCAAGTTGGACAACCTCCTAGGCCAACTCGAGCGCATACCCAAATATTCGGACGAACTGGGCGAAGAGCACTCGGACTGGTGACAGCTTGAACTCTGTCGAGCTCTCCCCTATTCCATGTATACATCGTCACTCGGTCCCCACATGACCATTGCTTCACTTGCTTTAACACATCGCTCTGATACCATAAGCATTCCGCGCCACGTGCATCCTGCGGCTGTCGTGCCGCCGTACCTGCATCTTCATGTTCGCCATCATACGGAACGTGTGAACCGTTTTCATTTGTTTTATTTGATGCCTTTGTTGGCACATGCAGTCCAACGCTCCTTCGAAGCATTTACGGAGATGGGAATGCGATGATACCTCACCATGAGAAACGTTTAAGACACATTACAGCACACATGTTGTCGCCTCTTTGGCTTGCTCTTCCGTACTCTTCTTTTCTTTGCGGAGCATTTTTTGTGCGGAGCATGAGTTCGATTCGGCAGGTCGGAGCAGCGCGACGGGGGAAGGGGCATGAGGAGGTGTTAATGGAGTTTCTTCTTGGCAGATACTTGCTTAGACTCGAACAATGACATGAGAGGTGTAAGGGCGAAGGGCCGCGGTCGAAACGACAGACCTCTTGGTTCTCGATCAAGAGGTGGTTCTGCCGAGCAGCGCGGGTCTGACAGAGGATTGTCTGCTCTATGTGCACAGCAGATAAGACGTTCATAACAGAAGGCTCTCCGTCTCGTGTATATTAAGTACGAAACAAAGAATATTAACATTTGAATTCGTCTAAGGCAACCTGAATTTTGTACAGCATGGCACAGGCTGGACTGCCCAAGCTGTTCCCGGTTCATTTGCCTCCGCTATCTACTTTGAATTTGAAGTCGACGCGGGGCCAGCTGGACTGGGGGCAGTATAATTATTCCATTTTATACCCTCCCTCTCATACGGCTCTACCCGACACGCCGGTGCGGCAGGGGAAAGAACGAATAGCTTTGTTTTGGGCCCATCAGAGCAACTCTTGGGCTCTAGCCCAGATGCAGATGAGTTCACTTAGGAGACAACTTGACCCTCCAAAGCCCTTTGTATTATTCACAGGTTACAATTTACCACCACACCGAGTCGTGCGTTTCTCCTAGGGTTTCTATGCAAACATCTATCCAGGACGGCGACTCCCAGACGGTCGTGGGCTTATCGATAAGTCCTGATCGTTGAGCTTGTCGGAGCTACCCCGCGGTCCTCCCAGCTCATCAGCCTCGCCTACTTCATCTTCCCACGTTGGCCTCGTGCCTGTGCGCCTACACAGCTTGCTGCACCCGACGCTGCCTCAAGTCGTCGTGCCGACAGATTCTGCCTCCGCCTCGAACAACCCCAAAGCCTCAGATCACAAAATGGCATCCCCCCAACGACCCCCATCCACCTCCTCCTCCTCCCCAGCCCCGCCACCAGGCGCAGCGGCGACAGGGACGACAGCAAGCCCAGACATCCCCTCAGACCAGGACTCCTCCCCCTCCCCCTCCACGCCGGACCTGCCCCTGACGATGACGGCCTCGCTGGTGCTCACGCAGCTGCCCAGGGACGCGGCGACGGCGCTGGCCGAGGTGGGGACGACGTTCGGCGCCGGGCGCGACAAGGTCATCGTGCGGTTCAAGCCCGTGGGCGGGAGCGCGCCGCCGATGCCGCCCCGCCGCGAGCGCAGCACCATCAGTGCCACCAGCCGGTTCGAGGCCGTCGTCGCGTACCTGCGGCGCACGCTCAAGGTCGCCGAGTCGGATAGTTTGTTCCTCTATGTCAACTCTACGTTTGCGCCGGCGCTGGATGAGGTTGTTGGGAACCTGTGGCGGGTGGGTTTGCTCGTTGCCTGCTGCTGCGACGAAATGGGTGACAAGGAAGCTAACTTTGCTTTTCACGGACAGTGTTTCAAGGACTCGAATGACCAGCTTAATGTTGGGTACTCGATGACGCCGGCCTTTGGATGAACACACGAGGCGGGATACGACCAGACGAGACGAATACCCATATACCCCTACGAATAAGACAAGAGCATGTGTTTCTGAGAAGAAAAATATTCTATTGGACTGGCTACATATCTAAGAAGTCGTCACGCCAAAACTAGACTCGCTGCCGAGGGGTCGCCCACAAGTTTTTATCGAACCGCAACGCCATGCATCGAACCGACGTATCCTCCCCCATAAGATTCTACAACAAGGATTTCTCAAAGGCGTCCAGCTCCTCCTTCGATATGGGGTAGGTGTGCTCAGGCGCAGGGTACGCGCGGCTCTTGACCTCGTCGCGGTAGGCCTCGATGGCGCGCAGGCTCTCGGACCACACGTCGCCGTACTGCTTGACGAACTTGGGCAGGAACCTGCCCGGCGGGGAGTTGCCCAGCATGTCGATCTGCACCAGCACCTGGCCCGAGCAGCCGTTGCCCGCGCCGATGCCGATGGTGGGGATGGCCAGCCGCTGCGTGACGAGGGCGGCGACCTCGGCCGGCACGGCCTCGACGACGGCCCCGAACGCCCCCGCCTCCTGCACCGCCAGCGCATCCTCCAGCACCTTCGCCGCCCCCGCCGCCGTCTTGCCCTGCACCCTGAACCCGCCCAGCGCGTTCTGCCGCTGCGGCGTCAGGCCGATGTGAGCCAGTACTGGGATACCGGCCGAGGTTATGCGCCGGATCGACGGTGCCATCTCGCTGCCGCCCTCGAGCTTGATGCCCTGCACGCGGCCCGTCTTGATGAAGCGGATGGCTGTCTCCAGTGCCTGTTCTGGTGATACCTCATACGAGCCCATGGGCAGGTCGCCAACCTGTGTTTGTGTCAGGGACAAGGGTTGATCGAGGACATGACCATGATGGATGAGGGCAGAGAGGAAGGGGTGGGGGATTGAACATGGATGATAGGAGAACAGAGGTGAGAGGGAAAAGATTGGATGAGATGGAGATGAGATGAGTGAGATGAGGAGAGAGAGGGGATCAGAGGAAGTAGAAATAAACTAACAGTGAAGGCAGCCTTGGTGGCCCTCGCAACAGACCGACAATGCAACAGCATCTCCTCGACCAGAACCTCGCTCGTGTCCTCCATGCCCAGGGCGACCATGGCCAGGCTGTCGCCGACCAGCACGATGTCCATGCCGGCGGCGTCGGCGACGTGCGCGGACGGGAAGTCGTGCGCCGTGATGACGGTGATGGGCTCGTTGCGCCGGTGCATCGCCCGCAGCGTACCGAGGGTGACCTTCTTGCGCTGGCTAGGCGCCTGCGTCCCCAGGGGCGAGTGCGAGCTGTGCCTGGCCTGGTAGAGGGACAACATGGGTCTTGCTGCTGCGGCGGCGGCCAGGGAAGAAGGTGATGGCCGCCTTGCTGCAAGGGAGGACGCGCATGTGCGCAGGGCTGTGGGGAGGTGGTGCATTGTTGAGGGCGGCGGCGACCTAGGGGAAAGGCAAGCGTTGTGCGAGATGTGAATGTGGGCTGCACTAATATGTCCCAAAATGGATATCGTGATGCAGGCTGCAAGAGTCAAGGAAAGGAAAACAATTGGGTGACCCCCTGGCGTCAATTGTGGCCCCCGGTTTTTTTGGGGTCGCTCAATTGAAAGTTTCGTCAGCTTAGGAAGAGAAGAGGACCAAGTTCCAACACCGGTCAATCTTTGGCGCGGTGCGAATTGCGAGTTGTTTTATTTGAGGCGGTCATGATGATTACTGCCGTGTATTTTCAAGCCCGGCCCCGTGGTGTTTTCAGACCCGTACAGTACAGTAGGCAAGGAGTCTAGTAGTGGGTGTCTTATGTAAAATTGGGGCCGCGGTCCCGTTTCGGCCAGTGCTGTCAGCCAAGCCTGGACTGGTCCGGCTGGAACTGACCGAACAGAAACTCCGACTCGGCTGCTCGGCTTGTCCGGGCTTAATGGCTGAGGTGAGAGTGAGAGCCAGGAGCCGCGGCAATTCTGAATGGGGGAGGGGAGTGGCAGGGGGCACGTGCCTCGGGCATACTGTTGGAACTCCAGCAGACCCAAGAAACAACTTGGTTCATTCATTTCTCAACAAACAGAGCACCTGTAAAAAACAGGATAGGGCTGTGATTCTTGACCGACCTTTTGGCGAGATTGACTATTACTGTGGTAGAGAAGGGATGTTGGGTCTTGGCTCTTCTATGCCGTGGTACCTGAACAGCATGATTCCACCTGACTCACATGGACTACCTAGTTCCAATACCCGGGAGGACTAGTGGGCAGGATACAGAGTACTTGGTTATGGCAATGTCAAACAGTTCCTCGTGACTGTGCCTAAGTGGCTGGCGTTATCTCCAAGTGTCGACACGAAGGAGACTACCGCCTTTCCTTTTCCGCGCGTGGGAAGGCGCCATGGGGGCCTTAAACATGACAATGACAATGGGACGGTCAGGTCCAGGTCCAGGTCCACGCCCACGTCCAGGTCAGGGCAAGGGTCCACCGTTATCTCTTATCCGACGGCGACAGCAGCCCACTCGCTCCCCTGTTCCCCTGTCGCCCCCTCCGTCATGGCTTGTTCTCCGTTGTCTGCCCTCCGTCCCCCGGCCTTGTACGTACTGTAACGTCAGTTGCACGACCTCTGACCTAACTGCACATCAACTGACTGTGTCGCCGCCGACTCAACTCCACCCCTTACATCTTTCTCGTCCGCCACGGCACATAAAGACTATCTCATCGCCTAGTCGAGTCATACCCAACCCATTCACCCTTCTCTTTGGAACACACTGACTACCTTAGTCCATCGACTCAGCCAGACAGAGCCCGCCGACGTCCCCCAGCGAGCCAAGGGCATTCATCCACGCGGCCCTCTCTCAACTTGCTGTCACCCTTCCCGACTCCCAGGACCACACCGGTCAACCGCCAACACAACTGCCAAAATGGCGAGCCCACGCCGCAGGATCGAGACTGATGTGAGTCGCCCTCTGTCCAATACCCCCAACCCCGGATTTTGCTTGAGATGCTGACCATCTACGTCCATCCTGCAGGTCATGAAGTATGTCCCCGCAGTTGCCGGTACGGTCTTGTAGTGCTTGGGACACTCGCTAATCTGACTATAGGATGTATGACCCCACGATTGACGGTCTGTGAGCTCGAGACTAATTCCGGCAGGCTGATGAGCGACTACGAGGTGACCCTGGTCAACGACAACAGTAGGTCCAACGGTTCTTGGGCCGTGCTAGCCTCTTGTCTAACTGACTGGCTGCAGTGTACGTGATTCGAAGCGAACGATATCATTTCCCCCGATCTATCGGCTCACACCACGAAACAGGCAGGAATTCTACATAAAGTTCAAGGGCCCCACAGAGAGTTAGTCGCTATGCAAGAAGACGAGTTTGGAGAGGCCATGGCTCACACAGGAATACACAGCTCCTTTCGAAGGCGGTGTGTGGAAGGTCCACGTCGAACTGCCTGATCAATATCCCTACAAGTCACCGAGCATCGGCTTTACGAACCGCATCTTCCACCCAAATATCGACGAGTTGTAAGTAGGCCTATACGCACGACAGCAGAGGAAGAGGATGAGCCATAGGGAAAGACAAGAGGATACACAAGAGGCTGCATGGCTGATACGGGTAATGATTTTAGGTCTGGCTCCGTCTGTCTGGACGTCATCAATCAGACCTGGTCGCCAATGTACGACATGATCAACATCTTTGAGGCGTTTCTGCCGCACCTCCTCCGATACCCAAACCCTTCCGACCCGCTCAACGGAGAGGCAGCCGCACTGATGCTGAGGGATCCCAAGGGATACGAGTCCAAAGTACGGGGTAGGTGATGATCTTCCGAATCTCGAAGCTCTTGGCTTCTCGTTCCTCAGTGTTGCATATCAAGTTACTTACAAAAGAGCTAGAATATGTCCAACGGTATGCAAGTAAAGATGCCGCCGAGGAGGCCGGCGCCGAGAGCGAGGATGACGACGACATGAGCTCGGTGGGGAGCTTTGGTGACGACGACGACGAGCCTGCAGGCCAGATGGACGATGTGTAGAAAACATCGCCTGAGGCGAAGAAGCCTTCCCTTTGATCATCTGATTTTCGGCGTCATCGGTCTCACAACCCCGGGTTTGTTTGCATTGGAACTTCTGGATTCTATAAGATGGCGTGTGCTTGTTTTGTGTTTTTGGTTTCCATTGGGGCGGAACGAATGATTGATCGTCAACCGTCCATTCCTTTTCTCCCGAGGTGAGTATGTATTTTTGAGGGAGGAAGGGAAATGAGAGCAAGAGCTTGGACTATTCTGCTGGGAGGAAGTAGTTGACGGGGAGCATTCGTATCAGCCGCTGCACAAAGGAACAACACCTAATACGAGATCACTAGTCAATGGAGATACGACTACTACTGCTCAACAAGTCTCTCGAAAGGTGAAGATCAGATGCTATTTCAAAAATGTGAAGTCTATGGGGTATCATAACATAACGCATTTCAAGGGATAATATAAGTCGACTCTTACTCAGTCCGAGTCGTAATCCACCAGAGCTGAAGACACTGCCGCTGCCTTCTCAACTGGCTTGCCTTCTGGCGGTGGGCTGGGTTCAGTTTCTGGTGGCCTCTTCCGCTTGAGTCCAGGTAGTAAGGAAGCCGTAGTTTTTGACGAGTCTCTACTCCGCGGTTCGAGGAAAGGATCGCTGGCCATCCGAGTGTTGCCGACGATCTCAGAGACCAGAGACTCCCTCATCTTCGTTGCCGCAATCTCCGACTTGAGCAGCTTCTTCGTGGCAGGCTTGCTGTCTCCCGTCCGCTTCTCCTGCGCCGCGGGCTTCTTCCCGCCAAACAGTGGTTTCGCAAGGACCTTATCTCTGTCCTCACCCAGCCCCCCGGGTGCCGTCCCGAAATCGACCAGCCTGGCCCACCGCGCATCCTCCTCGCTCTCGGGCAACAGGTCGATCCCCAGACTCATCCTGTCCTTGAGGTCCTCAGCAGCCGCGGCGTCCTTCTCCCGCGATTTCCTCCCCACGCGGAACGTCTTCCGCAGCATCTGGTTCCTCGTGTACGGGTCGTCCCACTGCTTCGCATTGGCGTCCTCGATCTCGTCGATCCGCTCCCGCGCAGCGGCAAGCGCGGCCCGGTCCTCGATCGTCTTCTCCAGGTTCGAGAACGCCACCTCGCGCTCCTCAGCCTGCTCCTGCAGCGTCTTGATCGGCGCCACCACCCCGCTGGCGACAAGCGAGTCATCCCCCGCCCCCTCCTTCCCCTCGCCCGTGTCCCGCCTCTTGCCGCCGCTGACGACCACGTACGCCGTGTTCCGGGGGTCGGTGCGCACCTCGATCCACCCGCCGCACGCCGGGTGGCGCATGCGGAAGCTGTACACGGGCGTGCTGTAGTAGTTGCCCACGCGCCGCTTCTCCGCGTTGAACCGCACCCCCTGCCCGATCAGCACCGGCGCCGCCGCAGGCGCAGCAGCCGCGCACGTCCCGCACCACACCGCGAACGGCATCTCGAACCGCACCGTCAGCGCGCCCTCGCTGCGCAGCTTCGAGGCCCGCGCCCCCAGCGCGTGCCGCTTGCCCGCCGCCTGGTTCGCGCTCAGCGTCCCTTCCACCTCCGGCGGCACGTACCGCCCCATGTTGAAGCCTTGCATTGTCGGCTACGGTCGTGGGTGTCGCCGGCGAGCGGCGACGTTGGGGGTGGTCGTGTGGTGGTGTGGCAGGGCGGGAGATTGGGTGTTGTGTGCTGTTTGTTGTGTTGTTGTTTGGCAGGCAGTTGCCTGGCTGGGCTTTGGTTTGGTGTGTGGAGTGACGGTGGTGATTTCTAAGTGCTGTTGGTTTGGGGTGGCAGCCTTGAATGTCCAAGATAGATTGATGCAGCCGGGTCTGGGTTGATCTCCTTTCTCAGACCCTTCTTTCTCAGACCCTTCTTTCTCAGACCCTTCTTTCTCAGACCCTTCTTTCTCAGACCCTTCTTTCTCAGACCCCCTTTTGCTGAGCCCCTCAGACTGCGTCCGACTCCGTCCGCGGAACGTATCGCCTCCAGAAGGAGCTCTTTGTTCCGCCACTACATGGACCACAGCGCAAGACCAAATTGGAGCATTTCAGCATGTTTCGGTAGTTTCATGTATAGATCTGGGTAGCATTATACGATTTGTCTCCCAGACAGAGTGCACGCAAAGCGTAGGCCGAATAGAGAGGACTAGTGGGTAGTAAGTGTGGTAATTTAGTGGCATTGGGGCAGGTTAGCAAGTTGTCGACGACCACACACTACTCAAAGTTGAGGCTGCGGTAATGGAACCGTTCCACCGATTTCAGAGGCCCTATCATGCAGATCAAGTTCTCGAGGCTTGCAAATCGCTCTCTGATACACCGAAGGTGATAAGTGACGTCAGGCTGTGTGTTGATCATGAATGGTGATGTACAGTGACGTTTGACTGGCTATGATTCCGTCATCTCAAGCCATATATAATACAAGATGCGACGTGTAGGTTTGCAAGTTTCCAAACATAGCTTTTTCACTTCACATCTCACAACAGTCAGAGCCAAACACAGTCGCTGAGTTGGAAATCTGATAATCTACAATACGCTGCAAACAATGGCACCAACCAAGACAGCCGGAGGCCAGGAGCCGAGCGACAAGTTCCTAAAGCACCAGGCTGAGGGTATGTCCATTTCGTTCTTTAAGCCCTCTCCTTATGCTCTCGGCTGACCCGATCATAGCTCAGGGTCTCGGCGCTGAAACCGCGTCCGCACACAAAGAAGGTCATGCACCAGGCGAGGCGCCTGTCGCCTCAGACAGCGGCCTGCCAGGTAAAGGGAACACATTCGAGGAAGCAGCGGCTGGTACGGGAAACTTGACCACCACGAATGATGTCGGCCTCACTGGGCTCAAGTCTGCGGAGCCTGGTAGTGCCGCGCCGGGTCCGGATTTGAAAGGTGCATAAAAGTTTATGATAGAATCCTCGCAGTTTTAATGCTGGATTTAATGCCTCTTCCAAGCGGAGTATTTTCCTGTGTTAACTCTTGGGCTCTGCAAATTAGATTGGTGCTTAAGGCCATCTCCAATTGTGCAAGCACGATTTCAAGGCATTTCGAATACATCATGCCTGTGACTATAAAAGTGTTTCGAAAACATCATCCAAAAGCCGTAGGTGTTGATGAAGAATTATGTAGCATAAATCAGGTTTGGACGTTGGTGTCGCTGGGCACAATTCTGGCCCGAGCATTACTATCATTAACACATAGACGGGAATAAACAGACTACACATAACATTCGGTCCAACGCATCTTGATATCAGTTTCTCGTTGTTTCTGCACAATATCATGACTGCTTTTATACGATGAATGGGGCCGGATGCGAAGTACAAACGTTGATGTTTTATGATTCAGCATGACTTTCCTACCTGGGTGGGTGAAGTTTACAGCGTTCCTATGCACCTCAAAGCATTTCGCAGATGACTGGAAGTCATGCTGTAGATAATGAAAGTAGTTCATGCTGGTAAGAGCTTGCTTTCATAACTTGATTACCAGCCCTGCCCTGCCCGCTATGACTCTATCTCAGGAGGTGATACTGACACGCAGACACATTCCAGCCCGATCACACTCCCACACGTATTATTAGGCTGGACCATCAGTTTGCTTGCTATCAGCAAGTACTGGCCTCCAGTCTCGCTGAGCAGATTGCCATTCATTTACACTCATATGGCTGAGCCGCTGTGTCATTGTGCCTTTGACAATGCCTCTTTAGCTTTGCACGTCAATGAGTATAAAGCGGTCCAAAATTTCGAGTGTAAGGTTCAACAGAGCGGTCAATCCAATTATAGGCTCAATTGTCTTTAAACAATTGTTATAGACATAGTGTGTCTTTGTTTTGTAGAAACCTATTAAACAACTGGCTCAAGGTTATTGTTATGTGGTTTTCAGAACCCATACTAGCTCCAAACAAGTAATCTTTTTTGCACGCATCAGTCACCTCAGTCAGTAACAATACAATTAAAATGAATTCTAACCAACGAGATCACGTCCCCGAAAGCTGTAGGCGCCACATAGCTGCGGCTCAAAGAATTGCGAGATACGGGGGAACCAAGATCTTCGCACGACCAGCCAAGGACGCAGTAGTGGCCGCAAGGAAATTATACAGAGTCGCTAAAAACACCAGAATGCGACACCTTAATCAGGAAATCGTCGCATCCATTCCTGAAACAAGCGCTGGGTCAGAATTGGATATATTCGCCGACGACGCTACTGTTCATCAGAACTTCATGAATGGTTTGCACGGGTCTTTGATCGACGGTCATCTTCGAATCGTTTGTAATTATGCTAATGAATGGCACCAGCGTAAAGACCCAACTCGGAACTATACGGGAGTCGGTGTAAGTTCTTTCCTTGCTGACTGCCTGAATGAAAACTTTCCGATGAAAGACATTTGTAGATGAGCTAATACATTAGAAGGCACAAGGAGGTCCTCTCGCAGGAGGAAGACCTTTGTTCTATGTTGCGGATGTCGACAACAACGGCGTCCCATACGCAAATCCGTCACCTGACCAGTTCTGGATGATGCGCTATCTTTTTATTCCCGTCTACATGCCGCCCAAGGATGCGGGTGTCCCGCACGCTGCCTTACTCGTAGTCTCACCAGTCACAAAGACATTGGAATTCCTCGATAGTGATAACACGCCGGTCGATACTAACTACACAAATGGCCTTGTCGGACGTGTGATGCAATGGATGTCGACATTCCTGGACAACCCAGATAATCTAGATGCACCCCAATTTATCCCCGAGGAGTGGAGGTTCCGAGATTCCCGTGCTAACCAGCAGAATCCCGCCTCTTCTGACTGCGGCGTCTTTGTTCTCACGCATGCGCAGTTCCTCGCCTTTGGATATGATCGCAGCCAGTCCGAGCGGCAAAATTGGCCTCCTAACTTTGCCACGTCGCTAGTAAACAACGATCGCAGATTCAGGATCACTGCAGATATCACTGGAGGCGGTCTACCGGCTCCCTTCTTCACGTTCTTCAACCCAGACTTCCGTCTCAATCACATCCAGAACCACCAATACTATCCCATCCTCGATACTCCTCCCGTCCTAGCCGGGCGAACTTGGCGCATGTACAGAGACCACCCTCAGTTTGGTACACTGCTGACCGCTGCCTTGAGGAACAGGAGATCATGCTATGTGGGCTGTCGTTATAAGACTTGGCTGGCCAAGCACTGTCAGCGCAATCTGAGGTTCTACCCTTTATACTCCCGCCATTGCGGACGTAACCGTTCGTCACGACAATTCAGAGAGTGGGTAGAATTGATGGACCAGAATCGACGTAGTGGAGCCTTCCAGCCTAGAGCATTTGACAGAAATGGCAGCCAGGTCGCTTGGCCTAGGACTTGGATAGACCCGAGAGATCCAACAACAGTCGGCCAGTGCAAGGCCGCTTCACTGTTGGGTCCACTATGGTAGAGCTCACGAGTTGATTTAAGAAATCAGGATAGACCCTTTCCGAGATACGGTAAAGATAATGTAGAATATTCTCAGGCATATAGGCATGTAATTCTAGTTCGATAAGTTATTCAACAATTGTAATTCTATACCAGCCTATTGCGTATTCTACGTCTATAAACCTAACATTCAAAGCTTTCAGTTACAATACACTGGAAGTACTGTGAGCTTCTTTCTCAGACGGTCTAATGACTATCCGCTAAAAAAATACCGCTCTTATTTAGATTTCAACTACTCGATGCATAGTCTCGCCCACCCCGTAGCCACAGCCAGCATAATAGACACCGCGCTTTCACCGCGCTTTCAACATGCCTCGTTCCTCCATCATTGACTCCAAGCGGAGCGTTGTTCTGTATCTTGAACTAAAGGTCTTCGTCCCAGCTTCCGGGAATGCGAAGTGGCTCCGGCTCCATAACCCTCCAAAAATCACCCACCAGTTCGTCTGTAGGCTCCGACCACCACAGTCTCCAGCTTCTTGGCTTACTGCCATACTCTAAGCCAATCAATCTTACCTCGAATAAGTCGTTCCTTGTATGCACACTCCAACTATCATGCCACACATCACGAAAAATTCCAAAGACACCACCGTTTTCTTGACTCTTCAGTTTTTGACGTTCCTGTTTTCCATACTCTACCAGATCGAGACCACTTGCTTGAAGTATATTCAGCCACATTTGGACCGCTTTTTCACATTTAGCAAGCCGAGACCCTATCTTGTGCTGTCTAGCGCGCTTCAGACCCCCATTTCTATCTGGGCACGCAAGCATAGGCATCAGAAATAAGGTTGTGAAGGGCGTCGGCGTTGAAAATACCTGTGGAATAGTCTTTGGGAGTCCTTCTTTGCCGAGGGGCTCTTGTTCTGGTAGATGCATCAATAGGGCTTTGTTCAGTCGGAGTGCAGTGTTTAGAATGGCGCTATACCATTTGCTTGCAATATCGGGGTTGTGCCACGCTGTATGACCTAGCCCGAAAGCAAGTAATAACAGAATCCTTGCTGTGGTGCTGCTCCCAGATTCTGCGAGAGGTATTGATTTGCAAAGATGGTTGAAAATGGCAGGAGAAGGCGGAGGCTGCTGGTTCCCAGCGTTCATCAGCATTGCCATGGCTAAGCTTAAGCGTTGGTCCTCAACAGCTGCTTCGTAGAACTCGTTGTACGGCCAAATTCGACTGATGAGATCAGTGAAAAAGTCGAGATCGTCCCAGCAGGAAGCCAAGCAGCAAATTCGCACTTTATCGCTCAGCTTGTCGTGTTTGAGAAGATCCTCGAGGTAAGGTTTGCTTTTTCCGCTGAAAGGTCCCTGACGTCCAATGCGGAAAGCATGGTCGCAATCTGCATCGTAGTTGAGCAAATAACGAGAGGCTTGCCAACTCCCATTGGCCAGTGCAAGCTGCTTTATCATCAGCAAACGTCCACACCAATTTTATAACCGCAGGTCATCGTCAAGTGTAAAAGTGACACTCCTGGTTCACTTACCTCAATCAGGCTGAAATCCGTGTTTCCCCACGCGAGGTGGTCCAGTGGACTACATCGCCTCTCCTGAAACAGACGGTGGATTGAGCCCACGTCGTCATTCAATATGGCCCCCGAAATCAGATTAAACTCCACAGAACCATACAAAATGTGGGCGTACACGTTAAGCGTACAAGTCCAACCAGCATAACTTCGAGAAAATACCATGTCCAGCACCGAGGCACAAAGCCATGTTGGCATCTGCACCTGGATTCGTAGAACTCGGTCCTGGTCTGGGGTGACCGTCTGGAAATTCGTGCCTTTTGACGGTGTATGGATCGAAATGAGTCCTGTTACCTTGGCGAAGCCCATCTGCAAATATTCGTGCAAGGCGCTCGATTTTTTGCGCGTAGACGTTCGATGATCTGTCACCCTGGGAACAATCTGGACCTCATGCGAAGTTTGGTGGTGGGATATCTTCGTGGGTTCGTGAGCGGTCTGAGGTGACTGTGTAAGGGTGGACATGAGCTGAGAAACGATGATATCGGGCTGTACTCGTTGCAAAGCGCTAAAATAAAGTGCCTCGTGTTAATATATATCCTATTTGGCATAGTTTACACAACACAGCTAGCACATGGGCTCTTACATGATATATGTGTTCTGCGCCAAGGTTAAAAGCTGAATGGTTTTTTGAAGGCGCATCTCGTATTGTGCCAGCTTGCCCTTTTTCAGCACGACCTTGACCATGGCACGCTTCCGTCTCACACCATCGCGAGCCACACCGATCTGAGACATCAGGTCTGTGGCCAAAAGCTCGATCTGCTCGCCAGCCGTCTGACATGCTGCGAGTACTTTCTGCAGTGCTTGCTGTAGGTGCGAGGTGGCGAGTAATTGCGGCGGACTTGTATTTGCGACTTCGTCACGACCTGCGGTGGCTTCGCAAAGGATAGGAGTAAGGAGCTCGATATGATCAAGCATGTCTCTTAGGTTTTCTGGTGCGTCCTTGACCTCGTCTAGCAGGGCTTTCAACTTGAGGCTGGCGGTTACGATGGATCCGGCAATTTGGGCAATGCTGAGGCCGGAGGCGACAAGACCGAGCACTTCTGCCATCTTAGCTGCGAAACAGCTTGATCAAGCTCCTGAAGAATTATCTTCTTCGCCACAATTTTTGCCCAGAAAAGGATGAAGAATGAGTTGTCGTTGGGAGAAAGTGGCTGTGGGCACGACGGCAGAATCCTCTCATTTTATCAATTCCCCGCTTCAAAATACTCTAAGCCACAATTCATCACTTGAGGATCTCCAATAAGATGGTGACTTGAACCACCAGTATGCAAGTGTACGTTACACGCATACTTGGGGGCGGCGGCGGAGCTCCTGTTGCCTGCCAATCGGGTGGCCATTTCAGTGGCTGCTGAGCCTCGAACAAGTTGCTGCCTGCCATATCCCATAGCTTCGCGTGGAGAGCCCCGTCTCACCCTTTCTTTCTCCATTTCGCAATCAAATACGGGCTCAACACTTTATCTATCATGAAATGCAGGTGAGCTGATTATGTAAGAGTCGTATTGTTGAACAAGTTGTAACTCCGAAACCTATTTTTCTATTTGGGTCTTGAGGAAAAGATGAGGCCTAGCTCTCTAGAAGCCTAATCGCGAGCACTTTCTCTCAGCCGGTTAGGGTCAGGTTTGTGCGATGCCCTCTCTGACGTAGGAGGAAGTGCCAGACCCCGGATAGGAAGGGCCAGCGCCTTGAGATGATTTTCCCACTTCAGTGCAACATGGAGGAAGATCTTCACTAACCGACTCCTGCTCGCCACTATAATATTTATCCTAGGAGGATGCACTGGCAAGGGCAGTGAGCCTACGAAGCAAGACATGACTGCTTGGACCTTGGCAGGTGTTGAGAGGTTGCGTAATTATTGGAAGGGATGGAAGCTAAGCACAGCACTGCTTCAGATGCGGTTCACCGTCTGATAGCACGATCAACAGAAGATGATAATCGTGCTGGGCATGACGTGGCCTGGTACGAGCCAAGTGCGAGGCATGTCGCTTTAAATCGGGAAGGGAAGCTGGTGAAATGACCAAACGAGGGCTTAGCCTCATCTAATATCTTCCAGTGTTATACCATGCACGCAAGATGACTTCGTTTGACTGCAGAATGCGGTCCAGGCCCGAGGTCTTGATTTGGACGAGCTCCCAAGCCTCAAAAATAATTATCCGCCCTGACCTAATGGCAGTATAAGTCAGAGCCCGATTTCCAGACTGTCAGTCCAACCCTGTGCGCAACAAATCCACCAAAATGGTAAATATGCTAACAAGTATTAGCTGTACCAACCGGAGAACCCAAGTACACGCAGCAAAGTCCCTCCTCCTTGGCGTCCTCCGGCGAAGCAAGCCACATCGCATCCAAAGCACATTTGACCCTTGGTGGAGCCGTGAGGTAGAAGGTCAGCAGCACGCCGCGGGGACCCCAAAATCGGCATTCCCAGTTCGAGACGTCAAAGCATTGGCCACGAAGGTTGTCGAGGGCCCCTCTCCCACAGCCGTCCTTGTCTCGGCCCCAGCCGTCCAGAAAGATAGCGTAGTAGCCCCCAAAGACGAGGCTGCTCGAGGTGAAGCAGAGAGATTGGCGCCCTTCGGACCAGCGTTTGTCAGGAGCCTCGGTGCCGTTCGCAACGGTGTTGTTGGCGGTGATGCTGTTGAGATTGCTATCGAAGACACTCGAGACAATGGCGGGCAAATCAAAAGTCGGTGGGGCGGGACAGTTGGTCGCGCTGGTAACGGTCGTGACAGTCGTGGTGTTCACAGCAGGTTGATGGGCCCCGACATCTCCACGGTGGGCGTCAGCCATCATGCTGGAGATGAGGGAAGATGCAGCTGAAGCATCGGCGGCGGTGGCCAAGGCGTTGGCCACTGAGAGTGGAGTAGTTTCTGCAGTGCAGCCGTTCATGCAGACTGGTTCTGTCACGGTGACGGTCACGGTGGCAGAGGGGACGTCGTCAACCAATTCAGTCGCGATGGCCATCTTGGCGATGGCCAAGGAGAGGAGGACGATGATGGTTGTGAAAAGCATATTTATCTCGTTGCGGATGATGTGTTGCTTGGTGTTATCGGTCTGTGGAAAGGTTGTCTCTGTGAGTGGTTTGAATTTTGGACAGAGCTGCTGTTGGAAGAACGCTGCGTTATAAATAATATTTGGACTGGCAGAGTGGATCTTCCAGGCCTTTGTCACTGAAGATGGGACGATCATGAGTACCACCATGACTTGAATAGAACACCGCGTCATGAGCCATAAAAAATTCACAGCACTCGACCGGCTGTTTGCACTCCCTACTACCTGGACTGGTAGAGCTCTTCTCCAGCTACCACAATCCTCGATGTACCACATGCTCACCAGGCCTGACGACCTCCCCAGGAGCCACACCGTCAACATCATGGGCCTGATAGAGACGATCCAGCTCCCTTATGTGATTAGTGACCCGCCATTTTCATGAATGCCGTCCATTTCAATGTTCAAGTTGTGCTTAGGCAGATGTCAGACAAGGACATGCATCTCTTCGCCGCCACCCAAGCCAAGGAGATTAAGACCACCATCGATGGCTGGGACGTGTGTGGCCGCATAATCGCTCGTGCTGCTGAGCGAATGATGCTTGGGTTGCCGATGAGCTGCATCGAGGAATTGCTTGAGGCATCACGTTTGTATGCCAACTCCGCTCTGCTCGGTGGCGCCGCTGGTAGCACTACAAGCCAAGTACTATCAGAAGCGCTATCTCAAGATCTTGGTTGCAATCATAGATGAAAGATTGCAAGTATGGAATCTGGGAGAGGAAGGCCCGGTACAGCTAGATGTTCAGTGTGAGATGCCCGAGTTGCAGAGAGAGGTACATGATAACAACACTTTGCAGCTATTCATGGCCAATTGAAAGTCCAATGACTGGCTACGGCGGTGATTTCATGCTGGATACAAGTTACATCGTCGCGAAACTTAAAGTTATGCTCACATTAATTGTGGTCTGGTTTAGTGTCAAAGCTGTTGTATGGCGCCGCCGCTCAAGTTGTATCTTTTATGATGTTCTCAAAGCCCTTGGGTGCAGATGTCCCCATGGCACTCATGTCCAGAATATTTTGAGACCAAATCAGAAGTTCCATCTCAATCAAGTAGTTAAAGGTTTACCTACACACCGAAAGAGAAAAAGAAGAAGACGACCATTTTTCATGATATGCTGACTTCAACCTGCTTCTTGACAATGATTGACTTGTCATCCGCACCAGTCCCGTAAATGCTAGCCTCGTCATCATCAAGCCTCTCAAAGGTGAACAATTTGGGGGACGAAGCGCTAATCTTTGTAACATTCATGGGCCCATCATTTCGAAATCCAAGGCGGCTGACCCTTGTACCAACTCGAGATGTCATGCCTCTGGACAATCCGTATGAGCTGGCCTTTGTGTTGCCTCTGCTAGCAAAGAAGCTGCGGAAGAGTGGTCCAAGGAGAGGTAAGTTTCCGCTAATGATAGCGACACCTTGCTCCAAGGTTGTCCATGTCGCCGCGTAAACTTGGGTGTAAGTCCCGTCCAAGGGACTAAACTTGAGTATCTCTGTGATGCGAATGACAGAGGCTACACAACCGCTATAGTCCGATGTTAGCGGGGAAGAAGCGATTACGAAACCACTAAACAAGGGACTTCAGGGGTATCCTTACAAACTTCCGAGAAGGAAAATCCCGACCACTGCCACCTTCTTCCGCGTGTTGATTTTCAGCTGCCACAACGCTGGAAGGGGCAGGACCAAGACATAAATATCGCCCACAAGAGATAGAACAGCAGCTATCGTGCCCGAGACCACTTGGTTGCGACAGGTGCCGCCCTTAATAGTTCGGTCATAGAAGAATGCAATGGGCGTGCAAGTTGTGAGATTGACAATCCAGGTTGCCAACCCCCACATGAATGTATATGCTATACCTGCGTATACCCATATACGGAAATTTCCATATGCCTTAGTTGAGAAAACTTTGTTCGCCATGATTAGCACAGGTACTACTCCATGTAACCAACTTTCTGCTGCATTATCTTACCTCTCAAGTAAAACAACAGAATGGATGTTTTGACACAGAAGAGTACGGGCTGGTTGGCTCTCTGGAGAGCAAAGCTGATCTGAACTCGGGTTAGCAAACATAATCAAGCAAAGCCTTTCTCTAGTATATAACCGAGTATTGTGGACGTACCCTAGCAAAGCGGGCCGCTTGCACTGGAGGAACATTACAAAGATGATGGCCAAGCCCGTTGGCAACAACTGCGACGGCCATGTGTTAATTTCGACATGGTCGGGTAGAGATACGGGACTGGGAGGTTTATTGCTCACGGAGATATTGGCAGATCGTGGGTTCTAGTGACAAGAACAACCCAAGACCCATCAAATAGTCATCCCACGATACCCTTTGGCTCGTCTTGACTCGCGCAACAATTCGGAGGCCGTATGTCAACAGAGAAAGAACGAGTACAATTGTCGTGGGGATGACGCCAAAAAGCTGTCTGTTGAAGACATCCTCCGGAATGTCCGGAGGACAAGCAGCTTTTGCAGCTGAAGAAGACATGTAGTTGTGCAAGAATCAGCCCAGCTGAATATTAAAGACGCAGAAAGTGTCTAACGACCAAGCGTTAGGCAAGGACCAAGCGTCATGGAACCTGAGAAGCAGCAAGAGCATGGCACAGCCGCATGCCACTTCTTGGTCGAGGTGGGGCGGAGTATATACCAGAAAATCTTCACATGTATTGCCCTTGATTACACTGGTAAAACAGCTATCTGTCGGCTCGGGATAAAGTGTTGTGTAGTAAAGTTTGAGGGATGGATGACACTGGCGACAGTCCTTTACCAAGGGGCATGGTTGATGCATTCCCTTACTCCGGCAAATATACAGCGCCATGGAAATAAATCAAAGGGAAGCGGCCACTGAGGATCCCAAGCGACAATTCGTAGAGGTTTCCACATTTGGTAAGTAAATCGCTCAAAGAAGCATCTCGATCAGTTGTATCAACATTTAGCCCAGTGTGCGCGACGGGAAGTGGGAGTCCAGAGCAATGTCTGCAAGGCTCGCGTATCTATGATCACGAGACAGCTGGCATACGACACATGTTCCAGAAGCTTGAATTCTTCCTGAATACTACCTCCCATCGCCGCAGCCCAGATCTGTCGGCATGATCCATGGACGTGGCGTCCATGCAGCTTGTCATCCAAGCCCTGGTCATGTCAAGGCTGCGATGTCAGCCGAATCATCGGATGGTCGAAACAGCCCACAGGGCTAAATACAAGTCTGGCTTGGCACCCTGAGTGTCATATTAAAGGAGGAACAGACCGAAACTGAACCCACGACCCAAACGAGGACAATTGAGCACTTTTGGTATCACAAAAGCCTGTCGTTTCAACTCTGCATTAGACTAGGAGCTGGTCTATCAGACCAAGGGTTTCTAGACCACGGCAGCTATTAGCACCTAGATCCAAACATTAGCAAGCTTGTTTTCCCGTCCAATAGGTAAATTCTGGGCACATCGCAATGCTAACCCTCTTCCGATGTCAACTAACTAAGCCCCGGCATTTAGGAGTCAAGCTCTGCCGAGAAGTAGCCTCGCACTATACTATGGTCGGTCTAGGTCGACTTTGAAGCTTTGTCAGGTCAGCAGCTGGTTATTCCCGTGTGCATCCAGTATCAACGTCAATTTGGGTCTGGGTAAGGGAATTTCATAGACTCACACCTTTCGGGCTCGCGATCGTTTTCTTTTTTCTTCATGCTATAAAGTCGAACCATATTTTCGGTAAATGTAACGAGTTCTTTCCATCGGACGAACGGCAGTCTCATGCGTTCTAGAACTTCATACACCTTTAAGCGCGATTGCGTCTAGGAGGGAATGTTCGTCACCGAGTTCTGCCCGATATTTCAGATGCGATTGGTGGATCTGAGAGCTATCCAGTATTCACGTCAATCATTTAGAGCCCTGGGATTGCTATCCCTCGATATGCCAGCATTTCTGTAACATAAAATCGTTCATAAGACGGGAAGCAGTCCGGGGTGCCAAGCCCTGTTCCCTGTGTCGAATCCCGCACCAGACAATCGGCATCGCTGGTGGGGGCACCATACCGGGAAGGCTACTTTGTTAGCTCGATCAACAAGGTTTGCAACCCGATATCTCGGTTTTGTGAACCTGTGCCTTCTTTGTAAGAGATCCGTAAAGCAACCTCCTTTGCCATGCACGCCATGATAGGGCTGTGGCATCCATAGACACTACCTTATTGTGCTTACTGCAGTACAGGGTTACCTTGACTAGCCACTAGCATGGGGTCTTGTGATAGTTGTGATTCCACATCGCCCCTAATCGACTCCTCCAGCCAGCCCTGGAGCGTATTGATGCTGGAACTGCTTCATTGGATCCAACAGATCGACATGAATCATCGTCCTGCAATATCATCCACGATGTTACAGGACTACTGTAGTGTTGTCCGTCTCTCTCAGCCTTGTCTCACTTCGATGTAGCAAACTAGTTCTCCGGTTGAATGCTGACGCCTCCTTCGTTCGGTTTCAATCTCGGCTTATCTTGAACATTATAACTTCAAAGTGCCGGCATTGTTACACTACTTACGAGACTGCAGGAGGTGGGGAAGACATAGATCTGTCGCAGCAACCCCGCGCACCTTTTGCAGTGGGTTATTGTAACTTGCACTCTTTCCTTTACGCGTATATCCTTTTTTTTGTTCATCAATTTGGGAATCGGTACTCACACATTGCGATTGAATCGCCTGTACTCAAAATGGTGGGTTATCAGGATGACCGCCTGTCCGGGCCGAGCAAGACTTTCGAAGTCTTCACCAAGGAAGAGGCCGTTAAAGTCACGGATGCTGGCGTTGTACTTATCCCACGTCCAACCGACGATGCACAGGACCCTTTGGTGAGGCAGAAACAAAATCCTTAAAATTAGAGTTCACATCAGAAGGCTAACAATATTATGATAGAATTGGTCCTTCTCTAGGAAATCTGTGAATCTGGCGATTCTTTTCCTGAGCCTCTTCGTTGGCTTCGCTGCCCCTTTTTGCGGACAGCTCAACCTTCAGCAACAAGCAGCCCTATACCACAAAACTACCGTCCAAATAACATACTTCAACTCCGCCGCTTCAGCAGGTCTGGCAACTGGCGGCTTCATCTGGTGGCCTCTCAGCCACAAATTCGGACGCACCTCTGTCATCTTCTGGACCCTATTCGGGCAGCTGGGTTGCCAAATATGGGCTCCGCTGATGACTGGTCCTAACGATTACGTGCCGTATCTGGTCTCTCGTTACTTCTCTGGCTTCTTCGGCATCGTCACCAGCATCCTTGGTCCGCGGTATCTGGTTGACATGTACTTCCTCCACCAAAGAGGCAGGGCATTCACGTTCTTGCACCTGGCGTTGAACTTTGGAGCATCATTTGGACCAACGATCTCTGGATTCGTGGCTGGCAGAACACATTGGCCTGTCGAATACTGGTGGTCTGTGGGACTATGCGCCTTCACAATCATTGTTGTATTCTTGTTCCTCGAGGAGACGACGTACGACCGCACGCCTGGTGCAGTGAACCGCATCAAGCCTGACAGCTGGCTGAGGGATCGATATGAAACGTTCTTCTTTGGATCTCAAGTCGGCTCTGGTGTATCTTTGGGTGGAATGGTAAGGCGCTCTGCTTTTGCGCTTTCAATTTAAATGGGGCACTCTTACTGATGAGTTCGCAGGCCAAGGTCTTCATCCAACCATTCAAGATGATGTTTTCCCCAGTCATCCTCATCATTGCTGGTTTCGACACGATAGCATTTGGCTTCTACGTTGCCCTGAATGCCCTCACACCAGTCTGGCTGCAAATGCCACTCAAGGCTGGCGGTATCTACGGCTTCACAGTTACGGAGAATGCTGCGTTCACCTTTGTACATTGGGCTGGCTTCATGATAGGCCTCGTTTATGGCCACTTCTTCAGCGACCGTATTCCCCTGTGGCTTGCCGCGCGCAACAAGGGTGTCTGGAAGCCCGAGTACCGACTCCACGCCCTCTGGCCAACCAACTTCGTCCTGATGCCTCTTGGCCTAGGTCTGGTCGGAGCGGCGATGCAATACCGACTTTCTTGGGTAGTAATGGCCGTTGCACAACTTTTTGTGACAATTGGCTCGCTTGTCAGCATACCTACCACAGTCAACTACATCTGCGAGTGTTTCCGCACCAACACTGTCGAAGCGACGCTGCTGCTCAATTCGATGCGTTTGTTCATGGGCCTGTCTATCAACTTCTACATCCAGCCTTGGATCGCGGCTGTGGGTATTGGCTGGGTCTATGGTCAACAGGCATTCTTCACCCTGTTCGCCTTTTGCTTCCTGATTGTTCTGATGGTCTGGGGACGTCAGATCCGTCAGCTCTCGCCTTTTTGCACTTCAAAGTCTGAGGAGGGCCAGCACATATACGATAAGGGATACGAGGAACATGGCTTATAGTTACATAGGGACCTCCCCTTCCAAGACTATTATGTTTTGAACGACTTCTGACTTGCTGTGAAAGCCGACGAAAGTTCGACAAGATTTTCATATTTGTATCTTGCTGTGTATGTGAGCGTCGTTCAGCATTCTCGCCAATGCCATTCCTGTGAAATAAACGCTCTGTAAATGGAAACATTTAGAATTTCGGCTTGCGCCAAATCTTTACACATCGTGGGTTTTTCACAACACTTGATTGGCCTCCAGATTTGACTTCATCTTGGAATGCGGTCTTCTACATGTGTCAAACAACCTCAGTGTAGTTGATTCTTTTGCTGATGACTGTCAACAATTTTTCGATTATCCATTAGCCCAAAAATGTCCCCCAGACGAACGCTCCAGAACCCAAAGCACCGCCTCTACGCCGACCTGAGGCCCCGTTATGAGGATACTATGCCCGTGATCCAACGCCGTGATATACCTATTCACACGCGACAGACGAAGCTGGCCCGCTCGTAACTCATCATCATGCAGCCTCAGCTTCCCCAGGAACGCCCTACACTCCAAGCTCTCGTCCTCGGTCCCGTTTCCCATCCTTTCTCCTTCTTCAAACATCAACCTAAACTCCTGCGAGAAATCAGCACGCACAACAGCAAGCGGAACATCCCCCAACGCCTGACGGGCAAACTGCTGCTCCCTGAGCAGCCTCCGCGCAGAGACCCTGCAGTCCTCCAGCTCAGTCGCGAGCGTTGTCTTTCTGATCATGGTGCTGATGTGCTCCCATTCCTGCTCAGTCAGTCCGGACCGCTCGCGGGTGTGCGTGACCGCACCATAGTCGATGCCCCTCGTCACTTCGAAGAAGACCGGGGGAGGGATGGACGGCTCGAAGAGATCGTACATGAGCTCCGTCGCGGCTTCTATCAGCACCATGCCCGCGATCACCGACTCGAGTGCCTCCCCGCCCTGCTGCTCCTGGATGGCGAGGGCCAGGAACGCGCGGGCGCAGATGCAGCCGTAGGAATGGCCAACGAGGATGTACGGCGGGCCGACTCGCAGGACCTGAAGCAGCTCGTACAGCTCGTCTGCGGCTTGCTGGGCGGTCAAGACTGTCTCGTCGTCCGCGCCGCAGTCCAGGTCTCCACGGCCCAATTCCGAGTAGCCATATCCAGCGCGGTCATGAAAATAGACGCGAACGTGGGACGAGAGCATCCGGCGGAAGCGGATGTATGCTGCGCAGGGAGTGCCTCCGCCAGAGAAGAAGAGCACTACCGGCGAGCCCGGAGAGCGCTCGGGTCCCGACGTGGAGACGTAAAGCTTGTGTTGGTGGGACACGGAGACGAGAGCATCAATGTCAATTGATTCCCATGGATTGTACACTTGATCCGACGATGATCTGCGCCTGCTAGAGCTGGCTTTGCGCGTCATTATGGGATTTAATTGGAGGTGTCAGGGACATCGTCAGCCTCCTCACTGAGCTTCCTCAGTGAGTCCGGTCATAGTCACCACGATTACGGCGGTGAGCACGATCGGACTTCAGTAGTGTGACAATGGATCATGGCGTCTGATATGCAGCGAGACGGTGGTATCTTGTTTGACGTCACCACGCATCCCATTGAGCAATTGGAGAGCTTCCGTCAATCACCATGTCACTGTTCAGCATGACTAGTCTACTAGCACCCAGCGAGCGGAGTAGCTTTTCGCATTAAAGTCTGACCTGAAATCGGAGCTTGTGGAGTCCTGCTTTGGCCTACGGCGGGCTAGATTCGGCAGCATATGAATTGTAGGGTGCCTTCAATTTCACGTTGTATCTCTCCTTCTGGGAGTTGACTTTGGTCTATTGGTGTTTTGGAAGACAGGGCCTACAATCTGTAGGTTCTAGCACAGTCGTTAAAAGAGTAGCTCAAATGACAGCTGTGGCAAGTCCATGATGCCAGCAAAATATCCCAGTCCTAAGGCAACATACAATTGAAGTGCTTGAATTTTGTTCCTGGCATTGATGGTGCCATCTTACTCTCTTACAAACAACCCAGCCATTCCCATGCCCGTACCCACACACATACTAACCACACCGACCTCACCATCACTCCTCTTCAGACCGTGCATCAAGGTACTCGTCATCCTCGCACCAGTGGCACCAAGAGGGTGGCCCAGCGCGATAGCGCCACCATCAGGGTTGATCTTGCCCATGTCGCCGTCCAGGCCCAGCTTCCGGATGCAGTACAGCGACTGGCTCGCGAACGCCTCGTTGATCTCCCACCGGTCCACGTCCTTGTTCTCCAGGCCGACCTGGCCCAGCAGCTTAGGAATAGCCAGCGCGGGCCCGATCCCCATCTCGTCGGGCGCGCAGCCCACTGTGACCGCCGAGACAAACTTGCCGAGGATCTGCCCGCTGAGTCCCAGCTCCGTGGCTGTGCTGCGGCGCATCAGCAGCGTGGCAGCCGCGCCGTCACTGACCTGGCTCGAATTGCCAGCGGTGCTGGCGCCGTCGGCCTTGAACGCGGGCTTGAGCTTGGCGAGGCCCTCGACCGAGGCGTTGGCGCGGATGCCGTCGTCCTCGGTGACGGTGACGGTCTTCTCGTCGCCGACCTTGTTGCCCTGCTTGTCGACCTCCTGGAAGCGCGTGGTGACGGGGGCGATCTCCTGCGCGAAGCTGCCGTCGGCGCGGGCGCGCGCGGCGCGCAGGTGGCTCTCGACGGCGAAGGCGTCCTGGTCGGCGCGGCTGACGCCGTAGCGCTCGGCGACGTTCTCGGACGTCAGGCCCATGGGCATGACGCAGTCGCGCGCGTCCTTGACGGGCGAGTCCTTGAGCGCCGGCCAGGCGTCCACGGGGATGGCGCGGCTGCCGTAGTTGCGCGTCATGCTCTCCATGCCCGCGCCGATGCCCACGTCGATCATTCCCGTGCGGATCTGGCCCGCCACCGCCGCTATGCTCTGCAGGCTGGAGCTGCAGGCCCGGTTGACCGTGTACAGCGACGTTGTGGATGGGTAGCCCACGTGGTTCATGGCCATCCTCGCGGCTTTGGACCCGCCCAGCTCCGACAGCACCACGCCGACGGCGACGTCGTCGATCTTGGAAGGGTCGAGCTTCGGGTTGGCTTCGAGTGTGGCCTTCAGCACCACCGAGAGCAGCTCCTCGGGGTAGGCATCTTTCAATTGGCCCTTGTAGGATCGGGTGATGGGTGTGCGGAGCGAGGACAGGATGACGATGTCGGTTGGGGCCTTTGACAGGACGGCTGAGACGCCCTTGGGGAGTGCGGCCATCTTGTTGTGTCTCAGCGAACTCGGGATGTCAGTGAGGTACGAGCTCGGAAGAGTGGGGGGCACGAAGCGGGAGTCGAATTGGCTGATGAACAAGTCCTGGAGGCTGCAGAAGAGATGTACAGACACCAATTGACTGCCTGAGTATACTATGGATACAGCTAATGTGCTATAGAAAATTGTAAATAAAAGAATAGACAACGAAGAGAAAGAGATGGCGACATGGAAACGAGAATATCCGGGACAAGCTCGGTAGTGACGACGTCGGGAGCAACACCCGGCGTCGGCAAGCTGAGGTGGGGGACAAGCTCTCTTCCGGGGAAGCACTTAAGCTTCTCAATGGCCATTGGCAGCGTTGCATTAATGTGGGGAAATGCTGTCGGGAAAAACGCAGGCCCGGTAGATGCGGATGGCAGTCCAGCCCGGCTATTCCGATCCGGGGCTCTTTTTCGCCTATGGCCAACCTCACGGTGGTCTCATCCAAAGCATTAAATAGTGTTGAGTTGATGAGGATGTCACCGGGTTCAATATGCTCTGTCACTTTCTTACAACTGTCGGCATTTGTGATCATTGACGAAATTTGCAGGAATTCCATAGGATTGTCAAGCACTGGAAAGCACAGACAACAAGCAATAAAACCTTGAAAATACTTCTTACGCCAATGAGTTCTTTCTACGAGGTTATCAGATCAATATAGTGGACACTCGCCCTTTTTGGCCAGGCGACCTTTTGAACAATCCAAGCAAGGCTGAACCGAGGCGCGTCGAAAACTCACAGAGCAGAGTTCAACATCGGTCAGACTTGTCACGAAGACCATATTGACGCGCTTGCATTTGGTTATATCTGCAAGAGGCCTTTTGCTACGTATTTCGTAGGTCTCGACCCCAACTGACAGGTCACTCTTTAGTCCATCGTCTTTACGTAGCTTCGATATTGCTATGAAGATTTCCTTGAAATGCAATAGAAGTGCTGAGTATAATAATAATCGACGATGAGAGATAATAAGGAAAGATAATAAGAGACGTAGATAGAGAAGGTTTTGAACATAAGTAGATTGGATACTAGGAAGTATTCAATGATAGGGAAGACGTAGAGGCAATAACAGGGCCTCAAAGCTGCTCAAATGTGGCCAAGACAAGAGAATCTTTTAGCATCGGGCCGCCCCCTTACTCCCATTCCCATGCCTATAACTTTCTTTCAACACTTCAACTTGGACCTCAAGACACATGTTAATGGGATTTACTTTAATAGAATTTCTACCTAGCACAACAACATTGGGTAGCAGAGTCTTGAATAGCAAAGTTTGTTCTCGTAGCCCGATATTGTCTTGGTGCTATCGAGGAGCTGCATGCGGATCCACTAAAACATACTTAGATCATCATATCAGCTTTTGCTGCTTTCCACCGTCTTCATTTCTATCTTTCATCTGGAGAACAAAGTTGCGCTATCTTAGCACGTCGTCACACCCCAAGAGAACCTCTGGCATTTCCCTAGCTGGCCAGGATCACACTGCCTTGGGTCCCTAAATACGGAAGTCCCGTCTCTAAGCACAATACCCTGCATTGCCAAATGATCAATACACAATACACCACAGCAGACCTTCTGCCCAAGTGTCAGTCAAAGGTTGTCATCAGTGATATCTCGCCTCCTATCACGTCATGCGACTCAACCTACTAGCGAGAAAATGTGGTATTCCAGTATTGAGTGATAGCACTGAGTTTTCCAGCAACTTTCATCAAAGATGTACAAATCAGACTTGACGTACACTCTCGCTTGCGAAGTAGTGACGTGCGACACCTCTGGCTGGTTTCCTTTATTTTCTTTTTCCTTCATGACAGTAGTGCGGGTGCAAAAAAGTCCAAGAGTAGAGATCCCACAGCATGGGAATTATGCTGCGTCAGAAAATGCTAATTATGCTGTATGTTTAGGAGTATAAAGGAAAATTTACCACAAGGCGGTATACCGCGTATCTAAACTCGGTTATATTTTCATGTATACTACCATGACTCATTTTTGGATGGAATATGATGAGATATGAATGTCCAGGTGGTACAGATCTGAGTTTCCATAAATGCATGCTCAAATCGCTTTCAAATATATGCTGACCAAACCATTACACAAAGAAAAATCCTTCCACCCCCCCCTCCGAGGGGGGATGGATCTGTGACGAGGACACAATATCACCTCCCACCACAATGCTCTGGCAGCTCCAAGACCATATTCTTGTGCCACTCATTAGCTTCTCTGACTATGATGATAGTAAAAGCCTGCACAGGTGCCGATCACTGTAGCTATGCCAGCAGACATTTCAATGCCCGTCACTACTTGCTTTGTCAGGACCCCGAACACAACGCCTGGGACAATGATCAGCAACAAAACGCCAATGCTGAGCACAGCAATCCGAGTCCTATCAGGCTTGGATGTCCTATTAGGTCCAAACTCCCCGCCTGCTGCCTCACAATCCAGCATGCCAGAGGTAACCGCCTCCGAAGTAGGGCGGTTATTGTGAGAGGTAAGTCTCAGACGTATAGCCGTATTCAGAGTTGATTGATTGCGGGTCATGGTGAGGACCGTGTGATCATTGCTAAACTGAGCTTCGTTGTCAATGGAATATGTTTTATTAGTATATATCAAACATACTAAGTACATTTCTATTCCTAAGCATTGAATATCACTTGTTGTACACATACTGAAATATATGGCTCTGCAGAGGGCCTGCAGAACCAACGTGACCACCATGATTGCTCTCGGTGATTGATAAACGGGGTCAATCCCGTCGCGACGGCTATTGGAAGGTCGGCGTATATTTGTATTGGGTACAGGCTTTGTATGCCACGTTGATGAACAACTTCGTGCCGGGTGATGAACTCTGTAGACGGGAGCTGGGTAATAGCAGCCATTCTGATTTTCGGAAATGCACTTCTCATCAGCCTGGAGTAGAGACGAGGGTTGCGTGGATGAGAAACCAGGTCATGATAGCGATGGAAGAGGGAACCAGGACGAGGAATAGGAGAAGCGAGGCTGCTGGTATATATCTGTATAGGATGGTTTGTAAAATCGGGACATTTTACAAACGGGTGGGTCTTACACAAAGTTAGCGCGTTGCATTGTACCAATAACCGTAAATCGTGGTACACTTTACTCAAACAGGACATGACAGCGACGATCCTCCGCGGCTGGGGGAAAGGGGCATGCTGGAGATAAAGTTGGGGTTCACATATCACGACATCACCTAACGTTTTTCTTCGGACGGTCAAACAGCCCTACAGCCCTGATACCCTGGGTCTGGAAAGCAGACAGCGAGGGAGACGGCGAGGGAAATTGACGGAGCACTGCGAGCTGGTAGCAGAGGCGCTGGTGTGCTTGACCGACAATATGGAGATGAGTATACCGCGAGCCATGGGCATATTGCATAGTTTCGACAAGCAAGATTGTCCCGTCGTCGTAGAGGCAGACATACAGAGCCTCAAGCCCACGCTATCTTCTAAAACGTTGAATAGGCTCTCCCACCCAACCAAGCTTCACCTCTCAGGCGGGCGGGACGACCCCAGAAATGGGCAGTAGTGTGCGGGTCATCGTGATGCATGACAATGTAGCCTAGCCATCTCAGACCAGATCTGATGGTCGATTTGTTATGGGCTCCCGTGGTCTCGGATGGACCCAATTTATAGTCAGCCAGGGTCTTCAGCCGATTCACTAGGGAGATCCGGATGCCTATGTACTCTGATGGGTCCCGTTCAGCCTGCGAAGGCGCTGGCTCGAATATATACAATTATCTGACTATTCTCTGGTAGTTGAGAAATGTGTTATGGGCTGCTGGCTAGGTACCGTTCTGGTGCCTGCCTGGACCGCACCCGGTGGTGCGCGATGCAAAGCAACCCTTGGGGGTTGATAGAGTCACAACATGCCTTACCAGCCACGGCTCACAAAGAGTATGCACCACGTCCGGGCAGCACCGTTTGGTAGCATGTCTTAGATTGTCGGGGTCTGGAAGAAATGGAGTTGCGTTCCGGCGCTCGGGGACCCGGCAGCAGAAGCAACGTCCTCAGCGGGCCTGAGAGGCTGGTAGCGTATCGTGGCAGACGTGGCCAATCACAAAAGCGGCGGTGCGAATGATATCTCGGGCATTACAGAAGTTTCTGTCATTTCACACTTACAAATCATCTGTGACATGGCTATACGGAGTCTTCCTAGGCACGCATTTACTGGTCAAGTCATACTCAAATGGTTGGGATACTAGAGCTCAAAGGCTCCTCTCTTGAGCTGCATATTTTTGGCAGCTGATGAAGATAGAGCGATAGTTGTCAGTTTGAACTTTTCTTGAATTTCCTTGCTATTGGACTACCAATCTCCTACTAAAATGGCACAACGCCAGTTCCATGAAGCCGTGGAAATTGCACAGTATCATAACTCCCCCCGTCACCGAAACGCTCACGCTGCCAAAGAGGGAGGATTGCTTCCCAAAGTGATCCAGCTGAAACTCCAATTTCAAGAGACTTGAAGCCAACAAGAACAGAAATGTAAAAGATGCGGGTCAAAGTGCGCCCATGGACAACCAAATAAGTCTGTCGTGATAATATGGTACATAGCAAGTATGTAGCTGGTGAGGACTCTCACCATGACGATGCAAGTTTGGTCTCAACCGCGAGGCTGGACTCTTATGCAACCATCACCAATATGCTGGAACCGATTTCGAACATGACCGAAAAAAGAAACAGAAATTTGCGCACAATTGGGGTATCATGACAATCAATCTCGTATCCCAAGTCCGATGAGGGAGGATCCCTCTCGCAGACCGCCGGCCAGTCTCAGTCTCTTAGTGGGACTGGTCGGCTCAGCCCGCCTCGCCTCGTCCGCAACGCTGGTGTCATACTTGCGCTTCGCACTACTTGATAGTCCGGGTTTGTGGATCGGGCCTCTCAACGTGGACTGCAGTCTTGCGCTTTTCTCCGCCGCGATGGGCGTTGGCGTAACATCCCTGGAGTTGTGGGAGCTTGCAACCTCAAAACTCTCGCGCGGATCCCTCCTCAACATTGCTGACGCCTCCTGGCTGGCCTGGCTCTCGTATACTTGGCTGTCTGCTTCAGTGTTTTGACTGCGCTGCGACGGAAGTGGCCTTCGTGGTGGTGGGGATCCGCGGGACGCAAATGATGCGACCTGTTGTGCCACCGACTGGAGAGCTGCTCTAGCAAGCTCTTGGTTGTCGTCGGCCGAGATTGTGCTCTCTCGGCTGTGACGGACGCGTTCAGGACGTTCGCTGCGGGCAAAACTGAGGCCTCGCTCGGGTGTTTCTGGAATAAAGCTCCGGTTGACGAAGCGGCGTGGTGGCTCAGTCTGAGGGACAAGGTCGGCAGCTGGTAACAAGTCGGAGCCTCGAGGTCTAGGTGGATTCGGTGTTGTTGGAAGAGATGACATCGAGTGGACCGCCCGGGAGTGCTTCAATGGATGCCGTCCACCTGAGCGGTTCGGTGTGGCCGGCGTTGAAGGGGCGCTGCTATTTTCCTGAGTAGCAGCTTGGAGAAGGACAGCGAAAGGTTCCTGCCGTCCCTCGCGGCTATCTCGATGCTTGGGGGTCTGTCGTGGGGTCGTTCTATATTGTGCAGGCGACGCTTGCGCGGTCTTTGGGGTATGGAACATGCCGCCTGGGCTTGCTAGCTGGTTCCAAAGTTCCCGTTTGTCTTGTAGCCGATTCCTGAGCAGGTCATTCTCCTCCCGTAGACTATCCATTTCCTCCTCCTGGCGCACAATGAGCTTCTTAGCAGCCTTGAGCCGCTTACAGGCTTCCTCATAGTCCTTGCGGATCTTTTCGTTGTCTTTAATAGCTTTCTCGCCTAGATCGCGCAGCTGGTCATACATGGCCTGCGAGATCTCGGGACTTGGGCTGGGAATCCTTCTGGCTGGTGGGGCCGGAGCATCAGATTTCTGTTTGCGCAAGGCCTCGAGCTGGCGGAGCGTCAGTTCCTGCTCGACAGCCGCGCGATGAGCATCTTCATCGGCTCGAACGCTGAGTAGTTGGTATTGAAGCTTATGGTGGGCAGCCTCCGTCTTCAACCGCGTGTGCTCCACAATGCAGGCCTGAAGCATTGCTCGAAGAGCATCGGGCGACGCAGCGACGACAGCTTCCGGTCTCGGTGCAGTGAAGAGCCCAGACGGTGTGGCTTCGTGACGAGCTGTGTTGAGGCCGGTGACTGGAGGCGATAGCATGCGCTGCCTCTGTGAGCTCGGTGGTACCCTGTTGCTGGGGCCGTTGGTGGGCACTTGGGAGGAGGGTGGAGGAGTCAAGGACGAGGGTATGACGGAAGCTCGATCGTCGTTTACTTCAGACTTGAGAGAGCGGCCGGGATCGGCTGGCGATGCGGGTGCCTCGGTCGATGGCAGGCTCGCGAGACTCTGTTGTGATGCATTGACGACGGGACCGTCTAGTGGGGCATCTTCCTCGACAGTGACGACGGGCCTTGCGACAGCCGCGTCCGAAGCAGACATGTTGGTTGTATTGAACAGCGCTCTATGAGAAATGGTCGCAGGGTCTGGCTGAAGCGAAGCAGAGGTTCACGAGCATGCTATGCCGGCAGGAAACGAGTGCGACCGCGCGACAGGTAGAGAGGAGCAACCGAGCTTGACGTCCCAGCAACGTCGATTCGAACGTCTTGAACGGCGAGAGAGAGGAGGGAGATGTTCGTCAGCTATGTTGCTAACTATGGTCGCATGGCGGAGGATTGGGTCGCCGTGTAGTAGAGCTGATTTTCGACGACAAGCGATGATGGTGGAGGTGGAGGTTAGGTGGTGTGGTGGTGGTGGTGGTGGTGGTTGTGAGGAGGAGCAGCAGCAGCAGTAGCAGCATGAGGGGGTGTGGACAGACGGTGAACGCGAATGAGTGCACGAAAGCCTGGATGCCGTGCAGGCGCAGGCCAGCGCAGAACCAGCGCAGAACCAGCGCACGGCAGCCAGTGTTTGAAGGATGGTTGGTCCTGCCTCGCGCAACAAATCAGAGGGGCTGGTCCGGGATTGGCTGTCAACTTGGCACTAGCTACTTTCGTGTCCGTGCCCGCGCCCAACGCACCCTTGTATCCTTGCAACCCGTGTGCTTGTGTACCCTTGTACTCTTGTACCCATGTATCCATGTATCCAAGCAACTCCTCCCACTCTCGAGTTCAATGCACCACCAGCACCAAACTCATCCTCACCGCATTCAGCTTGCCCACGGACCCTCCAGCTCGTCACCTCACCCGCGGCCGATGTCTCTCCCCTCTTCCACTGCTCAAAGCAGCGACAATTGCCTGACGGTTTCAGGAACAGGTCGAGGCTAGGACTGCAGATCATATTGTGCCTTGAGACACTCACCCGTTGGGCTGGCATAAACATTGTCTTTCCATTATGGCCCTGGTATAACAACCGTGCCTACATTATTACGACATCACAGCATCCCCAGAATGTAGTGCCCGTTGCCAGCTTCAATATCAAGGTCAAGAAAGACATAGAACAAAATTTTTGAAACCACAACGGACGGTCTTCGAAGAAACCGATGATGAATGAGCCAAGACATTAAGGACAGCATACGATCGATCCATTGACGCCATGCACCCGAATACCACTCACTACCGCGGGGATCTGAGAAAAACCCTGATATCTGCGGGCCCTTGAGAGTTCTTGTTGCCAATCCTTATCTACAATGCCATCACAAGCCCAACAACACCAGCGAGCCCAGCAAGGACGAGATTTTGGCCTGCCCCGGCCATGGCACCACTAGTCGAAGAGTTTGAAGTCGAGGAAGCCGATGCGGATGCGGACGTGGAAGTACCCTTTGTAGAGGTAGCCTTGCCAGTCATCGAGGCAGAAGAACCTGTCTCTGACGGGCCAGACGACGCAGACCCAGTCGGCTCGGCGGTCCCGGAGGTGGTGGAAGAGCCAGTGGCCGTGGTGCTGCCGCCGCCCTGGATTTTCTCCAGGCCGGCTGTGATCGTGACAGGCAGCAAGCTGTTCGAGAGGTCACTGGCAATGACACCAGTCGTGGTACCAGGGTCGTTCGCCTCGGGACCAGCGGCCGTCTCCGCGCAGGTCGCCGTGTCAGAGGCGATCTTGCAGTCGACGTCCATCGTGCTGTGGGTGATTAGCCAACATGCTCTATTTTTTTTCTCCAGATCCTATATAGGTGGGTTCGAAGACTGGCGTCGTGGGGATACTTACAAAGCATCGGCCTCAGTGACGTGAAGAGCAAGGGTCGACGGGCCATTGACGAAAGTGATTCCCGGTCCAAATCCACACTGCTAAGAGTCAGGACCAGAACAAATTGTTGATGGTGGGCTGCTTACATCGCTACCATCCGTGCCAGGTGCGCAAGTAACGAAATACGTCGTCTCATCGGGGGCAGCAGATATCACAGAAGCCACGATATTATCGCCCTCCGAGCCGTAGAGATACAAGCTGGTGACTGAGGTGGTTTGGGCCATTGTGCCAGCTGCGAGAGCAGAGGCCAGGATGATGGACTGTGCGAACATGATGGGTCCCTTCTGTTTGATGTGTGTCTACTAAGGTAAGCGAGTGGGTCGGCTTCCAGTGTGCGAGCTGCAGTTGGGCTGGACGACGGCGACGGAGTTATGAACGAGTGACGGGTGCCTTTGAAAGAGAGAGGAAACAAAAACCGGAACGGTTGGACTCCGTTCTTCTTTTACCTCGAGTCCAAAAGTTGCCCCTGGGATCCTGAGCTAGTGGTTTCCCCTCCTTCAGCCAATTGTTCAGTTGCCATCAATTAGTCGACAGGCCGGCCGTCAGCCACAGCCTCTTCTGGCCTAGCTCCGCGGATCTGAAATTAAGCATCATGAAAAAGGAGCCGCATGAACATCCTTGTCACAGGCAGCAGCATCTGCCACCACGCAGCAAGAGTCTAAAAAAGCAACGTAATTGATTGTGTCCGTCTTGCTATGCAATCAGCTGCATCAACCGCAGCAGCTTCTTTCGCCTCCCAGTAAACCAAATTCAACGCATCTGTCGTCAATCGATCCAACGACCAAAGAAATTCATCGCAGTATTTGCTCCTCCAGTCTTGAAAGTCTGTCCATCACCCGCGCATTTCCATGTCCAAAGTCATGGCTAGTTTCCATGCCAATCCCTGCTGCCTAGACAGCACCCTTAACCTTGATGAGCTCAGGCTCTGGGATGCTTAGGTCCCCCCTCATGACATGATCCTCCCTCTGGCTTGATGGCTTCTGCCAACAAAGCTTCCATGATGTCAGGTGTGGGTTGATCTCCGCCGCCAGCCGTCGCTGATTGTCCCTGGCAGCAGGACTCACGGCGGCCTGGTTGATCCCAAGAAGCAGCCTCATCTGCCTCCTTACTATTCTGACGGCGCCAGTCGCGTGTCCCTCGAGAGCTTCGACGTGCCGTTGTAGGAGCTTTTCTAGCCCGGCCTCCATTTCCTCGCAGGCTTTGACAGCCATGTCTGCGGAATGGTCTCTGGCGAACCGCTTCAAGATCTCATCTCGCTTGCGGACACAACCGGCGCCTGAAGCAAACAACGTCAGTATTGGTGCGAGACATGATGAGCACATGTACTTACCCCTGGTCTCATACGCCTCTTGGAACACCGGTTTCATGATCCTCTGGATCTCTTGCTGGAAGAGAGGGTGAACGTCTCGTGCACCACTCTCCAGATGCGCGAGGCTCTGATAGATATTGTGTCCTAGGTGTGTCTCGGCGTTCTCGATAGCTTCTCGGACTTTGCCAATAAATCGGGCCTGCGCAGTCTCAGGCTTGTTGCAAAAGCCGTCGAGGGCCATCATGTAACGCCGCCACACATGTTCCAATGAGTCTTGAATTTTGTTTTCGTAGCTGGGAACAATAATGTGGAAAGCGTGCGCCCAATCCACGTAAATTTCGTTGAAAAAAAGATGAGCACTGAATCGCTGTTAGTGAAAAAGCTGGAAACCTGGGAAGAAGTTGAAGTGAGGCCTACAGGACATCAATCCACTGGTACTCGTGCGGGTACTTGCCCTTGCTCTGATGATAGTCACCATTCTTCCGCAGGATGCAAGTCTGCACATTCGCGTGAAGCTTGAGGGCGGATATGGGTCTGTCAGGGTATGTAAAGCGCCAACGATCAATCTTGCCGGGATATTCTTTTCGGCATAAGGCCAGTGCCGCTTCTTTCGCCTTTAGAGGCTCAATCTGCCTTAGTTGCTCGCCAGATTGCCTCAAAATGGTGGTAAGTGCCTGGCTGAAATTAGAAGAAGTTCCTGTAGACGAACAGGTCGGGAATACTTACTCGATGATAACGTCGATGTATAGACTCAAGTTCATGCAGACCGTCAATTGGAGCCACTGCCACAGTGTCAAGGGCAGAAATCCAAGATTGCATCCTGGCAAACAAACTCGCCAGATCATTCAAGGTTGCATCAAGATGTTTCTCCCGCCTCTTGAATGTCACCTCGAAGAGCCATTGCATGAATCGGGGGACTCCAGTGTAGTTCTCATCTGGGAAGCCTGTCTCCTTTTCGCCACCAGGATGTCGAATCTCCTGGTAAGCGCGAGCACTGGTGGGAAATACTTCGATGGTGTCATCGTCGACCTGGTGATAATCAGACGATTTAGCTGGCACAAGTCGCTCACGGAATCCTTTCTGGATACGCTCAGAAATATTTCGGTTGCGAACGAACACAGCAGTCTGTTTCAAAGACTCCCTGAGGTTGAGGAATTGCCGCCGATGGGACTCTATTTCACTGCCTTCGCTTGCAGCATTCGTGTTGTGTCCCAGCATTCCGGGCTCAGGGTCAATAAGTCCAGCTTCAATTTCTCGAATCGTCTTGTCCAGCTCTTGAGCTCGTTTGAGATGGTCTTCCAAATCTGGGTGGTTCTTGGCAATCCATTTCTCTTTCAAATAGTTATTCGGGTCCAAGTCCTCACTCTTCGACACAACGACGCAAAGCGAGTCTCGGTCAAATTTTCCATTCATACGCATTGCGTCCTCTTGGCGCCGTTTAGTGAATCCAATGACCGTCTTTTCCTCGGTCGCACGAATCGCCGGTGCGATAATGGCGGTGATGTCAAGAGTTTTGGCAAATCGTTCTGCGACCCTTGAACGTCCCTCCACTGCATCGCCCAGACCAGGCAGGTCAACAAGTTGAATTCCGTACTTCAGGATATCTGAATTGACGTAGATAGTCACATGGTCAATTAAAGGCCAAAGAGTCAGTTCTCGACCGCCATAGTTGGCAGGGGTCGAGTCCAGAAACGGTTTGATCTTGGTCACGAAAATCTCGCGATCTGTCTCTGTTACTTCCATCATGGTTCCAAGGACTTCCAGTGGATGGTCGTCGAGGAATTCTTTTGTCGAAGTCACACTCAGGTCATCCTCTTTGACTCCCAAGAGGACAAAAAGCGTTTCGAGGGTATCGGTTGTGATCTTTTCCAGGTCTTCAAGCTCACCTTCGATCTCTTCGTTCTCAGCAGCCTCTGGGTCTTCTGCCATCCTCGCTTGAAGTTTCCGCTTCTTCTTAAGGTTCTCAAACAACTCATCCAACTCATCAGTAAAACTCTGACGGCTGCGGAAAAGAGTTTCTGCTCGGTAGCCATGACACCCATGATTGTACACAACCTGGCATGCAACAGCGGTCCCAGCTCTGTCACTGCTGGATGGGAGCAACTCTCGCTCTCCAAGCAATGCATTGAGAAGAGTACTCTTCCCGGATCCGAGCGCCCCAATCAAGCCGACTGTAGAATGAGGGGTCTCATAAGACTCTTTGACGGCACCTGAAATTTATGTTAATGATTGACAACATACCGAGACCATCTTGTCCATACTTACCAAACTGAGCCTCCCATTCTTCTAAATCTTCGGTCATTATTGCTCCATCCTTGTCGTTGATTCGACTTCTCAAGATGTTGCTCAACCGCTCTCCTAGCCTCAAGGCATCTAGAACAGCCTGCTGCTTGATGTCGACACGGTCCCGTTCAGTCTCATTCATGCAGGTTTTCCAACGAAAAGATGAGACGTTCGGAGCTGGTGTGGGCTCCAAGTTTGAGTCTACTTCCGCGTCATTTGTAGACTTAGACGCTGCGATCGGCGTCTTCGTAGCTGGATTGGGTTTCATGGTAGGTCTTGCTCTTGCATGGCCAATGGAGACGTTTGGGAAATTCGCAGCTCTGGATGGAAGAAAAGGTCGACGGTGGTGATAGAGAAGCGACTTAGATGGAAGACAGGGAAAAAAAAATTGGTATTAGATCTGGGTGAGTTAATGAGATGAGGGGAAGGCTCAAGCTAGGATTGCCCAACTTTTTGTGTTCCTCTCACGGGAAGGTTTCAGTCATTGCTGAAGTGGATGCATTCGGATTTGAAGGAAGTGTTTTCCAAAGCGAGGCTTAGCAAGACCTGGCCAGGTGATTGGCAGGCGGTAATAAACAGTGAGAAAATTAAGAGGACTGGCCGTTGTTATTCGGGATATGAGTTGATGTTTGATGAAATGGTCGAACTCTGAGGCCTCTGAAAGTCTTTCGAAAGTGGGATGCTATGTTTCCTGTAGAACGATTGCGACCAACGCTTCTGATGGATTGGGAAGATTCAATATTGGAAAACTTTTGAGCCTTGTGAAGAGCCTGTTATGGAGTGTCTGCAGCCGCTTGATCTAATGGTGACCTCGTTTTGCTTGTGGAATGCGGATGTTAGTATCCGAGTGCAGTAGAGCACAGGACGATGAACACTGAAGTTGCCAGCAGGAGTCCACAATCTCATATGATTTTTGTCAGCCACCAGTCAAGGAAAGTAGGAGCCGATGGTCTTTCAAAGGTCATGTGTGATGAGTTGAAAATCAGTTATCGAAATGAAACTTTTGTGGCACATTAGAAGTTGAACGATCCTCAGGTCGGCAAGGTGCGATCTGGTTGTGCGATGCAGAATCTCCGCGAAGGTGATTCTTACGAAGTCACCGTTTCAAAATGTGCCTGAGTACTGTCACATATGAACAAGTCAATGAGGATTTTCAAAATAATAGAGATCAGGCCTCAACTGTGTTCAGAAGAAAGGCCTCAAGTTTTCGGGATCAAGGTCAAAGTAAGACTAGAAGGCCACGTTTTGAATTTGAAGCCGCCAGCGACACTGTGTGAGGCAAGACGGTCGGAGAATGTAATGAGAAATGCTATTTAAAAGGTCAAGGCTTCGATGTGGTGAGATTTGCGAGAGACTTGATTGTTTAGACTCGGGCACAGGAATCTCAAGGGGAAGGCAGACAACGACTCACCAAATTCGGACATTGCAACTGGGCCAAATCTGTTGTAATAATGTACGTGGCGATAAGACTGCTAGCACCTGCGCTTTTCTAAAAGACACTCGAGCGCAGGTTTTACGGTGAAAGACTTTTATTGGAGACGCCCATGGTCCTTAGAGGCTTGGACGTTTCTTGCCATTTCCCAGTTGTCAAGTCATATTCATTGCCGTTATCTATATGGCCATTCCCCTGCACTGTTAGAATGCCAGACTGATACACTTTTGGCGCTCTTGCGGACGGCCGCAAGATTCTGGCTGACCAGTCAGCTCTAATGTGCTAAATCCGAGAGGTCAACATTCATAACCATAGCATTTCTATACACATAGAAGAGGCGCAGTACTGTCGAAACACAGCATTACAGGTATTGCAAACTCAAGCCGCGCAGTGACACTGGCGTGGCGTATCAATGTAGTCTGCTATATAGATACTGCAATCAAATGCAGGTGAGACCTTGCTTCGCTTTCCAACACTGCATTCAAACGCTCCATAGATTCATGTCACGTCTTATAGGCGAGAGAATTTAGAAATGAGTAACTCATCGTTCATGAAACATCGATGACAGGCACTCTTTTCGAAATATGTACACCGACAGTGATGTACTCTGCCATGTTGCCCGGTGTATTGCCCGGGTTCCTGTGCGTCTTGATCGAACTTATAAACATTTCATGTGGATTCCAAAGTCTGCTAAGAGCTTGTCTTGTGAGAAGAGGGATGGTATAGCTCAGGCTAATGAAATCAGGCGTGCACAAAGGCAGTCTGCCACTCACTACCGGGAGCAGAAGATGACGCAGGTGGTGGGAAGTGCCTCGAGTCAGACGCGACGACTTCTTGGCCAACGTCACAGCAAAGGAAACAAATTCTTCTTTTTGAGGGTTGGCGACGTTCAAATCTCTCGGGCATAGGACCCTTATCAAGCGTGACCAGAAAACAGTGATATGATAATTAGTACGAACACAGTGGCTTCGACAGGCACTGGACGTTGCAGCTGTAACATAAGGTGTGTAAGCATTCGTTCTCTTACAGCAGTCGGAGCAGGGATGAGGAGGGGCTTGCCACGGAGACTTCCGACTTAGTCTGTGATGAGCTGCAAGGTCCTCGGCAGATGGGCAGATAAAGTTACGGGAAATCGATGTCATGTTCGCTTTTAGAACAAGTTGCCGACCGCCCCCACTCAATGCTCATCCTTCCTGCGCCGCATCAGCACGTTGGACCAGAGGGTCCACTGGACAGAGGCACAATATAGCTATCGATTAAGGACTCATATTCAGGCAAAGTCATTCATGGTACAATGTGTAACGTGGAATATTGTGCCTTTCTCTCATAATTTTGTAATTGGAAGCATGGTCCAAGTGTAGCTAGTAGGGTCTCAAAGCATGGCGCATACCCTCGAAGTTTCGTACATGGTAAAGGAGTGCATTGCTCCAGTGGCGGCGTGGATGGTGCAACACAATCTATTTCCCTCGAATTTCTAGGCGATCATCATCCAGAGCATTATCACAGGCGTTGTCCCAGAGACGTTATCCAGAGGGCGATCATCCCTCACAACAGGGCTGGTGCTCACGTCCTTCTAGGAACCTCGGGAATGGTTGCATCCAACCATAAATGCCCTATCAGTTACGGCATTTAATTCTTCGAGAACATGTTTTAGCGTGGAGTTACTGGCTACGTGGACAAAGTGTGGGGCAAAGTTGTAGACGTAAATCAAGCTTACGAACATTCTAGATTAATATTCAACGTAGTCGTTTGGAGCGGGCGCATATTTTCCCCTGCGGCCCGCTAGGATTATTCAGCTGTTTCCAAGATTCGGAACCTGAGCGGGCCCACCCGACGCTTGAAAATTTCTTAGTATGGGACTGACACTACGAGCTAAAGTTACGTATTAAACAGCCCCCTAATAGTCTTGTACGATACGCAGCGCCCGTACGCAGCAATTCTTGTCGAGAATCTTTTGGAATAAAGCATTGACGTCTGCATGCGTAAAAATGCTGGGCAATTCATTGGATTTCTGTGTGATAAACAGTTTGTAATTCAGGTGGTTCTCACCTCGTCAAGCATGGTATATTGGCTGGCAGAGCGCTATGGACAACGTCATATCACGTTGTTGAGGCTATGACTCGGCGGGCCTCGGGATGTTCAGGTACCACAGAGACCGGGACAGCCTGTCGAGTAAGTATCCACATTGGTAACCCAGAGGCCCCTTGACGATCATGCTATGGCCTGTCTGCGATCTGTCTGTATTTTTAAGCAGGGAGAATCAGAACCAGTCGGAAGAACTATCGTAGCGGTGGGGAGAACTTTCGAAATCATGGAAATGGGATATATAAAGGTCGACCGTTAATCCTCTTCACTTTTGGCAGTATCGTGCATTCACATCTCAGAACAAGAACAGATCTCTCTTATATTCTCTGCATCGTACACGTAGATTCCTAAATTTGATACCCTGCAGCGTTCTCTCTTCACATTTACACGATTCACGTATTGTCTTTCAACATGGCCGAGAACACCAAGCTGTTTACACCACTCAAGGTCGGTTCCACGACCTTGGAGCACAGAATTGTCATGGCTCCCTTGACACGATTCAGAGGAACAGATGACCATGTCCCGACCGACATCATGGCTCGTTATTATCAACAAAGAAGTGTCGTCCCCGGCACTCTGGTCATCTCTGAAGCGACCTTCATCTCCAAGCAAGGCGGTGGCTATGCCAACGTCCCTGGTCTCTACACAGACGCCCAGCTGGAAGGATGGAAGAAGGTTACCGACGCTGTCCACGCCAAGGGTTCCAAGATTTTCGCACAGCTTTGGCATCTGGGCCGTGCCGCCGCTGCGGGCGAGGCTTCCGGAAACCCCCCTAAGGACGACAGCTTTGATTGGGAAAAGGACTTCGTCAGTGCCAGTGCGGTGCCGATCACCGAGGCTGAGCCTGTGCCTCGAGCTTTGACCGAGGAGGAGATCCAGACTACAATTGCCGACTACGCGAGGGCCGCCAAGAATGCTGTTGAGAAGGGCGGATTCGACGGTGTTGAGATTCACGGCGCCCACGGCTATCTCATCGACCAGTTCACTCAGGACACATCAAACAAGCGCACCGATTCGTGGGGTGGAAGCATTGAGAATCGCGCCCGCTTCGCCGTTGAGGTTGCCAAGGCTGTAGTCGCAGCCGTCGGCAAGGAGAAGGTTGGCATCCGTCTGTCTCCCTGGTCCACGTTCCAGGGGATGCGCATGAAGGACCCCATTCCGCAATTCAGCTACCTCATCGACCGCCTGACAGAGCTGGACCTGTCTTTCTTGCACTTGGTCGAGCCAAGAGTCCATGGAGTCGTCGACATGGAGCCTGCGAACGAGACTCTTGACTTCGCCCTACAGGCCTGGGGCCGGGAGAAGCCGATCTTCATCGCTGGCGGTTACACCACGGAGCTCGCTGTTGAGGCTGTCGAGAAGAAGTACAAGGACTACGCTGACCAGTTGGCCATCGTTTTCGGCCGCCGATTCATTTCCAACCCAGACTTGGTATTTAAGGTGCAGAAGGGCATTCCGTTTGCCGAGTATGACCGTGCGACCTTTTACATTCACCAGAAGAAGGGTGACAAGGTTGAACCTGGATACATCGACTACCCATACTCCGAGGAGTTCATCAAGCAGTTCGGCGAGCCGGCTCTTGACTACTAAACTCGTCTGAGTGCTTGGACAGAAGGACTGTTGATACGATACGGAGATAGTACGCGGGGATATGTCAGTGCCATCTGTGGTGACGAGATCCAATGAGTAAGACAGATAGACATGTGCCCCTTGCACATTTATGAAACATAGTAAAAGCGTCACGGCTACATCTGGGGTTTGGGAGTTAGAAAATAGAGATACCAATAGAAATAAACAATTTCGTCAATAATGAGGACTTAATGACTCGGTGTTTCTTTTAATCTTCCAACTCGGTTCGTATTTGAAATGTAAAGTCTCATAATCGCTTCAGACTATTGTCTAAGTGGTGGTGTGAAGCCTGAATTGTCTGCTGACAGTCAAAGCGTTCCCTTAGGAATACTGCTCAAGCGTAGACGCTCGTGAAAGCTGATGATAGAGCAAGAAGATCGGAGCAGGCGTGGAATTCATCATAATCTCAGGGAGTTTGAGTGTCTAATCGGGGAAACGTTTAAGTAGAGAGAGCAAATGGCAGATACAAAGTACGCATCACTAAAGTAAAGGTAACAGGTATAACCTTCAGGAGCTCTCTGTATAGACAAGGCCCACAAAGCCCTCAATGGAGTCTGCGATGTCTTTGTCCTCCTGCGTTGCGTGAGTGATTTACCATCTCTAGAAGCACTTCTCAACCAATCGACGATTGGCAATTTGCACTGCCCGTGCCTCATCATGGCATTGTGTGTAGTTCGCCTTGCAGATCTGCGGCGCAGTCGACCAACAGCCGCAGCTACCCAGGCAGCGCGCGGTCGTGCATAATATGATCAAGTTACCTTGGCGGTCTAAAGCAAAGTACCATCATTAAAGTGGACGAATGCAACGCAAAACTTGGGAGTCGGCTTGTTGGCCGGAAATTTGCCGCCCGCCCAGCCTGTTGGTCCAAGGGTGGTTACTGGCGCTGTTACATAGGTATACACTTATGCATAAGAAGAAGCCAACTGCAGCTTTGGCTGTCCATTCCATCCAATTAGTGCACCAAATTTCTATATATGTTGTTCGACATAGAATCCCAAGGCACAACCAGGAGATACACGGATTTTCCTCCAGCCATCCTTTGCCTTTAGGACCGCTCCATATTTGTGTCCAGATTCTCGTTACTTCTGCAATCATGACAACAGGCTATGACTTCATGGTAGTTGGAGGCGGCACTGCTGGCCTAGTGGTTGCGTCGCGTCTTTCTGAGTCCCCTGAACACCGGGTTCTAGTCCTGGAGGCGGGATCGGACCATACTGAAGATCCGCGTGTGAAGACTCCAATCTTCTACTCAGCATTGCTTGGCTCCGAGGCCGACTGGGCCTTTCGCAGTGAGCCCCAGGTAAGTCTTCGGAATCGCCCATGCTCTGCACGTGTTATAATGACAGAAATATCAGGAGAGTCTTAACGGGCGAGTGATTCATCTGCATCAGGGCAAAGCTCTCGGTGGTTCGAGCGCTCTGAATGCACATGTGTTTGTCCCTCCCGCCAAAGGGCTCATCGACTCCTGGAAGACACTGGGAAACGAAGGCTGGAATTGGGATAGCCTCAAGACCCACCTGTCCAAGTCCTATACCAGTCCCACGGTCGACAAAGCGAATGAAAAGGCTCTTGGGATTGATGGTTGGGCTTCTAGAAACGACGCAGCAGAGGGTCCACTTCAGACAAGCTTCTCTGGCGATCTGTCTCACCCGATTCGCGAGGTTTGGGCAGATACTTTCAAGGCGAATGGCCATTACATGACTGAAGACCCGTTTCTCAATGGATCCGTGGGGTCTTTCAGCTGTCTCGCTACCATTGATCCTGTGAAGAAGGAAAGAAGCTATTCTACCACTGCTTATTACAACCCCATCAAGGAACGAAGGAATCTTCAAGTGCTTACAAAGTCTCACGTGGGAAAGATTCTTACCCAGAAGGATGGTGGCTCCACGAAGGCTATCGGAGTCCAGTACACTCACGATGGCGAGTTGAAAACGATCTTAGCCAGCAAGGAGGTGATTATCGCTGCTGGTGCTTTCCAGTCTCCCAAGTTACTAGAATTGTCCGGCATTGGAAACGCAGAACTTCTTGATAAGCATGGGATCGAGGTTGTCAAGGACCTTCCGGGAGTAGGAGAAAACCTCCACGACCACGCGATCTGTTACACGGGCTTTAAAGCCGTAGATGAGGTTTCTACTCTTGACTCCTTGATTAGACAGGAGCCAGAAGCCCTGCAGCAGGCAATGCAAGAGTATGGGGCAGCCCAAAGCGGCCCACTGACGTCCTGTGGAGTCTACACCTACGCGTATCTCCCAGTGCTGGAGCACGTGTCTGCTGAGGGTCAGAAAACACTGAAGACGCTACTCGAGAAGAACCGTCCCGCTTCAGGAAGTAGCCAGGAGGAGGCCCGAGCCCAGGCATTCTATGATGTCGCAGAGAGGGCCTTGCTTGACCCAAAAGAACCATCAGGAGCCTACGTCACGGCGTTGGCTCAGATAACCATCCCAATTGACGCCAATGCTGAAAAGCCATCTGCCGCCCTTCCAGTCAAGTACATCACGATTGGGTCTATGCTTTCGCAGCCTCTGTCCCGTGGAAGCGTTCACATTGGTTCCAAGGATCCTTCTGCCCAGCCCATCATCGACCCAAATTATCTGTCTCATCCCGTCGATGTCGAGATCATGGCACATCACATATTGCACACCAAGACCATTGCCATGTCTTCGCCCTTCAACAATTTGCTGGAAAAGCCTCTCACACACCGTGACCCCGCTGCGGACTTCACGGACTTGGAAGCCGCCAAGGCCTATGCCCGGGCAAATGCAATTTCAATGTGGCATCTTGGAGGTACATGTGCTATGTTGCCAAAGGAGAAAGCCGGTGTCGTGGACACAAGTCTGAAAGTGTATGGTGTCGAGAATCTGCGCGTAGTTGATGCGAGTGCGATCCCACTCATCAGCACAGCAAATATTCAGGCAACTGTCTATGCATTTGCTGAAAAGGCGGCAGACATCATCAAGAATGATTGGAAATCGAACTAATTGTCACTGAGGCCACGATACGGAGTTTCTGACAACCTGCTTCATACGCAGGTCACCGATGGGACCGACGACATCATCATGTACGTGGCCAAAATTTCAAAACTGCGTGTCCACGAATAATCTTTGCACGCATGTGCTGAAATAGTGTCAATAACATTTCTGTTGCTCGTGTTGGGTATCAAAACACTGTCGCTGTGAACATGATATTAGCTGCAACTATCGTGGTAAGGAGCAATGCTTCATCTACACTGATATCTGGCTCTTGCTCTGATATTTCTACCAATTTCCACGATCAGTTCTATTTTCGGATCTCAGTTCTTTGGAACCAATGTTGTATCGCTTTCGGATGTGTCTGCAAAGGTTAGCATAGTGGTCTCATCTCAGCTATGGATCTTATGGGCAATATCTATCCCTCTCACTCTACTCATTCTAGGAGGGTGGCTGCTTTGGCTGCGTCCTTCTCAACATAGACCTAAAGCCGCTGAAACAAAGATGGCTCGTTTAAGGAGATGTTTTAGATCAGCACATTTTGTTAACATGAAAGCCATTCCAAGTAGTTTCAGATATTGTTTGAGATTGAAAAGCAAACATTATATTATGATGTTCGCGCAATCCAATCAAACCCGTCCGTGAAAAACCTACATGCTCGCATCAGATTCATTTCCTAGGTAGGTCCTGGAAAGCTACTTAGGGAGGCTATAGTATACGTCGTCAGCCCTGAGGCTGGAGCAGGCGGTTCTATTTTTGGCTAATCAGAAAGATCGGCCTCGAGATCGACGTCACATCCCGTCTATCCAAGGCAAGTGGGTCACCGCGAGGGTTTCCATCACAAGATGAAAGTGGGCCATCCTACAGTAAACGGTCTGTTTCCGAGGACAACAATACGAACCTGTCGCTTTCTTTCGCAATACGGGCTGGCAGGCAGGCAGGCAGGTAGGGAAGGATGCAGGAACAAGACATTCTTGAGCGCGCTAGGGCTTTGACCATGCATTTCCCTCCTCAGTAAGGTCATGGTACGATCTACGCTAATGCAGTAAGAGCCGCGCGTACGGACACGACAGCGAGACGTTGAACCACATGCAGCCTTCCCGTTCCATCCACCGCGGGCGTCCAGAATATATACTAAGCAGCGGCAGTTTGTTCCCGTGCCTCTACAGCATGGAACACGATACTGTACTCAGACGTAGATTTACTGTAGTTCTCCGTAATCCACATTACGTCACGTTGCGACTCGATGCGCGCGGCCCGCACATGAAATGCTTGTTTTCAGGCAGGCCAGTCCACAATTCCAGGGGGGAAAAGTGGCACGCAGCACTCGAGAGATTGAGACCAGCGCGCACGCAACCAACAACAAATCAGCAAAACTGACCAAAAGCAACGATTTCAGAGTATGCTGAGGGAGTTAAATGACAACAATGACAATCATGCAATCCAGGAGGAAAGGTCTTCGGACTTGACTTGCGACGGATTCTCACTGCCACCGCAAGAACCTTGCACGCAAATACAGCCCCATTATAAACCCACACGGGCCTGACGGATCACATCCTCATCGGTCCGAACAGCACAGGCACACCACGTATATCCACAAAAGAGGATTACGTGCCCATCAGGGCTGTGTCCCACCCTTAAAGCCCGCAATCGCTTCGCTAGACGCATTTCCAACTGGACTTGGCTTTTCCTTGGCTTTGCTTCTTTTCAACCCCTGCTTCGACCCAAAGACCATCTCCCGCACCGCCAAACGCTTTGCCAAGATTCCACGATACGCCGTGTGAATTCGATCCGATGTGGTCTTGAGCTTTGGAAGTCGATTCTATCCGCCGAAAATACGATAATGCGATTTTCAACATGGCCGCTCTGCATATTAGGCGTCTTCGCGCCTCTAGCTGTGGCCAGCGTCGACATTGATTGGACATCAGATGGTATGTTACAGTACAGGCAAATGCCATAATATATCACTTGACCCTATTAGCCATGTTAGGACGTGGACGAAAGGCATGACACGTATGCGACTCGAGGATCAGTGGGAAGCTGTTTGAACCCTGGATGTGTGGCTCGTCAGTCGATCTGCTCTGGTAGCATGCAGTTGAGCAATAGACAGGGTGCATTCTCAAGAGTTTCTGCGGCTTGCCAACTGTGTCTTTCATTCACTCTAGCTCTCACTTCACTAGCTGTCCAATTTTGGCTAACGTGGCGGACACAGACTCGATAAAAGAAGGCGCTGGAACCATCGCGTACGGGTTGATGAAATGGTACACAGGCAACCACACGGGTGACGTGCCCGGCAACTTGCCAGACCCGTACTACTGGTGGGAGGCGGGAGCAATGTTCGGAACGCTTGTTGACTACTGGGCATACACCGGTGATGAGAGCTACGTCGACGAGACATATCAGGCCCTCCAGCATCAAATAGGCGACGACGGCGACTTCATGCCAGAGAACCAAACCCTCACCGAGGGAAACGACGACCAGGGCTTCTGGGCGATGGCGGCCATGACAGCGGCCGAGACCAACTTCAAGAATCCCAACTCGACCGATGGAGTCCAGTGGCTGGCAGCTGCACAGGCTGTTTTCAACGAGTATGTCTGGCGGTGGGAGGCATCAAACAACACCTGTGGTGGCGGGCTGCGGTGGCAGATCTTTACATTCAATACCGGGTACACTTACAAAAACACGATCTCCAACGGATGCTTCTTCAACATCGCCTCGAGACTGGCACGGTATACGGGGAATGATTCTTATGCCGACTGGGCGAATACCGTATATGATTGGATGGACACCGTGGGCTTTATTGACGACGATTACAATATCTACGACGGCGCTGACAGCACAAATGGGAGTTGCTCAAATCCCGACAAGGCCCAATGGACATACAACGCCGGAATCTTCATGCACGGAGCGGCCGTCATGTACAATTACACGGATGGTGGTGAGGTCTGGGCAACCCGCGTCAACGGGCTCCTCAAGAGGACTGCGGCCTACTTCTTCGACGATAACGTCATACAGGAGCCGCCTTGCGAGCCTCAGAACACTTGTACGACAGATGATTACTCGTTCAAAGGGTACGCCCTGAAGTGGATGTCCAAGGCGGCCCAGATGATGCCATCGGTCTACGACACAATCCAGCCGCTCCTCCTGGCCACGGGCAAAGCCGCGGCGGCCACCTGCACCGGCACCGCAACGGGCAGCGAAGGCGCCACTCTTGACGGTATTGCGTGTGGATTCAAGTGGACGACAAACACGAATGACGGGACCAGCGGCGTCGGACAGCAGATGAGTGCCCTGCAGGCGGTATTATTCACATTGAGCGGCCCCACACCTTACACTACCAGCACTGGCGGAACATCAAGCGGAGATACAAGTGGCGGTAGCGACAAGACGGATAAGACCGTTGCCGGTACCACTCCAATCACGACTGGCGATCGAGCAGGAGCCGGGATCTTGACGGCCATGATGCTGGCGGGGATGTTGGGAGGATGTGGGTGGATGATCATGGACTAAGAGCACTTTGTGAGGAATAGCCAGCTAGCTGGCGTGCTTGAGGTGGATTTACCATCGACGATGTCTGTTTGTGTTATTATTCCCCAGAGGTAATTATGAACCTTTACCGTTATGAGTTTTGTTCGCGGACTTGGTGTTTAGCGTGGAAGGACCCAGGTCAACAAACTGTAGCTAGAGCTTACAAGAACCATCTTATACCCAATATATGAGAGCTAGTCCGAAGCGTAACCTCCTTTCATTAGAACACCTGTGTGACAGTATCCTGGAGCATGATTTACTCACTAATTGGTAGGGCACCAAGAGTGATGTGGTAAGTTTCTAGCATCTTGAAGATACAGCCAGGGCATATTCTTAGACACCTAAATAGCCTATTCTGGGCTACAGGCCAACAGAGTCCATTCAGAACTTTGCTTGACAAGAATCAGGAGGCAGCTTGATGTTTCAGGGGTAATCTCAAACTCGCATGAGATGGAGATCCTCAGTGCAGGTTGTTGTTTACAGGCTGAATCCGTATTCAGTGACGAAGTTCTGAGAAGCTAATGTAAATTCCACGATTGACGACACCATATTTGCATCACCACACCGCGTCCATCGATTCCATACTGGTGTTGCCCATTTCGAGATCGAGATTTTATTTCCAGATGTACTGATCACAACCAGCTGTGCTAATTTAAGCTTAGGTCTATCAGCGGCTACATAAATTCGACGACGCCGGGCCACAGAGACTATATAGTGCGCTTTGCAGTGACCGTAGTGAATTGATTGCTTGTAGCTGATTGTGGCAAAAGCGACCGACTACATGGACGATGAGAGAGGATGTGAATGGGATTGCTATGGGACTGGGCTAGCTCCTCGTTTTTAAGAGATAACGGCGGGCTTTGGATCTTGGCTTCCCCGTTTAATCTGTTAACGGAAATTATGAATGGGCGGTGCATATTTGAAGGCCGCAATGCGCTGCTGACAGCTCTACGAGAATAAGAAAATAAGAAACAGAAATTACGCTGTGGAAGTCACAAAAGCCAAAGCAAAAGATCTGACGATGAGTGCAGAGTAATGGCCTGAAACGACCTGGAATTCCACAGAACAATATCTTTCATGGGTGACCCGATCTGTATCGCTCTTTAAAGCCTAACCTCGTGCTTGACTTGGCTTGCCCCGCTCGGAATTCACAACAAGTGCTCGTCAAACCACCCAACAGCCTGGTAAAAGGCCTGCTCCTTGGACCACCGCTGGACCCTGACGGAGAGGTCGCAACGCACCGCAAATCCGTGCTGGACGCCGCTGAAAAGGTTGATCTGGTATGGCTGGCCGACCTTCTGCAAGATCTCCTCGGACTTGTGGCGCTTTTCCGCCGGGAAGATCTGGTCCGTCTCCGCGGCGGAGATGGACAGGGGACCGGTGATGGCAGCGAGCTCGTCCTCATCGACAAAGGAAGGGTGGGCGACGTAGCCGACCTTGATGCCGTCCTTGTAGTGGCGGACGACGTACTGGAAGAAGGATATAACTGTCAGCACGCGGGGAAAGTGTCGCGTAGTAAGCAGACATGAGCGGGCTTACCTTGGCGCCGAAACAGTACCCTACGGCACCAATCTTGGTGAACCCCTGGTCCTTCAAGTACTTCAGGCCGACCTCCACGATAGGGTCAACGGCCTCCTTGGTGTGAGGGTTCTTGCCGTCCCCGCCCTCTTGGATCCATTTCATGACATCTTGAGGAGGGGGATTGGGGAATACGTCGCCGTTGAAGACATCGACGATGATGGTGTGGTATCCGTTGGCAGCGAACTGATCGGCCATGAGCTTGGAGTTTTGCCAGATGCCGAAGATATCGGGGATGTAAAGCAGGGCGGCACCATCGTGCTTCTTGCCCTTGGGCTCGGCCACGTAGGTATCGTACTGGCCGACCTTGATGATTTTGCCGGTCGGCTCGCCCCTATGGAGGTAGAGACTTGGTTAGCCCGTTGTATGCACGCGTATGCAACGAAGCTTGGCGTGAGAGCTCGGAGCTCAGAACTCAGAACTCAGAATGAAAAGCCAAGACCACGGGACTCAGCGGGCCAGAATCTCGGCATCCGTCGACAGAGTAGTGAGAGTCATGTCGAGGACAGGCGAGGGAATAACTCACTCATGCTTGACACCAACAGTGCAGCACTGTCCTGGTTGGTTAGAGGCCATTTTGCTTGGTGAGAGTGAGTGAGTTTCGTCAGAAGCGGGATGAGTAGCTTGTAGCCGAGACGGGATTCACAGTCTGGATCTGGCAAAAGGCTGCGGAATGAGAGACAAAAAAGTTGAGCTACCTGATTTATAATGAAGCAAGGCAAGATCCGCTTGATCTGTTACGGCCGTAAGGCGGCTGTGGCACCGTCCCGCCGCAGGCCCACCGAGCTGCCACCCGACGAAGATCCATTCTGGCCAGTCGCGAAGGCTTGACCGTAGTCGCTGATGTAATAGGTCCGACTTGAAGTGCAGTGGGCTCTCACAGTAGACTAAGCAACAGGCAGAACAGGATGCTTAGCTTTGTTTGGAACCCCGCTATCGCCGCATCCTTATATCGTTTGGTGTCGGACCTTCCGGGCTAGGTGTCGCGTCTTGCGTTTCCAATGAGTGTAGACGTGGTGGGAGAGACTGGAAGCCGTGTGTTGCGACTGAATACCCACCCCCCTTGCCGATCTAGCCTGTAGATCCCGAGTCCCCGTGAAGATCAATGCCGAGGCACTAACTGTGAGAGATATACAGTAAATGCCGGGCTCCCAGAACCAGACAGCTGGGCTGCGAGCCGTGTAGACCCTTCACATTGGATTCGAGCAGGAGCCTATAGATCCATTTCGTTGCAATGTTAAGAAAAAAAGATTGTACGGAGACCCTGGCCAGTGGTACTTCAACCCCCTTGGCTATCCTTTACAATTTGTCGCGCCTGAGCGAGACGGGATGATCAGAAGCCCGTGGCCTGGAAGCTTTGTAGACTAGAGCTGTGTGCTCCGGTCCGGCAGAGCCCGGGGCACGTCATAGATACCACCACATTATCCGCCTGCAGTACCGGTAAAGGCAGGCTGAGTTGTGATGCGAGTGAGTGAGTAAGCAATCAACCATCAGGTATGTAAGACGGGACGCCCATTGTGGGGTAAGGCAAGGTTGGGCAGTCTCGACGCTGGAATTAATTGATCAAAAGCGATCCCTTGCTGCCAGTCAAATCGACGGACAGCCGACGAAGATAGTCATTGAATCAAGGGCAAGGCAGACAAGCTCAAAACTCCAGGCAGCATGTCGCACAGTCGCAAGCCACCATTCGATGTCCCGCCTGGCGCGGTCGCCAAGGTCAGCATCATAGATTCGACTATGCGTCTGACCAAATTGAGGGTGGAGCATCTGGTTGCCCCTCCGGTAGAGGGCTTCGATGAGTTCTCTGCGATGCCCACTTGGTCTTTCCTAGTTGAGAGCCCGAGTGGGCAAAAGACTCTGTTCGATCTGGGGGTTCACAAGGACCTCGGACGGTACGTGCCACGCATAGAGGCCAACATCAAGAAGTACGGCTGGCAGGTGGGTGTCAAGGAGCACGTTGCAGACACCCTCCAGAGCCACGGTGTGGACCCCAAGGAGATAAACAGCGTTATCTGGAGGTGAGTTGTGACGGGCGGGCGTGATTTCATGCTCGCTGTCCTAACCTGCACCACAGCCACAGTCACTTCGACCACATCGGGGACATGACCACATTCCCTGCTAGTACAGAGCTGGTGGTTGGCCCCGGCTTCAAGGAAAAGTGGTATCCAGGGTTCCCGACTCAGCCGGACGCACCGGTGAGGGAAGAGGACATGGCCGGGCGAAGCGTGCGAGAGATTAGCTTTGATAATGAGCTGAAGGCGGGGCCGTTCCCAGCGCACGATTTCTTCGGGGACGGTTCGTTCTATCTCCTGGATGCGCCTGGCCACTGCCTTGCACACATTGCGGGGCTCGCGCGGACGTCGACGAGCCCGGACACGTTTATCATGATGGGAGGCGACCTGGCCCACCACAGCTCAGAGCTCAGGCCGTCAGCATACACAGCGGTCCCAGACTCGCTGCCACAACGCATCTCGACCCAGTCTAGCACGTCGTTCCGCGAGATGAACGCCAGACGAGGGAGAAAGGCGGACCAGCCGTTTGTCGAGCCGGTGGCTTTTGAGGATGAGCATCTTTGCATGCAGACGATCCAGCGCGCACAGGTCGCAGACGCGCAGGACAACGTCTGGTTTGTGTTCGCGCATGACGCGAGCCTTTTTGACTCGGTAGACCTGTTCCCTCAAGCGGCCAACGCGTGGAAGGAGAAGGGCTGGAAAGAGAAGGTCGAGTGGAAGTTCCTTGGAGATCTTGCTTGTGCCTGTGCTGTAAGCGGGTGAGAAGGAACGAAGTGTATGAGTATCTACCTCACTAGGTAACTGAACAGACCAGAATGTCGTGGCGTGTTCATATCAGCAGAATACAAAGTGTCTAGTCTACTGCGCTCTACTGTCGTTATAGACACACCCATGTGGCGCAGGAAAAATGAGAACATCAACTATCTGTGCCTATATATGGAAAATCTACTTGGGCACGTTGAATTCATGGAATCAACAAGAGTATGCATGTCTTAGAGCCACCGCCAACTGAGCTGACAGCTCTTGGCGGACCCAAGCTGCAGAGCCAAAACCCTGCAGCCCAACGGCAGCTCAGGGGACAGGGCAGGGCCTAGGCTGCTCGGTAGGTTCTGTACGTACTTGTGACCGCCGACGTCATGCCAGATTGAGCTATCAATTGGGCCCTGGCAGGCCAGCCCAGCAGAAATTCCGACGAGACCCAGACATGCACAAGCCAAAACAACCGAACGAGCAACGTCAGGTCGCCTTCAACCTCGACCATTGACGACCAGGACCTTCAGATTGTCTCGACAACAGAACCACAGTGTCTTCTCCAACTGACCCTCGGCTGCAGACATGAAGGACGGCCCAGTTTCGTGCCACACATGAGAGAGTCCCGTCATGGCGACTGTTGAGGTGGACGTGCCTGGAGCAGCCCAAGCCGACCGGCGCAATGGCTACCACAGCAACATATCAGAGGTGGATGGCGCCAGCAGGAGCAATGACACCTCGGAGTCAAGGGACAAAAACACATTGGACGGTGGCGCGACCAGGATCGAGAAGCAGAGGCCAGCCACGCCGGCGCCAATGACGGCAGCAGCGACAGCGACACATCTCCCATCGCGAGGGCTTCCCCCCTACTCCCACTCGTCCGACTTCGACTTCGATAGCTCTATGCCACCTCCCTCAGCGCCACTCGCAAATGGCAATACTCCTTTCCCGCGCGCCTTTACGGGGCTCCCTGGAACCGCCGACACCATGGCATACGACGGCCTGACGTCCTGCGCCGTCTCTGAGGCCGAGACCTCCGCTCCCCATTCCGCCATCGATTCATCCACCGATGCCTTGCCTACGTTCGACGACACACATGCCACCCCCAAGAAGGAGCTCAGAAGGAACTCCTCAGCCGCCAACAAGACAAGGGAGCGCTCAGGGACAAAATCCAGCGACCACAGCGGTGTCCGTCGTCTGTCTGCCTCCAAGATCCAGGAGCTGGCTGCGTCCCCAGAGTCGCTGCCCATCGCCACCATACCCGACCAGCCGCTATCCGCGGGTATCGTGGACGTCCACCGTCCGCCCATGTCTATGCACCTCGCGGCCACCCCCCAGGAGGTCTTCGACAAGGTGGAGACCAACAGGTCGCAGGCCTTTGGCGATGCCCCTTCAAGTAGGACATTGAACTCGGTACGCCCCGGCCTGTCGATGAGGACAGTATCCACGCCACCTATCAACCGCGCGAAGTCAGTGAGCCAGCCTCCTGCCCCTCCTTCTGCTTCTCGTCGAAACTCGTTCCAACCCTCGCCACGTCCTGCACCCTTGAACCTGGACACGAGCGGCATAATGGGCCCTGCCAACGCTCGGAATGCGTATCCCGAGGTCCCAGGTCGACCTGACCCTCGAGATCACCGTGAGCACAAGGAGCCCCGCCCGCCTTCTCCCATACCACCCTCGATACCACTCCCACCGCTGTCTGCGCCCACTCTGCTTCAGCTCGAGCTTGCCGCACAGCGACCTAGTCCGCTCTATATACATCAGTCCTACGCCAGCGACCTGCCGTACGAGTCCAGCGCCGTCAAATTCGAGAGGCTCAAGAATTTCTTGTTCCTGCCGTTGCTTCTCGAGAAAACCTTGATGTTCGGCGCGTTGGCCTGTCTAGATGCGTGGCTGTGGACTTTCACAATCCTACCAATGCGCTTCTGCATCGCATTTGGCGTGCTATTCAGATGGTGGGCGTACATTGTAGGAAAGGAAGCACGGTGGCTCATAGGCTTTGTCTGGGAAGGACTGGGCCGGCTGTGGGAGCGAGGTCGCAGAGGTCGCGGCTTGACGCGCAGGCTAAGCATCGATGGCTCGCGAAGTACCGATGGGGAATCTCGAAGCCGGAGCAGGGCCAGGGATCCCCTTCATGAAATCAATGCGAACGGCATACAGGCCGCCCACACCGGGCCAAATGGTGATCTGCCTCGACGGGGGCCGTCCACACGGACGAGGAAAGGCACAAATGGAACATCACGCGTGCCCTCACGGATGCACGGCAGGCCAAACACCGGGCCCTTTCGCCATAGACGGACGAAGTCCACGCCGTCGAACCTGACCTCATTCCACAAGGCTGACCTCCTCCAGGGCTTGGTCATAATATGTAGCTCTGTCGCCCTCATGAATCTGGATGCCAGCCGTATGTATCACTTCATTCGAGCACAATCGGCCGTGAAGCTGTACGTCATTTACAATCTTGTTGAGGTGAGTACTGGCCATCCCTGCTGCAGCCTGGAGACCCGAGTGTGTGCTGAAAGCGGCTCAGGTTGGTGACCGCCTCCTGTCAGCTCTTGGCCAGGACATATTCGAATGTCTCTTCAGCTCAGAGACTCTGTCGCGGAATAGCTCCGGCCGGTCCAAGGTCATGCTTCCCTTCGGCATGTTCCTGCTCTCCCTCGTCTATAATTGCGCCCACGCCATCACCCTCTTCTACCAAGTCATCGCCCTGAATGTGGCCGTCAATTCCTACTCGAACGCTCTTCTGACACTGCTGATGTCCAACCAATTCGTCGAAATCAAGGGCAGCGTCTTCAAGCGCTTTGAGAAGGAGAACACATTTCAGCTCACCTGTGCAGATGTCGTAGAACGATTCCAGCTATGGCTTGTCTTGCTCATCATCGGGATGCGCAACGTCGTCGAGGTCGGTGGGCTTAGCGTGCCTGGCGCCGGCTTCGACCTCGAGGACGACGCAATGACCGCTGCCAAGGGGCCGCTGCACAATCCTTCCATCCTCCCCATGAGCTTCACGATCTTGCCGTCATGGCTCTGGTCAGGGGAGGTGCTGTCGCCTTTTCTAATCGTTATTGGCAGCGAGATGTTTGTGGACTGGATCAAGCACGCGTATATCAACAAGTTCAACAACATTAAGCCCAACTTCTATAGCAGAATCCTTGACATTCTCTGCAAGGATTACTACACAAACGTCAGTACAGTGGCTTCTTTTCTCACTCGGTCTCTCTAACAAGTCACAGGCCTTTGTCACCCCTTCCCTCACCCGCCGTCTGGGGCTCCCTCTACTCCCATTGTCGACGCTCTTCATCCGTGCTTCCTTCCAAACCTACCACATGTTCCTTGCCACGCATCTCCCTGCACCGATACCACCATCAACGCAGACCTCCCTGTCGGTTGACTCCTCCACACCATCCTCGCCTGTCGTGACAGCGGCCCTCGACAGGCTCGACCATTTTGTCCGCAATGCCCTCGGCAGATCTGTCTACGGCATGGATGATGCATATTTAGCCAATGGCACTGCCGCGAACAGCACCTCCTTGTTCCCCTGGCTCTCTTGGTCGACCGATGATGCCATCGCCTTGGTGACCAAGGTACTAGTATTTTTCATCGCATTCCTCTTCCTCCTCATCCTCAAGCTCCTCCTTGGTATGCTGCTTCTCAGGTATAGCCGCGACAGGTACGCCAGGATGAAGCTTAAAGAGCACGCCGTCGCCACTGGAAAAATGGAAAAGGAGGCCTTCGATACCAAGGGTACCAAGAGGTTTGGCGGGTTTGGAGCGGTCGAGATCGGAGATGACAGGAGGAGGTGGATCTATGCTGATGACCCGGAAGGTATGAAGCGGGCTAAGGAAAGGGAAAGAAAGGCCGAGCAGGGCACAGGCAAGGAGGAGAAGGATTTGAGTGGTGTCATGAGGTATGAGATGGTTGCGAAAAGGATTTGGTAACACGAGCATTGGTTGCTGGAGTCCGAACCTAGCCTGCAACGAAATGACAAACGTACAATATAATATTTCCCTGCGGGGCTTATGCCTTTCAACTTTCCACATCAGAGACGCACAAGACGCACCGCCTCGGGCGATTCTATATCGGCCTACGCAGAGCGCTTTTCAATCACCTCAATCTGCCCATTGCAAATACAATTATCACTTGTCTCGCCGGCTTAGGAGGCTCTATGACGGCCTTGAGCTCGGCTGAGTATCACAAGCAAGTTCTGGTCCTGCATATGATCGTCCCATCTGGTCCTATACTGGGCTTTCCTGCTGTGTCTCTTGTAGCCTTCACAAGAGAAATTGGGAACAGTATTATTCCAGGGTTGCCCGTCCTCAACTCAAGCTGTAATCCGTGGGGTTTTAAGTTATCCCAGGTCACCCAGCCGAGCCGGACACCTTCGCTGGAACGAGCGCGCCAATGCTGTTAAGGGCGACGAATATTGTGGCTTGGAGCAACTGTCGGCTGATGCTCGTCATTTTTGATTTGGAAAACAGGTTCTGAACTTGGTGAGATCGTAAAAGGCGGGGACGGAACAAGCCAGCCTACTGCATTCTGCATGTCTCTTGTCTTTCAATATGTGGAGGACGTATTATTGGGTCTCGGGTTACAATTACTGTACTGATCTTTCTCACTTCACACAGGTAATGCTTACAATCCTGAAACAACTCCAATGACGGCAACCATTGAATCCGTAGCTAGAAGCATGGTGCTTTTTCTCCTCTGTCTTTTCGGAAACGAGGAATGATTTGCAAGCAAAAGAAACGAGTATACGCGTAGATCTTGCAGAATGACCCGTGGACCGGTCCCGGATAAATGCGAGCGACCACTAGGGAACCACCCCGCAGCGATAGTGCGTGCACTTACTTGCCGTGGCCCGTTCGTGTAAAGCTTAGCTGCCACGCAGTTGCATGGATCATGCGAACGTATCCTAGGGAAAATCTGTTCCAGCCTGATCTCACCAAGCCACCCGGGTGACCACCGGCCAGCCGTACGCCCGGTAGGGTTGAAGAGTTACCGTCCAGGCGCGTGTCATGGCAATTATAAGATGCCGTGGTCCCGAGCCATCAGATGGGAGGAGGTGAATGGGAGGAGGTGAAAGTAACGCATCGTCACTCCAAATCACGATCTCGGCATGGTTCGTCTTCATGAGGTCGGGCTCGCGACCCTGTCGGCGGTTGCCGTGACCTTCTCGAGATACGCCGAAGCACAAATAGCGAATTCGTCCTTTTCCAACGACGCCACATCGCTCACCTTCATATATCAAAATAACCTGAATGCATCCGACGATGTGAATCACGTCGGAGCCATCTTATTGGACCCGTTGACTCAGAGCGAAGGAAGCATTCAATGTATAGCAATTGGAGAGTCTCTGTTGCCCTTCTCGACTGTCGAAACACACAGTGAGGACTTCGAGCATGCTCTGTCCTACCTCGCATTCGCTGGTTTGGTACAACCTGGGCAACAGTATTATATCGCGGATGCTGTGTTGTCAGTCAACACCTCGCCTGGAGGCACGCTTGGCTTCTCGACATCCAAGACGGAAAATGGGACCGGCCAACTACCGGTTCTCTGCACTCAGTCCAGTTCTCAGAATGGTGCGAGTAATGCCCAAGCGACTGCTTCGAACAGACTGACCATCTCCTCGGCTGGCAATACCTACGTTGGCTTTCGGAATCAGAAGTCCTTCCGCTTTATTGGGATACCATATGCAGATCCGGTTGAGCGTTTCGAGTACTCAACAGTGTACAATGCTACGGGCCAAACGATCAATGCCACTGCCTATGGTTCTGACTGTGCACAAGCGTATGACGCGTCTTCCGCCGAAGACTGTCTGTTCCTGAACATCCAGACACCATACATCCCCAAGGCTGGGTCCAGCGAAAATCTCAGGCCGGTTATGTTCAGCATCCACGGCGGTGGCTTTACGGGAGGTAACGGCGGGCCAGCTGCCGGGATAGATGGTGGGAACATGGCCTCAAGAGAAGACATTGTGTCTGTCCAGCTCAACTACCGGCTATCTACCCTGGGTTTCCTCGCCATACCGGGAACAGATGTCAAGGGCAACTTTGGGATTGGAGATCAGATTACGGCGTTGGAGGTAAGCATGCCCTGTCGCCATTCAAATATGATATCTAGTACTAAGCATCGCTTGCTACAGTGGGTGAAGAAGAACATTGCTTCTTTTGGTGGGAATCCCAACAATGTCACTATCATTGGAGAGTCGGCTGGTGCCGGTTCCGTTCGAACATTGCTCGGCTCACCGCCGGTCATCGAGCAAAATCTCATTTCTGGAGGCGTGTCCCAGTCAAACCTGGGAGGAGGTATAGCTCTCGGACTGGAGGGCGATTACGCCACGACCTACAGCTCGTACTTGACCATCGAGCAATCCTTTGACCGGGCCGGCGAGCAGATCTTCAGCGGCGTCGGATGCAACCAGACCGATATCAATGAGCAGATCGCATGCTTGAAGAACGTCCCTGCGTCTACGATCGTCAATCTGGGAACAGTCGCAAGATATGTCGTGCAGGATGGTACGATCGTCGACACAGAGCAGCTTATCGTCACTGCTAAGAATGGCAGCCAGGCCTACGTTCCGGTCATTTTCGGAACTACAGACTCTGACGGCGCCTCATTCTGCGGATTCCCGCCCAGCAACATCACAACCGAGGTTCAGGGTATTGCTTCCTCACTCAGCATCTCTCAAGCCCAGGCTCAGCGGGTCATTGACAGCGGCCTCTTCCCGTACTACGACACGGGCAATCTGACCTTGGATACCTTCAATGTCTCGCAAAGAGTCTCCACTGATTTGCAGTTCCGGTGCATCGACGAGGCTACCGTCTACGCTGCCAGTGTCTCGGGGGCGTTCCCTGCCTCTTATTACTACAACAGCTACCGCACATACGAGGGTTATGATCCGCTGAATCTGGGACCAACTTTGAACGGCGAAGCCAACCCAGAGGGCAACTATTTCAGACTTCACGGGAGCGATCTCGGCTTCGCATACGGCAACCAGAATCCTCTTCGTGACCAGCGTGATCTGCAGGCCAGCCAGCTCATCAGCGGATACTACGCTGCTTTTACACGAACAGGCTCCCCGAATCCGAGCGAGGATTACCTGCAGACGCGGGGCTACAGCGATACACTGGCAGCAGTGAGGGAGACTGGCACTTGGGATCCTGTCGCTAGTGACCAGGGGCCGGCCAAGCAGCTGGATTACCCAGCGGTAACGATCACGTTTCCTGATACTCAACAGTGTGCATTTTTGAATTACAGCCTGACTTATTACCTCGATGGCGGCGCCTGAAGCCATCGAACAAAATTGAAAGGAATCTCGGGCAGCATATAGGGCATAGGCAAATTCCCAAACCTCTAATTCAATATATAATGATTTACCACCTTACGGGGCTTTGCCAGGTCTGATCCACTGGCGACACCCAATGATTAATCTGGGGGACTAAAAAACCAAATTTAACTCAATAAGACTGTTTGACACTGAGACGGTATACCTCGAGTGTGACTCCTCTTAATTTTAGGCCGATGTTATATGCCTGAACAGGACAATCATGCGCACCTGGAATATGACAGCTGGAATTAATCACACTCCCTATGACTGTAGTTTCTGTGAGCATGACAACCCATATCCAGTTATCACATCAGCTACTTCTTTGCTCAGGAGGTTGGCGGTCAATACTCAGGAAGTCCTTCCCCTCCGTAATTATTCTTCAGCTTGCAGCCTGCAGACTCGATGAAACCAGTTGACGACCCCCCTTCAAGTTCTGTCCTGCGGGAATTGTCTTCCTGCAGGCTCTTACAATGGATTAGGGCACCGCAATGGACGTCAGACCCCTCTCTCTTTTCAGTTTTCAGAAAACAAGCTATGCGAGCTACAACAACGTAATATTGTCTCTTAGAAAACTCGCACACCTGCAAAGAGAATTGCAATAGCTAAAAGTCATCTTTGATCATTTTTGAATGGGTTGATAAGTGCCCAATATAGCCCAAAGTAAAGTATAACCAGCAGATTCTTAAAATAGAGACCACTTGAGGGGCAAATATGGCGTCTGATCTCGTATAGCCTCAGAGCTGACAGGAACCATCTACATCATGGCGAGGCTTCCTCGTTACCTGCCAACATGTTCAGGGTTAGGCTAGGGTCGGCTATGTCAGCAAGCCCAACGTTGGTGGGGCGGCGGGCAGGGGTCTATGCAGTTCTTGGAATTTCCGGGCCCAAGTCAACAAGCACCATCGCATCCACATCCACAACGTCCCCGACGCCGGTCCCAAATTTGGGCTGCAGGCTGTCACGATGCTCAAGTCAACCTACAAACCCTCGGCGAACTCGCCCCCGCCGTTACTTCCAGGCTGGACTGAACACAAGGCTCCCACCGGCCATACCTACTACTACAATGCCGCCACCAAGACATCGACCTACACGCGCCCGAGCGCCGCAGCGCCTGCGCCGGCGCCGATGGACCCCTCTGCGAGCTTCATGCAGCACAATGCCGTCCCAAACATGAACCTGTCCGACCCGCGCGTTGCCAATGCCTTCATGTCACAGTACAACCAATCGCCGCCGCCCGTGCAGAACCACCGCGGAGGCTTTGGCGGTCGGGGCGGCAGGGGAGGTGCGCATGGTGACAGACCGCGCCCCCAGCCAACCGACAAGCCAAGGTCTAAGGTTGCCATCCCAGGCTGCGAGCCGTGGATCCTGGTGTACACGAAGTGCCAACGACGCTTCGCCTACAACCCCGTGAAAAATGCGAGTTACTGGCGCATCCCGGAGAAGTTGATGCCGGCCATTCTTGAACTGGACAGAGCGAGAATACGAGACAAGGCATCTTTCGGGAAGGAGAAGGAGAAACAAGATGCGAGCACGGAAAATACACCAAAAAGTACAGATCCAAATGGTCGGACTGCCGACGACAACAAGGCTGCAGTGGAAGAAACAGCCGAGGAGCGCCAGCACGACTACGACAGCTCCGAATACGAGGAAGTTGAGGTCACAGATGACGAAGAAGAAGGCGGCGAGGACGGTGATGAGCATGCTACCAAACGGCAGAGGGTCGGCGAGTCGGCAGAAGACGACGACCGGCCAGTGGAGTTTAGTGAGGCGGATATTGCATTCCAACTACAAGCCATGGGTCAAGAATACGGGCTTGACCCAGGCGAATACGATGACGGTCACATGGAAGAATGGCCAGAAGGCGCCGCAGGCATCGAGCTGTCTGAGGAGGACGCCAAGGCATTGTTCAAAGATCTCCTAAACGACTACGGCATCAACCCGTACAGCCCCTGGGAAAAGCTTATTGAGGAGGGCAAAGTTATCGATGACAGTCGGTACACGGTGCTCAGCACCACCAAAGCCAGGAGAGAAGTGTGGGAGGAATGGTCGCGAGAAAAGATCAAAGAGCTCAGGGAGCAGAGGGCAAGACAAGAGAAGAAGGATCCGCGGATACCATACCTGGCATTACTGCACGAGAAGGCGACGCCGAAGCTTTACTGGCCTGAGTTCAAAAGGAAATACAAAAAAGAGCAATCGATGAAGGACTCGTCCCTATCAGACAAGGACAGAGAGAAGCTTTACAGAGAACACATCAACCGGCTCAAGCTTCCACAGGCCACCCTGAAAACCGACCTCGCCAACCTCCTCAAATCCGCACCTGTATCGCAACTAAACAACAAGACCCTGCTCACCCATCTTCCTCCACAAATCATCACCGACATCCGCTACATTTCGCTCGACGCCAAGACTCGCGACGCCCTGGTGGAGGCTCTCATCCAGACCCTGCCGCCGCCTCCAGAAGATGGAGAAGCAGCAGAGGATGACGAAGCCACACAGAAGGCGCTAGAAATGCGTCGTAAGCGCGAGAAAGCGCTACAAGACCGAGAGAGGGCCGTTGAGGAGGAGAAGCGAAGGCAGGAGAAGAATTTGAGACATAGCAAGGCCCTGCTCAGGGATGGAGAGCGGGAGCTGCAGGCGGCGATGGACATTGGGAATAGGGGGCTGCACAGTCAGCTTGAGAGAGAATGAGGGCGGCATCATTACATTACAGAAAGGAATGAAATTTGACGATGTGGGAAGTTCCTGGAGAGAACATCGATATCAATATTTATCTCTCCGCCCATGCTTGATCATTGTGTTGCGAGCTGATATTTTTGCAAAAATTGCCATAAACTCAGCACAACACTCTTCCGAAAATCATCAGTCTCGACGGCAAGACTGGGTATCCATTTGCCTCCCAAGATTGACTAGCGACTCAAATCGAGGCTTGAAAGCGGGAGACCATGGGCTGATAAATAAGCTTTGATTTTATGGGTCAACGAAGGGACTGGCAAATCCTTGCCTCGAAGGGCGAATGTGCTTCGTACGGTACGGACCGTTACTGTAACTTCTCTACCACTGCCCGGTAAGCATGGCTGCGAGCATTGCGAAAGACTCGAATAAGACCTTATTATTCATACAGGTCACTCAAGCGCAAATATATCAATGCTTCATAAAAAATACAACTCCTCGAACCTTCAGTCACTCGTCTGTTCGTGCCAGTTTTCCCACGTGCAACTGAATGAGGATTGTGTTCTGCAATGAATCACATCCAATATATCGAAACCATTGATGTTCTCAGATTATCTGATTAGAGGTGCCTGTATGGCCACGTTAGCCTCGGTGCTAATGCTTGCATTTCATTCACAACCGTACCTTTTTATTTATTTTCTGCTTAGCCCTGTCTCACCACGGGTTACACCTGATCGCACTGATCTGCATCTTCCACAGACTCACGTCGCATCTCGGCCGTCCTGATCCTCTAGACTGCTTTATAGTTACATTTGATACCTATCGACCCATTGAGATGTGCGAGCTCAAAGGCCCGCTTACATATGCAATGCAACGGCAACACCCAAGAGGCCAAGATCTTTACATAGCCATCGAATCCCCACATTCACTTCCTCGTTGCGACCACAAAAATCCTCGGATACCTGAGCAAGACCTTGCCATCGACGAGCCTCGGATGCAGCTCTGCGATTCTCTCCTCGTAAGCCTTGAGGTACTGCTCACGTACCTCTTGGTCCGGCAGCGCGTTGAGAAAAGGCTGAAGCCCACTACCTTTAACCCACTCAACGATCGAGCGTGGTGAGTCCAATGGGTGCTGATACAAAGTGTGCCATATATCCACCTTCTCGCAAAGTGGTATCAGCGCGTTGTAATAGTCGACGGGCGTCTCGACGGGGTCAAAGTCGGGCCGCTGCTCGGCTGGCAGCGCCTGGAAGTACTTAGACCACGGCCCGTCCAGCAGGGCCGTCTCCCTCATTGCCCTGTGGGTGGGCTCCTCGTAGTTGTCAGGCATCTGAAATGCGAACACACCACCCGATTTCTGGGTCTCGAGCAGGCGGAGAATGGTGGGGATTCGGTCCTCGAGTCGTAGCCAGTGGAAGACGGCATTTGCGAACAGCAGGTCGACGCCTGCCTCGGGCTCATATGTCTTCAAGTCACCCTGGACAAAGTCAACACCGGGCATGGCCTTGCGTGCCTTGTCCAGCATGTCTGGGGACGAGTCCATGCCCGAGATGTTCGCATCAGGGAAGCGGGCTGCCAGCACCGCGGTGGAATTGCCAGGCCCACATCCCACATCGAGGATCCTTGATGGGGCGGAGAGTGGAATCTGCGCGACGAGCTCCCGTACGGCGCGTGTGCGCTCATTGCCAAACTTGAGGTACTGGTTCGCGGACCAGTCTGATGTTTGTCGCGCGGGATCGCTGGCCTTTCCCTGCTCATGTGTCATCCTGAAAGATGTCTTTGCGGAACTGGCGAAGCTGCAAGCTATTGTTTTCGACCTTGGAAACAGGAACACATTCCTTGGAGACCGGGATAATAACATCCTGTAAGTGTACTGTACGCGCCTAAACACGAGGTGTATGTATGGTCAGGTCACGCTCAGCTGAGAGCCCATTAGGATCCCGACCTCGGCAGCTGACCATCTCCAAGTGGCAAAACATTACCCTAACCCTGCACATCTTTCACCAGCTTCATCATGAGATAATGAAGTGGAGGGCGCTGGTCGATAGAGTTGATGATGATGAAAAGTCCGTAGAGCAGATAGTGGATTGGCAAAACTATTGACCTAGAAAAGTGCTCAAGCGTGTAGTCTACTAGTCTTCGCGGCTACACAGCTCAAAGAATGGTTACTAGGCCACACACGAATTACGAACGAGATTGATCCGTGTCCGACACGTCCGAGAAGTGATTTGCTACCAGACGACCTACCAACCGAGTACACCTGGAAGAGCCAGTCCTCTGAAATACCAGGCAGCTTTTCAGCGGCTTCACAGCTCCGATGGGACCCAATCAGTTACAAAATGGGTCCATCGAGCCTAGCACCTGCATCTTACGGGACATAGGTCCTTAGTACATCGTCCCACCTGAATTAATCTTAGTGGGCTTGGCTACTTGGCCATGTGGGTTGGATGGGTATTTAGGTTCAAAGTCTCTCAAGTTGCGGTATGATATACGTTAATATGCCAAATGAAGTGTTCCAAATTAGTGGGTACGCGTGATTCGTGTCTCTTGTAAGGAGTCTTATGTAGGCGCAGCTCTTTGGTGGAAGTTATGTTTTAAGCACCGCTCGCTGAATCGCTCAACTTATACCTGTTGATTGCAGGCCCAATTTACTGACTCTTGATCTTACGCAGAAAGCTCCTTGGGGATTAAACAAGGCTGGCTTGGATGAGCATTCCACGTACGACTTGTAATTATATAAATGGTACGCCCGCCTTGAGTTGCCTATGCTGTAGGGGATTGATTCGATTCGTTTTCAAAGCGACCAATTTTACCTGAACTTTATATCTCCATCCCCAATTCTTAAACCTAACACACGGGCATTAGTATCAACATGCGCTTCAACGTCTCCGCTCTTACTACAGCCGTCATGGCTCTGTTCGTTGCCCAGGCTGTCGCCCAGAGCAACAACCAAGAGTGCTGCGCCAGTACGTATTAAACTAGCATGACTTCTCAGTTGTAGTCTCGCCGATGCGATTAAACTTCGTCGAAGCCTATTGTACACGAATATAAGCTGACGAGCCGGGATAGCCTGTGTTGGGACATGCGAGTCGAGAGGCGGTTGTGGCGATATCAAAGGTTACTGCTCCAACCTGTGCGGGCCCTCAGTCCAGTGTTAAACTAGAACTGCACAATTGGAAATAGTTGAAGCTTGAGGATTTAGGGAGATCAAAAGACAAATAGGGACTATGATATATGTAGCCTCGCGAAAAGCTACCGCTAGTCTACCAAACTCAGAGCAATAACAAATAATGCCCAAATAAGCTTACGGATATACGTGATGGTCTAGTCATCCTCTCTATAACTGAAGGTTCCTTCTCCTCCGATGCGTAATTATCGACTCGTCTCGTTTCTTGCAGGTGCTGTTTTCCACTGGTGCCTCCATGTCGGTCAGGACTGGGCTAATGGAGCCGGTTGCATCGTAAATATTCTGCCAGGTCATACTAGCGAATCTCAAGCTCTAATTCTCTAGTCTCTATAGCCTTAACTCCGTATGGCTTCCAAGAAACAATATAAACAATATAAAAACAGCTGCACTAAATGAGAGTGGCGCAAAAAAGGGGAGAAATGTGAAGCCTAGGACCATTATGGTCACAGCCCAGGCTAGGATCTTCGGTATAGATAGACTTTGTCTGACATAGAAGCCCCAACCGTAGATCATCGTTTCTTTCTCGAAGGCGATGGGTTTCCTAAGTTTCGGAATGCCATCGAGCAAAGTCCTAGAGCCGCGGCCGATTTCGGGATACCGAAGCCCCTCCAATAGTATGTGGGCGTATACTCGCATGTGCATGTTTATGTCTGCATCCCCCGAGAACTTGAATTCATATCCACCCCAATATCCACCCAAAATATCCCTAGGGTCTAACGGGCCGGTCACATCTGTTGCTTCCACCTGGTCGCTGCCGTTGGACGGAAAACGGAACTGTGCAGTGTTTAGTGTTTTTTTTTACTTTCTTTCTTACAGTTTTCAATGACAAATACGCGAGGGTGAAGCTTCAAGGAAACACATACTCTTGACAATTTGACTTGATGGTATGACCATGGTAACATCTGCCGTATCCAACTTCCCTCTGCCTCGCCCAGCATGCGTCGAGCCTGGACAAAGAACTCAAAGTCATCCTGCATGTGCTCCAGACACCCAAGCTTCAGAAGCGTAGTTTGTTGAGTCAACGATGGATGGTTCTCGATGCAAAAGTGGCTTTCCAACCGCTGTGCTGTGACGCTGCCATGGGATGCATTATGTGTCCGACCACTACTACCGCTTTGGGGACCTAACCAAGACGAGACCATAATTCTGCTCCAGGCTAGGGCGATTGATGTTACTCTTCTGGCATGAGTAATGGCGGGCCTTTCGGATTGAACGTCTGGCTTGCTGATTAGAGGTCTTCCGCGGATATCTTCGAGATACATGCCACATCGCTCTGTTTCGTCTTCGTCAAGGTAGATGGACATCGGCTGTCCGTTATACTGTCTCGAGCTCAGCTCCAGCCCTGAATCACTCCAGAAACAAAGGGATTTGCAATATACTCACCGACCACACCAATTGGCATTCTGAAAGCCTTACAGGTTGCTTTATTGGAGGCAAAGGGTACCAGTCAAGCTCCATCTCGACTGCCCTCTCCAGCCACAGTCGCCATTCATCAAAGGTTTCAATTCTGTAATCCGGTCCTCTGACAGTGTACATAGCCAGGTCGTCAAGAGCACGATCCTGATCAGCCAAATGTTGACAACGAAGCTCTGTCGCTGCTTTTGCAGGAGGGCTCTCTTTAGCCGACTTGTATTCTAGCAGTCTTGGCACCGACTCCTCGATACTCGGACTGCTGGCGGACTCGATCTCAATACTAGGTCTCGGGGGCTCAGGCTCGGCAACCCTAGTAGCAATTGCAGTCGGTGCAAGCCTGCCAGCCGAATGGGGAGGAGATCGGACAGGCAAGATCAGAGGCGGCGGCGGCGGAGCGCGCCGCGGAGTCCGGGGAGCAGGAACCTGAGCAGCCTGGGAGCCAAGGTGGTCTTTGGAGAAGCTCAGGCGGATGCCACCCATCCTGCTGTTCTTGAGCGGCCACCCGTACAGGTTCCGGAGCGCCTTCGCCGCGCTCGTGACATCGTCGAACTCAACAATGCACGACGGCCCATTCGCCTTCGCATGTAAACTCAGCCGCACGTAGCCGTTCTGCTTTGAGAAGATGTCCTCTAGCTCGTCCTCTGAGGTCTCTGAGGGGAGGTTACTGACGTAGAGGATGTTGCAGCGCACATTTTCGTCGCGAGGGATGGAAGTGGGAACGTATGCTTGTCGTGGGACGGCCCATGTGCTGTTTCGCCTCTCGACATCTCTGGTAAATTTTGGGGATATGGAGGGAAACGTGTTGTATGTATAGGCTGAATGTGGCTGCCTTTCATGAGCATGCGCATATTGTGGCGAGCGCGCGACATCAGTTGGGCTAGTCTTCAGCGAAAGTGGGGGCCTAGTAACTTCCGCATTTTGTGTGCCCTGGAGCCATTTGTTCGGGATCTTTCTACGAGACTGTATAGGGCCTGCGCTCCGGCCGCTGACCTCGTAAGGTAGTAAGTCGCTGGTCTTAGGCATGTCCATCTTCGACTGGCTTGTAGCACCATCCGTCCTGTTCAAAGTTGCTGTGGTAGACATTTCCCCAAAATATCCAGAGATAATGTGTGAAGAAGATCAGATGGTTGGGGATTTCGTCTGAAACTACAGACGACGGAATGATCAATTTCGAGGCTCCGAACACTGAAGGTATACCTAGTTATACGATGCTCCAAACAGGGTAGAGCACGGACCTCGTGACAGAGTCTCCGTCCCATGGAGATGTGAGCTCGAAATGCCCGAGCCACGTCCGCACATAGAGAGGTTCTCGCAGGCTTTGCCAAAGCGAACATTTCGGTAGAGAAATTTGCACCTGGACCGAAAGTTATTGGGAAGCTAGATGTCAAGGGTAGCACCCCTAGATAGATGCTTTTGGGCAGGAAGAGAGACAGGTCAGAACAATCAGTACATGTTATATGAGCAGCCACGGAAAAAGGCGCCATACACTCTGCTTAGAAATGACGAAGAGAAATATGAAACAAAGATGAATAAAAGCAAACAATGTACCGCAGTGCTGTGACGCAATGAGCTGATTCCCTATGAACATGAATATCATGTACTGGTCCTACATAAGTTGGCGGACGACGCATGCGTTTCTCCTTCACGATCGGATTTCTTATTGCCACCTGTAGAAGGATTTGCCACTTCAGCGTCACTTATGAACGCATCCAGGCGACGTGCTGGGCAAGCTTGCACAGCGACCCGGAGTCGGTGTAATTCGTTGCGGTCGCGATGTGACTGTGCATTTTTTTTTCCCAGCTTCTGCCATGCTTGTCATCCGGCCACGAAACCAGTCAAATCATAGTCAACCTGGGGTCCTCGAAACCACGCCGGAGAAAGGAGTTGAGCTAGCCCAAGTGATCCCCTTGCTCTCTGCATTCGTCAAAGTGAGATTAGGTTCCCCAAGGTAATCATCCATGCTGTCAATATCGATTCCTGTTTTGATGGGCTCGATGTTCTGGTCCAAGCTCTATCGAGGCAAAATGGTACTGGTGCAACACCATGCTAGTGTGACCTGCCGCCGTAGCCACAACACCGTCCAATAGTCCACTTTCTCCTGCCAGTTGGGTGCCAGCCCCTTAAAGGCTAGTAAAACGATGCTACCATCTCTTCAATGATGCTCCGCTGCTAGAAATACTTTTAAACCCGCGTGGAAGGCTCTCGACGGCCTTTCTCGTTTTGCTCAGCCACGGTATTGTCATCCCGCTTGAGAGCAGGTTTGTGAAATGATGATATTCGAGCGGCTGGCCATACACCTTATCTCTATTATTACATTAAGAATAGTGATCAAATTCAGGTATATGAAATAGACAACAACACAAATTAACTAGCCCACGTTGTACCTTTGTATAATCAGTGCCATAGGAAGGGGCATCCCGCGGGATGGAGGAGAAGTATATCCATCACGTTGCTTGAAACGCTAGACTCGCCGGGTGCCTTAAGTACCCTAAGAGATAGTCTCACTGCTAGAGTTTAAGATGTAAAAAGAAGGAAGTAAGTACCTACCTAGCCACATCGATATCTTATTCCCGTCTCTCATTTTAACCGGGGCCAGTTTGTGGGGGGGGGGGGGGGTTGCATGTACTTTGTACGAATCTGTCGAAGGTGCATCTCACGCCAGCCAATGCTGGACCAGCCCTCGTTGTTTTCGGTCAGCATCTCTTGGCGTTGGATGATGTTGCCGCGTTGCCAGCCTGCCTGATGCCGCGTTGCTAGCCTGCCTGATCCAATGCCACGTACCGCATACAAGTAACAGCACGCAGTCCGATGGCACATGTGCGGCGCGTAAAGTAGATCTAGACTCGTTTATTCAGACGACACAGCACAGGTAGTAGACGGTTCTTCTCTATCCTTCCCCTTGCCCGCCAACCCGCATCTTGTCCTACGACTTACTTGAGTTCCTTGTTGCTTCTGCTTCATCCAAAATGGCCTATAAGAACTCCGTCATCATCACGGGCGGAACCAGTGGCATGGGCTACCACGCAGCCCTGAAAATTGCCAAAGATCATCCTGAGTATCTAGTCGTGATCGCCTCGCGGTCCGACAAGAACCATGCTGCCGACGCCATCAACAAAGCCCTGAGCCAATCTAACACCATCTTCATGGCCCTGGACCTGGGAAACCCGGCCAACGTGCGGCGCTTCGCCAATAATTGGGTCGCCGACAAGACGAAGCCCCAGATCCAGGCGCTGGTGATGAACGCAGCGCTGCAGTTCCCCACGACCCTCCAACTGACGGACGAAGGCATGGAGAAGACGTTCGCCATCTCGCACGTCGGCCACGCCATTCTGTTCCACCTCCTCTGTCCCCATCTCGCCACGGGCGCCCGCGTCGTCCTCACGTCGAGCGGCACGCACGATCCCGCGCAAAAGTCCGGCCTGCCCGATGCCGAGTACAACACGGCTGAGGAGCTAGCCTACCCACCCAAGTCCAAGTCGGAGATACCCGGCCGCAAGCGCTACTCGACAACCAAGCTCTGCAACGTGTTGTGGACGTACGCGCTGGCCCGGCATCTGGCCGAGCGGGCGCCGGAGCGCCGCATCACTGTCAACGCCATGGACCCGGGCCTTATGCCCGGCACAGGTCTGGCACGCGAGGGCAACGGCATCGAGCGCTGGCTCTGGAACTCGGTCCTACCCCATCTCCTACGCCTTCTCCGTATCGTCCTCAGCCCCAACGTGCACACCCCGGCGGAGTCGGCCGCGGCGCTGGCCCGCCTGGCCGTGTCGCCCGACGTCGAGGGCGTCACGGGTAAGTACTTTGAGGGGTTGAAAGAGATCAAATCGAGCAATGACAGCTACGTCGAGAGCAAGCAGGAGGATCTGTGGGAGTGGACCGTCAAATACGCAGCCGAGGGCGACGCGCGCGAGGTGGAGCGATTTCAGTCGTTGAAGTGAAGCGGACGCCAATTCGGGTCTGCGTCGTTTCTCTCTTTCTTTCTTTCTCCCTCTCTCCCTCATACTTGCATTTAGCAACATTTACAACCGTGTACTTGGCATTTTTGATCGGTCGACTCCTTTTTCAATGGAAGATCATCTCTGGTGCATCCGATCAAGCCCGTTTGCCATCCTTCTTTTCCCAGTCACTTAACCCTTTCCTCAAGTTCTCGACTGCCACGTGGCTGATGTCAGTCCACTCCTCCGAAACATCCGCAATGGTCGCAATGTCGAAGCGCTGGCCTGCCCATTCGCCGACACGGTCCAGATCCATCGTGCCCGAAGCATCTCCCGTCCACTGTGTCAAGACGGCGACAACCTCCCCCAGGCTGTAGGCGTAGTCCGACTGGGCGATAGCGTCGTCACGGACGTACTTTTTGGCAGTGAGGATCCGAAGGACCGGGGCGTTCTTGTAGTGGTTGGCACTCAGCTGTTTTCTCTTTGCAATAGCCGCGAGCCGGTGAAACAGCTGTAAGTCCTCACGCTTAAGCCTTTCTCTAACGCGCTGCTCCAAAGTCCCCGCCTGGCGCAAATCATCGTCAGGGTCGATTTCGTCCTTGACGCATTCGTCCATTGTACACATAACCCTGTCTTTAGCCAAATAGTACAGCGGATTGTTGTCGTATTCCTCCTTGTTTTCCTCGAATTGATGAATCTCTTCGCTCGTGCAGATGCCTTCAATGTTGAGGCCATCAGCATAATCGCCAACAAATATCAGGCGGTCGCCTGCCCACGGTGCGGTGTCCTCTGCCAAGATGCTCTGGATGACTGGGCCAAGGAGTCGAAAGAAATAGACACATGTCAATGAAAGGTGGATTGCGCTTTCAGGCGAGCCTGCGGACAGGTTGGAGACGATCATGTCGATGACCTCCTGTGGAAGTCCGAGTAGTGAAGACCCGGTGCTGTAGCACGGAATTGCGTCAACGATACTGAGTTTCTATCCCACGAGACACAACCTACCTGTTCGATTTGGACGCATGAAGATGGCTTATGGAGCTTCTGAAAGGAATCCATTTCGGATTTCGTATGAGCTCAACCAACTGCTCCAGCGACCCGCCCCCTAGTATTTCAACCAACTTACGTCCACCACCATTGTTGAGGAGTTCCTCCTGTCTGTCGATATTAACAAGTTTCCAGTACTGGCCCATCTTAGCTAGATGCTTCGCGGATGATACAAGCTGCGTGAGAGGGAATAAAGTGTTTATGAGGAGAACTTAAATAGAGAAATGTGTTGTCACGGAGTAGGCTCGCTATTGTTAGGCAGCTGTCCCCACTTGTGCATTGGTTACAACACCACGTCACGTGTAGTCCTCTGTTGCCTGGAGGTGGTATGAGCTTGTAAATTCATAAAAAGCTGGAGATACTGATATGAATGGTTTCTATTGGATCAGTGACGACCCAAGCCAGCACCGATAAGCCAGCCGCTTAATCATTCCTTGCCATATAAGGCAGACACGCCGAGTAAATATCGGAATACCCAGGATACTTCACCAGCCTGTCAAACACTCCCTCATCGATCATCCTCGCACTCTGGAGCGCGCCCGCGACGAAGAAATCGGTATAGCTCGGCCGTGCACCCAACACAAACGGGCCCTCAGCCGCATTTGTCCGCATCAGCTTGCCCACGTCGTCGATGATCTCGTTCACTGCCGCCCACGACTGTTCCTCGGCGTCCGGGTCTAGCAAGTCCTCAAGCTTCTTTCCAATCGCGGCCTCGCGCGTGCGCCGGAAGTACTCGGCTGCGCGCGGGGCCAGGATCCTGATCTCGCGTGGCGTCAACGACCTCCACATAGTGGCGCCGACGATGGCGCGGGCGCGCGCCTCGATTTCCCGGCCGAGCTCAGACTCCAGTGGGACCGGAGGGTCCGGGTACGTTGTCTCAAGGAAGCGGGAGATGGGCGCCGAGTCCATGATGTATTTGTCGGTCGGCACATGGTGGATGGCCGGGACCGTGTATTTGTCCTTGGCCCCGTCACCTGGGACGAGGCCGCTGCCCATACAATTGTCAGCAATTACGACGTGCGATCCAAGGGCTTCTATTCATTGAAATGGATATTCGGAAATGGAATCTGGATGAGAAGACGACTCTTTGGATAAAAACAAATCACGCGCACGGCTAAGCTCACAGTCCCTTGAGCGTGGGCTCAATGTCCGGGAACTCCAGAAAGACCGTCCTATAAGGGACTTGCTTGTAGTTGAGCATCAGGCGGATGCGCCAGACAACGGGGGAGAAGCAGGCATTCTTGATACAAGCTAAGTCGTAAAGAATAATTTCCGGGTCGGCATTGGAGGCCATCGCGCTGTTCAAAATGGTCGAGATTGGGTTCAACTTACTGCAACGTCGCTGACGAAAGTTTTGGATGATCAGGATAGAATTGACCCCGCTTGGGGTCAGGGTCAAACATTTCAACACATTGTCGGTTCGTAAGCAAACAACCGCAGCTAACGCGCACCATACAGGCCGCCACATTCAAATAGTCGTCCTTGTCCTGCAGTTTATCAGGCCTCGCTCGCTTCATTACACCTGCGACTCTCCACTTATCACAGCCTTTATAGACTTGAATAAACTTTTTAAAAAGTTAATCAATATGTTAATATTAGTCGTGCTGATGCCTTGGATGATGAGATTGATGATGAGCGTGCCTATGTGGTTAGCACCACTGTATGTCCCATTGTCTAGGGTGAAGGTGGCGATGACTAGGGTAGCCTTCTTGCCTCGTTGCCGATGTCAAATCAGACTGCGTAGATTGACTTGAGTGAGGAGTGCCTACAGTGACGACCACTATTTACTACTAGTACTCCTGAAAAAGGAGTAGTATTGCAGTTGGCCTCAATTTGTCCTTGACGAAGTCTACAAAGCAAGATACGTCTCTTCAGCGAACGAGAGATGTGAACATCAGTGCTGGCGGCGTGGCGTGATCCTCGGACCGCCAACCCCTTTTCTTGCAATTATGCCTTCTGCTAAGGTTATCGTTCATGTGGCTGAGCCTACGTAGATCTCTCACCCTCGCCAATTCATGAATCAGCACTGTTGTGGCTTGCGGTACATTGAGTACACTAGGCTAAGGTACGTATCTGCTCCGCTTCCTGTTCCGTAATTTAGCGATTGATGAGAAGTAGCATTGAAGGCAGTCAAACTTCTGACATTAAGGTTTGTACCGTTCGGCATTCGCGTCCAAGCTCTCTATCGGCTCGGGGAGGCTGACAGACAGCGTGCCGGCCTATCCGGGAAAGACAGCAAAGGGAAGCAGACAGAGCATATGATCCATTGCATAAGCAGGAACGGCAACAATAGCCCATACATGCATTAGCCAGCCCCCTGAAAGATTCTCTTCTGCCACATGGTAGCGAATGTGAGCACATCAGAACGGGCGGGCCGAGCCATGCTAAGAAAAGCTTGGATGGAGTAGGCTCTCGGTGAATCTATCTATGGATGGAACCTCGGAAGGCAAGGCATTATCGAAATGATTGACGCGATGGTGGGAGCGAATTGAGTATAAAAAGATGAACTTGGATGGCGCCAGACACCTCGTGGTATGGCAGGGAACATCGAGGCGCCATGACCGTGCTTCCATGTGGGTGACGAGTATGGCGCGTTTCCTTGAGCTTCGCCCCACGCTGGAAATACATATGAGCGGGTCCTTATCGGCCAAAAAGAACCGAGTCACCCAGGTGCCGTAGTCAAGCACCCCTATCAGTACTAATTCTGGCCTCGGGTCAGTGGGGGGCGCCTGGGACCGGGAGGCGCAAGTAGCCGGCATGCGTCGTCAGCCAGCTGACTCGACCGAAGACGCGGCTGTTTCGAGTCTCTTTTAAGTTTCTGTCACCTCGCCAAACGAGAGCAAAAAGGGAGAGAAAGAGAGAGAAAGATGGCAGAAACACGATCTCTTTCTTTACCGTCGCCTTCGCTGCCGATGTATTTCGAAATCGAGCCATGTTGTTCAAGGCTGTCCGTTTCTCAAAAACAGCATTGCTAGCGCAGTACGTCCTCAGTATTATAGTGCTGTCGATCTTCTGGACGTCGTTCAGCTCCATCCACGGTCTTGGCGTCTCCACTACCCGACCGCTCCTTACCGACCGGCCGGACGTCGATCGCCGACCACCTCCTTCCATTCCGGTTGATTCAGTACATATTTCTGATACAGAGGCTGGCCTCATCGAGCTCTCGGCTCAGCATTTTATCGATTACCCGTTGCAAAAGCCTTACACGAATCGGTTTGGAGAGCTCGGTGGCAGAGTACAGGTTCTGCGAAGATGGATAGAGTTGAGCGAGGAAGCTACTCCGGGGCAACCGACGGATCGGGTGGTTGAAAGCGTTGAGGCTGTCATTGCCTCCACATTTCCATTCCTTGTGAAGGACCAAGCTTCAACTACACCTCTGGCCGACCTGAGACGGAGTTTCACAGAACCACGAGGGATTGTAATCCCTACAGGGAGCAAGACATTCCGTTTCGCCTGTCACTTAATCGTCAGTCTTCGCCAGGTCTTCAAGACGACACTTCCGATACAAGTTGTCTACGCTGGGGATGCAGACCTTCCTAAAGCAAAACGGGATGCATTGCTATCGCTGGCCAGCTTTGGTACGGAAGGCGGCGACGTTGAGCACAGCGAAATCAGCTTCCTCGATGTGATGGACGTGTTCGACGACAGCACTTTGAAGCTAGCATACGGCGGGTGGGCCATCAAAATCTTTGCCGCATTAGCAAGCAAATTCAGCGAGGTCATCCTTTTGGACGCCGACGCAGTCTTTTTCCAGGACCCGATAGCACTTCTAAAGCAGAAGTCTTACCAGGATAACGGCGCTCTGTTCTTTCATGACAGACTGCTTTGGCAGTATGACTTCAAAGAGCGACATCAGTGGTGGCACTCGCAGGTCGTCCATGAGGGCCCAAACCTCAACAAAAGTCTCGTCTGGACCCAGACTTATGCCGAAGAACAAGATTCGGGCGTGGTCGTGGTCGACAAGTCTCGGCTGGACGTGTTACTCGGCCTGCTCCACGTGGCCTGGCAGAACACAAGGGATGTACGAGAGGAGACGACGTACAAGATGACCTATGGCGACAAGGAGGCGTGGTGGTTTGGGCTTGAACTGGCCAACGCGACTTATGCATTCGAGAAACATTATGGCGGCATTGTGGGGTGGGGCCGGAGCCGCGCGCAGCTGAAAACGACGGGAAATACCACCACGCCTTCAGAGCCGCCCGAAAAAGTCTGCAGTTTTGTCATCTCTCACGTTGACGAGTCCGACAACCTCCTCTGGTTCAACGGGGGGCTTCTAAAGAACAAGATCACCAACAAGCGGGAATTCGAAGTACCGACGCATTGGATGATGGATGCCGACTGGGAGAAGGGGGCAAACAAGCCAGATATGTCTTGCATGAAACATGGAACCGCGATGGAGCTTACGGGCGCGGAGAAGGAGACGATCAGACAATCAATTGAAGGGGCGCAAATGGTAGACAGCGAATTGAATTTGATTTGACTTTTACCAACACTCTACCCACCGAATCAGTAGTCTAAAGGTCATCGGTATTTGGGAAAGCTCATGGCTATTGTATATATTGTGCAATGCCATTCTAGACGGCGCAGGGGCTACCAGAGTCTCTTGGAAGCTCATCATCCGATATTATCGTCTTCAAGTGGTTTGCCAGGAGCTACGGCGTACATCGCGAACAGAGGCACAACTGCTTGGCTCGAAGGTACGCAATCACGATCGCCGGATGTAGACAGAAGCTTATTTCTTGCCCGAGAGATAGCGCACAATAATTCGTGCATATTCGCAGTGGCAGCAGCAGTGGCGGCAGGGACCCACAGACTGTAGATCTTCTTCAGGGCCTCTTCGATAACGGTCTTGCCGGCTCCAGGAACGCCGCTGAGCCAGAGTGCCGAATCAAGGTGTGCCAAGCCATACTTAGAATTCTGACTTACGCGTGAGGCCACAGGCCGGTCCTTGGATGACGGCTTCGATCTCTTCAATGAATATTGTTCCGATAAGATCGTTGGTTGAGAGGCGTTTCCGGTCGAATAAGACCATACATAATTGATTTCTATAGAGAGCTACCGGAAGGAGTGAGACCTGAAATCTTTGTTAGAGATATAGCTAGCTTCCTCAGTCCTACCGAGAAACATGAGAGCAATGATATCATTCGAAAAAAATATGAGTATTATCGTGTCTGAGATGTGTTCTGTCGGCAGCCTAGTTTGTCAAAATGGTGGCTCTTCCTGGTCGGCGTTGTGGTGTTATGTAATCATCTACTAGGAAAAATTTTGGAAAAAAGGAGACGAAAGTACGAGGATCAATGGCAGAGATAGCGACGGGGACGGATGAGGAACAAGACAGAAGCTGGCGTACATGATTAGGCTTGCATAAATTCCTTTTACTTCAGCAACTAATTGCTCCCGGCTGATTGGACGTACATAACCAGGTCTGCACAGATTCCTTTTACTTCGGCAACTAATTGCTCCTGACTGATGGGACCAGCCTCAGGGTGTAAAAGTTATATATTTACGAAGGGTCCTCCTGTCCACCATCTGGCTACAGACTTTCTCGTTCTCCAATTCCGCGACACGTGCGTCGTCCTCTTCACCCTCATCATCCAGCATTAGGACCTGTTCTATTCGCTCGCCGGCAAGCTTTACGCCTTCTACCATGACGCGCAATGTGTCTCTCAGATGATGAGATAGACCTTGATTTCTCTCATCCGTTTCCGTCCTTGCCGAGTTGTCGTGAAGAGCATCAAGGTCTCCGCATGTGTCTGGATGATGTTGATATCGTGGTCACGCTCCTTTGGTGTAAGTAATGACAGCTCGGGCAGCATCGCCATCATGTCATCTTCATCATGCAGAGATCGATGGCAAGATGATAAGCAAATTACCCTCAGAGAAATGCAAGGTTAAAGTCTGAAGAGTGTTCGACGTTGATGAATTCCGCTGTTGAGGAACCGTCAACAATCAAGCTCCTGTAGGTATTTGGGAAACTTTAGTAGGGCTTCTAGGAGTTGAGCCGAGTATGCCTGGCGGACTGCCTTGTGCCAACTTGGAACCGGGGAATCAAGCAGGGGTCAGTCAGAGCGACCTCTCTGGAGTACACGTGTGCACAGTGTATGGCTTTCTTGGACTCGGTGTGGTATGCAATGGGACAAGTTCCTCAGCCGCAGGCGGGGTGGACGACCAACCAGATTCCATGATGTTCACCAAGATAAGGCCTCAAGACCGTAATTTGCCGTCATTGTATTAGCTAGAGCCAGGATGCCTCCAATGATCATGTCCAAGGACGTTACACAGTACCGCCCAATCAGTCTCTAGCGGCCCCGAGCTCACCTCCTCATCAAACAGCACCCCCCATGATGTGCTGCGTAGCCAGATCATTTCACAGACCGACATTCCAGCCGTTCGAGCTTTCGACTGACGCCCCTTGACGTCTGGCAATCCATTGTGTTTCTTGCCCTCTTGGCTGCTTCTCTTCCTTTGCTTTCCTCATTGTTGACCAATGTCCATAACGGACGCAGAATGTGGATATTTTTACTTTACTCTTAGTCTGGGCTTACATGTTCCTGCCACGGAGAACGTACTTGCTCAGGGGAAGATAAATCATTCACGGCGTCAGTCATACCAAGACAGTGAGTTTCCAAGTTTTCTATGTGATCCATACCCAGAAGCCCAAAATTCTCCTAGTCCCTCCAAAGACTTTGGCAATCTGGAATTCTGCTTCTAAAAGAGACCTTCCTCCTTTCTAAGTGTTCATTACATCCATAGGAACCAATGAAGGCGCTGTGAGCAAGGCGCCTCCGTCCATTTCATCCCTAGTCGATGACACTGAAGATGTGGCATAACGGAATGCCATGGCATCAGCCACGGGCGTCCTCCTCTGGGAGTCGCCCATCCGAGTGAAGCTGCCCACCGCTGAGGACATTTTTCTCTCAAAGCGCATCAAGGGCGGACTGTGGAACGAAGGAAATCCTCCACTGATAGCCCAACGTGGACTGAGATAGTCCCCAGCCGACACCCGACATTAATGGCCCTCAAAACCCGGTTGGCTCCCAAATTCCACCAACAGAACAAAATTCAGAAGGCGGCCGGAAACACGCCCTATATCCCAGGAGCAATTAGCCAGGAGCAATTAGTTGCCGAAGTTGAAGGGATCCATGCAGGCCTGGTCATGTGCGTCAATATCGATCTTGTTCCGCGACTCTTCAGTCGTAGTGTTCTTCTAACTTGCTCTCAATGATACAGGGTCGAGTCCAATTGCATCGAAGTCGACAGCTCACAGAACGCCCAGGATACAACGGAACCCAAACTCGATGACGAACCAAGGCAACCACTCATAATAGTGCATCGGGCTTTATTACATGAGCACCATGAGTTCTTTCTAGCGCCACAACGCTCATCACCACGCGCAGTGCTCACAGTATTGCATCCGACTTTATTACATGAGCATCATGACTTCTTTCTGGCATTATAATATTTATCACCAACTCCGGCTCTGAGAAAACCAACGCCAAAGTATGCCATGCCAGCGAGGATGTGGCGTCATGGTATACATTCATTCCTTGAATTGTTACGCCATCGGCCCTCATTATATGAACACCACGATTTCTTTTTGGCGTCACACCACCCATCACTAAGGGAAAGGCTCATCGCACTGCATCGGACCTTACATGCACGACATGACTTCTTCCTGGCGCCACAACACTCATCATCGAGCCTATCTCTTAAAACCTCGCGTCGAAGGATGCCATGCCAGCGAGGATGTGGCGCCACGGCATACATTCGTTCCTTGAATTGTTACGGCACAGGCTTCCTGCCTTACTAGAACATATGCTCACGTTTATCTACCTTGCATATTCCATGATGGCCTTGCTGTACGAGACAGTTCCTAATTTCGAAGACACGGAGGTCAAATGTCTCGGCGACCTCGGTCGCTACGAGTTCCCGCATGACCACAAGGTCGAGCAGAAGGAATTCCTTCAGACTCAACGCTCTCTTCCGGATGACTGGAAGCTGAGAAGTCTACTGTGGAACCACGACTCGTTCTTGTATCCATGATTCAAGAGCGGCATATTCGACGACGTACAAAGATCATTGGAACATCCTGTTGAGAGTGCGAGGGCCTATGATGAAGGGAGAACTGCCAGGGAATAATATCTCCTCATCTGTATATAAAACAGGCGGCCTCACTACGTACAAATTGGACTTCCACGACTCTCCGCAAGCTCTGAGGAAATGTCTAATTCGTCCTAGCTATTTAAAACCTAGCCTGGGGGAGGGTGGCGGTTCGTAACTCAATTGTCAGCCTGGGGGGGCTTGGACGCAATATACCAGGGAGAATGTAACGAAAAATGAACCGAAAAGGCTTGCAGAAGGCGGTATCAAATGAAATAATCTTTGAGTACTATATAAAGATTTCAACGAGGATCCTTCTTGGCGAGGGCGATGTTTCTGACGAGGGTAGGATTTCTGGGAACGGCAACGTTTCTGGCGAGGCGAGGACAGTGCTTCTGGCGAAGATCATACCTCTGGCAAGAGCAATATTTCTGATGAAACAAGGCCAACGCTTCTAGCAAATGCAATGCTTCTGGACGGGGATTACGCCGTTTTCTGAAAAGGCAATTGGTGACCTCCAGATACATTAACTAACCAATCCAAGCACGAGAAAAACATTTCTGCAAGGCGACCGTACTAGAGACCGCTCAGAGCGCCCCTTGCAACCTCGGGTCACTCTTCCCTACGCTTAATAAATGGTGCCCCCCTCCTCCCAGATTACTTGCCCCTCGACGCTTCTCTCTGAAGAACATACACTCATCCGCACCATCTATCGCTGTTACGTTCACATATTCTCTCTTCCTGAAGGGTATTGTTCATGGGAGAGTTTCATGGCAAGGACCTATCACCGAATATTATACGAGCGCAGGAGACGACTCTGAACCGTTCGACGTCCTTCAAAGCCAAAAGCCTGCAGACGGCCGAACCACATCAAGAGACCTCTTGAGCCCTTTCTCTATTCTCTGCATCTGTCCACAAAAAATCCTTGGGCTGGCCATCCTCACAATCATGGACGTCCCCACCGTTTCGGCAAGACTTCCGGGGATGAATATCGTCGCAATGGCATGGGCTTTTGGAATAATGGCCGATGTCCCCAGTGTGTATGTTCTGGCAAACCCACCTGAGCCTCCCAGTGTGGATGACGGCCCCGAGGAGATCCTTTGGAAGATCGCCAGAGGCTGGTGAGACAGTCCGCGTCCTCGTATCCCTGGTTGTCCCCAGCTGACTGGTTCAAATACAGGGGTTTGACTTTCGGGCCGGTCTTTGCCGTCGTGCTTGTAGTGCTCCTCAGAGCCATACTCCCCAGTGAGAAGCGAGTGGCTTTCGTCACTCTCGTGTTCACGATGTCACTCGTGGCCATGCTTCTACTAAAGCTGTTTATCAGGGACGATACGTGGAGCGTGTTGGACATGCTGGCACTATGTGTTTCCTTCTGCGGAGTTGCCGCGTATATAATCGCCACTGAGCCCACGGGCAGGAATGTAGCCGGTGAGGGCCTCGACTTGGAGGGCGGTCGTCCTCAGTATCCCCAGGAAAATCTAGGGATAAATTCACCCAGCCAGCCTCCTCGGGCACCTCAACCCGAGGGCGAGGCGGATGACGACTCCGCAGTCGCTCAGTCCTCTATTCGGACCGATGGCCCATTCGTCATTGGCGACGATAGTACGCTAGGCGATGGGGAATCACGCATCTGACCACATCTTGACTGAAGTTGTGAGGCTCTGCTTGATGGCCTTGAGTGGCTCTGGCCAACGCTTGGGAACATGAGTCTCTCATTCTCTACTGCAACTGAGGTCTGCAAAGAATATTGGTCGAGTCGGTATGCGGGTTGCGACACAGACCATAGCATCCATCCCATACCGCGCATGGTTTGAACCCTCGAAGTCGTTGATGTGAACGTTGGCAGACTATACAGCCGTCTCACCGACGCACAGCCCCTTGTTCGGGACCCAAAATAGACATTGTGAGCGTTCTTCGGCATAGCCTCTAGTTTTCTACAACTTATAAAATCTATATAAATCCCTTTCAATTTAAAACAAAACGGTGTGGAGAGCAGAGGTAGTAAGGGCCCCTCCCGAAGCTCTGCATCCGACTGTATAGCTACATTCTCCAGTCGCTGCACCAAGTGCCGCCACGACGAAAGACTGCTACGTCCTCGTAGCGAATCGGTCGTAGTGGTTAGGCGGAAACTCATTGCGCAGTAGCTGAGCACCACGTCCCAGCGCCTTAGACATTCTGGCGCTCATTTGTTTGGCGCGACTCGGCGGTGGCTGCTCTGCGTAAATATTTCTGACGTCCAGCACTTATACTGCCGTCTTGTTGTTCACAAATGTAGGAAAGATCCCACAGTTGGAAATGAATACCCGTGTGGGCCACGTTTGCAGTGTGACCCACCCAAGCTCAAGTCGCAGATCGAATTGCTTGCCTAGCGTTGTTGCAGTGCGGTTCGCCCAGGAGAAAAGGTACCTGCACGAGGCTTGTAGGCAGACCCACCTTGGAGGACGAGGAAATGGGTCTAGGGCGAGGAGGGCTATATCCGCGATACCCCGTACGGGTTCGAGCTGACGTGCCGTTCGTTACCCCTCATGATTTTCAGTCTTTTGCCATCGCAATAATTCTCGGTATCGCAACACCCACGGAGAACAGTCAAAACAGACAACATGACAGGGGCAAATGGCACATACGATCCCAAGTTCAAGGGTGTCTTCGCAAAATTTGAACAATTTCTGGAGTCTGGACAGGAAGTAGGGGCTTCCCTGACTGTGAAAATAGATGGCAAGGATGTTATCAACTTGTGGGGAGGTTATGCATCCGGTGAACGCACGCGCCCGTGGAACGAGGACACTATCGTCAACGTCTATTCAACGACGAAAACCGTCTCCGCACTTGCAGTCCTCTTGCTGATCAACGACGGCCAGCTTTCACCATACGACAAAGTCGCCAAGTACTGGCCCGAGTTTGCGGTGAACGGGAAACAAGACATTGAAGTTCGTCATCTGTTGTCCCATACCTCGGGACTCGCAGTTTTTGAGGATGTCACGACGATGGAGGACTTATGCGATGTCAAGCTGATCACGTCGAGGCTCGAGAAACAGGCACCCCGCTGGGAGCCAGGCACTGCTTCGGGGTATCACAGCTGGACCTATGGCTTCTTACTAGGAGAGCTGGTTCGCCGCATAACAGGCCTAAGCCTCAAGGAATTCGTATCTCAGAAGATTGCTGGTCCTCTGGGAGCTGATTTCCAGATCGGTGCCGCTGAGAAAGACTGGTCCCGCATTGCGGAGCTGATTCCTCCTCCCCCGTTTGACTTAGCTGAGTTGGCGAAACTCGGTCCAGACTCTCTCATGGCCAAGATGCTGTACCCCGTCGCGGATGCCAATTTTGCTCACACCCCACTTTGGAGGAAAGCGGAGGTTGGTGCGGCAAATGGACACACGAACTCGCAGGCCCTCGCTCAGATTTGGTCAAATGCACTCACGATCAGCGACGAGAGCAAAAGACTATTGTCAAATAACACAATCGAACTCATTTTCAAGGAGCAGTCGTACGGACCGGACTTGTGCATGGGAATCCCTGTACGATTCGGCATTGGGCTGGGCATCAGAGGCAATGGAGATACCATTATTGACTCGTGGATCCCTGAGGGCAGGTTGTGCTTCTGGGGAGGTTGGGGCGGCTCTATGGTCATCAATGACTTGGATCGTAACATGACAATTGCATATGCGATGAACAAGATGGAATCGGGCACCGCGGGAAACACTTCTGTAAAAGCCTACGTCGAAGAGATTTACAAAACTCTTGGGTGCCTTCCGCTATCCAATGAGACTGGTAATGGTCGTTTGTAAGAGCCAAACTGTACATAATCTGGCCAAAGTCTTAAGCAAATAAAGTAAACCATCATAATTGGCTCCAAAATTCTCAAAGCTATTGCATTGAGCAAACTGGTATCTAGGCTTTAATAATTTGGCGTTCTGATTCCATTTGGGCAAAGGAGTTCATGGCCAGCTCCAAACTTTTGTTACCTGAGAGCATCATTCTCGAGGGACCTAACTGTCTTACTCTTCCACTCCCACTTCAAGTACTCCTGTTATGCAAAATAGCTGGGCCAAGATATGCTACATGTGTCTCACAATATTCGGTTGGATTCAACCACCTATATGAGTGCGGGACGTCATGCGGCTAGAAACAGTTTGGCCAGCAGCGATATGGCAGGCTTCCAGAGAAAATCCTGATTCCAAATGGGGATCGTTATGTGTAGCAAATTATCATTGCAGAGTCAATTGGTGGTAATGGGGCACTGTTGATATTCTCTTCAAAGGAACTTTAGGTCAACGTCAACAGCTTTTGGGAGAAGCGGCATCTCTGATTATATACGAAACGTCACAACAGACTGACAAATATTTGGGCGGCCTACTTCGCGCTGTGAGAATAGTTGTCTTTTTTTATGTCTTTCTGGCCAATTTTCAAGGGCCAGGGTGGTTCTAACTTGGAAACTTGAATGAGCCAAACATTGTTTCAATCTTCTATGTCGCCGTTGCTACTTATTCCTAGGCCTCTCTTTCCTGAGTCCATGCCAAACATTTCTTATCATCCCTTCTTGAGTCGCAATTCAATTGACGCCGCTCTTGAATCCATCACTGCCGTCACATTGTGCCCAGGCAAGACTAGTGACAAGACATGGGCTATAGCTGCGGTTTATTGGGACATTCGTCGACATATATTCTAGAGAACCAAGTTCAGTTAGAGAACAATAAGTATGTAACCATGAGAAGAAGATATTGAATCAGCAAGAAAGCCGAAGGCGGAGCTTGTGGCGCGCTCTTCCCGCAGCACTTCAGCCAAATCCGGTAACTCAGTCGTCACAACAATGAACCAACAAGGCCGAATAAGTGTCACAGAAAGACAAACACGTCGCAATAACTTGATGCGCTCATAATGGATCTCTCACTTCGCTGTGAGTGCTCTTGGGGCTCGTCTGAGTAGAGCTGCGACAAAGAGGACCATTACTGCTGCTGCCCGGAAACGGCTGCAAAGGTGGCGCATTTGAAGCAAGACCAGAAACGGCACAACAATGAACAAGTCTGCGACCCTTTTAGACTTGGTCTGCTCTCCTGTTGAAAGTCATCCAAAACTCTGCACCGAGTCTCTATATGTCATTTCGTTGTGGCCAAGTCGCCATCAACCGTGTGTATCCCCTGGGATTTTGGCGCCTTGCAACACCACCCTCCCGGCACCGCCCTTTCAACGAGGGCACGAGGGCCAGACAACGTTGGAGCAGCAGCATTGGCACACTCATAGTCAGTGAGACTCGTCCGATTCATACCAGGCAGCCATAATGTCGCAACAGTTTACACTGCAAGAGGTTGGGGACCACAACCGGAATGACCCCAATAACCAGTTCATGGTCATCGATGGCCACGTTTACAATACCTCCCATATGCCGGCTACATTTCCAAACTGTAAGACAGTAACACCGTTGATCAAGGAATGTTCCTAGTGGAACGATTAATCTTGAGCTCTTTCAATGGGGACTCCAAGAGCATAACTAAGCTAATCCTGTTGCCAAGGCACTTTAAAAATCGATAACATTCTGGCAGCCCTGGGAAGAAGCGTTGACGTATCAAATTTGTTCAGTGCGGGCCAGGACCACGGAGACCGTGTCGTGAGGGTCATGAGGTCTACTCCTCATTGCTACGTGGGTACTATTGTCGCTGCGCCGGGCGGCGCCCAGACAGGTGATCAGGGCCACCAGGGCCACCATGCACAGACTGGAAATCGTGGAAACAATGGACATCATGGAGGTGATGGAGACCAGGCCGATGACAATGGCGACGACGATGAAGCCGAGAGGCAACGCCGCAAGGAGGCCCGCGCCAGGAGACTCCGCAGGGCATACGACCCTCTCAGGCAGGACCCAGATGACGAGGACGAGTACCCGGCAGACGCCGTCGCCATGGGCTACCTCCCGGACCTGGATGCCCGCCGCTGGCGCGAGAAACGCATGCGCCTGGCTCGGTTCATCCAGTTCAGCGACGGCCCCACCATCGATGACGACGCTGTCGAGCACGACCTCGCGCAGTCGCTCGACCTGGGCTTCACCAGGGAGATCCAGTACCAGAGGCATCTCGTGGGCGGGGATGCCAGGGGGTGTACTGGCTCGTTCCGCGCCGCGAGGCCGCCGCCGCCGCTCTCTCAAGTCATGCCGAGAACCAACTTGGACGCTCTGGATGGCCGGCCGCCGCCAGGAGATCCGCCACCTTCAGATCCGGGCAGTGATGATTCCCCTGGTGGCACAGGCGAGGGAGGACGACCACACGGAGCAAGCCGACACGTACGATCGTGGTTCCCTTCCACGGCCATCCAAACACTGCCTCGACAGAATCAGCAAGCCACTCCGCCGCAGACTCCTCATGGCCCTCCTCCCCAGGCTGCACCGCAACATGCGCAGCGTCCACCGCAGCAGACGCCTCAGCAAGAGCTAGATACAGCGCGGAGGACACGCGAACAAGAGTTGTCCCAGGCACAGGAACAGACACGCCAACATCAGCAGGATGAACTACAACTACAACAGGAGCAGCAACGACGACGGGATATTTTGCAGGCACAGACGCAACAGGTGGCGGACCTATTAGCACAGTCACCAGGGCCGTCTCGTTGGCAAGGTTGGCAAGTACCGAATGGTCACGCAGTTGCCGATCAGCAGCAGCAGCAAGAAGAAGAAGAACAACAACAACAATATCAGCAGCAGGAGGAACAGCAGCAGGAGCAGCAGCAGCAGCAGCCAGAGCTGGATGAGGTACATAGGCAACGAGAAGCACAGAGACGGCGAGAAGCACACAGGCAGCGAGAGGCAAACAGGAGGGAGTATGAGAGGCAGACAGCAGAGATGGACGCAGCAGCGCAACAAGAAGCACAGCGAATAGCACAGCAGATGCGAGACCAACAGGCTCAGCAGCAAGCAAATAAGGCGGCCCAGGTGAGTGAGACGTCAGTCAATACTGCCCTACTGCCTGGCTCCAATAGCCTACTGCCGAAGCAGACGACCAAACCGAAGACGGGCAAGGGCAATCAAACCACCAAGAAGCCCAAGGCTCCCAAGAGGCCCGCCGAGGCAACAGCAGCACAGGGCGCGCCAGACCCCAAGAGGCTGCGGCCGGACTCGCCCAGCTGGAACGAGGACAAAGACGAAGATGACACGATGTTGCTGAGCACGGAGGACACCGGCACCCAGGGGGGGGTTGAAAGGTTCGACGATGACAGTAAGCGACCCTACAGACCGGGCGAGGAGCCATGGAGGGAGATGGACCCATACCAAACCATAAGTCTCGGGCTGGACGAGTTTGATAACGAAGACAACAACCTAGGAGACAGCGATCGCCCCGAGAAGACGTTGACGGGCGCCGCCTTGCCCACTATCGTTGCTCCCTCTGACAACATCTCAGTCCCGATATTAGGCTTCCCCGACCAGCCGCCCTCGTTAATCCCATTCGGTATTCCCACCGGCCAGACCGACACAGTGCCCATCAACATGCAAGGCTCGCCCTTGCCAACCGACATCAGGGACATACTTCATTGGACTCGAAACAGTGAGAGCGCGTCTCCCACTCCGCCCGGGGCCGGGCAGAGTTAGTTCTGGCTTGACTGTTGATGGGATTGGGTTTTGGGCCTCTGTGATTCCACTTCGTCTCGGGGGGGGGGGGGGGGTTGATGTGGAGAGAGTGGGTTTGCCCACAAGGAGATATAGCTCCTTGAGAGAGAGCCTTCAATTTTTTAGAAAAGGGGTGAAGGTTGGTGCAACATGGACGGCTGATTGTAAGAAAAGACCTTCAGGAAAAGAGTGATGAGGCAGACGAGGTCGGTTCCGAGAGGGTTGGTTCCCTCGACCCATTACTCCTCAGCAGGAGACTACTTCCCTTTGTTCTTCATAGTGTTCATGCAAGTCTTGAAAATACGCGGTAGCACTCGTCGTCATGTGACAGATGCCCCCATGTCCATGTTATCTTTTTCGGATCACCACATGCCAAAATGAGACCTCAGCCCAAACAGCCAGTATGCCACACCAAAAGCCGCGCCACCCAGGTGACACGCATGATTAATATTGTCTCTTCGGAAAGCTGGTATAGGTTCCCTGGCTAGCGAGGGGATGGTCAGGCCATGGCTCCGGGAGAGCGCGGCGAAGAGGTCGGACGCGCAGCTTATCACTGCTGGAGCGAAGACACAGTGATAAAAGTTGCCGATTCGTGGAATCTGAAAGGCCACTACAGGCTCCAGGAGGACCGCCGCCGCCACTGCAGTATTGCCATAGTGTCAGCCCCTTTTTCGCGGCGAGACAACTTCTTGACCTGTGATTGGCGGCCATGAAGTATCGCGAAAGAGACTCACTAAACCCATAAACAGCACCACTAGCCCCAAGAGAAAAGCTCGGCTCCCACCAACCCCCGTGTGCAAGACCGGCCACGCTGCCGCAGATCTGCGAACCGAGCATCAGGACGGCGAGTTCTCCGGGCCCCAGGCCCAGGTCGAAGCACCGTGACGCCCAGAGGTAGAAGCTGCACATGTTGGCGACCAGGTGTCCGGGCGCGTAGTGGCTGAACCCGCACGTCAACACAGTCCACCACCGGCCCTGGCGAAGGTTCAGAGCCGAGAGCGCAAAGTTCCCGGCCATGAATTCCAGGCTACGGGGGGCGGCGACCAAGAGGAGGGGGGGCCAGCCGCGCTGCTGCTGCTGCTGCCACGATTCGAGCACCGCCGCGGTCTCTTCTGCGGCGTGGGCCCATGCGACGGAGACGGCGACGTTGGCGCCGATGACGCCCCATATGAAGAGCCTGCGGACGTACTTTGGTGATCGGGCCGGCAGTGACGCCTTGATTTGACGGCGGCTGAGGGCCTTGAAGGATCGCCTCCAGGGCGAGTTATTTGCCCAGTCAAGAAAGCCTGCGTAGGCGCATGTTGTTACCAGGTTGATGCCCACTACATGGAGGTTGGGCCAGAGGGAATAGGTCTCAGGGTCGAGGAGTGGCGAGCGTGATGACTGCATTGAAAGTTTCGTTGTCAATTAGCCAGCATAAGCCCGAGAGAGTTCGTCGGACGGGTACGTTGTTGGAATCCAGGAAGACTCATATACGGCGTAGCCATATGTACGCATGCAGGACCTGTTCTGTAGTTCAACAAGCGTAGGAACATCCATCTTATTTCGGGAGAGATAAGGCAAGCAAGGTGTAGCCATTGGAACTTCATTCAGAGCGGGTGTCGAAAGGGATTGCTTCTCCCAAGCCACTTGACGCACCCATGGGCAGACTGTGCCGTGGCTTGGGTCGATTCACCACTCAGATTGTCCAAGTCCAAGGTATGCCTCTTCGGCCAGCCTTGTCGATTTCCCTTTTGTTGGGCCCCATCCCCCTCCCCCCATCCCTTCCTTTGCGCTCGGGGGGCTAAATGCTGTGTATAAATCTTGACAGGTCATTAGTGTGCATCAGTGGCTTGCATCTCTAATGGCACTCCATTTATGCATCGGCAAGCAAATGCGCAATCATTGCTTCTTGCATGTTACACCAGGGGATTCATTTCAGGGGAACAGCCACAAAAGATAGGCGTCAAAGGTTTGGCAAGGCAATGAAGACAGACATTGATCGTGGTAATCATGTGGCAGAAGTGCCAAGACTGTATTGACGCTTCCAAGGTCGGATGCAGTGATCCGCCAAGTGCTGTGTTTCATTGGCCTCAACTAAGCCTCCACGAACGCCGTAGCCTATCGGCCTCCTCGTAAGGGGCAGGCTTGGGGCCTCGAACCCCAATAAAACAAAAACAGAATGCCGTCCTTGATGGTAGTCGCAGAGTTGGTATCCAAAAACACAGAAGCCCTCTTCCTCGCAATGTCTTACCTCCTAAACCTCTCCCGCGCGGGGCTCTTTGATGCAAAGCGTTGTTGCTCACAGGCAGTATCGGCAGTCTCGGACATCCTGTTTACAGATGGCATTTCGCTGTACCCATACGGGGAGAACGAAGACGAAGCCTGGATCGGAGGAGGGAATTTGAATTCGCCTCCGCCAAGAGTCGGTAGTGTACACGGCTCCAGGAAACTCATGACCCTCTATAAAGAGCTAAGAAATTACTGGAGTTCCGATGTAGACTGTGGCACTGAAGCATAGGTGGGCCGATAGCCGATGCCCTTCCTCATTCGTGCTGTTCGCTGGGGCCTTCTAAGGCTGTTTATCGAGGTAAAATTTGTACAAAGTCGCTCAAGAAAAAATGACGCATAATGTACTCGGCGGAATCTACTCCCGGTAGAGACCGTGGTGGTGGATGTACTCGATGACCGAGTCCGGTACAACATACCGGAGAGACAGATCCCTTTTACGCATCAGACGAACCTTGGTGCTAGAAACATCGTTCTGTGGGCAATTGCGTCAGTAAATTGATACAAGGACTGATAAATGGGGCAAACGCACAGTGATCACTTGGGGGATAACATGGATATTGTCCTTGTATTCCTTCAAGCCCGCCAAAGCTTCGTCAATATCGGTGCCTGTCCTCTCTATTATGAAGGCACCGAATTTCCTCAAGATGTGATCCAAATCCGCAAGGGACCAGACACCGGGGGTGCTCATGGTCTGGATGAGATCCGCCCCAGCGAGCAGCGCGATGCGCACGGGCTGCTTGTTGCCATGCACGTCCTCGCAGCCACCGATGACATGGTTGATTTCGTGGTCGAAGTGGTCGAGGACTTGGGCAGTGGGGAAGTAGTGGGGTTGAATGGCCTCCCATGGGTCGCAGGTCAGCCACTCCGAGGTCTTCTCTGCGGCGTAGGAGCACATCTGAATGCGGTGCTTGGCGGGTGCCAGGCCGGGTTTCTTGTATGCATCGGACACGGGAGACAGAAAGCCGCCCACGATTTCGTACTTGGTGTTGAAGCGAGCGTAGTCGGAGGCCATCTCGAACATGCGCAGGTGGAGATAGGTGATGGGGCTGTGGGGGTGGCAGTATTCGTCAGTGAGGTTGCTCGCCTTGCGTCATCATGGGAGGGGAGAAAGAAAAAGATTATGGGGAGAGACAACGAACCTGAAGGAACCGCAAGCTACCAGAACCAGAGGTTGCTTGCCCTCATGCCTTTGCCTTCGCAGGAGCCGTTCTGAGGGGAATCGGTAGGTGTCGGGCGACAATTGGGAGTCGGGGATGATGTTTGGCAGTGAAGTGGTAGCCTCTTGGGCATCCTGGTCGAGATCGTGATCCATCTGGTCGATGGGAGGGTCGGCCAGCTGCTGTTGTTGTTGAGAGGATTCGGCAGTCATGGTTGTGACTGGTGATGGGTGGAAGAAGTCGACGAGGACTTCTTATTCTGGGAATGGCAGATGTCGCTTGGTGATTTGTATGAGTAATGACTCTTGGTCGGTCGCAACGGTTGAATGGAGGGGCTCCCAGGGTCGGCTGCAAGGGCGAGTCTCGGGGAGGTGGATTGTGGTGGATTGTGGATGTAACTGCGATTGCGACAGCGACAGGGAAGGCGGGATTATGTAGGCAAAGCGGCGCGGGGATGTAGAGGGGCTGGCTGGGTCAAGGTCAAGGTCACGGCCGTAAATGTTGCGATGCCGAAAGCCGCAAGCCGCAGGCCGCAGTCGAGACTGAAATCCAGCACAACCGAGGTGTGTCTGGGGTTGTGTACGTGTATTGTGCAGAGCTGATCAAATCAGATCAGATCTAGGTGATGTTGCCTGGAATGGAAATGCCCACTAAGAATTGGTGGTCCGAGTAAGCCGTGGGCCGCAGCAAAAAGGAATAAGTAGAGAGTCAGCGTGCGAGTTAAATACTGTCTACTGTCTGTCTGTCGTACCCCTCTGTGGCCGGGCAACAGGGCTGCAGTAGCGCGATGACGAAACACAGCCTGTGATTGTGATGGCGGCAGTGTATAGATAGATAACAGTGAATGGGGGATAAATAAGTGAACAAGTATACTGAGAGTGCGACAGACAGAGAGAGAGAGAGAGAGAAAAGCAAAGAACCGTGAGTGAGTTGTTTTCTCAAGTGGTTAATGGGAAAAGAGGACCCAAGAGAGAACAAGGTGGGCTGTGCGTCGTGACTTCCCAGGTTGGTTGGTCTTGGATCTCATAGTTTCCCGCCGATTGTCGGTGCAAAAACCAGAGAAACGGGGACCTAGACGGCACGCGATTTCAAAGCCGTTTTGGTTTAGGCCCCCCCTGGGACATGGGACCTGGGCCCCTGGTATTCAGGGCAATTCTGGCAATTCTGGGCCGTTTGGATTCGGCCTTTGACCTGACCTGACCCGACCTCGCCTGGGCCGGCGCCACGCCGAAGTAAGAGTGAGTCTGGACCACCTCTGCGGGGGCCGACCGCAAGCTGGACGAGGGCCTGGGCAATTCCTTAATCCACCTTCTCTCACCCACGTTTTTGTCTCCTGTCGAGCACGACCAGCTGACTGAGACACAAGAGGGAGGGTGAGAGGGTGAGAGGGTAAGAGGGAGACAGGTACTATGTAGATACGGTAGACAGACCCCCACTATCTATAGCACAGGGTGCACAAGGTGGTTGCCTCCCACTTGTTTCAATGACAACACCTTCCCAAGCTCTGCATCCTTCCTGCCTCCTGCCAGCGCAGGTAGAAACTGTCCTAGGTACCTAGGTAGATAGGCGATTGCATCGCTTATCAGCTCGAAACACGAAACGAAGGAAAGAGAAAGCAATGGATCTGGGGTCTTGTTCAATCCAATCGTCCACCGTTTGGAATGCATGGCACCATTTGACTGCTGACCCAATCAACCGGGTCTGACTGACGTCGTCAAGACGCCCGCCCAGCTGCCACTATCACTTTTGCCAGATGCCAACGCCTTGACCAGAAAGCTTAATAGACGATTGCATTGCATTGCATTACGACATGTGCGTTGCTAAGAGCTGGAGAAGGATCTCCGAAACCGATTGGCGCTCCCGTGACCGCCCAAGAGTTGTCATCCCTGGCCGCTGAGAGCTGTGGCTTAAGGGTCCCATTATTATTGCAGCATGGCCATGGCGTGACGGACAAAGCACAAGGGCAATGCTCCATCATAGAAACCTCTACTGCTGAGTGCTGTGGTACAGCAACACTCAGCCTCATCAAGAAACGACTTCACCACGCGGCTGTCTCGGCCAGAACGGACCCAGGCAAGCAAGCAAGCAGTTGAGACAGACGAACAGCACCGCCCCCACCCCACACTCGGCAAGCACACATGCAACGTCCTCTGCAGATCAAAGACATGGCGATCAACAACCCTGCGGCTTGGCTTTGTCCTTCTCGCCTGCGACGCTTGCGCTCTCACTCTCGACAATGGCCGCCGCTTCCGCTCTTTTGTCCTGCATGTGCACCAGGAACCAAGTGAGACCGATCATGGCCACCGTCACAGTCAACAGCCCGACACTGGTGCTGTAGCTGACCTTGTACGACGGTCCGAACTTGGGCTGGTAGACTTGTGGTCCCTGGCACGATGATAGTCAGCTACACAACGTCTGACAGTGACACGTCGGTGGAGGCACCACTCACCACGATGCCCATCAGCTGTGTCGCACCCTACAAGGCAACAGTCGAGTCAGCCAAAGTATCCTCTGCATCAAGATTCCCTCGTGCCTGCCGACTCACATTCGTCAATCCAATCGCCAGCCCTGCACTCGTCGTCCCACTCGTCGCTCTAATACGTTCTGGTCGCCCGGGCACCGTATTAGCCATTTCATGCATTGAGGTCTGGGCCCTGAGGGGCCTGTGTCACAGAACTCAACTCACCTGGCCAAATGATCGGGAAGAAGCTCTGTGTGGCAGCCGTGGCTATCACGACAAAAATGTACTTCGCCGTCGCATTGTCGACTGTGATGAGCAGGATGTAGAAGATGATTTGCCCAACCTCTAGCCCGATCCCGGCCACCCACGGGCTGAGCCGCTTCGTATGGGTGAGGTATCCCAGCGAGAGGAGGATGAGGAAGACGGCGGCGTATGCTGGCTATTTGTACAGTCAGCGGGGGGGGACGATAACTGAGTCTGCATGACCTGTCGTACTTACCATGGTCATCAGCTGTGATATTGCCGTATCTGATATGCCCAACTCATATATCACTGTAGGCAACACGAAGGTGATTCCGAAGCCTCCGATGCCGTGAGTGATCCAAATCAAGAGGAACGGGACAAAAGTCGGGTTGCTGAACGTTGCTTTGATCTGGCCGAGGTCAAATGTCTTGGATGCCATCGACGGCGCTCGGGCGGGCAGATCAACAACAAGTGCTTGCTTCTCCGCCTCAGAGAGGAAGGCAGCTGTCTCAGGGTCTGCGCAGCTCTTCGTTAGCAAACAATCGTCTCGTACCGATCTTACCATTTGTGCAAGACGGCTCGTGAAGGGTGGCGAGAGGGCGTGCGGCTGATGGTGGGAAACCTGCATGTAACTGACAATCTGGCAGGAAGAAGAACGTGTAGATTCCACAGAATATTGCTGGCAAACCTTCCAATATGAAGACCTTGAAAACGTCAGCTCGACTATCTCGGCCATATTAGTACGTGGTTCATACCCATCTCCAGCCAGCGAGGCCACCGACACCGTTCATGAAAGAGATCGCATAGGCTAATTTTCAATCAGTCGCGGTCTGATTCTGGGTTTTATCTGTCCGGATTTACCAAGCAATCCACTGATTGTGCCCGAAAACATGCCGCATGCGTAGAAGAAAGCCTATCTGGAGGATTAGCACTGAAACACACCAAATGACAGCCTGGTGTGCTCACAATCCTAAATGACAGTCTCTGAGTAGGGAACCAGAAACTGAAATGATATCTAGACCACATGATGAGCACGTTCATATGCCTGACAGATCAAAAATCAAGGAAATTAAGACACTACTCACAACACACCGGGATAAAACCCAGCCTCAGCCGCCCCAAGAAAGAACCGACACGCCAAGATCCCAGCATAGTTGACCGTTGCGCCCTGACACATACTAACAATACCCCAGGTGACCATGATACGCGCCATCCACAGCCGCGGCGTGAAGCGCTTGAGCGCCAGCGTCGCGAACGGCTCCAGCAGCATGTATGGATAGTAGAAGATGCTGAGAACCCATGCCCACTGCTGCGATGTCAGGCCGCCCAGCTGCGCCTTGATGCCGTCCCCTTCCTCAAGGTTGATGATGGCTGTGTTGCTGATGTTGGACACATGGATCCGCATGATCAGGTACACGAACGAGTACCAGAGGACCAGACGGCGGTCTACCTTGCGGTGGGCTGACTTGAGGCTTGCTTTGTGATCATCTTGCTCTGGGTCTGTGGCGCTTAAGTTGGATGGCGATGATAATTGTTTTGCTGACATCCTGAGTATTCAACTAACGATATTTCCCCTCGAATGGGACAATTACGAAAAGTCCTGGCGATTGTGTTCATTAAGATACGTCTGCAGGTGTATAACAGTTGCCAAGCAAGACTATCAAACACTTTGGTCTGCAACGAGTTAGATTTCACACCTTCTGCTTCCCACATGCATCTTGTCACGGTCAAGTGTGTTGAAATATGCGATTTGAAAATATAGCACTCGTCCAACACAAATCCACAATGACGTGCTCTGAGGAGTTCAACGTAATTGCGATATCCGGAACGGATCGCGGCAAGCATTGCAGTCTTTGCCTATTGTGTCCCCTACACTGTCGCTGAAGTACACGACATGAACATCAATTGAAGAATCTTATTGCCGACTTATGAGTATTTCGAGGGCAAGAGTTCTTGGCGTTTGTCTATTACACACATCCCATTAATGCGAGTCACCTTCTGGGGCTGTGACGCGGTCAAGTTCCATTGCGCCCTACTATCCGTACTGTGAATGAATTCGCCCAAGTCTACGTATAGAACTCCCGATGTCGCCGACCAGCATGCCGATTTTATTTCCGGCTGTCGCCATTGACATACAAGAGGCAGAAATCACAAATCAACATCATGCTGCAGGAGCTCTGCTAATAGGATTCTCCATGTGTTCTCCTCACCATCTTAGCTTCAATGGCGTGCTCGTCAGGACATCTCAACCAAAGGTGACACAGAACTTCGCAGCCAGAGTCTGTATTACACTCAGATTTGGAGAACTATACGCTCTGCACTCAATTTGGCTAGGATTTGCAACAGCCGCCTTTTATATTTCAAGCGCCGTATCAAACCCCAGGACGTCATCGGTTACTCCGCCTGCAACATCACTCTGATTGTTTCACACCAACATAATATAGTTCATCACCAAAATGCCCATTGCTCTGAGTCCTTCCGAGGCGTTGCCCTTGCCAAAGTGGGAGAGGCCATCTAAGACATCGCATGACCTCCCATGGGCCGATATAAAAGTCCTGGACCTCTCAACCTTTGACGAACCCGGCGGCAAGGAGAAACTCGCTGAAGAGCTACGGGATGCCGTAAGTATACAACACAATCATATATCAACTCCACAAAATCCATAACGGGCTTCATTACTGACAAATCGACAGGTCCACAACACCGGCTTCTTCAGCGTGACAGGAACAGGCTTCACAGACGAAGAGGTCCAGCGGCAATACGACATCGGGCAGGCCTTCTTCGCGCTGCCGCACGAGGAGAAAGCCCAGGCGCAGTACAAGTGCGACTTCGCAAACGGCAACTACTTCGGGTACCGCGAGCTGCACGAGCGGACCGTGTACGGGACCGACGTGCGCGACAACGTCGAGTCGTACAACCACGCCAAGTTCACAGCGGCCTACGACGCAGAGCCGCGGCACCCTTTCTTCACGCCGTACCGGCCGGAGATCGAGGCCTTCTCGCGCAAGGCGCTGGGCGTCGCCTCGCGGGTCCTGCGGCTGTTCGCGCTGATCCTCGAGCTGCCGGAGGGCTTCTTCGCGGACGCGCACCGCTACGAGGACCCGTCCGACGACCACCTGCGCTACATGTGCTACCACCCGCGGGCGGCGGCGGACGACGCGCGGGTCGGCAACACGTGGGCGCGGGCGCACACCGACTTCGGGTCGCTGACGCTGCTGTGGAGCCAGAACGTCGCGGGGCTGCAGATCCGGGCGGCGGACGGCGGGTGGCGGTACGTGCCGCCCGTCGACGGCGGCATCGTGTGCAACGTCGGCGACACGCTCGACTTCTGGTCCGCGTCGTACCTGCGCTCCACGACGCACAGGGTCACGCGGCCGCCGCCCGACCAGATTGGTGGGAACAGGCTGGGGCTGTTTTACTTTGTGCGGCCGGGTGATGATGTGGATATCAAGCCTGCGCCGTCGCCGCTTCTCAAGAGGTTGGGGCTGGTCGGTGAGAAGCCGGAGGAGGCGGCGCCGGTGAAGGGGCTGGAGTATGTGCGTGCGAGGGTCAAGGATTACCACAACAACTCTGATTACGGGGACCGCAAGGGCCAGACTTTTAAGGTGGGCAACCTGGAAATCGTCGATGAGGCGGTTTGAAAATTGAGGGCGTGTAGTCTCCGAATGAAAGCTCGCGGTTGTTGAGGCTTGAGCGTAATCTTGACACCTAGTGTAAGTTTTGGAATGAATTGCATTTTCTTTGGAGGATCGTGCACCGGGGTCTGAAGCAAGGTCATTCCCTCGGTCCTTGTCGAGATTTGTGCTGGTTCCTTTGATCAGATGGAGGTATTGAGGACTGCTTGATGCCCTATTCCTTTTTCAAGGTCTTTGCAAGTTCGTCTTCTGCTTCTCCTTGTTGCTCAGCTGCTGCCGCACGTTCCTCCTCCTCTATCTCTGCATCTATCTTAGCCTCCATTCTCTCATCTATAGCTACCCTCCGAGCCCAACATCTTTGCTTGGACCTCTCAAAGTCAGTCTTACTAGTGTAATCCAGACTATTGTATGCGGCGGTGTGTGCCCGTGGGTCTCCGTCATCATCGCCAAGAGGCTTGCGCTCCCAAAGGTCTCGATATATGCCCGTTTCAGAGATCGGCTCCTCTGGGTCGATCCGGGTCAGATTCTTTTGATCAGGGTAGATAGGTAAGGGACAGGGCACGCCGTTATTTCTATTTCCCTCTGTGTCTGGCTCTGAGAGCAGAAAGTCCAACAGCTCCTTCTTTTGTGTGTCGAGCAGCTGCCAAATCCGATAGGTGACATTCTTGTGATTTGAGTGGAAGAAAACGGCGTCAGGCTGCGCCTTGCGCGTTAGTGTTTGTCGGGTCGCCGGGTAGCACTTTGCATGAGAGAAGAAGAGAGAGGGAGGAAAGATGAGGAAAGAAAGTCAACATACATCCTCATGAGGCTCGCGGTCGCAGGGCTTGCGCCGGTCAAAGAGCACGACACCGCCAAAGATCTGCGCCTCAGCCCAGTATCCCACCATGTCGGCGGCTCCGTTAGGATATTGCTTGATATCCCGATATTGTTTATGGATGAAGAGGCTTGGCAGTTTGCCATCCCGATAGAATCGGTGAAAGACCTTATCATTCGCGGGGGCCACCCACGTCACGAGATCCTTATGGCTGCCAAGATCCAGATCAAGCTCATATAAATAGACTGCGATCTGGTGGATAGAAACAGCGATCATCTCGATCAAGCAGGTCTTAAAGGCCCTCGAACCTGGTGATGCGGCGTGGTACTTGTGAAAAAGCTGCACAGACCATATTAGCACATCGTCAAAGATTGGAAGATGCGGGAAGAGGAGGCGGAGGGTGGGTGGTGGTAGTGCGTAGTGAATATGTTTTCATACCTGGGAGTCAAATTTCAACTCCTTCAGATCACAAGTGCTGCGGCTGTGCCTAGTTCTCTCCAAGACTCCAGGGCATAGTTCAAGATGTTGGGTGCGAACAGGGTGGTCCAGCGGATAGATCCAACCAGGAACGTCCTGGACACTCTGGCTGAGCGGCGCACCATCGAGGATCTGGGCAAAGGTGGTCTCAGCAGCCGGCGTGGACAAAACATTGAAGAGCGCGCGAGTGAAGACATCGCGATGTTGTTGGCCCAGGTCGTCGACTGTCGACTTGCGGGCCTCCGCCTCACCGTCGGACGCCAGGTCTGGTCTTGTCGGCTCTGGTGACATCTTGGGAAACGGCTGATGGGTTGTGGCCTTTAATGTTGGACAAAAGCTTCAGGCAGGTGGATGAACATTGAGGCGGGAAACGTGGTGGGGAAAGCATCGTGGGATATTTATATGCTTACGGTTTACTTATTTTGGGCGTAAGGGTTAGGGGTTCAGCCTTGAAAACACAGAGATCTTATTAGTTTAGAACCCGAAAAGGTAGGGTAGCGGACCTGGGGTGATGTATGCCGCGTGGATGACCAAAAATAAGACGAACGCCCCCACCAATCCTGCTGGCCATTCTTATGTCCGAGTAGTACCCAATTTATCAGCTTACCTATGGTAAGTAGTCAGATCGCTTACATTCAAATAGAACTTGAATAACATTGAATCGTTTCAAGTCATGTGCTCCACATGGTCCTGAAGCTGGCCCTCCCAAGTTTTCCCCTGGCCGGCAGTGGAACTGCCCTGCCTCAATTGAGGCCGTCTGCACTCACGGCTAGCTTCATAGGGTAGGGTTCTACTTCGCTTTGGAATTCCTAACAAGGAGAGGGCCCGATTGGTAGAGGACTGTGTTCGCCATGGCCCTTGGGGTCCGCCGGCGAGGCGTCTCCTGGCCAGGTCCCAGCCAGGCCATAGCCAAATGACCGGCTCAGTACACAGGACGGCCAAATCATACGATTGAGTGTGAGCAGAGCTCGAGGGACGTGTTGTGAAGATAGGGACTCGAGTATATAATGCCCGGTCCTCATCTCGTAGCTAGTAATGACCAGAAAATATCATCACTGCACTTCTTGGACTCGAACTCACTGCCTCGCCTGGATACCTAAAACCAATAGTAGCTGGACTCTATTGCTGCTCATCTTGATCCTACCGCCGTCTCTACCTCCTTCAACTTTTTATTACTATCCTCGCCCTCAATTTCTGAGGTTATACTATACACATTCTTACCCCCTTTCCCTCCCTTCACTTCCTTCAAGTTCTATACAATGGCACCCAAGCCAGACCCCAATGCTTCCAAGAAGCCTGTTAAGCCTGTTCCTGCTGCTGGTGCTCAGACCGCAAGGCCTGTTACTCCTGTTGGTGCTCCAGCCCCGGCAGACGCAAAGCGGAAGGCTTCCCAGTCCCCTCCACCTGCTGGTGGTGCAACAACTGCTCAGGCTTCTCGACCTGCCAGACCTGCTGCTCCTGACCGAATCAACAACCTTCGTATCACTGCTAAAGAGGGAAACAAGGAGGTACCGATTGCGAATGGAAAGAACGCGCGATACGACCTTACCGAAGAGATCGTGCGCAAAGCTCTGCGAGTGCTAGAGAGCACCGAGGGCAATGACAGCCTCGCAAACATGACATTAGCGCTCCTTGACAACTACACCAAGCGCAAGACACCCACTACTTGGGGAAACCGGCCACGGACAATCCCAGCTCTGAAATTGGAAATGGCTGCATTTGTCAAGAGGCTCAGAGACAATTTTCCGGAGATCAAAATCCAGACTGCGCCGGATGGTGACGCCTATACCAATCGTTATGAACCGATCGGGGACACGGGCGCTGTCGATTTCTCCAAGTTCGACATTGAGCGTGTAGAGTTGATCCTGCCTGCGGATGTAAGTATAGTAGCACTGTTGACCTTCATTATGCCCCAACTACCTGAGTAGTTAGAATCATCCAATCGGATACAGGCTAACAGGGAGAATCAAATGATGTAGCTCATTGCGAACATCATGAAGGCCGAAGAGAAGAATTGCCCTACTACTCACCACATGTTCCACCTGATACTCACCGTTTGTCACGAAGTCATCCACATACTCGTCTGCGCCTTATCAGCAGAGAAACGGCCCGTGACGCCGCCTGATATGGAAGTGGAAGGCCATGAGGAAGGCGCGGGTGAGTCTGGTTGGTGGTGGGAAATCAAGTTCCTGGGAGGCATCGTCAAGATGTACCAGGATAAGACCGATCCTGCAGCAGCTGTCTTGGCTACACGGCAGTCCGGTCTGCCTCTTCTCGCAACCGGCAATGCCACCACTTCGACTTTCCGACGCATCGACCCGGCATACATTGCAGATTTTGTGAAGGACTCGTCCCGTAAGTTCTGCCGCTCCCCTTTGTTCTGACACAGACACGCACGCGCGCGCACACATACAATCGCTGATACTAATTGTCATTGATGCAGCGGCCGGCTTCAAGCGCTTTCCTATCAAGTGTACCGCTGACAAGGCGATGTCCTTCGGCGACGTAAAGAAGAAGTACGGCGGGCCCATGTCAACCGCTCGGGCCAAGAACAGGGTCATCAAGAACCCCTCTGTGAATAATTCGCCCGAGCGGAAGCTACCCAAGGCTGCCAAGGTCGAGGCCTCGGCCAGCACAGCATCCGGCACAAGGACTAGCGCCCGCGGACAGGCTGCTGCTGCAGGGAAGCCAAAGACAACCGACGCGACCATGCCCGTCCGCCCGAAGCCCTAAGGAGCAGTAAGTCTATTATGGACGCCGGTATACATCATTGGGAGGCGTTCGCTACATCACGAGGTTGAATTATTATTTGCTTTACCAAGAACAAGGCTAGTGTGTTCAAATAAAATTCGAGTCTTTGAGAAGCTGCCTTCCGTTAGTGAAGTTAATATTATCACACCGGCGAGGATGAGTGTTGCTGTGATGACCACACGTGTATTCTCAAAGATAATAATCGTAGTGACAGGGTTTTTTGGTCCGAAGAGTGTTTCAAGGTGTACCGGTTGCACAATTGTCGTGGTGGTGAAGAGAGATTACTAAATCAATCTAATGGATAGAATGGTGCCCAGGTGATCTAATGATGACCCTACCGAGTTGCAGTCCACGTGTAAGTTCACTTGAAGAATGTGGTCCACTAAGTCTCATCATACAAGAGCCGTCTTCTCTATCCGGAGTAGAGACGCACCAGAGTCTTAGTCACATAGTGAACTTGAAGACTTGGAACATAGCTCGAGGAGAGCACTTGACAACATGCCACTCCAACATCTTCCTACTGAAACCTCCAGTTGGACAAAAAAAAAATTTCGATCCAAACTCGGGCCGCTTCTACTTTCAATGGCATCAGAACTTGAAGTCTCACTTCGGACTGATCCGAATTAGAAAGGGCCTTAGTCCTGACGAGTGTCCTTCTCAAATGGTTCTCCAAGCCTGAAAATATGATATCAGGGGATTAAAAGCAGAAATGAAGACCGGGAAAGAACGATAATATTCTGAGAAGACATTCGAGACCGATGGGTAATTGTCAAAAGGGCACGATTTGGGCTGTTTGTGTTGTGAAAGCGCCAGTGACGATACGCTCCAGAAGCTGAAGAGGATAATCTCTTGATGGATCTTGCTTGAATTCGCGCTCAATATTTGGAATCAATTGTCTCGAGATTAGTCAAGGCAAATGGTGCAGGGCTCTCGCAAGATTGTCATGTGGCCAATTGAAAGACTGCTTGTAGACAAAATATCATGTCGTTGTCCTCAGCCATGACTTTCGAGGTGGAGTCAGCTAGCCCTACCCTGTCGATCGCTCCCATGCGCCTGGAGAGGCAGGGATCAAAGCTCTAGACTAAACTCACGTACAACAATACTGCTGCTCGGTTCTTCAGAGATTGAGCAGGTATTTCGCACTGAGGATTGAACAATAGACCAACGACGTCAGCAACAACGAACTTCGAATTCAAGGAACCATCAGGCCCAGGTTTCAAAACCAAAAGAAAGGGCTGGTTGTTCCTTGCAGGAGAGGCTCTCTCAGATTGAGTTTAGCGGTGGTTGGGGTCGCGCTCCCGCAGGCGAGAGAAGTTGGAGCTGGACCCACCCCCAGCCCGCCGATTTATTGACATGGCACAATTGGTGGCGGGGCAACAGCCTCAAACCACCACCACCACCTCTTGGGTCCTGTCTACTCCTGCTAGCCGGTTGCTTAGCTGCTGCACCGGCCGGGTACCTGTCTGGCCACCACAAAATCAAACCGCCGTCCTTGTAGCATTGGAGTATTTTCTCCTCCTCTTCCACAATCACATTCGCATTATCCTCTTTTCTCATCCTGAGCCTTGCATTCCACAGCTCAGACTCCCTCCTGTCCGTCGTGTTGTGTGTAGCAGCTGTCTCTCGAGCACTTACACCAGTCCTCGGCTCCACCCTCCCATCTTGCACGAGTCCCTCCTCGCTCGAACAGAACAACCACGCTCCTCCAAGACACCTCCCGCCGTCTCCGCAGCTTAGCATCCATTCCAGTGCGAGAAGTGCAGCCGGGAAAGGGGAAAAAAAAAAGAACGGAAGCAGGACCGCCCATCCACTCTCAGTCTCTAAGACATCGAAGCGCAGTTCGTCCCGCTTCCATTCCATAGGGGCCCGCCGCCGTTCGAGAAGGACCCTTCCCTACCACATCACCGGTTGCCCAACACCCAAGCCAAGGGTGTAAAGAAACCGCCAAGATGGTCAAGGAAAACGACACGATCGCAATCATCATCATCGTCCTCTTCTTCGTCCTCGCCCTCATCTCCTTCGGCATCTACAGGCTCGTCTCCATCGCCCGCCGCTCCATGTCCGTCACCTCCGGGTCCACGAGCAGCAGCAGCGAGATAATAAACGACTGATCACGGCCCCTTCTTTGATCGGAGGGGCTGGGGGGCCGTTTTCTTTCCGTTGCTCTCTCTCTCTCTCTGCTCTGGGAATGTACTTCTCCTTCCCTGCATCCCGGGTGTTTTGCACCGAGGACGCAAGAGAGGGCAAGGCGCCCGGAAATATTTATAAAAGAGGGGGTTCGTGCGTGCAGGCCCGAGAGTTTAGCTTGAGCCGGGAGAGCTGCACGTCGCGGGTGAAATCATCACTGCACACATCGGATGCCCCATCATCATTGACGGGCAATGTTAAAGGAGAGGGAGAGAGGGCGGCGATATAATGACCATGTGCTGCGGCGGGAGACAATGTAACGACGAACGACATGTTTACGGCATATTTTGCATATGAACTGGGAAGCCAACTGGGAAAGGGAATTCATTTTGGACAACGCCGCGATGAAAATATCAGAATCTAATTGTCATCTGTTTCTTAACTTTTTTTTTGGGGGGGGGGGGGGCGCAAGGGAAAAAGCCGGGTACGAGGAGGGCAAATGTGCTGCCTCTGGCGGGGGGAAATTGAGGGAGGCATTATATGAGTTTGAGTGATCTTCGGGCCTGAGGGAGGATTTCATTAGACACGAGTTAGAACGGGGAGGGAAGAGTGGATGAAAGTTCCCACTCCAAATTCGAGGCCGAGTCAATCACCTCCCACTTTTCCTTAAAAGACTTGCGCGACACTGGAACATGTTTTGATCGTGTAGAATTATCTTATTCATTTCCATCCATTCCTGAGATCGTCAGGGGATGGTGATGCAACGTCGCTATAAAATGGGCCCTTACTCCTGACCGTGTAAAAATCAAATCCAAATACACCGTATAGAAGACATTGTACTGTACACACGCCGCCCACGACAGGCTTCTTTTTTCGCGTCCAGCTCCACCATCTCCGGCATCATAAGCGTGGTTTATATGGGGTTGAACATTTCTAATGTCTCGTACAGAACGAAGCGAAGTCAAGAAAGGTATCAAGGTATCAAAGAAGCCGGGTAGCATTGAGCCATTTAAGTTAAAGGGCGGAAGAAAGAAGAAATTTGGGAAAGTGTGTAGTAGATGGGCGGGTCAGGCCTCAATATCGAGGTCCAGGCGTTCCTCGCTGGCCCTCCAGATCTGACATCCATCCGCTGCCGTTTGTGGGCTGCCTGTTGTGTTGTGGCGGTCCGCCCATCGTCCGCTCGCTGCCGTACGTTGGTTGTCTGCTTGGCTGGCTGTTCATAGACCGTTGGCTGTGAGCTGTGCCGGGGCGGTACTCATCCGATGGTGGCCGTTGGTAGTCACGGGCATTTGCAGGAGCAGAGGAGTTGAAGTATCCACTTCCTGCATCCGAGTGAGCAGGCGTGTGCGAGCGGAACTCTCCGGTTCCCTGTCTCCGAATACCTTGCTGCACAGGAGCTGTCATGTTTCTCTGCGGCTGCGGGATCGGCGGCCCACGGTTCGGAACAGGGCCGGTCGCACTTCTCGTGGGGTAACCTCCAGGTCCTCCGCCAGGGTAGCCTCCTTGCCCATATCCTGGACCCATCATCCGAGGTGGCATTGCTGACGGCGCTGGACTCGCGCGGCCACCGTAGTCATCAAAGGACGAGTGCGAAGGCATTTGCCTCAACGGCGCTGGACTTGCTCGCCCCGTGGAGTAGTCGTCGAACGTTCCTCGTGGGGCTGGTGTCATGTTTGACCTTGGTGGCATGCCATAGGAGCCGACCGACGTGGATGTGGGTGACCGGATAGGCTGCGGCATGGGAGGGTAATTGCTCGTTGGTGAATATGACGATGGTGTCTGTGTGTAAGAGCCGCCGAAGCTCGACTGGTTGGTTTGCACCCTGGCAAGCGGCGGAGGGCCACCCATGGGGGACCTCAACGCCGGGGATGCACGACCCATCTCGGCACCCGCCCCGAGCAGGGGGGCCCGGCTGGATGTGGTCGATGTCGTACCCATCCTATTGGGCATCGGCCGCATCTGGTTCATCTCGAACGCAGGCAAGGCAGGTGTCCCGCCATTAGGTGTGCCTGGACGCGAAGTGTACACGGGCAGTGTGGCCATGGTGTCATTCCTGCTGAGCATTGGCATACCAGGAAGCTTGTCATCGCCGCCAAGGTTGGGTAGGGTGGCCTTCCGCTCCTCGGGTGGCAGCTCGCCTGCCTTCTTGGCGGCCCTGAGCTCCTTCTTCTTTCGGGCCCTCTCTTGGTCCTCAATAGCCGCATTGACCTTCTTGGAGACGATTTTCATCAACCTCTTGTTAATCTTTCGCTCACAATATCCCGAGAGACCGCCGTCGTCCCTTGGAATCCAACCCCAGAGGAAGAAAACGAAGAACAAGGCCGCGAGAATTAGTGAGAGCATGGAGAAAGCCCAGATTACCAGCGTGAAGACCATGCCTGAAAGGATCAGTGCTTGTTGGTAGTCCTGCTCGGCGAGCTCCTTGATCTTAGCGAAGAAGTTTTCCAAGCTGTGTTCGAAGCTGTCTCCTTCTATCGCTAGCTTGGCGGTGTATACCGAATATAGCGTGATGCCATTGACGGCTTGACGAGGGCCGGAGCAGAAGATGACACGAATCCAAGCTGCAACTGTATTAGCCATGTCTTATCATCGGATTGGGCAGCTGGCACAAACATTGGAAGCTGAAGTAGGTGAAGAGGGCGATGTACTCGGCCCCCTTCTTACTCTTTGTCAGCTCTGCGAAGACGAGAAACCTTCGCCATCCTTTGCCCTTTCCCATTCTCGTGCTCTCCAGGCGAACGGCCAAGTTGTCCAGATACGACTCAGCAACGGAACCTCGCCTCATGATACGCTGAGCTCGGATGTGCTCGTATCCAACGTTGAGGAAAGAAAGAATGATACAGATGGAAAAGATCCATTTTGTCACGTCGAAGGAGACGGCCGGCTGGATTTCGGAAGACCACTTATTGAAGGCGAGTAGGTTGACAGCCGTGAATGTGTCGACTGCGTACACGGTCGTGGACAAGATGAGCGAGAAGTACAGATAGCCATATGCGATGTACGTGAAGGCATTGCCAGATTTGAAGTCGTTGAGTTGCTACAATTAAAAGAATGGTGAGTCAGAACAAACAGCTCCCACCCGTACCATAACGCAGGGCAGACACTCACGATGTAATCCCACTTTTGCTCAGGTCGGACCTCGAAATTGGGCCTTCGGTGGCTCATGCAACCCATCTTGACTTTGGTGTGACCACGACCACGATGATTTCAATGGATCCTGTCCCGAGAAGATAAAAAGCGAACCGTCGACCCCGTCGGAAAGAAATGAAGAAGAAAACGGGTGCCGTAGGTTCGTCCCAGCCGCTGCGTCCCCGGATGGAAGTGATCGGACCCAAACTCAAGGAAAGCTCGTCGTCGCCGTCATGGACCAAAGTCGTACCCTCGCCTGCGAAGTTGTCGACTGTGGTTTGGTAGTGAAAGAATGATACTCGGCGTCCTCGTGTGTGTTGGACGCTCGGGAGATATTCGGGTGCCCGTAGGGCAGAAGAGAAAAGCTGCAGTAGTGGAGATGATTGATCTCCTTGGGAGGAGTGACAGGAGGCAGGGCCGTCCGGGTGGAGACGGGAGACCAGACGATTATGCGACACGACAGCGATATTGGTTCCTGCTATGGAGGACCTCTCATACTGACACTGCCAAGGCTGCTATTCTGGGGCTGATCGACGTAATGAGGTTCGGCAATGGCGAAAGGGCGTTTTGGTGATGGTACCCTGTGCTGGATTTCCCGAGGAGCCGTCTCGCTGCTCTACTCTTGTGGGCCAGCCGTGTGGGAGAGCGGAAAGAGTGGGATGATGAGCGAGCGCATGAATGAGGATACCAAGGAACCAGCCGGGAAGATGGGTAGGACGGCAAGAAGACGCAGAGAGAGAGTGTGGGAGAGGGTCGATCGAGTCTTGACGGGGTAGACGGGATGGTGGTTGAATGCGCGTCCCGGTGTGTTGGATTTTGGGTTTGTCGGGTGGTGACAGACTGCCACAGGTTTGATCGTCTTCGCTTTGCCCTGTAGTGGACAAGGCTGGGTCTCAGACCAGGAGCAGGTGTAAGTGGAAATGGGGCGTTGGGTGGACAATGCGTATTGCGATGATCGATAATGTTACTCGCGCGAGAAATGAGCGACGATTGTTGATATTGTTCTGAATGAGCGTGAGTGGGCGACCAGGTGGTCTAATGGGCGGTCGACTGGCCGCTGGAGGAGGCCGCCTCTTTCATCCCAAGTGGTGGTTGGTGGTGGTGGTGGTGGCAGAGAGAAGGGGGGGAGGGGTGAGAGGAGGGACGGGAGGAGGGAGGCACAATGTCAATCAATGGCGACAGCAAGGTTCAGAGGGCAGTGTGAGAGGGTGAATGGGGGCACTGCTTCGGCATGAAGACGCCGTCTGCGGGAAGCGTGTTTGAGGGAGAGTTCAGAGAGCGTGAGTCGCCAGGGCCAGCAGGGGTGTTCCGTGCCGCATGTAGACTGACATACATTAGGCTCCGTCGGGAAGCTTGATCTGTTACTGTCTGCTGGTATCGTGGGTGAGGTTGCTATCGCAAGGGGATCAAGGTTGGAGGGCCACTCTATCTGCAGTACCCGGGGTGCTGGCGTGCTGGGGGTTCTCCCTCTGGGCTGAGGACTGGGCCCGCTGGTGGCACCACACCCGTGGGTGGCCAATGCCTGTCAGCAGGCCCCTGTCTCTGCCTGTCTGACGCAGGAACCCTCTGTTCGAGAAAGCGCTAGCCTGCATCCATCCCTAGCGCCAAACCAATCGCTACCGTCCCTTGACCCCCCCTGTGAGCCCCCTCGAACCGTGGCTCTCTTGATTGGCTTCTGCTCTTGCTGCCAGTCGTCGTTCACTTCCTCCCTGGGCGGCCCCCCTTATTTCCGATTGACAGCCTCGACAGCCTCTCGAGGACCCCTCGCTGCGTCTCCCATGGCTGGTGGCCCTTTGGATGAGACACCCATACGCAGCCAGCTGCTCGGTATTACTCCGCAAACCCAAGCAAGCGCCGAGTTGGCAGCTGCACGGCAGACCAAGACGAGAGACGTCGTCGAGTTGAAGAACCGTTGAAACAAAACACCCACCGATCAACGACAAGGGCGTCTATTTCGTCATTCTGTTTGGCCAGGTGGCCGCATCCATCAGAGGAAATGTTTACTGCTGTCAATACTGCCCCGGCTAACTAGGCCGCAAATCAAGAGGCCCTCGCCTTCTCCCTCACTGCCTCTGTTGTATACCACAGTAATGTGTACCCACCAGTCCACGTGTTCGACTGTTCGTTTCACCCGCGCTGCTCCAGCCGCTCCGTCATTGGGCTGCCTTGGTCGCTGGCCAGCGAGCCAGCCCGCCAGCGGCACGTACCGAGCTGCCCTGCGCCAGCTGGCTGCAGATCAGAGACCCTCTGTATGCAGGAGCTCCTGCCCAGCGTCCCTGTGTCGCTGCGCGACTCTTTGAATTGCCACAGGTGTTCCCGGGACAGGGCGATTCCGCCATGTTGGTCATGTGTCAAAAGCGCAGGCTTGTCGCGCGGCTCCATCGAATAAAAAAAAGAGAGACCCTGGCGCCTCCAGTGTGGAGAAGGCTAGCAGGCTAGGTATTCTTCCGAGCTGCGAACGGATGGGGCGTCAGGGAGTCAGGGCGTGTCTGTGACACGATCCGACTAGTGTCAGCACTCGAGAGCTACTCACACTGTAGGATTCTAGCTCTCTCTTCGTGCTCCATTACGGAATCAACACCTGGATGAAGACGTACGGAGCCACCATTCTGTGAACGCAAATTGGACAATTAAAGATTCTGGAGACCAACGAAGCTCCATGCGGCCGACGCCGTCAATAGCCATTTTCACATGAGTCGGTATCCAGAGAAGCTTATCTGCCCGCCAAAAAATCGGACCGTGCCATGCATGCTGTTGCAATTTGCGTGTTACTGCGATGCGCTGCGTATTGTTGCGTATCGGTGCGTATTGATGCGTATCGATGCGCTTGAACGGCATCTGGTCCATCCGCCAAAAGCATCCAATTTTGTGACCCGGCACCTGCTCTCGATAGTACCATCAAGAGTACACTTTTTCTTTGACTTTGCGGTTGATATGCGCAACCCAAATCGGCATGCAATTTCAACAGGCCGGAAACGAATCTTAATTGAGCCAGGACACAATCCACTGGTGCTCAGAAATCCCCGGCTCGGCAAACGACCGCGAGCCTAAGGGCATACGATGCTCCGCGCACAGCACAGCACAGAGTGGCTCCTGCGTTCATCGGGCGCTTGTGTTCTTGCTTCGCATTTAGTTGTTTCTAACAGTTCGTAGACGACGTCTATCAATTCTCCCAGATGATTTCTATTTTCTACGCGCGGCACCGAATGCAGACAAAGTCCCAGCGCCTATCCCATGCAAGCTGTGGCGCCTAATGATGCGCCTCCGCCGAAATACCCGTGGACTGGCTTTTGCCTCTTCAGCCAACTGAAGAGGATGAGCGTCTCGGCTAATTACTTAGCGGCAGTCCCGTTCACATTCTCAAACTCCTTCTTGTAGGCCTCGATCACCACCGCCCGCATCTGCTGCTGCTCGGTGCTGGTCAGCCCGATGGCGCTGCCGCGTCTCCTCCGCCAGCTGGGCTTGGTCTCGTGGAGCCTGGCCTCCGAGTCGTCGCCCTCTGGGTCGTCGAACTCGTAGCTCCTGTACTCGGTATTGTCCCATCCGGTGCCTGTAAAAGGTTTCGTTAGCAAGAGCCCTCCGGAATGTCGCCCCCTCCCCTATCATGACCAGCTACTCTCACACGCACCTCTCGTAAGATCCATCCCGTCCCAATCCTGCGTCAGGAAGTGCAAGAAGCCACCGTGGGTCGTAACCACGATATCGGCGCTGTCGCCCTTGCCCTCGGCCTTCCACCGGCGGCCCAGCTCCCTGAGCCAGGCGCGGGCGCCCCGCGCGCGCTCCTCGAGGGCGTCGACGCGCGGGGCCCACGGCGAGCCCTCGCCGGCCTTGTTGTTCCAGCCCTTCTCGACGATGGTCAGGTCGGCCCAGGCGCCGAACTCGGCGGCCAGCACCTCGGGCTCGGAGCCCGTGTCGCAGGGGAGCGTCGACACCTCCTGCACGAGCGGCTGCGCGATGACCCTGCGGCCGGCGTCGACGGCGGGCCGGAACGACTGCTCGCACGTCTGCAGCGTGCGCCGCATCGGCGACGCCACCAGGTGCGTGATGCGGCCGTGGTGCGGGAAGCTCGCGCGCAGGGCGGCGCACTGCTCGATCCCCGTGGGCGTCAGGTAGGGGTCTGGGATCTGCTGGTTGATTACTGTGAGGTTGTGGAAGCCCTGGGCGTGGCGGACGAGGTGGATGGTGATGGTCATGTTGGGCTGGCTGGCTGGCTGGCTGGCTTGGGGACTCCGGGTGATAGCTTCTTGAGATGTGATTTGAGACCAGTGTCGTCTGGTCTGGCGGTGGGAGTGAGGCGGTTGTTGACACTTGAGTGAAGTGACGTAGGAACTTAGTGGTCTAGTTCGTATTTACACCTGGCACTTGAGTATCTTATGGATGATGGAAAAGGGACAATCGTATCTTATATGAATAGACTGGTTGAGGATGAAAGCTCCAAAGTCGTCATACCTGGATGAGTCATGCTCCAACAAGAGGTCTATTCTCATGATCCCGCCCTTGGGCGGCCGGAACAAGTGCCCGCCTGAGGTCGACTGTCAACCTCAGTTTGAACTTGGCCGCGCCGACAGTGGCGCTTCCCGGCGGATGAGAAAAGCATATGTCTAAGCCACTTATCATCCGGCTTCCTCAATCTGGACATGGCGGCCCGACTCAAAGTTGTCTTCCGGTGGAATTGCAGACCATGCAGCCGCGAAGCGCTTCCGACCAGGAGCCGCGGGTCCCGGGGCGGCCTCGGTGGTGGGTCCGATCGGAGAGCGGCATCGGCCGGACCGGGTCTGATCTGACCGACCTCTCAAGCCTAGACATAGACAGCATTGCACGAGCTGGGCGGGCGGACTGCCATTGGTGTAGTGCTACAACCTGTTGGTAGTTGGAACGGTACTACAAGACTCCCGTCTCTTTGTCCCCTAAACAGTCCCAGTCCAATCGCTCAACTGCCAGCTCAAGGAAGTGTGTGTTGTTGCCACATCACACATAGACTCACTGGACTGATGACAGATGTAGTGTAAGCTGAGATCATGTACCTATAGATGCCGCACTGACAACTGAATAGCAGGCACTGTCACGGCATTGACGGGCTTGGTGACGTGCGGAGAATGCCCAGTCAGCCTAGTCCAGCCCAGCCCGCCTTGCTATTCCGCGCCCTTCTGATTTGTCACGGGTGAGACGCCTTTCACGTCCAGCCGTAACGCCTCGCCTCCCCGCGATGGCTTCAACTCAGCACTCACGAAGACAATGTTTCCGGAGTTTGTCAACTAGCCGGGGTTTGATGATGATGGAGTCCCGGGATCTTTGACAAATCAACGGTTCCTTTAAAAGCAGCATTGCCAAAAAGGAGCCTTGCTGGACTTTCTTGAGACGGAGGTGCCTTTGATTATTGATTGAGAGTTTCTCCTGAAGAAAGAAAATTCACTAGATTTTTTTTTTCAACCATCGTCAGCTCTGGGAAATCATCTCCGCGAGGGACGTTTCAACGGGGCAGGACACAAGGCAGGGCAGGGCAGGCACTGAGCCACATCACCACCATGACCTTACACCTCCAACGGCCGTCCTGGCACGCAGGCGAGCTCGCCATTCACAAGCTGATCCACGTTCCTACACCAAACAACCCGACAGCCGCGGGACTACCTGCCAGCTACAGCCACCGCGTGCAGCAATCACCTCTGGTGGCCTTCGGCGCTCTCGACGACGACGGGCGGCCGTGGACGACCATCTGGGGCGGGGTGCCCGGTTTCGCGAGGCCCATCGGGCACGACCTGCTCATGGCCAGGAGCCTTGTGGACGGGAGGCACGACCCCGTCATCGAGGCCCTGTTCGGCAGTGTTGAGGGCGGCGGCGGCAAGTACCAGATGGACCCGGCCGAGTTCGCGTCCGGCGGAGGCAAGGTCGTGTCCGGGCTGGGCATCGACCTCGCCACGCGGGACCGGGTCAAGGTGGCCGGGAGGCTAGTCGAGGGCGGTATCACGACGGAGCCGGGCCCGCTCGGCGGCGGCGAGGACGGCGTCGCGCGCGCCGAGATGGTGGTTCTCGTCGAAGAAGGCCTGGGTAACTGCCCAAAGTACCTCAACAAGAGGGACATCCGCGCGGCGGTCCCCAAGCCGAAGCTGGTCTCCGACTCCCTCCCGCTCCCGAGCGAGGCCGTGGGGCTGCTGGACAAGGCGGACCTGTTCTTCCTGTCGACTGCTTCCGCAGAGGGCAGGACGATGGACACTAACCACCGCGGCGGGCCGCCGGGCTTCGTGCGAATCATGCGCAACCACGCGGACGACGGCGTCGACCTCGTGTACCCGGAGTACTCGGGCAACCGCCTGTACCAGAGCCTGGGGAACATGCACGTGCGGCCCCTGGTGGGGCTCTGCGTGCCGGACTTCGACACGGGGGACGTCCTGTACCTGACGGGCGGAACCACGATCCTCGTCGGGGCCGACGCGAGCAGGGTCCTGCCGCGCACCAAGCTCGCCGTCAAGATCCACGTCACCGCCGCCAGGTACGTCGCGAGGGGCCTGCCGTTCCGGGGCGGCGCCGCGGACTACAGCCCTTATAACCCCCCGGTGCGGCGCCTCGCCGCCGAGAAGGACCCCGCCCTGGCCCCGGACACCGACGCCAGACCACCCGCGACAGCCACGCTCGTCAGCCGGGACATGATCACGCAGGCAGTCGCGAGGTTCACATTCAAGCTGGAGACGTCGAGGCCGATGCAGAGGTGGAGGCCCGGCCAGCACGTCACGCTCGACTTCGCGGCCGAGCTGGACGTGGGCTGGTCGCACATGCGCGAGGACGACCCGGCGAGCCTGAACGACGACTTCGTGCGCACCTTCACCATCTCCAACGCCGCCCCGTCGGGGAGCGGCGGCGGGGACGTGATAAGCGACGGGGCAGAGCTCCAGATCACGGCGAGGAGGCACGGCCCCGCGACGGCCTTGCTGTGGAAGCAGCCCCTGCGCGTCCCGCTGGAGCTGCCGGTCCTGGGCTTCGGCGGCTCCGAGGCGTTCCGGGTGCCACTCGGGAGCAAGAACGATGATGATGATGGCGGCGGCGGCGAGGGGACGGCAGCAGTGTTCGTCGCGGGCGGCGTTGGCATCACGCCGGTCCTCGCGCAGGCGCCGGGCCTGCTCGCCTCGGGGACGGGCTTCTCCTTGCTGTGGAGCCTGCGCGCGGCCGACCTGCCTCTTGCGCTCGACTCGTTTGTCCGGTGCGAGGGCCTTGCTGGGCGGAGTCGGGTGTTTGTCAGTGGCGAGGCTGGCGCGCTGGAGGACGCAGCTGACCTCATATCAAAGATCGAGAGTCTCGGCGCTGTGGTGAAAGGGGGCAGGCTGACTCGGGATGATGTGTTGCAACCTGGCCAGGCAGAGAGGAGAAAATACTATTGCTGCGCGGGGCCCGAGTTGCTGAGGCCACTTCTGGGGTGGTTGGAGGGTGAGGAGGTGGTCTACGAGAGCTTCGAGTATTGATTGGACACAACTGTCGCCGGGATGATGGTACATGTGAGTCACTGTTGATAGAATCTTGTCGGTTGCTCCCGTGGTCTGGCAGCATTACGATAAATGTTGTAGGCCCTCTAAGAGATTTGAGCGGAAAATGGTCCTGTTTCGTACCACCAATCAATACCCACGAAACAAGCAACTCATTTACCATATGTTCATGAACAAATAAATAAAACGAATTGTAACCGATGACAGTCACTTGCACGAGTCTCAAATCGAAGGGTCAATTTCCAACGGACAAAAGTTGTCAGGGTTGTCCTCCCACGTGATGCAGTCTCATTTGCTATCTTCGTTCTCATGAGCTTCCAAAATGCTGCGAAGCATTCCTTATTCCTGTCATTACCCCCATGTCCCCCCACGTTCTACATGCGGACAAGACTAGGTGACGTATGGCTTCCATCCCTAGGACGCTTCTTTGACCGATACCACAGTTCACCTTTGTAACAAAATAATGCATACCAGATGCCACGTCCTCCGAACCCTATCACAGTTCAATCAAGGCCTCCTCCACTGCGGGCTTTGGCGGCGCGATCGCGTGCTGAGGGGCCGATGGGAAGGCCTCCTGGTGGTATCCGCTGTACTGTGGTTGCTGCTGCTGTTGAGGTGGTTGTTGCCACGGTGCCGAGGATGACACTGGCATCTGGACGTGTTGGGCGGCCGGGTGCTGCCAATACGGCGCTTGTGGTTGCTGCTGATGTTGCTGAGGAGGCGGCACTTGTTGCTGAGGAGGCTGCTGTTGTTGCGCTGGCTGCGCGTGGGCAGTTGGAGTGGGCGTCTCGGGTCCGTTCTGGGCCTGTTGGGGGTACTGTTGCATTGTTTGCTGAAGATTTGGATAAGGTGATGGTGCTGCTTCCGGCGGAGCACTCGGCGAGCCAAGAGGATTTTGGCCTGGTTGCTGGAAGTAGAAGGATGCACTTGGGTCGCTGATCGGGGTTGTGCCGACGGACTCGGGAGCATTGGGTTGCTGTTGAGGAAGTGCAAGATGGCTCATTTGAGGGGTAGCACTTTCACTGGGAGGATAGTTGGCCTGAGGTGGATACTGGCCTGGCGGCGCAGATGCCCTCCAGCTGTCCTGACGTGGCTGCTGCTGCTGCTGCTGCTGCTGGGGATATTGATGCTGGGAGGGGCCAGGTAACGAGGCACGTTGATCGTAGGTGGCATATTGAGGTTGAGGAGTTGGTTGGGTAGGATAAGGGTATGATGGCTGGGCGGCTGGTCTGCCATAATCTTGCTGGGGTTCCCCAGTATAGAAGCTCTCGGCGGGACCAGCGTGGTTGGTAGGCACATTGGCCTGAATATTTGGGTAAGGGCCGGACGATTGACGAGGCGGAGGCAAGTTGTAGCCCCCTAGGTTCTGGTTGTGGAACGCTTTTGAAAGTCGCTCCTCCAGCATTCTGTCGTAATAACGCACTGCTGTTTGGAGCTTGGCGTGCAAATCCAGAAGGGTATCTGGCCCTTGTGTCAGCAGGAATTCCGCGAAAGACAAGAGGATAACTCACCATGCTTGCTCATCGTCTCGCCGTATGTCCGCGCCAGCTTCGGACGGAGCGTTCCGATACTATCATAGAGCTCCTGAATCTGAGGTTCTCGGAGGATCGTCCCCGGAGGCTGGGTCTGCAAGCGGTCGACGAGAGTGGAAAAGAGGTTGATATTCTCGGCTTCCACCGGCGTCAACTCGTAATCATTTTTGGGAAGTGCAAATGTGCTGGGCGCCGCGTTACCCGCACTCGACGTTTGCTCCTTTAGCGCAGCGGCGTGTTGCTTCTTTTGCTCTTCCATATCTGCCAAGGAAGCTGCAATGGCCGCTTTCAAATCGGCATCCTCCTCTTCAGCTGCCTTGCTCGTAGAGTCCCCGTTCACTTTCGGATGAGAGTGTCGCGTGTTGTTGGCTGGGGCAACATAGTCTCTGCCGTTCTGGTGACTTTGAACCTCCTCCAAGCTCATCGCCAATGCCTTTTTCAAGTCCTCATCGAAGCCGTCATCCACTCTTGCATTCCGAGGTTGCATAGACAGGGACTGGCGCTTGTTAAAGGATGACTTTGATGGTGAAGGCTCCGGACCGTAGCCGCCTCCCCTGCCGCCAGATTTATCCGTCAGCTTTGCATAACACCCGTCATCGACCCTGACTGGTTGCAATATCCCAAGGTGTGGCAGAGGCAGCGTCTTGGTCGAGCACTGCTGGTCGAAGACGTTTCCGCAGTTACGGCAGTGATGCTTGCGGTTGGTGAAAGTAAAGGCTGTTCGACATCGCATACAGACGTCCGAGTCGACCCATTCGGGTGGCTAATTTGTGACGAGTTAGCAAGCAGGGACGAGTCGAGATCAGCTAGTCCTGAACGTACCGCACTACTGTCAATCATGCTACTAGACACCGATACCCTTGGTGGGAACTGAAAGCCTTCCCTTTGTAGTGTCCTGTACACCTCGCCAATGTAGTTCAACTCGTATCGGCCCTCGGTCGCGGCGGCCCAGTGCTGGATCAGTTCGAGAATCTTGGTGCGGACGTCATGGTTCACCGAAGCTGGGCCGATGGCTTTGAGCAAGGAGACGAGGTTGTCCATGAACTCTTTGGAGGCGATCTCGGCGAGGAAATGTTGGCCGCCGTTCTTGACGCAGGTGTCTGTGAGCTTCACGGCAAGTCAGTATCGCAGAGCATCTCAGGCGCTCCAACCGTCTGGCAGCGGGCGGAGCGAGTGCATGGGTGCGCTAACGTACGTTCAGGGCGCTCAGCTGGGTATTTGGATTCTTGTCGCCGATGCGTTTCTTGAGAGAGCGCATGGCTTCCTTTGGCGGGACGGTCTTGGATCTGATGACGTCGGATATCTCGAGGTTCAAAGCTATATCCTCCCTGTAGTACATCGCATCGCATCTCATCAGCAAGCTGCTACCGGATATACTCGCGAACCGGGGAACCAGATTCATGTACGTACAAGCTGCTACTTGTGGCCTTGTTGACCTGCTCGTCCAAGGCGGACGACGCCGAGGAGGACCACCATCCCATCATGTTGGCCTACGACGGAGACGTCAGACTGGTGTCTGTACGATGTATGGCTTGCTTCGGTGGCTCGCGGTACGAGGGGCAAGGGATGGACGTCGGGTCGGGGACGCAGGAGGATCGGACAGCGATTGTGCGATTCGAAGCGCAGGCCAGTCTGAGGGTTTGCGCCGCAGGTAAAAGGTAATTAGGGAGGCAGGATGGGCGATGGGTGGGAGGCGAGTCGGAAATGGGAGACGATGCGTCGTTGACTGGAGTTGTGTTGCAGTTGCAGTGCTGCATCGTTGGCCATGAAGCTCCGTCGGCAGGTCAGATAGGTTGCAGCCGACTGGCTTGCCTTGCTTGCTTGCCTGCCAGCCCGCCAGCGCCTGCCTAGATGGAGCTTACGTCGGTGACAGGGGTGGATGCTCTAGGTACCCAAATACAGATGCGCAGATGTAGACTACGTACGTAACCGTAGCCGCGCTGTCGCACATCATTTTTTGGCTTACCCAGCTTACCTAAACCCCCTTCCAGGTGCTCCCTCCTCCAGGCGGTCGGCCTTCTGGAACCCCGAGACTTGGGCTCAGCCCCGCTAAAGGGTGGTCCCTGGAGCTTCTCTCTAGCGTTACCGTGGCATGTACATGCTGGAGACGGACTACTTCCTCCAAGCCATTCAAGTGCAACGGCCATGATGCAACAAAATCAACTGAGAAAAGAGCACAAGATATTAGCAGTCTGTCATTCGATGCTGACATGGACGCTCAATTAGCTGCTGAACGAGGCTAGCGATAATAAAATACAACAGCGCGTCGACCTGGTAGACAAAGATCACCCATACATTCCAAGACCAGGCCTCACCATCAGAGGTACCTCGCGCGCTATAGGTACCTCCCCTCGTGGCTGTGAGCTGGGCATGGGGCATGGGGCATGGGGGATGGGGCAGAGGCATTCGGGCAGCCATCTAGTCTATCCAGGCTATGTTTGTACTACTGTATCTCTATCTGCCAGATTGTCCATGCAGTAACCGCTGGCATTTTTGCCCAGTGAGGTCATACGCCTCGCTTGTTCCCGATGCTCACCACATACACCACATACAACACACACTCTCGCATACTCAACACTCAGCACACAACAACCTACCACAGTAAATACCCTCGAACAAAGGACGTCACTCTTTCCAGCCGCCTTCTTCACTCCGACCTCGACGTCCGCTTTCGCTTCGCTTCGACTCGTCACTGGCCTTTGATCTCCAGCAGCCACCGAATGACCGATATCCTCCACCATTCTTCGAGAGTCGCTGTGCCTCCATCCGCCGCCTCCTCCGCCTGCCCCTCCTTCGCTTCCTCCTCCTCCCGGGCCTGCTTTGGTATTCGCCCTTTGCCAGTTGTTTGACTCCACCCTCACAGCCTGCCCTCGACATCCGCTCCTTGGTAGCCAGCCAGCCCACTTGCTCCGCTCCTCTGTGGGTTCCTCTCGGTTCCCATCCTCCTAGCTGGTGCCCCTCCAGCTGGCTCGCCTACCTCTCTCGGGTAGCCTCCTCCAGTCCTTTCCCAGCTCTCGAACCTATGCCACCGATGTTTCGCGCAGCATGACCTCGGACACAGGGCCTACTGTTGCTTCTCACCGCATCAGTGGCCATATAGGCGGCCGCAAGCAGTCCGGTCCCTACCCACACATCGATGACCTCCTACAAGTAACTCCCGAGGGCAACACCTCGCAACCCATTGGTCACCTCCTCGGCATCGCAGAGAATGGCGTCAAGTTTGCTCAGTTCAATGCGGGCGTTGGAAAGATAGACGTGGCCCTTAGAGAATACATCAAGGCCTACGTGGTTGCGGTACAGATCATTCCTACCCACAGAGACTACACGTCGCTTCAGACCGACCGAAAAAACCTCGGCGACCGCTACAGTCGCCTCACAAAGACCCTCTCCGAATACACAGCTGCGTACGAGAACATCAAGCAGACTATAAAGGACGACAATGCGAGAACGGGGGTACAAAGGGCTACGCGGACGACATCTGCCCCCAACGGTAGACCGCAGACACCAAAGTCCCAGCCCAGCGCGCCAACAGTGCCTGCCTCACCAAGTAGACAGACTGCTTCGCCTGGAAAAATGAAGCCCGCAGTGCAGCCGAAACCGGCCAATCTACACGGGAAGGCCATCAAAAAGCCAACCACAGCTGGGAAAGGCGAGGACCTGGCTCAGAGATTTGCCAACTTGCGAGGCCCTGTGCAAGACCCGCGCATACGAACACAGCCGCCTCCAGTCCCAATCCCTGCCGACAAGCCCGCCGGGCCAAGGGAGATGCCCAAAAAGCCTCCCATATCACTTGAGGGCGTGATTCCAGTTCTGCCAAAGCTTCCGGATGCGATATATAGCCCTGCTCGGGGCAGTATCTCCAATGAAGCTGCCGAGCTGCCATCAAGCACCCCACGGGGCATGTACAGCAGGACGAACACATCGGTTTACTCCGCAGCCAAATCACCCCCGACTCAGGACTACTTTGGAAGTAATGGCTCAACAGGTCCGACGTCAGCACCGACGCCTGAGAAGAAGCGGATTCCGCTTCCTGAAGGCGACATTATTACCGTTGAAGAGCTGGTGAAATATCAACGAATCGGGTCTAAGGATTTCCGGATCCTGGTCATCGACGTTCGCTCTCGTCCTGAATTCGAAGAGGGGCACATTCTCTCGTCGGCCACCATCTGTATCGAACCGGACATCTTGCAGAGAGATCGGATAGAGGCGGCTGATGTCGAGGATGCCATGGAACTCGGGCCGCCTATGGAGAAATGGCATTTCGAGAGACGTTACGAATTTAACATGATTGTGTTTTATGATAATGACTCGGAGCATCTCAGTTCAGGGAGCACCAACGCGCCGGCTACCCTTTTCAGGTTGTTGACAGACTTCGATTATCCGGATGGTGATCCAGGGTCCAAACACCCAAAGCTATTAAAGGGGGGGTTGGAGGCGTGGCAGGATGCCATGGGCGGCAGTGCCCTTCAGAAATCGTCCAAAACTGCTGGCCATAAAAGACGGCAATCTCATTACGACTGGCTCAAAGTCAGGTCTCCTTCAAAGCCCATTCAAAGCATTGAGGAGGCTCGACGATGGGAAGAGAAATTAACGCAGCTGAAGAGCGATGAGACAGACGACGGGAGTGGGGATGAGTTCCATCCTGTGAGGTCACTCAGCGACTTCATGACCCGGTTCCCGCCTGTACAAGAATCCATGACATCACCCCCTGCATTATCACCAACTACAGACAACAACCTCACTGGCCGATTCTCGCCTGTGCCCGTACGTGCATCGCCTCCTCAGAGAAGCCCCCAACGAGCACACTTCGATCCTATACTCCCCTCCGAGCCGACCCGACCGCCGCCCGCCGTGCCGCGCCGGAGCTATACCGGGCTCCGCACAGCAGATGATGACCACGGCACGCCGACTAAGCTCACCAAGAGGCTAGACGCGGCAAACAGGAGGCGAGCCGTGGGATTGCAGAACCCAGGAGCCTGGTGCTACGCCAACAGCACCTTACAGGCTCTATTCTCATCTGGTGCCTTTGGGGAGGAACTCATGAGTGGAGCGTGGGCTCAGCTGTACAAGGCTCCCATGAAGAGCGACGAGAACATCGTGCCTCCGCAGCTGTTGACGAAGATCCTGGCGAACCTGTTCCACTGGATGGGCAATGGCAAATTCCCGTCCATGCAGGCCAAGACTCTGATGGAATACTTGCGACAAAAGTCCTCCAGAAATTCTCAGGGGAAGAGAGTTCACGAGAGTCAGATTCTGGGCACCCATAGGCAACAGGACGCTATGGAATTCTTTGGCTACGTGTTTACGGAACTTGACGACGAGACGAACAGATTCCGTGATCGCCCATCAGAAGTACCCCAACCTACGCCGTCCAAAACCAAATCTCTCACTGACCTAGCCATTCAATACTGGGACCTTCACAGCCGAGTCAGCGATTCGATTATAGACAAATACTGGCGCATCACAGAAGTTGTCATCGTTCGATGTGACCATTGTGGCCATGTGGTCACGAAGTACTCGAACAAAGACATGCAATTTCTCAGTCTGCCCCAGAGCTCTGAGCCAGTGATGATTGAGGACTTGCTGCAAAGAGACTACTCAAACGAGCACCTCGACGATTACACATGCGACAACTGCTCGAGCAAAGGCCATTGCTGGAAAGGCACTAAGCTCGCCCGCCTCCCGGACTTCCTCTGCGTGTGCTTCACGCGGTTCGAGAAGAACGACGAGAGCGCGCGGTTCTCCAAGATCACCACGACGGTGGACTTCCCCATCCGCGAGCTGGACCTGACGCCGTACACGGTGCAGGGCCAGCAGGCGTACTCGTCGCTGCTGACCAACGGGCACGCCGGCACGTCGGCCGTGACGTCGCCGACGTCGACGATCCCGACCGACGACCACCACTTCAACAAGCCGTTCCGCTACGAGGCCTACGCCGTGGTGCAGCACGGCGGCGAGCTCAACAGCGGCCACTACGTCGCGGCGATCCGCGACGAGCCGCACGGCCCCGACGGCACGAGCAAGTGGCACGTCGCCGACGACGCGCGCATCAGCGAGCTCGCCGTCGGGCCCTCGAGGTCCGACAAGGGCAGCCAGTTCCTCCACCGGCAGAGCCAGCACTGGGGCGGCGGCATGCAGGCGTTCATGGTGTTTTACCAGCGCAAGGACGCCGAGTTGGTATAGTAGCAGTCAGTGTAGGGTGATTGGATTTGATGGATGGGGAAGGTACAGGATAGTATAGACCGCAGTAGCATACCCGGATACCTGAGTTCTTCTTCTTCTTTCTTGTTTCTCTCATCCGCATCATCTTATAATTCAGCATGTTATATCTGTGGCTTGCCTAGGCACACACTCGCCGTTGCCTGACGTGATGATTTGTTCCACAAGACGCAGAATGATTGCCTGGTGCGCTTGCTCCAAGTCGCTTGCGATCCGGCTCACGATCATGCTACGTGCAAGCAGCTATCAGTCCGAGGCCATCAACTAGTGATGTTGCCTATAAGAAGCTTCTGATGCTGTCCCTGCCCACGAGTGGCACCGAAACAGGTACCTTGCAAATATAGTGTCATGATAACGAGGACGCGATGAGAGCTGGCCAGCCCCCAAGATGCCCAGCCACAGTGGAACAAAGAGACCCGGCAATTACTTTTAAGGCCAACGGCAGACTGTCATTGACGACTAGAATAATTCTACAGACCAGTATCCATACTGTCCCTCCCAAAAGAAAAAAAGAAGCCGATCCCCTGGTAACCCATACTCAAACATCCCCACCGGCACACACGTGATTATACAAGACCAAGGAGCATGTGCACAATATTGTATACACATTTCTTAGGGTGGGAGGGGGAGAGGAAAGAGGTCATTGTGAATGATTCACATGAAACAACCAATGCAGCCCAAAACGCCACGCCAGCAACTCACCAAAACCACATAGCCCACAAGCAACCCAGCACACCGCGTCCAGACGGGAAACAGACCGGCCGGCTTCCTTGGGTTACTCCCCACGCCCAGCCGTACCCACATGCGGAAGACGGGACAGATGCAATCCTGGAGTCGAGCACCGCAACCCGTGCCCGGACCAGACTCTTTTTCGACCGGAGAAGTCGATTACTCTTTTTTTCTGGGGAAAAGGTCCCTTGTCTACGACTTGAAGGCCTCCTTGATTTCCTTCGCGTACTTCTCCCTGATGGCTCGACGGTTGACCTTTGATGTTGCAGTCACGAGGCCCTGTAATAATTGTCAGCGATATGTTCACTCATTGGACCAATTGGCACATGTAGAAGCCGCAGAGGCGGAAAACGAGAAAGAAAAGAAAGTTTGCACACAACAACGATTTGCACAAGCCAAGAGAAGGAAGGAAGTAAGGACTCACACTCTCCGGCGTCCACTCCTCGTCCGTCAGGACGACACCAGTAATCATCTCGAGCCCAGTAAGGCCAGCGCCCTTGCCCTGGGCAACGAGGTCCTTGAAGACAGCGGCGCGGACCTTGTCGTTGCGCACCAGGTCGTGCTCGCCACCCTGGACGCCGAGCCCGGCGGCGATCTCGCGGATGACGGCCTCGTTGACGTGGATGACGGCGATGGGCCGCGGGTGCTCCGAGTCGCCGTGGACCATGAGGTTCTGCACGGCGCGCGAGCCGCGGTAGGTGGCCTCGAGCTTCTCGAGGGCGATGTACTCGCCGCCCTGCAGCTTGACGAGGTTCTTGACGCGGTCGATGACCTTGAGGTGGCCGACGGCGTCGAACTCGCCGATGTCGCCCGTCTTGAACCACCCGTCCGCCGTGATGGCCTTGGCCGTCTCCTCCGGGTTCAGGTAGTACTCCTTGAGCACCGGCTTGCCGCGCAGCCAGATCTCGCCCTGCGGCGGCGTCGTCGACGTCGAGTAGTTCAGGTCCGGGATGCTGACCAGCTTGCACTCGATCGCCGGCGTGATGGGCCCGACGGCGCCCGTCAGGGTGAACTGCTGCGGGGAGCCCAGCGCGCCGTTGCCGCCCGTCTCGGTCAACCCGTAACCCGTCAGCATGGGGGCGAGGATCATGGACATGAAGTGGGCCGTCTCCTTGGAGATGCCGCTAGCACCGTTGATGATGAACCGCAGCCGGCCGCCCGTGAGCTTGCGCACCTGCCCGAAGATTGCCGAGTCGAATATCGTCTGACCGGGAAGGTTGTGCTGGACGAGGAAGGACTTGACGTTGAACGCCCCCCAGAACAGGCTGCGCACCAGGAGCGAACCGCCGTTGACGCGGCCCATGACGCCCTTCTTGATGGTCTCCCAGACCTGCGGGACGCCGACCAGGATCGTTGGGGCGAGGGTCCGCATGTCGCCCGCACAGTTGCGCACGTTCAGGTCCGACAATGTTCGCGCGCTGCCGTAACCAAGCGTCGCGCCGAAGAAGAGGACCAGATTCTCGACAACCATCTCGAAGATGTGGGCCAGGGGCAGGTACGCCAGGATGACCTCCTCGGTGCTCACGTTGTCGCCAATAACGCCCGCCAGGCCGGCCACGGCGGCCACGAAGCTTTCATGGGTCACAGAGACGCCCTTGGGAGGGCCGGTGGATCCGGATGTGTACATAATGCAATATGTATCTTGGGGAGTTGGGGGCAGAGGTTGGTAAGGATTTGCCTCACCAAGGGAGGCAAGCTCGGTGGCACTCAGGACGGTCAGGTTGGGGTGGGAGGACTTGAAGGCATCGATCTCGGACTGTGGAGTGGGCTGCGCGATGGATTGGTCGTTGTAGATAATAATCTTGACGGTCTCTGCCTTGCTCAGGGCTCCCGAGGCGGTCTTGAGCAGGTGAGGGTCTGTGAACATGACCTTTGGCTTGCTCTGCACCAGCGTGTGCTCAACGCCGCTTGTGCCCAGAGTATCGTAGGCTGTAACGATGGTGAAGGTCTGCGAGGAGCAGGCATGCGACAGGGCGAGCCAATTTGCGCTCGTGGAGGCAAACATGTGCACCTTGTCCCCCTTCTCCAGGCCCAGATGGCGCAGACCGGAGGCCAGGTTGAGCAAGTGTGTCTCGTAATCGCCGTAGGTCATGAAGGTGTAATTGGACAGCTCGAAGTACTGCCACTTCTTGTCGACCATCTGGGTCTGGCCGTCGACGATCTTGGGCACCTTCTTGGTCTCCTCGTGTATCTTGATCAGCTTGCGAGTGCCCATGCACCTGTCGCCAGCGTGCTCCTCGGCGCTGAGCTTGACGAGGGCGAAGACGGTGTCGACATCGGGGCGAGGGCGGTCGATGAGGCCATCTTTTGCCACGACATTCCGGCGTGGCTTGGTCTCGCCCTCAACTTCGGGAGCGCCGGGAACTTCGATGGTGAAGGGGGGCTTCTCGACCTGGTAAAGAGGGCCCAGGCCGGAGCGCCAGCTCTCGGGGACGGCGAGGTTCTGCTTGCAGGGCATGATGGGCAAGCAGAGGAGGGAGGAGGAGGAGGAGAAGTGTGTGTTGAGCAGTCGGTAGGCAGCGATCGAGAGGAGCGGGAGGAGGACGGCGACTATTAGTAGCAGGGGCGAGGGTCGAGGCGGCGCCCGTGTTCGAGTCCGAGGTAGAGGTCGAGGTCGAGGTCGGCTGGAGCTCCGAGGAGTGGTGGGTCTCTGTTGCATCCAGTGGGCGAGCTGTGTCCCGAACAGGCACCCGCCGAGTGTTGCGACGATGACGATAAATGATCACCTGCGAATGATGCCAGGGCAATCTGACAACAACTGGGTGCGCAGCAGGAGAATTGATTGATGACGACGAGGAGGGTTGAATGAGTGAGTGGCTGGCTCGGCGGGCTCGGGTGGTCAGCAGCGAACCTCAACAGAATGGAGCAAGCAGAGCTGTCCTTGTCTTGTCTTGAATTGTCGGGCCCGGTCTTGGTGGGAGCTGCTCCCTCCTTGGTGACGTTTCGCTTTGGGCTGAGGGCTGAGCTATTTCAGCATCTGCCAAGCTCCACGCCAATCTCTGGGCACGACAAGGGGGGTCCATGGCAAGGGCATGTCAAGGGCATGTCAAGGGCACAGGCCCATCTGGAGAGTCTGGGCTCCGCATGGCCTCGATCCATGCATGTGTCATTTCGAGCCGTCTACCTCTGGCTTGTGATAGTGGATCTCCCTCGCTTGATCGGCAGCAGATGTCATGCCACGACCACGACAATCAATCTGTCAACGCTGGCCAGCCCGAGGAGAGCGATTTCAAACCGACATGTTGGCTGCAAAAAAAGGTTAGGAAAGGGCGGGATGGCTGAAGCATCTTGGAAATCAGAAGCTTAGAGACGGGGTTGTTTAGCAACAGCTCAGCCTCCTCGGCCGAGAGCTATAAGTTGTTTAGATAAGGTTTGCGTCTAGATTAGAGCCTCACCACTGTCTATCATTCCTCGATAGAAAATCTATCTACCTAGTCAGAGCCTACCTTGCAAGCTTCCAATGTTACGTGTGCTGCTCCCTGTCACAAGTGCCATGTCGACATCGGGACAGCCGGCCAACCGCCACCGTGACCTCGGCAGACGCCAATCAAGGTCCCCACAGTCACGGCACAGGTCCGATGCTGATTTCCGCTCAGAGCCTCATAACACTGGTAACCAACCCATATATCAGCGCATCCCTGTCCGGCACACACACGAGATACCTCACCTCATCTCAAGCATCTCACCACTGACGTGCAGGCAGGTATGCATGTTGGCCCCCGACCACTTCGCTACCTGTCACAGCCAAGCGGTCAATCTCCGATCTGCCCAAGAACTCCGGACTACCGCCAAGCACCGATTCGTGGAAATTCCTGGACATCTTGAAAACATGCCAGTGTTGAAGGATTCTGCATTTTCTAGTCAGGAACGCCTTCACCTCGAACAAGTCTGAACCAGACTTCTACATCACTATTGCCATTCACTGCTTGAGCCAGGTCACGGCTTGGCACAATTAGGGCTGCCTCTAGGAATAGATTCTTTTTCGCAACAGGGATATTTGTCCACCCTGTCACGTGGTCGAGTATTACCATACCACAGGAGCCCAAAATCAGGAATTAGCATCAATTTCAAAGAGTCGCGTTAGATAGACGAGAATGTATTGGCACAGCACCCATAGCACGTGCTACTGGCGGGACATCGATGCTTCAAATATAGAGGCGACGGGTGTGCTTGTACCCAAGTGAATGCCCTTGAAGAGTCTTAAATCGCAACGGTCGCCGGCTTCCCGTCTACTGCACATCTATCTGCAGATATACCAGTCGTACGAGACACCTGACTAAAAATAAAAGTTGCCGAAAATGTATATTAAACTCCAATTCCCCGCTGTCTAGTTCAGCGGGACAAGTCTCAAGGAACTCCGGAACTACGAGACACTGTCCCCCCAAATCAGCCTAAACTAAATCTGGATTCTGCTCTCGCATGGGACGATCCGCGACTGAAGGGCACTACGAGGAATACTGTATGTATCCACGAGAAGGAGGCATGGGCAGCGTTAGTACTAATGGGATATCCCCCAACGGATTGAAGCTTGCCGGACGGATGCTTCACAGAAGCTTCAGATCGAATAAACAAGGGCCTCGATATACAACACAAATGTCTTGCCCCCCACGCCTGCCCTTGTGACGGGTGGCAGATCTCGGAAGCAACCGAAGACCAAAGCCAAACCCTGGCCCTGCAAGTCCACAACCCTTGCTGCATCGTCCAGGGGGTTGCCTGCCAACGGCCAGCTCCAGTTGAACCACACCTCGCGGCCAGGAACGTTGACGTTGGTTGATAGTCTATCTATCTAATTTGCTTGGACTGTCTTCTCTTTGTCCTGTTGTCTCCCCGCACAATTAGTCCCCCTGCACTTTGCCCTAACAGGCATTGGCTGCAGCAATGGCTTCAACTGCCGTCTTGGCACGCTGGGCATGATTGACAGCAACTGGTCAGGTCGCATCCAGCTGGAGTGTCCGTGTGTCAAACAAGTCGTTGGCGTTTCAGAACTCTCACTTTATTCTCATAGCGCCGTTCTCCTCATGTCAGCATTTGACTTCACTCCATCATCACCATAATCATAATCATCTAAACAGCCACCAAATTCGATGTCAAGCTGGCTATAGACATTGAACAGTCACCGTCGCCATGATGCTGTGCCAGAACAGACAAGAAGACGTCGTAAGTACACCCGTGCTCTCAATAAGTGCTTGTTACTATGTATGATATGCAAATGAAGAACCTTGTCGCATATCTGACAGTCCAAACAGTCATTTCTGATGGGCGCATCGTCCGGCCTTCCATCACAGTGCTTCTTCGACACTATACTAGCACCACTACCAACATGGGTCTTCATACTCGCCCTACCAGCCGTGGGACTCATTCGCACCAAAGTACCATCCACACAGGTCCTCCACGCCAACGTGCGCCGTGCCTGGATCCGCACCGCCACACTGTCTCTGTACTACTTCTGCATATTCGCCATCGTCCTGATGGAGTCCATCGAGGTCGGCCGTCTGGCCGCAGCAGATCTTGGTGTCGGGCTACTGCCATTCATCTACGTCGCGTGCGCCCTGGCCGTGGTCACGTGCGCAGCTGATACAAAGATCGCTCGCGCTCTAGGATGGGATCGTGGGTGGTGGCAGGAAGCAACGGCACTATTTTGCGCCATGAGTGGCATCATCACTACGGTCAAGACGATCGCCGTGGAGGCGCTCGACGGTGCGAGTCGCTTGCACACAGCGTATCCCGTGAGCGACCAGTTTACGGACCTTGTTGTCCTGGCGGTGCTCTACTTTGTACTCTTGCTGGTTGTGGTGGCCATGAAGTACTTTGTCAGGCCGAGGGACCGAGCTAGTCGGGCTTCAATGGCCAGTGATATCGAGGAAGTCGAACTCACTATGAAGGAATGAGGCTGTTTAGTCACGGAAGGTATCATGTGAGCTGCTTAAGTCAGTATCGGAGTCATGCCTGCGGCCTGGGCCTGTCTTTTCGCTGGGACTACTAAATTAAGATCGTAGTTAGACAGCCTACTATGTTTGACGGCGTTCTGGAAAGGAAGGGGAAAAGGGGGAAAAAATCTCCGGGGCACTAAATCCTGCCTAATAAATATCGCCCTCCCCCATCGTGCCTTCCCGATCAGGAACGTGTTGCACCTACCAAACCGACGGGAAATCAACGCCTACCCCCATCTCAGTATCGCCCTTTCCGGTATCCTTCACAATTCGTTGTGCCATGCTCTGATAGAGCTTCCTTCCCTCCCAAGGCTCGCCCAACGCTTTCCTTGGGCTAGATTTTCGATTCAACGTCGTCGGTCCCCTCATGCAACCCCAACCGTACCAAATCCTCACCTTTGGACAGGAATATTGACGTATATATCAGCCTTTCTCTCAGATCATAGGACATCAATTACGCTTGCTTTCGCTCTAACTAGCTCTCCGGGTGTATTCTGTGTCAATCTCTTTACTTGAGAAACATGTCTCCAATAATACCAACTCCTAAGGCAAAGAGGCCCTCTCTACATCAAATGTGAGTTGATACCTCAACCCTATCCGTCTTTCTCGCATCGATGGACATACAGCTCACACAACGATAGCACCGTCACTGGCCAAGGCTCACCAGAGCCTGATCTCGGTCCAGCTTCAGAAGGCAAAAGGTCCTTCGCTGGTTCAATCGAGCGCCATGCCGCTGAGGACAACAAAGACCTGGCAGTCCCCCCAAAGCTTTCCGCAAAGGCTAGGAAGCTATTGAAGCTTTGCGGCAATTGCGAAAGGCTACACAAGGACCAGCGCAATCCTCAAGGGTGCTGTGACTGTATCTACGCCTCTGGTGAGGGCGAAGAAGACAGTACTGCTCTCTCCTCCGACTTCAGCTCTCCATTGGCAGGCCGTTCAGTCAAGCCGGTGAAACTGTGGTGCAACGCTTGCACAGAACGCAAGGCCGAGCCCGGCGAAGATGGCCGCACTCGAAAGAATGCCAGACACGGTTGCAAAGACTGCCTCCATCTGAGAGAGCAGGTAAGGTCAGCTAATGGTAGCCCAGCCGGATCCTCTCCTGCATCCAAGTCCTTTGGAGCAACTGCATCTGCTCCAGGACGGATAACGAAGCGTCGACGACAGCCCAAGTCAAAATACAAACAAGCCAGTCAAAAGCAAGTAGAAGGCGTCTGCAAGGCTTTGTGGCTGAGGCAGAATAAGGGAGAGACTAACGAGTCTGTCTCTCGCCAGAGGTGGGTGATGGCCACTGCTACCATCCCATCGCATGAGCTAAAAGACGACGACTTGGATGACAGCACTGTTGAGAATGACCCTATGCACCCCCCGAGATGCATCCCCAAAGACGACCCTCACACGGATTTCCTTGGGCAACCGAGAAACGCTGAGTACTTGGCCATGATCCAGCAAAACATCCAACAGTGGCAGCAGCAGCCTCAGCCTGCGTCCCTTGCACCTCAACTTGACTTCTACGACGACCAAGGCCAAGGCCTGTTCTTCAACGGGCATGGAGCCCATGCGGCGCCTGCCATCCCGGCGCCTGCCATGCCTCTCCCCGTCTCCTTCAACAATCAAGGCCAAGGGCAAGGGACGCACATCAACACGTATGGATCCCCTACTGCGGCTACCATACCAGCGGCTACCATGCCCCTCCCTGTCTCCTTCAACGGCCAAGGTCAAGACCAAAGCAACTACTTCAGTGGAGCTCAATTCCCTGAGGCATCCTCGCTCTTCGCGAACGATCACGGTCTCCAGGCCGTAGGGCCAAACCTGAACACCCCTACGGATTGCATCGATCCAAGATTACTTGCGGATGATCCGTCTCAGACCATGTGCGGTACAGGCCCAATGCAGGGGTTCGACTATCCTTCCCGGCCTGCGCAGGATTTAAATAGGACACAGTCTGCCTTCGACGAGGCGATGGATGACCTCGACTGGTCTAGATGGCATGAGGCTCAGCCGTGGGACGCGACCCCGATGGACTGCGCACCCTCCGGCATGCCTCATCACACGGCTGGACCTCAACAGCCTGGATTCCAACAGCCTGGATTCCAACAGCCTGGATTCCAACAGCCTGGATTCCAACAGCCTGGATTCCAACAGCCTGGATTCCCTCCTAATGCCATGCAGTCGCAGTTCCCGATGCAGGCCCCGTTCCCTGGAACCGCAGACGGCATGGGCTGGAATGGCTCCCAAGCCGAATTCCAGCCCGGTCCTGCTCCACAGCCTTGGTGGGCGAACCCCATGTCTGCAGCATATCACGGCCCGATCCTGTCTTCGGTCAACCAGGGTGCCGCGAATGGAAACAACAGACTGAACCCTGCCGAAGCAGATATGTTCAGACAACATACCAATCGCAGCCCCGGGCCCGCGCCGCCGGCAGCGAGCGGCGCACCACAGCCGCGCTCCACCTGATGGCAGGAGGGCAGAGTCTCTGACCAAGACCACACAGGTCGAGAGACCCAGAGTTTATTAAATCCTTTTCCAACTCCCAGTTTCCAGTGCTGCTATTTGATTGCCACCGCCTTGCCATCACGAACCCTTTCAATGTCGTGCGAGCGGTGTGTCTCAACCACGGACTTTCCGTTTGCTCTTCGAATGGATGGACAAACTCGCTTTTGGCGTTTTCATTTGCTTTTTCTTCATCGATACCCTGTACCTCTACGCTTTCACCTATGGCGATTCTACAATTCACTGCTTCTCACCCTGGGTTGGTCAGTCCACTTAGACACAATTGCTCTCGGTCAACTCCTGCGCCGCAGTGAGCCAACCTGATTGCGCAATTGTCTAGTAGATTGGGTTTTGGGTACTTGGGGTTTTGTATTTTTTTGCTTTTGCATTTTGTCATTCTCCCTCCTCCCCAGCGCAGCTCATCTGCATAGGTGACAGCAGGCCCCAGTCAACACCGAGACGCCCAGCGTACAACAAATTCTATCATATCGGATATCGAAGCGACGCATCGATCAAGATGTGTATCGGCACGCAGGCAGTATCAACTTTCAGTGCGAGCGAGTGGGTCTGGGACTTGTGCAGTTGGAAAGGATTTAATTCGTCTTTTTTAAAAGAAAAAAAGAATAAAAAGAAGAGAAGAAAAAAACAATTACTTAGATTGATAGTCATCCGGCCTCGCGGCCCCGAATACGAAATCTGGGTTTTGTTACATGCCCCATCCCTCCCCGGGACCACAATGCTAAATATTCGTGAATTCCGTGCCGGATCTGATTCAAATTCTTATTGCTGGTCCTTCCCCTCTCAGATTATGCGTGCGTCCCCAACCCAATCGCCCTCACATGTCCAGGCTCCAGATGTCCGTCTTGATGGCGTGCTCCGAGGCGCCGGCCCTCCTCACCTTGCCGCGGGGCAGGCCGGATGCGCGCGGGAAGAACTGCCGCCGCACCATGGCGCGGTCGTTGCCCTTCTTGCGGTCTTGGTTGTGGGGGTGGTCTGATGATGTTGGCGCTGTGATGGACTCCATCTTATGTGTATGTGTGTGTGATCTGTGGTAGAAATGGAGGTGGCTGATAATGGTTGCTAGTTGCTGGTGTGGGTGATGGGTACTCTTTGCTGTTGTGCTAGACTTGGCGCAGGCTAGACTTGTAATGTTATACTCAATTGCAGAGTGTGGTGAGACGGTAACGCGATATTTGTACTCTAGAAAGCGTGACTGACTGCTCTCGGTGGCTGGATGCTCACCTTGGGAAGCAAGGGGGACAATGAGTACCTTATATCAGCAACTGGCCCTGGTGCAAGCCCCAGTGCCGGATTCCGTAGGATACACAGACAGCACGGCCCACACGTGTGAGAGGGGATTTCGACGCAACGTGGAGAGCCTCAGTTGCACGCGGCGGTGTCACTAACACCGCCTCGTAGGGCTCATCCTGGGCGGGGTGGGGCATCGCTCGCTCGCTTGCACCCGCATTGCTTCTGGCCGGCGACGATCATTCAATCAATCAGTCAATCATATCGTGATCTGGCCCCCTGCGAACATGTTACACATAGACCACGCCTTCGTCTTACCTCGCTACCGTATAGGATCCTGGCGCTGATGTAAGCCGCAACCCCAACCGCAGGAAGGAGGATCGGGAGATAGGACGGATGTCTTAGGCAGACCGCTGGTTTGTGTCCCCATTGATCAGGCAGAAGGGGGGAGGTTGCCTTGTTTTGGGCAGCGTGCGTCATTTCCATATGAGAATAGCGGAAGAGAGGGTCCTGCAGGCAACTGAAGGCAGCTGTTAGGTGCATTGCCCGCGTGATCTGCTGGCCACTGCTATTATCAAAGCCCATAATCAACGACTGCTGACTAAGAAGGATAATAGGCAGAATAAGGACGGCATCGCCTATGTGTACGTAATGATCGCCTCGCATGGAGGGAATAGGTAAGCTGGATAGAAGGGCCGTAGAACAACCGGTGGAAGGCCAGCCTGCATCAGCGTATCGATTCCGTACGACCTCGCCAAGATGCCAACAATGCAGGCATGACACGAGGCTTCGCGCAGGGGTGCGCTCATTTGGGATGCTCGGTCGGCTCGACTGGAACTGAAATGGACTCTCGACACGACATGGACGGCCACGGAGGTATAGGTGCTTACAGGCCGGTGAACAAGCCGCGTGGGGGAGTATGGGGTGGATGTAAGCACAGCGCAACGCAGGCGTACAGAAGCGAGCGGCGTCGCCTGCTCTCTGCGCCGCCACGCCGGCAAGACTTCCGGGGCATGGCAGCCTCGGCGGTGCTGTTGCTTCAAGCGTGTACGGGGACGCGTGTGTTGGAGGCCGTGGGATGGCGATCGCCTCGTCACCAGGAGCCTGCGACGGGCCCTGTGGCATTCTGGCGACACAATGGGGGTTACGATTGGGCTGCAGTCGAGGCAGATGGCCTTCAGCTTGCTTTGTTGTTCGGTGAGTGATCGGGCCATCGACGAACGAGGTGTCGCGATGTCGTCCGCACGACAAGGGCCAAGGCAGACCGAGAGTTCGAGGGGAGGTCATCTGCTTGAGTGCATTCTTCCGCCGTTGACATCCATGGATTGATGTAGGTAGTGACTGGAATGGACCGTTTTGCATAGCCTGACCGTTTCATTCATATCAAGGCGTGGACCTGTCGACCGTTGCCCACGCCTTGCTTGCTGCCCTGTTTGGCCCTCCAAACCTCGTATGTTGCTGAAGGGTGGTTGACACTGATGAGTTGTCCCGGCATTGCCTTGGGCAGATGACCACAGGCCCTCGGCTTGTTCATGCAGGGCAGGGGCCAGGTGTCAGTCATCTGTGGCGGAGGGACGAATCGACTGCACCTAGAGATTGGGCAGATGGAGCTAGAGGCGCCCTGGTGGTGGGCGAGGAACGGAGCGACGGGAACGGTGGGGCAGCCTTGGGGCAGCTCTGGCAGCTCTGGCGGCAGCTCTGGCGACAGCCTGGGGGAAGCTAGACGCCTGCCCCTGTGAGGCCTGGGGGTCCCAGGGGGCTCCCTGGAGGGCTCCCTCCTGATAGAGGGCACTTGAGAGCGCGTCCACAACTCTAACCAACGGTCAAGCGTCCTCTCCGCCACACACCCACCATGTGATGCCTTTCCAACGGGAGCTAGTGTCTTAAGAAGGCCATTATATCTTTTGCCTTCCTTTTTCTGTCGCTCTACACCTTTGTCACCCAATCAGAAAAATCGCTCGATTTTATCTCTGGTCTTTTTTGGGTGTCTTGAAGTATCCCGCGCGTCGTGGCTGAATGGCTGTATCGGCCCTCTCCATCGCGACATACTTAGCCCGAACGCCACGCGCCTGATGTTGACTGATGTCGGTGACGCATTCGCTGTCCAAGTTCCTTTTTCCCGAGCTAATCCCGCAAATTGGACACTACTGAAAAGAAATAAACAGACTACAATGACATCTCCGTGGGTTCTCCATAGACGAGACCCTCAAGTTCGGCGCCAAACACGATGACTCAAAACATCCTCGCTACGCGTGCTCGAGCAGCCTGGCAGCCTCAGGAGAAAGGCAAATCCAGGCTATCTGCTGCTGTGCCCCCCACGAAATTGGCCAATAGTCGATGTCCTGCAGGAATCCCACCTCCTTGGGTCTCGTGGAACGTATCACGACTAGATTCCTGCATTGCAGATCGCATGGCATCTTGCCCCTGCGCTGATGGGATGACTGGGCTCGTGGGAGCTTCAATGGTCAGGAGTTGGTGCCATCTGGTGAACGACCATTTGCATGGCCCGAGGTGACTATTGCTCTCAAATTTTAATTCTTCCTTTCGAAAAATTATTTTATCGAATTTATCTAGGCACTTCCACGCCCTGATGGTGTGGTCATCCTGCCCGTGGTGGTGACTACCTCTTGCTGCCCGCCCACCCTCGAGGCCGACACCATACCTCAGAGTTGCACGTGGGATATTTTCTCCATCGACTCAATTCCTCGGAATCGATCAATCGCCCCACCCCCGACACGACACATCGTTCCTCCGGTGTCTCACTTGCTGGCAGTTCGAGGGCCTTTAGCTCCATTGTCACGGCCCATTGTCTCAGACAACATGACTTCATCCCCACAGGGCCGGGGAAACACAAGACTCAGTTGACACCTCGGCGACACGCCGCGAGAGCCTCATTCGATATCGTCAGGAGATGTCTGAGATGAGATGCCTCAAGTACCTCGACTTTGGCCATGTACTCGCCCACAGGGCCGCTAGCCAACCTGTCAGTGCAGGTGGAAGGTTACGATGGGAACCCAAGATCAAGATGATGTGTTATTTCAACACCAACCTGCATCTCAGCGCATCTGCTCGAGGTCAGCCTTTGTGACAACCTGCCATTTGGCTCCAATCCCTCTTTGACTGGCTCTTTATCGCATCACACACCGTAGTCGGGCATCGATCGCGTAACACGGGCAAGGCGGCCAACAACGACAAACGTGCCCCGGCCAGTGTTTTCGGTCAGGAGATAACGCTCACATTGTCCATCACATCTTCGTCACCGTCACTTCAAGGCAACCCTAGCACTGCTGGCTGGTCACTACCATAACCTCGGCTGGACGTTCAAGGACTCGTGAGAGGAACCAAAGATGATGGCATCGACGCCTGGATCCCACGATGAATGACGTATCTCCTGTACCCCCAACTTTGGTCTTGCTATCACGTAAAGCAACTTTGCCAGTGTGGTCAGAGGCCACCGCGACCACCAAGACACGTAGATAGCCGGAGTCCTCGGCGCAAGCGCAATACGTCCCTAAATCCGAGAGACACCCGCGTTGCGCCTTTGTGGCGTCCACCCTAAAATCAAGAATGAAGCGCTCGTGAGTTTTATGCTGACCTTCTTGGGCTCTTGTTTGAAATGAGGCATATTTTATAGAATTCAGGTTCTCCCTGATACCGCTAACTCAAGCTGAGGCCGGTGCTCTTAGGCTGAGGTTGTGTTCCGTGCTCGGCGACCAGCCTCCCAGCCTCATCTCTCCCCTTTTTTGTGTCCACCTGTCTTGTCGTTAGTCTGTATTTGTCGCCCAGGAATTAGTCCTCTTCTATGTTATTCCCCCCACCCCTTTTCCTCGGGTGATGGTTGCCTGCTGGCTGGTGTTATTTCATACTGTGGGTGGCGAAGGTCTGGTTCTTCCATGCGAGTACATGACGATGCAACGCGTGGTCGCTGACTTGGAGCGGTCCACGACTGAGTATCGTCAGACTATCCGATGCGAGATGCAAGGGTGAATTTACTGCCTGTGAATGTGACCGACGGCTCCTGTTTTATGCCTCCTTTGTTTTTGTCCTTGATTAGTAGTAGAAATAGTCAACACTCGACTAAATTTGACTCCCCACTTCTATTTTAGCTCGATTATCGAACACTGATGCGTCTATGCGCTTACAAGCACACAGCTCTAAGTGATGGATCAGAAGGCACGAGAACCAAATTATCATATTTAAAGTCGAGACAAGTTGTGTCTGAGCCCTAATTAAAATGACTCTTCCTCGGCGTGATCGGGAGCCGAGGCCACGGCCGAACAGCCTGAGAGGCCCGAACCTCCATGCTATAGCGCGGCCGCTGCTCAACATCATCATCCAGGGGTACCCTTTGCCATCTGCTCCTGTAGACGTGCTCATCGTCCGGCTTTTCCTGGTATGATGGATTGGATAACGGGCGGAAGCCATGGCTCTTTTCTTTGGTGCGGCCCTTGGTCTCGTCTGTCGGAGTGTTAGCGATAAGCATAAAGATGGGGATTTGGTAAAAGACGTGATGGTCTAAATGGGCAGACTCACAAAGGTAAACAGTTATCAGCTCAAGCGCCACGGGCGCCCAAGTGACAAGCGACAGCACCTGGCCGAAAGTCCACTCTGTGTCCTGGTCTGACTCACCCGCCTTGGATTTCACTGCCTCCCTATACGCCGTGAACAGAAAGAGGAAAGTCCACATGAACAGGCCGCAGATGGCACCATCGATGAGCCTAAGGTACGGCTGGCACACCTCCCATCTCCGCCGCCACGGTCCCGCATTCGATAGGTCCACGCTTCCGTTCTGAAGCTTCCGAAGGCCGCTGCGGCGGAATGTCGCCGTGGCGTGGTACAGCCAGCGGAGGCAATTGAGAGCCAGAAATACGTGACCGGCGGTGGTCATGTACGCCAGGATGCTGCGCATTTTGTGCGAGTCACATTTTGCGAGCCAGATGTCTTCGGAAACCATGGTGTCCTGGCTCCAAAGGTACTGGAAATACGCCCCGTAGACGTAGCGGTAGAGGACTTCGACGGTCAAGGCGAAGATGATGACGAGGAACCAGAGGAATAGCCGGATCCGTTTACGGCGCAGGCCCGGGGATAGCGACTGCAGCGCTAGGGCCGGGAATATGGAGAACGAGGACATGAAGTTGGCGTTTAGAAGGCCGTAGAAGGCGTGCGGCTCATGTGGGTGGACTATTGGCGCCGCCCAGCGCGTGATGGACGCTACATTGACTGATATTGCAAAGAGAAGCACGGCGCTAAATTGCGAGATCGTTAGAACAAGTCCCCTCACGTAACTTCAGGGCTCGAGGCAACATCTATGTCTGAGTGACTTACTCTTGAAACGTGTTTAGGGACTTCCGAAAGCAGTTGATGAGGATCTTGTGATTCTCTTTCCGTCCCGCGGGTGCAGCTGCTCCGGTAAAGTCTCTGAGACTATCCGAGAAAAGAACGATAAAGTATAAAGTGGCAAAAACGGCCAGCATGTAATAAGACATCATAGCCTGGTGACGCATTGCGATCAGCATAATTAAGCTTAGTATGGAGGTTGGACAGGCCAGCACTTACGCCAACGCCGGTAAGATCCGGATCGCCTTCCCACTGAAGCTTTGGGCAAACTTGCGCACTGCACTTGGCCAGTGGGAAGTTGATCATGTCCATGAGAAGCGCATTGTTGTCTCGGAAGTAGTTCTTTTCATGATACCAGACCAGAAGGTTCGCGTCCGTCGGCTTGGTCCAATTCCTTGGTATCATAGAACCTAGATAGCCGATCACGATGTCGAAAGAAACACCATCCCACAGTGAGCCTTCATCCTCATAAAGCTGGCCGTAGGCGGCAAGCCATGCTGCTGCTGCAGAGCAGTTGGTGAAGTTCAACCATGCTACTGGCGGAGGGCTCCAGGTGGCGTTGACGACTTCACCAACAGTAACGACCATTTTGACCTGAAAAAGAATGATATGTGCTAATAGAAAGAGCTCGGCTCTAGATAGAAGAAAACCACGAAAGAGATTGTGAGATCACCCGCAAACTCACCAGTGATCGCAGACCTGGGTAGAAGTTAGAGTTCGCATTTGTTGATCATGCTATTATATTTGTCCTGCATTCCCCATTTAGTAAATAACGTAGTCTCCTTAGCCGAAATATAGTATCCAACCTTGTTTTGCGAGACAAGTTCGTCAGAGGCTGCCTCTGTCCCTATCCCTTTCTTTCCTCACCCCATACTTCATTTCGCTTGATCTGTCTTCGGCAGTGATTGCAGCTGCCTTGGTGGGTATGAAACACAGATCGACCTGTGGCAGATCTCTCACCTGGGATGCGAGTCATGCTGCGGGTAGGCCACGTGTGAGAACTCAACGGTCATACCGTGGTGCACCAATGTGAACGCTTCTATTGCATGAACTGAAGAAAAACAAGGAAATAAATATATAGATATGCACAGTACCGCCGAGAAAATCTCACAGCACTGCCTTCACTTTGCCTTGCGGCTTTGGCCGCAATATGCACTGCTGCGTCATGCAAGCGACCAAGTTTCGCTGCTCATCCCACAGACGGCCCTCCGAGTATGTCCTGCCATAGCCAGCTGCGATGGTCTTCCTCTCACGGAGGTGCCAATTGCTTAAGTCGACATCAGGCGTGAAGAGCCGCAGAGCGAAGTCTAGCGTCGAGCAAGCCCCAGCGTCGTCAAACCACAGGTGCTCATGCCAGAGCGGGAGAAAGGACAGGCCGCCGTCCATCAAGAAGGAGAGAACAGCCGCCTTTTCGCCAGCTGAAGTCAAGGGTTCCTTCGTCTTGGCCCAATCTCCGGAACTCCTTTCTGTCAGCGGGAGATCGTCCTGGTCCGTCGGAAGCGTCCTCAGGAGGCCCACCACATTTTGACCGGTCATTCCTTCAGCGCAAGTCCTCGTCTCAAAGAAGTTCTCCATCATTGAGAACATGATACCATTCTTCTCGACTATGTCGCTGCTGGCAAGTCCTTGAGCAACAGCTTTCTCAGCCAGCTGCTTCGCTGTGGGGCTTTCGTGGGGCCCCTTGAACGGGATCGTCGGCGGCGCAGAGTACGCCATCAGCGCCGGCTCCTCGACCTGGAAGTCCGCCAGCAGCTCCAGGCATGTGCGGACCTGGCCATCGGGCCGCTGCTGGCTGACCACGACGCGCCGCGTAGTGAAGGTCTTGGTGTTACGCGTGGTGTGAACCGTGCATGCCAGCTTCTCTGTGGTCGACGCTGGCCCGAGGAAGTGTCCCACGAGGGAGTATAGCGAGAACGACTCCGGCACCGTGGCACAGGCTGCGCGCGTTGCTATGCCTGCGGTGCATCCGCCGTATGCGATAGGCATTGCGTTGCCCATGCGCTGGGGAAGCTCTTTGGAGATAAATTGGCCCGGCCCGGTTTGCTCGATGGCTAGTTGGTCTGCTAACGACGGCAACATCTTGAGGATTGTTGTCGGGGCCGATTTGTGAGTGAATAATAAACACTGACAAGTCCAGACTGCGTCATTAAGAATTTGTTGTTTCTTTCCTAAGTTTCATGCATGGTAAGTACTAGGTATTGTGTTTGAGTACTACAAGGCAGCACCGAGGTGTTTTTTCCCGCATCATCAGATGCCTCGGCACAGTTTCCGAAGGAATCCCTACGTATGCCGAATAGGAAAAGATCAGAAATCCACTCCGATCTTAGCAAGGGGTTGTAAGCCTTCCTGTATAAGTACTAGGCAGTGTCTTAGCGCGATTCCTGTGACCGGAGGACCAGGGTCTGATTCAAAGTCCATGTCTCTGCAAGGCTGTAGAATAGATAGTCTTCAAACATGCGACCGAGGAAAAGTTCGAGAACCTTTCCGAAGCTACATGCGATTTGGTGGCGGGCAGGACGATGACTATAGCCCTGCTTGATCCCTCGATTGCCTTCGTCATAGTCACAAGCGGCTGGCCGACGAAGGTGGAGCCAGCCAAGGCTAGCTTGAGCTCAGCCCAGTGTAGTGGCGACACAAGCACGCATTCTCGGAACAAAGCAGCGTTGAATGTCATGGCTAGTCAAGAATGGGAAGTGTTGGCATTACGTGAGAAGTTTGACTTCTCACTATGGAGGACAGCTTTTAAGAACTGCGATTCACCAGCTTTAGACATCAGTCTGAGTTTTGTCTGCCATCAAGACTTACCATCCGAAACGAAGTAACTCGCTGTCAATCAATTCTTGTGGACAGCGAATTTAAAGCAATCATATCAGTTACCGACACCAAAGTCTGGGTACATAAACCCAGATACGCCATGAGTAAAGTCAAGAAACATGCCTCGCCTGCTTCGCCCAAAGTGCGGATAATTGTACTAGAGACGGATGAACCTCACCCCGATACTCACGCCGAGAAGGGAAGTTTTGGGGAGATCCTGCATAGTCACTTCCAAAAATCAGGTGCCGATCATGACCCTACGCTGGCTGTCGACACGGACCAAAAATTCGTTGTAGAAGAGAAGGGAGGTACAGTTCCGACCTTTGAAGAATTTGAGAATTACCAGGGGATCTTGATCACAGGAAGCATGTACGATGCCCATGCCGACAACCCATGGATTCTGAAGCTCCTTGCTGTCTTGAAAGGTAAGATGATGATACGATGCATTTAAAACAAGAAATTCAAGAGATGCTGATACTCAGGATGCAGAGCTGTGGGAGCGCCGGCCGGATCTCCACCTCAGCGGCGTTTGCTTCGGCCATCAGCTTCTCTGCCGGATGCTAGGTGCTGAGGTAGCCCCGGCTCCAACTCAGGACTGGGAGCTCGGCCACTCGAGAATCGACCTGTCTCCTGTGGGCAAGCAGCTGTTCCGCACAGACGACAGCAGTGTCTTTTTGCATCAAATGCATCAGGATCACGTCGTGACACCGCCCAGTCCCAAGTGGTCGAATGGTCTGCTTAAACCGGGTACGAGGGTGGATGTCTGGGGCCATAGTAGCCACACCGAAGTACAGGGTGTCTACATCCAGGGCCGGCTTTTCACAACACAGGCTCACCTCGCGTTTGACGAAGACATGGTCAAGAGGCAGATTCAGTTGAGGATTGACAGCGGTGGCATTGAGGATCTGGATCATGCAGACAGGGCTGCGGAGACGGCACATTGGCAACACGATGGTGATTTGGTTGCTGCTGCGATCTTGAGATTCTTTCACGGTGATGATGACAATATTAAATAAAAGTTCTTGGCTTATGGAATATTGCAATGAAAGACCGTTTGCTTTGGAAGAAACTGGATGTTTGAATCATGAGTCCGGACTAAGTTACACGTTGATGCAGTATTAGAAACAATGTGAAGCTGTCCACAAACAACAAACCGAAAATGAGGGCTCAGAAACAATAAACCTCGAACGCCTTAAATGTTGAAGTAAATGAAATGCAAGAGCATACTTATTATTAGACTGTCTTTTAGAATATTTATCGGGTGTGGCACGGTTTCTTCTTTGCAATCGGTATTCACGTATCATGGCACTTGTTGAAGAACAAATTTCCAATCCGCGATAACATCTATAGGACACTTCTCACGTCATTGTACTTCTAGTAGCTTCCAAGCATATAGAAACATATTGACTGCACTCTGTTTCAGGCTGTTATTCTTTCCATGTCAATACTTTCGCTACAACCTTGCAGGCATTGCAAACATGTACAACAAGAAAACAGTCATTAGTACTCTTTTCATAGTCCTACTGTTCCTAGGCGGACTCCTTGCTGCCTATCCAACATCGACAGCCTACGACAATTCATTCGCAGTGAGCGCAAATAATTTCGAGATTCACAAATGGAAGCTGGAAAGTAATGTTTGATATATGGATCAATTTCTGATGTATTAAAAAACGGAATACTCTGACGCCATCGCTCATTTATAAGACTCCGTCATTCAAATCATCGCTCTTCGACGTATCCTGGCTGGGACATTGCCACGAGGTGGGATTGATCCAAATGGATAGGTTCCTGAATTCAAAGCGAGCTCTTCATCGCTCGCGAGAACTTCGCAGTCGTATAAGGTCACCATCACTGCCAGAGCCAGAATGTTCGCACGTTTGGTGAGAATCCTACCGGGACAGGCATGCGCACCACCTCCGAACGGCACCCAATTGCCCTCAGTCCCAGCAAGCGAGAATACCAGGGCATTTGACTCTGGATCTTTTTGGAGGAAGCGTCCAGGCCAAAATTGGTCTACTGGATGACCAGAACTGTTTCCTGTACACCAGAAATCAGGATCCATTGAGGCCGGGGTAGAACTGGCAATGCACCAGTGATGACGCGGAATCGTCCATTTGTTAATTTGCATATCCTCTCTTGGACGACGGACGAGAAACCCATGAACACGGAGCCTCAAGTTCTCGGCAAACATCGCCTGGAGGAGTGGTTGACGGATTAATTTAGGAACGTCAAAGAGCGGTTGACCATCTGGTCCAAGTTGCATGCATGAGTTGACTTCTTCTCTGACAGCTTTCAGGAGTTCGGCATCCCGGAATGCTTCCAAACTGAGCCAGAATGCAGCCACAACAGCATTGGTATTTGCACTGGAAGATCAATTAGGCGCATGCTGCTTCGATTCGACAGGCTCAACGTACCTCCAAATGAAAGAAAGATCTTCAGACGCAATTGCATCATAGCTGAACCCATCCATAGCTAAGAAAAGTTCTTGCCTCTCACGGAAGAAGCTAGAGCCCCAGAACGGGTCATTTACTTCTTCATCAACAGCATCGGGCGTGAAGTTCTGCCTTGCCCAGGCCTGCCAATCTTGCACGGCCTCGAGTGCCCGATCTCGGGCTTGGTGTGCTTTCGGATTCATAAAGCGAGGCATCTTGAGGAGCAGCCCTATGATGTTTTTATCAATAGTCCATATATCTTTCACGAGACTCGGGTGTCTTTGCAAGAGGGCAGGTCCAGCCAGAGAGTCCACAGTCGCAGCTGTCAGGTTGGATTTGAAGACGTCAAGAAGATCCGAGACATTTTCCCACTCCTGGCCTATCTCTAAAGAGCTTAGGCGCATAGTGATATTTGAAAAGAGCCGACGGAACAGGGATGATTGTCCAGACCCTAAGAGGAGCCGTTGCTGAGAGATTCGAGCATGGAACTCGACACGGTTGTGGTGCCGTACCATGGACCCGGCGAATGGTTTAGCGTCGGGTCCTGAATTATCCTGGAGGTACAGTCTTGTTGCGGCCTTTGGAAGGAGAAATGCATTCTCGAGGACAAGGCGTTGAACGAACAGAGTAGATTGGGATCGTTGCCTGAACAGTCCAAGTACGTCTTTGGCTCCTTGGACAATATACAAGTCTTGGCATAGTACCTTGAGCCGGACAGGCTGGCGCTTCCAGAACGCATGACAGCTGGAGTAAAATTCAGTAATCGGTCAAATGTGGTAGCTGATGACATACGTATGTGAGAAGCCTAAGGGGTCCCAGAAGAAACGTAGAGGAACATGCCCCAGTATTGGTACACCTTTTGGGACCGGGGGAGGCTGTTCATTCGTGGCTTTGCAGGTTCCTCCAGGGGAGTGTTCGGCAACAGCTAGCATGTAACGCAGGATCGATGTGAGAACTGTGCCTATTATAGCCCAACCCATAAGGAAGTGGGATAAAGAAGTAAGTTTAGTCCAATCCATGGCTGCTGCGAAAGAAAAAGGAGGATATTGACAAGACGCGGTAGTGTCCTGGTATGGGGAAATTTCGAACAAGGAATGTAGTGCCTTTGACATTTTCGCTTTTTAAATGAATGTAGCAAAGCAGAAGAACAGTTTTGTCTTGCGAACAATGGTGATAAATATTTGATGTGAAGCGTTGGAGGACACGCGGCTGGGAGGCAATCGGCTTTTCAATAGATTCACACCACGCGGTGTACATTGTAAAGAATGACTATTACTGAGTCTCTGCCTGGCTGACGATGATGCCAATCAGTTCGTGCTGGAGTCTAACGGATGTCAGTGACCGGCCCCAGCACGAGTCGGCTCGTGGGCTGAAGCTGAATGGCGGCGCCAAGACATGTGATATCACCATAGTATCTCAGTTCGCTCCACACCCACCAACAATACCAACACTGAAAGGTTCCAAAATTTTAATGCTACCATCCCCGCTTTCTCAGTGCCAACTGATGTTAGGCGTGAGGCTCTTTGGGTCGAATGGTGGCTGTGTCAACTGTTGGCCTGTATGCCACAGAAACATGCCTCGGGTAACCGCCGAGGCTGTCGTTGTCATATTGATCATCCAATAGGAAGAGGCTACGATGGGAAGAAATCACTCAAACGTCTGTTGGTTACATACATATCCACATTGCTTGCTCAGCTTCGCGGTCAAACTAACCACATATGTGTTGGTAACATTAAGGCTACAACGAGGGAGACAGCACTTCTTCTCGCTTGGCCAGCGCTAAGTCATGTTCTGCATTCAGCAAAAGATTCCGGGAATTGGATATGCATGTTGGTGCGGTCATCTACAAGAGATGCATAGGAGTGGATCAGAATTGCGACGTCGAGCATGGCAAGCGCTGGAAAACAATGCAACGAGAGTAGCAAGGAACAAATTCAAAATAGATACTAGCGCCAACAACTGCTACGTTGTCCCGCAAACTGATAAGCGAGGCAAAGCCATAGGTGCAGGCCAAGATATAGCTCAATTGCCTAGCAAAGTCTTGCCCGCCAACCTATCTTTTTTAAAAATAGACATTTGCTGCGCCGTACTGATCGGCTCATCTCGATCAGACTCTGCAGCGTCACGAGCAAGCATTCGTTGCAAGGGTCTGCCAACACGTCAGGAGCGCGAGCTTCAAACTGCCGGGGTCGATTAGGCGGACGATCTTGGTGATCCGGGTGCTCTCAGGCTACACCAACCCGCATACCGACGATGTAGGGTAGTCTTGCCTAACTGTCTGTCTCCGCTCTGGCTGGATCGGCGATTAATGCGATCTTGCTGAAGATACCGAGTGCTTTATCTAATATACTCCTGGTCCCTTGTTCTCGGGTTCAGCTCAAACGCCATCACCAGCGCACCTCTCCGGATTCCTTCTTAACATTTTTTCTACCACGCGATCATCGACACTCGTACCAAAGCTCCTCAAAAACTTCACTTGGTCAAGCAAAAATGGATACCCAGTCCTTGAACTGGACCCTCATCAGTGAGATGGCCGCTGCTCTCACTCAAGAGCAGAGGGATGCGGCCGAATGGAGGATTGCTAATACCGGCAAAATTTCGATGCAGAACTTCAAGGTAAGGTTGAAGTCTGTCTGACATTTGCAAATACTGAATGTATTCTCTCTAGACAGCTATAGGCTTTCTCTTTGCCCTCGCATCTCTTGCATTCATTGGCCGCATCTTTATTCGGGTCTGGTCACGTCACCGGATTTTACTGGACGATGGCGTCCTCATCATCAGCTTCGCATCCTTGGTTGCTTCAACATCTATCTTCTACAAAAGAGCCCGAATCATCTACCTTGTCTTCTCTCTCATGAGAAATGATCAGGTGGTGTCTTTGATTGCTTCTCAGGAGATCGCCGATGTATATGATCAAATGAACTGGTCATTCGCCTACATGACATTCTTGTGGACTACCATCTTCATGGTCAAGTTCTGCTACTTCGCGTTCTTCCACACGCTTCTGCTGTCAATGCCACGAGTATTGATACGATACTATTGGACTGCAGTGGTTGCCACGGCCGTTGCCTGGATTTACATGATCCTACAGCAGCTGATTACTTGTCCATACTTTGGGTCAAGTTCTTGTAGGCTTTACCGCCCCTGATTGTCAATTTGAGACTAACAAATGCCATAGCAAAATGCTTCCCTAATCTTCCGGTGTCTAACGCGGTCTTGAATTTCACATTCTGGACAGGGCCAGTTCTGGATGCCTTGACAGACGTTGCAAGTATGTTCCATATTCCGAAAACGCGGAAGTACTTTCTGACAATAGCTAGTCATTTCTATTCCCATTCTCGTCCTTCAGAAATCGCAGATGGCACTCTTGACCAAAATTGGCTTTGGTGTCTTCCTTTGTCTCTCTCTTTTTATGCTGGCGTGCTCCATAACGCGCGCTGCTGGGACGTACTACAGAGATACACTTGACGTTCCGTGGCAAGTCTTCTGGCTGCATGCTGAAGCCTGTATCGGCGTATTGATGGCCTCAGTTACGGTCTATCGGGCAGTGTTAGTCGGCCCAACCAAAGGCGCTTCTCGCAGCTTCCGCAGATTTGTGGACAAAGTCATGCAAATGCGCTCGTCTGAATCTGAACGCTGCTCGGAACCACAGCAGCGCACCATGCCGGCCCGATTTGGCTGGTTTTTGCTTTCGAAGATACCCAACGCCACCCTGACCGGTCTTGCCACACTACTAGGTGATCCTGACCACAAGACACAGACAGCGAACAACATGTCAACAATGCACTCAACTCTGGGGATGGAGGAGATAGACTACCATGAGCACCTTAAGCAGTCGCAATCTATGGAAACTCCACAGACCACGGATGAGGCCGCGCACTCACGAGAACGTAGGTTGTCTCCTATTTCCTTGCCTGCAATAGAGGCATGCGCACACCCGTACTAATCTGAAAACAGAAATATGGAATGCTTCCGGCAGTTCGAATCGAGACCATGCGGAGGAAATGCCACAGCGTCGCCCTGGTCGTATCGCTGGATTTTTCCTTCGCTCCATTTTCCCTCCGTCTTCTCTCACGATCTTACAGCATAGAAGTGTCGGCACAGGCAGCACAAAGACTGGGGAAACTTAATACCATATTGATACAGTCAAAGCAAATCTGAGGAATATCTAGCTGTGATGACAGGACAAGAACTGGGAGCGGCATCGTGAGTCAGTGGCGGTTCACTTCAAAAAGATCATTCCGTACAAGATGGACAGAAAAAAACAATGAAAGAGATCGCCAACTGTATATCTATCCTGTCTAGTAAAAGAAAATGAGAAAGAATCGAATTTTACACCGCATATAATGCAGTCTGTATCGCGGCTTTCTGCGAATGAATGAGAACAACGATGAATAGTAGCTTAAAGAAGAAAAGAAATTTTACAATTGTAAGGTTTATAGCCCGTGAAATAAGGTACACCTAATTACCAAGTATTGGCTTCTCAGAAGGCTTGCACGCCGTCTGCATCGAGTCCAGTGCTAGATCCCTAAGCGCTAGCGGTACGGGACTAGCAGAATCAGTTTGGGGGCGGGGCGTGGGGCTGCAACATTCCCTAGAGCCCCTCTTCTTGGCAAGTTGCCGCCTGCAAGGGGCTGATACCCTTGGAAGCTGTCCGTGTGTGTACAGCCAACAGGTCGCATCGATCCGTTAAAACATGTGATGAAACCTTCCTTCCCTATATCTTTCGAGGTGCTCTTCCATAGACCTTTCCCCCTCCCTTCCTCCTTGCATTTCATCGTTTCTCACACAAAACGTCACCCCGAGCCCATTCGAAAATGGCGTGGCTATCCATGTTGTCCACCGCTGGCGTCTTGTTGTGCACGTGTTTCGGATATGTTGTTCATATTGTCTACAACCATCGGCGCAAGATCAATGAGCTTAGAAAACAGGGCGTGGTGAGCAGTCTTAGTCCGTTCGTCGATGGAGTGTGAATGGATTACTGACATGACTGGCAGCCGATGCCGAAAGAGTGGAGTTGGATCACAGGCCACCTACTCGTGCTCCAGAAATACGTGGACCAAATCCCTCCCGACGCAGCGGTTGCGTTCGCCATGCGAGATCTTTGTAAGGAGCACGCCGACACTGAGCTCTTCCTGATGGACTTCTGGCCAGTGTATCCTCCTTTGTTCACAGTCTTCGGCCCTGGACCCATCAGCCAAATATGCAACAAGTACAATCTTCCGAAGACTGCTGTTTCCTCCCGGTTTATGCAGCCGATAACCGGTGGCCCAAATCTAATCTCCATGAATGGAGACGAATGGAAATACTGGAGATCCTTGTTCAACCCTGGCTTTAGTACTGGAGCCATGCTTAACAACGTTCCTCACATCGTTGACTCGGTCCTGGTGTTTCGCGAGAAGTTAATTCAGATGGTCGAAAAAGGGATGTTTTCTTTGGACGAGTTAACGACCAGACTCACCATGGAGATCATCCTGAAAGTCACGTTGTAAGTGTTGCTGGGTCCCATTCAGCTAATATTTATTAACAAGTCAAGGGATGACGATTCGCATTATCAAAATTCGCCTAATGTTCTTGCAACTGCACTTGATCGCATACTAAGCTGGCACTCCTTTTGGGACCCTCGCGTGCTGATGCATCCCTTCCGACCCCTGATTCAAAGATATAATGGGCATGTGATGAATAAGTACATTCGCCAAGAGCTGGAGAGGCGGTTTCAGGAGACCAAGACAGCACATGCAGTGGGTGCAGATGGAACACAAAGAAAACCCAAATCTATCAAGTCTGTCACCACGCTTGCCCTCGAAGCATACATGGCTGAGACTCCAGAGGTGGATATTCTCCACAACGACAAACTGGACGAGAGATTTGCACACTACGCAACGTGCCAAATTCGACTTTTTCTTTTTGCAGGCACGGATACAACATCCACGATCATAGTCTACATCTACCACATGCTTGCCAAGCATCCCGAATGGCTCAGGAAATTGAGAAATGAGCACAATGAGGTGTTTGGAAAAGACCCCGACGTTGCAGCTAGCGCTCTGAAAGAGAACCCCAGCCTTTTGAACAACTGCAAGCTCACCGTGGCATTCATAAAGGAGGTACTACGTATATACGGGCCGGCTGGGACTTTGCGCTCCGGACTCCCGGGATTCACTGTCACCGACCATCAAGGAAACGAGCAGCCCATGGAGTACGCTGGCGCGAATGTGCTTCACCAAGCACTACACACTAATTCCCGGGTATGGCCGAGAGCAAACGAATTTCTGCCAGAGCGATTTCTCGTTGGGTCTGAAGATGAGTTGCATGCGGATCCAGCAGCCTACCGACCTTTCGAACAAGGTCCTAGAAACTGCATTGGGCAAACTTTGGTATGGAACGAACTTCGTGTGGTTGTCATTCTTACCTGCAGGGATCTTGAGATACGAGATGCCTATGATGATTTCGATGCGAAAATGGAGAGCGAGATGGGCGTGGTCGAGAAGATGAAGAGGACACTATTCGGGCAACCCATCAAGACGGTACATGGGGAGCGGGCATATCAGACGGACTCAGGGGGATTGCACCCTGCCAATGGATATCCCTGTTATGTCAAGTGGGCATAGTGTGATTAATGGAAGTTGCGCTCTCTGGTGCAGATTGTCGTGAAAGTCAGTAATATTGAATGACACCACTGTTCCTCATTCATCTACGCTATACTTCATTGGCCCGTCTTTTGCGTCCGAGAGTTGACTGCGAAGAACGATGATACGCCTTGGCCTTGAACACCGTTGAGAATACTAAAACGCGAGTGCAAGGTGCATTGAGCCCTGCTCTCTCCTTCAATTTACCCCGTAGTAACCATATCGAGCCACCTGGTCCCTAAGTGGGACTCAGCGCGGTTCACATCTGCACTGCTCTAGCAAATGATGAACTGATCCACGTAGCATCGTAGAATACATGACAAGGGTCCGCTTTCAAGTGCGCAGTAATACGTTGTTCAAATGTTTGTTGGTTGCAAATATTTGGGTACGCTCAACTTTGTTGGTGTCGGCGCTTGTATTGATGCTACCTGTACGGGGCGCAATTAGTGCGGACACATGTACTAGTATTGATGAGGTGGTACTGCGCCTGGTATCGCGCCGGGTCCTGAATGATTATCCCTGTTTGAGGTGGAGCTTGATCAGCCCCTTCAGTGTCTTGGTCTTGATGGTAGCTCCAATGCCGGTCGCGCTTTTTCAAAGAGGCTCCATTTCAAACCTCCAACTGCATCTGCCTACGATGCAACGACACGCAGAGTGCAGGCTTGGCTACCGTTCAGCCACCCAACACTGTGGAGCCTTATGCCACCTTCCGTTGATTGATCTCCCGCACTCGGTCCGAGGAGCGAAAATCGGTTACTCAGGCGTTACATCCGCGATCATAATAAGTCCCAATCTCCACCTCAGTTGCCTTCCACGATAACATGAAGACAGGGCAGTGCAAGGGAAAGTGTGGGGGCCGGAGGTCTCCGTTATGCGGCCTAGGCACTTGAGCTATATGAGGCTGAAAAGATCAGAAAGGGTTTAGCAGCGAACTTGTCGTGGGACTCTGCGTCAAGATGACACCTGGGCTCGCATGCGGCCGTGTGTCACCACATTGCACAATTGCTAAATCACTCGTAGGTACAGCGGAAAACAAATGCAGTATCGGTGCCCGTCTCCTTCTGGGTGTCAAGACAACCTAGTGCGGTGGCTGGAAGGCATCCGAAATCAGGTTGTGTGTATCTGTCGCTGATATATTAGACCACAATCGTCTTCCAATCGAAATCAAATATCAAACTGTTGGTCGGCGTGCATATGCACGTAGACTGATTCGGAAATCGGGCGGGCGGCTGCCGAAATCCCGACAGCGTGTTGCGCTAGGTTCCTGAGTCGCCCAGCATAGGGTAGCATTGCGTGGGAAACCCAAATTGCCAACGTTCCTCAATCGGTCGCTGCCCGAAGAAACACATGCAGAGGCGGGGCCCGAGAGCTGATAGCAATGGGTGCTTTGCTGATGTGCATGACTCCAAACGCCTAACACTGGGGAGGGGTTGTTCTATCGTAGCCTTGTTGGCTAAGACTTTTGCACTCATCATAGCCTTGTTGGCTAAGACTTTTGTACCATAACCAGTCATAGGCTCAGGTTTTGACCCCGGTTGCTGCTGAATTTGTTTCGATGGAACACTGGCCTGGACCCCTGGCTTTCGCCAGCTTGTCTTAACACCCGCCTCTTCCCTTCTCCGCCTTCTCCTAATGGTCATTCAGCTCTCCCGGAAGGCCGTCACGGCTTCGTGCTGCGATGGACCCATGATCAGCGCCTGAAGAGGACTCCAAGCCCATTGCGGTTGGATAGCCGCTCGGCCTGGTTGTAGGCACGTCACTCCACTTCTGGTCACCCATGACACTGTACGCATGAGGCAGCACTTCCAAGAATCCACAACAGAGAGTCCACAATCTTGTCACTGGCACATTCCAGTATCACACAGATGTACTGTACGTATATCGGTAGAATAAGTCGGAACTACTACGCTCTCTTTCCTTACCGTCAACGGGCCGGAGCTGATTCGTTTCACTATACTGCCACGGTCCGTCTGTCAATAGTTCACCCTACTTATTCTTTGCACTTGATAGAGCGTGCTTGTTGAAAGTCGTATCGCACCCCATTCATCCACGGCAGTTTGCCTCATAAAATCAATATCGAGCCATTCCTTTGCTACGGGTATCTGCACAGCCCCAAATGGCAACCGCCGCAGCTCCTGTCGAGAAGGCCTCGGAAGGCGAGAATACAGAACCACAAGAGGCACAGAAAAGCCCGGCTTTCTGGCTAGTCATCGCCTCTCTTTGTCTCATCGCGTTCACGTCGTCGCTAGATGGGTCCATCATCGCCATCGCGCTTCCACATATCTCATCCTCCCTCGAAATCGGCGACAAGTATGTCGAGGTCGCCAACTGCTTCGTCTTTGCCCAGACCGTAGTCCAGCCCGGCACCGCGCAGCTGTGTAACATTTTCGGCCGTCGCTGGCCTATGATAATCACAGTCTGTATCTTCGCGATCGGCAGCGGCATTGCTGGTGGCGCAAATGATACCGCGACTATGATCGCTGGCCGCACGGTGCAGGGCTTGGGAAGCGGCGGGATCATGCTCATGGTCGAGCTGATTGTCTGCGACATGGTGCCGCTAAGAGAGAGAGGAAAATACCTGGGAATTGTACTGTCTACTGCTGCCTTGGGGTCAATTGTTGGACCGGTAGTGGGCGGCGCGCTCGCGGAAAGAGATTGGCGTTGGTGCTTCTATCTCAATCTGCCCATTTGTGCTATCGTTCTCCCCGTTCTGTTCTTCTTTCTTCGAATCAAGCACCTTTCGATCTCATGGAAAGGAGTATTTGCAAAGGTGGACTGGACCGGGAACGTCGTCTTCATTGGTTCAATTACCTCTCTTCTTATCGGCCTCACCTTTGGCGGGACAGTATATCCGTGGTCTTCTTGGAGAATTATTGTCCCCATCGTTGTGGGCTGCGTGGGCTGGGCATGTTTCCACGCGTACGAGAACTTCATCAAGGACGCCAATCCATGTGTGCCCCCACATGTCTTCTGCAATCGGACCTCGGCCGCAGCTTTCTACATGATTTTCGTTACATCCATGTTGCTTCAGTGGATCTGCTTCTTCTGGCCAGTGTATTTCCTGGCCATCCGAGGCACGAGCCTTGTGCAGACGGGCATCAACTTTCTGCCCTTCATGTTCCTGCTTATCCCCGGCTCAGCCATAGCAGGCATCATCCTCTCCAAAACAGGTCGCTACCGTCGCCTTCACGCGATTGGTTTCGTCCTGAGTACATTGGGGCCTGGGCTGAACACACTTCTGGACCGAAACACGCATGCCGGTGGGTGGGCCATGCTTCAGATTGTGGACGCACTGGGGCGTGCCTTCATCCTCCCCACAACGCTCCCCGCCATACTGGCGAGCCTACCAGAGAAAGATGTTGCTTCTGCCACAGGGGTATATTCGTTTCTACGCAGCTTTGGCTACGTGTGGGGAATCACAGTACCGGGTATCATGTTCAACAATCGCTTCAATCAACTCTCTGACCGGATATCTGACGTGGCTGTGAGGGAAGCGCTGGGAGGGGGCAAGGCATATCAGCTTGCAAGCGGGGCGTACGTCCAAACACTACCGCCCGTTGTAAAGTCCGAGGTGCTGGATGTGTACCTGGAGGCTTTGAAGACGGTCTGGTACGGGGCTATGGCGTTTGGTGCCTCAGGATTAATCGCTGTTGCAATTGAAAAACATGTGCCGCTGAGAACAGACCTTGAAACAGAGTATGGACTTGAGGAGAAGAAGGCCACAGAAGAGGAAGATGGCATGGTTGTGGCAGAGCCGCATCTGGATCACACGAGCACCAGAGGAGACGATAATTTGACAACACCCGCCACTTCGTCATAGGTCCAGATATCCCCCCCCCCCCCACAAACAATGCCACATCTTCTATTGGGTCTGAGTATGGGTGAGTTCTCCTGCATCTGAGGCTCACATATTGCGAGGTTTGACACGCAAGGTTCAAATGTTGGGAAAGGAAATGTTCATTTGTTTCATTGTTTGTGCTTGACTAGAAAAGGCATTTCAGTGGCTGAAACAGTCCCTATGTCGTCACAGTACAAGAGTTCGATTTGGCTATAAAAATATTTTGATTCCCGTTAATGTTCGCCTAACTAAAAGAAAGGCGAAGGCAGCGTAGCTGCGCGTGTGCCCTCGAAGCTATTTACAGTACGGCAGTGGCTGATACGATAAGCCTATCGATAAGGGCCCTGTGGGTCGAAGCCCAGAGTGCCCCGCTGGCGTTCAGCCCACGCCCTCACAGTTCTCTGCCTTCCTACATTTCTATACTTGCATCACAGGTTTCATCCCTCCTCTACTAGCAAGCTTTACGCAACAACTTTCATATCCTATTGATTAGGGTAGCAACGCCGACTACTCCACTCCTCTTTTCAGCAGCGCCATCTGTCCTAAACGGAGTCTATCATACGAGACCGACATACACACAGCGATTCGTTGCAGATTTGAACAAGTCGACATAATTTTTCGTGCATTCTGCGTTCGCCTCATGGCTTATTGTGCATTCTGCTCTCGTCTTATCGAGCATATTTCGACTCCTTGGGAATATATACCTAATAAGGCCTCGGATTATAGGAAATGGGAATTGGAGAAGGACTGTGATTTCAAACACACTGTGCAACAGTGTGCGCTATGCAATTTCCTTTATCAGGGTTTAGAAAAGCTGCTTGGAAAGCAAAGTTCTGCTCTGGATGAAGGAGGGAAGCTGCGCAGAATGAGATTATCCAGCCGCTACGGCCCTCGCGACCACAAAGGAGGACAAAGTTGGGTTTTGTGTCGGTTTGAATTAAAATTTCCGGCCACGAATGATTTTTGCTTGTATTTTGCAGTTTGGGCTGACACGGGTAAGGTTGCCTTCAATTTTGCAGTCAGTTCAGTAATTTGGTGGGGGAGGCTCTCAACGGAGTACTGATGAAAAAGAATTAGGAGATCCCGCTGCAGATGCCATCACCACTCAGTTACCTATTTTCAAGGATGAGTCAGAAGTTGATCAGATATGCGCTTTAGTACGGAACCTGCTGTACGACTGCACTGCAGCGCGCCCCAAATGTGAACGAAGCATCACATCTCGGACTAAAACTATATTGCCAACGCGAGTGCTTTACGTCAAGACTGCTACCTCATATCACAACTCTGTTAGGCTTGTACAGACTAATAGCGCAATTGGGAAGTACTGTGCTTTAAGCCACTGCTGGGGGCCAGTTGATAAACAACCAATCCGAACGCTTAAAGAAAATATACAGGACCATTATTCGGGAATACCCCTTGCGGCATTGCCTAGAACATTTCGAGAGGCAGTTATTCTAACCCGCAGTTTAGGTATTGATTACCTTTGGATTGATTCTTTGTGCATCTTACAGGACGATGACGACGACTGGGCACATGAGGCCGCGTCCATGGGTGCTTTATATCAACAGGCCACCTTGGTTATTGCTGCAGCTGGGTCTCAAGACCCGACAGGAGGTCTTTTCATTCAGGAAAGGTTTCCAAAAATCGCAATACAGCTTTCTTCTACGGGTAAAACTGATCAAGATAATGGAAACTTTAATGTGGCACTCCAAAGCCCAGCTATGCCTACTGCCAACCAAGGCCCCTTGCAACAAAGGGCGTGGGCTCTTCAAGAATGGCATCTTGCTCAACGCATAGTTTTCTTCATGCCAGAAGGGTTTGGATTGCCAGGAGGTATGTCATGGCGATGTGATACATTGGAACGAGACGAGAATGGTCACGCTGCTGACCTGGGAATTTACGAAGACGAGGATTGGCTTACGCTCTTGGGAAGCTACTCTGAAAAAAAGCTCACGCGCCAATCTGATCGTCTGGTTGCCCTAGAGGGAATATTAAGCGAAGAGCGAAAGCAAAGACCTTATAAATTTCTGATCGAAGGGGTTTGGGAGGAAGATATCCCACAACAACTTCTATGGCTACGAACATCAGTTCTGATCTACGATACACCCTCGCTTCCATCTTGGTCTTGGGCATCTACCGAAGGCTCAAAGTTTTGGATTTCCAGCATTCCATGTGGACTTGACCTTAATTTTGACTGCGTCAAAATCAAGAGGTCTCGGCCGGGTTATTTATCTGTGTCTAGTGACTTTGTCAAGGTCTCGACTGTCAGATGGACAGCAATGAATAATTGCTGCTTTTCTACTTTCAAGGCTAAGTCGCCGACTGGATACTATCACCCTACCTCTAATTTTTTCGAGACGCAACGCGACGTCCTTCCACGATTTGACTATGTGGAAGGAGAGCCGCAAACGATCCTTCTTCAAAGGGGCGAAGGGATTCTTGGATTTGCAGTCATGGACCAGAAGGAAGGATGCTACAGCTCGACTGCTTATCAGACTCTGGAGTGCTGTATTGTGGGTAAAGCTCTGAGCGACGAGGACAGCTCCGACCTTCCTGAGACCTCGGAAGCGTCCGGTCGTTGGCTCTCAGTGTCGCCTGACCTATGTTACCGCGATGCAAGTCTTCCTACATAATGTCAGAATGCTTTATGATAACGATACATCTTCTAACTTGGATAACAGGATTGCATCGACATTTGGGAAGGATTTCGGAAATTGGAGTACATCCTGTGGGCACTTGTTCTGGAACCGGTGGCCGACGTTGAGGACACGTACAAACGGGTGGGGTTAGCGATGTTGTTGCCTTCGGCTATAGAGCACATCAAAGTCACTTCTTTCACATTGATTTAAGACAAATGTTAATTCTTATATTTATATATGTAGTTATATATTAGCCTGATACGAGTGAGCCTGATAAAATAGAGCTTATCAGATCATCCCGGAAATCATCGCTGCAGCCGGCTAAACTTAATATCTATTCAAAGGGACCTCCAAGAGCTATTACCCTTGCTCTTAAGGACAAATCTCATTTAGCTTATCATGCTATCTGAGTCTCTTTACTCCTTGACGTGAGCTCAGGTACGGTAACAATCGACAGCTGGAATTCAGATGACTGATCTAATTCACACAGTGTTTCTTCGGATTCTAGAATACTTCGGAGGAATACTTTTACTCACTACAAACCGACCCAGCAGCTACAACCACGCGTTCAAATTCCGAGTGCACCTGACCTTACACTACCTACCTGTGGATTTGAAAGGCTACGTTCGCATCTGGAGGACCTCTAGCATAAGCCTTGAGGCCAGAGCAGATCCGTTGCTTCTGGAAGAGGCTCTGAGCGAATTGGCAAAAACACCTTTGAACGGGCGCCAGATCAAGAATGTGGTTCATGTCGTCAGCTCCCTCGTAGTAGAGCGAGATGTCCAACTGAACTAGATCCACCTCAAGACACCCCTCTCGGCGCTGGATAGCTTTGATGATACCTTCGGTTGCGGCGCCTCAGAAGAAGATAGTGATGCGCAGGATGACGTCGCGGTCGGCAATAAGTGAAAGAGAAAATACACCTGACCTTTGATGACATTCCAAGTCATATGCACAATATACTCAAACTACTGGTTGTGGTCTATTCAATTTGGGGCGGTCTAAGAGGACATATGAAGACTGTCTATGCTCCCAAATGACACCGAGCTGTTTATACCATTTTGGATATCTATGGAATCGCTGAACATAATCAAGAGAACTTCACATCAGTGTACGAAAAAGCTATGACGATCACAGAAGAACTTCTTTTTTGAGTCAACGGGCTACTTCAGGACTCAGGTGGTAATTGTTCCGTTATGCAGAAGTGGGCTGATGCCCCTGTAGCGGGGGGGGGGGTTCCAGTCAGTGAAGCCATCTCGAGACTGGCTAGGCTGCGTGTGGACTATCAATTGCCCATATCCAAACTCAAGTCCACCAAGCGATAATGGGAAATGAGCATGGCGCAGTGCAGCGCAAAATTCGAATGTATTCGTCCGTTTTGGTGCCGACGAATGTCTGATTCTTAGATTGTTCCGATCCCTGAATTTCCATGCGTGCAAGTGGCGCCATGAATGGGGCGTGCAACTGCTGACTGTCACTCGACCATATTCTCCGATGAGGATCTGAGGAAGTTTCACGAAACCAAAAATGTCAAATCCGCCAATATAGTCTGTCCGGACTCCAATTGCAGATGTGGATTGTGACCCGATCACAGAATTAAGGCAGGATGCATGTTGGGGTCTGACATGCGTGGCTAAAGAGGCTGTTGGTGTATATATGTCGCTAGGGCACAATTTTGCTCTGGATTCTTGCGACTGTATCAATTCACCTCAGGCAGCGTCTCTGGTACACTCATTCTTTCTATTCCATTGAGATCTGACTTCAGCTGCAGGCAGCTCCCGACACTCACTCGAGTCTCTCATCATCCACCTTAACTGCTCCATCCTTGCTTCACAGACCTGCCTACGCGGCCCTTCACGCTCACTGAATCCTAAATCATGATGGAAAATAGAAACGTTCTGAAGGCCACTGGCATCCTTGCCCTAGCCACCATCGTCAAAGCTCAAGCGTCCTGCAGCCTCAAAACCGAGACACACCCATCTCTGACTTGGCAGGAGTGCAGCTCCGACGGAACCTGCACGGATGTCGAGGGAAGCATCACGGTAGACGCCAACTGGAGATGGACCCATGACAAGAGCAGCAGTACGAATTGCTACACGGGCAATGAATGGGATACTACCCTGTGTCCTGACGACGCCACGTGCACGGAGAACTGCTGTGTCGATGGTGCCGAATATGAGTCTACCTACGGTGTGACCTCTACGGGGTCCAGTCTGAGTCTGGACTTTGTCACTGGATCGAACGTTGGCAGTAGACTATACTTGCTGGCGAATGATAGCTCGTATCAAGGGTTTACTCTGCTGGGCAACGAGTTTACCTTTGATGTGGATGTGTCGAACTTGCCGTGAGTATCTCAACACAGTGAAAGTATATCGAGCAATTCTGACCTCTGGCGTGCAGTTGCGGACTCAATGGTGCTCTCTACTTCGTATCAATGGACCTCGACGGTGGGGCCAGTGCCTACTCCAATGCAGGTCCCAGCTATGGCACAGGCTATTGCGATGCCCAATGTCCCCGAGACCTCAAATTTATCGCGGGAAGCGCCAACGCTGAGGACTGGACACCCTCAGACACCAGCGCGAACTCGGGTGTCGGCGGCAAGGGCGCGTGCTGTGCCGAGATGGACGTCTGGGAGGCCAACGTGATCTCTACTGCGCTGACTCCCCATACTTGCACAACGCCGTCGTATCATAGCTGTTCGGGAGATAACTGCGGAGGAACCTACAGCTCTACACGCTACGCTGGTGACTGTGACCCGGATGGATGCGACTTTAACCCCTTCCGGCAGGGCAACGAGTCTTTCTACGGGTCTGGCAAAACTGTTGATACAAGCTCGACTATTACTGTTGTCACGCAGTTTGTCGAGGAGAGCGGAAGTCTTAGTGCAATCAAGCGATTTTATGTGCAGAATGGCGTGGTGATCGCGAACAGCGAGAGCACCATCGAGGGCAATGCTGGCTACAACAGTATTACGCCAGAGTTTTGTTCCTCGCAGAAGACTGCGTTTGGAGATGACAATATCTTCAGTGCTCGCGGTGGCTTTTCAGGCATGAGTGACGCACTGGCTCAACCGATGGTCTTGGTCATGTCTCTCTGGGATGATGTGAGTATCCACAACCATAGGTATACGTCCGAGATGGACTGTGAAATCTGACAGGACCATTCTAGTACTACGCCAACATGCTCTGGCTCGACTCCACCTACCCAACGAACGAGACCGGCCCCGGAACAGGGCGCGGAAGCTGCAGCACCGACAGCGGCGTGCCATCCGACGTTGAATCCAGTGCTGCATCATCGTCTGTGGTATACAGCAACATCAAGTTCGGACCAATTGGCTCCACTTTCGATAGCAGCAGTGTGAGCGACTCCGGTTCAGGCTCTGGCTCCAGCTCTGCCCAGGCCTCAAGCGCCAGCTCCACTGTGGCCAGCTCCTCTACGTCGCAGGCCGTTGCGGAATTCTCAACCGCCGCCGCGAGCAGTGTCGCCGCAGTTCAGACTGCATCGACCCAAGACTCTGCCGCTGCCGCTACAACTTCCGCAGAAGCGGTCGAGACGCTGGCATCGAGCGCTGTGTCGAGTGTCGAGGCTCAGGCTCAGTCTTCGACGACGGCATCATCTGCCAGCGCGGCCACTGGGTCCACGACGAAATCGAAGACTTGCAAGAGGAGACGGAACAACCTTGCTTAGAATTAGAAATCTGGTGGTGGAACGGTCAGGTCATGGTTTCAAGGGGTTGGCAGTGAGGATGTTGGGAATGGTCGATGCCAAAAGGGTGGAGCTTCGATTCTTGTAGATTAGCATTGGCATTCTTAGATCACAAATTTGCACTTCTATTAGTGGTCGAATTGCATTGCGTGGTAGCTTTTGTTGCCGTTGAGGATCAAGAGGCGCCTTGTGTCCTTTGTACGACTTTGTTATGTTTGTCGAAGTGTTGTTACCATTCCACAGCTATTTCATTCAAATTGTAGCTTTTATTAGACGGTCGGAAGGTGGGCCGGATGATTTATTCATAGCAAGTCATATGAAGTTGTATTCCCTTCATCCTTCACAGGATTGGTATGTTCCTTCGCAAATAGGATCTCCACTCGGGCAGTGTTCTTTTGTGCAGCCAACCGTCTGTTGTGTGCTGCAAATCCTCGATAGCACTCGCCCACTTTACGAGCTCCTCTTCCGCCCAAGCAGTCTGCATGATGGCAAGTCCAAATGGCATTCCATCTTCTGAATGCACGCCTGCTGGAATCGTAATTACGGGATACCCTGCCTGTGCAGCGATCTGATACGACTGCCCGACGTCAGGGGGTACGAGGAGCCCATCGAGTTTAGCCTTTCCTCCTGGGATCTTCTGTTCGCCACCTTTGAGAGCCCAGTCGATGCCATCCCTGGTCCTGCCTTGGCAAAACGAAAGAGCTTGCCAATAGGTTTCGTTTCGGATCCCACCGGTAGCCAGGGAGGCTAGAAAGCCGTCTTGACCCGATGCGAAGGCAGGAATTCCTCCTTCGTCTGGGTAGGGGTAGCCACCTTCGCTCCCATCGTTGGCGTAGTTGAAGTTGACAATGTCTTCGAACGTCTTTATATCTGTGTTGTTCAGCTCCGAAAGATACGACTGTATGTTGTTGTAGAAATCGACTGCAACTACTGTGTACTCGCTTTCGTTGGAGTAACCTCTGGCAGTACCCCAATCCCAGTTCCAACCATCATTGCTCACCAGATTTTCGTAGTCCAGGATCTCAGTCTCGTTCAAAATGGTGGCCCCGGCAGACTGAATAAGGTCCAAGATGGAGATGAGGACTTCCTCTTGCTCGGAGTCGGCATAAATCCAGAAGCTCTTCCAGGGGAGGCCGAAGACAGCGCCTTCGAGGCTGGTTCTATTGGCAAGAAATCGAGAATATCCACCATCGGGCGTGTTTTCATTCTGGGCCAGTGTGTAGTTGTCCCTAGGATCGATTCCATATATTGCATCCAAGGCATAAGTGGCGTCCCGAACAGTACGGCCAAAAGTTCCTACCGTATCCTGGTGCTCCGACTCGGGAATCACGCCGCTCCTTGATGTGAGACCAACAGTGGGCTTGATTCCCACAATAGCATTCCTCTCGGCCGGATTGATCACACTCCCGTCTGTTTCCGTCCCAAGAGAGAACGCGATGGCGTTAGCAGCGACCCCTGCCGCACTACCAGAGCTACTCCCACCTGGCGACGACGTCAAATTGTACGCGCTCCTGGCCTGACCACCCCGTCCCGAGTAGCCCTCAGAGTAGCTGTTGCTTCGCATGTCTGCCCACTCGCTCAGTGTGGCCTTTCCAAACAGCACGGCGCCCGCTTCGCGCAGCTGGTTCACCACGAAAGCGTCCCGTGGCACGACACTCCCTAGCAGAGCCCAGCTGCCCGCAGTCGTCTCGAGATTATCTTTCGTGGCGATGTTATCTTTAACCGTGAAGGGAATCCCATGCAGCGGACCCCGAACACGGCCTGCTGTGCGCTCGTTGTCCATTTGTGCTGCGATGGCAAGAACGTCAGGATTGAGCTGTAGGAGCGTGTTTATATAAGAGTTGGTCTGGTATGTGCGAGTGATGTAGCAGGCTACCAGCTGTTGGGAAGTGAGACTGCCGTTGGCCATCGCCTCTTGCATCTGATCGATGCTCGCTTCTTCAAGCTGGAAACTGCCACAGGTGGGCATCGGGAAGAGTGCCGCAGTGTCAGCATATTGGCTGAGAGGAAACAGATCTGGGGTTAGGCTGGTGCTTGATGCATTCTGAGGCTCAATAGAATGAGCGGACAACGTCATCAGCCAAGTAGAGATAATGATGAAATTGGGTTTGGCGCGCATTTTCAGAGGTTTCATTTTCGATGGAATCGGCTGGTTGGAGAGCCGGAATGCTTGGTGCATAGTGATCATCTGTCGTCACCTCCAGTTCAACATGGCGCTGTGACTGTGAAGTTGAACGATCATAGATATTTCTGCAAGTCACAATAAGGCGTAAGCGATTGTGCATGCGGCTAATGCAGTGCGACCTCGCTGTTCTTTGAATAGCGTGATGTGAGACTTCCACTGATTAGGTGCCGCTCGAGTCTGCCGCTCGGCAGACTTTAGCGCTTTCCGCTCACATGGCAAGATATCCTGTTATCAGAGTGGTCAATATGTGAGCCTTGCGTACCAGACTACAGCAAAAATCAATTCAACACACAATGACACTGGAATTGTCTGGAACGTATGGCTGGACACATCCAATGAAGGGGTTTGATGCTCGATGAGGATTCAACAGGAGTTTGGAGGGCTGATAGTTTGAGACTACTGTGCTTGCGTTGCCCTCGAGCGTCTTTTCAGAAAGCGATTCGGATTGCTGCAGATATGATTTGAACGCTCGGGGCTAGTTTTTGGAGCTCAATCTCGAGTCATCTATTTGCATGCGTATGTCTGAATCAGGCTCGACTTGTGCCTTTCAGTCAGAGTCTTTTATTGCTGCCCGTGTGTCTTTGATAAATGGCAATAACAAGTTAGACAGCGAAGCTGGATAATCCCTTGAAGTAAACGTACATGTTCTGGGAGAGACGATTGCACATGAAGACGGCATGTGGGATTCCTCGGCTTCCACACACGGAGTCACCCTTTTGGTTAAAGGAGAGGTGCCTGACTAAAGCCCAACAGATCATGGTCCGGCCCACCACTCAGCTTGCTCCACAGTGATGATCCTTTCTAGAAGAATGATTCCAGTACGCGTGGAAAAGCTATGATCATTTGCTGCGAGTGTCGCGTCCCCCCTGAGCGACATGTTTGAATGGTACACTACAGCAGGAGTCGAAATGACAACAGCAGAGGCTCAACGAATCCGATGTTCCTGGAATCACGACCTTGAGTCGTCTCGAAAAAGCAGAGTGACATGCTCCGTGGGTTTTATTACTCCGCACTCTTGAAAAGTGCGGCGAGACTCGGGGAACCTCTTGGTGCACGATGTAGCTGTATGGGTTTCTCGAAATGTTTGACCGCCGTCTTGTTGAAAAGGACAAATCCGCAGGAGTGATTGATCCCCTGAAACCATCAGCAGGCTGCACACTAACTTGACCGCTTGATGTCGGGCAGTTGTTCGATGACAGTCGAGACGATGGCAATCCACTCAGTACGTCTTCGATATTGCTGCTCCTGCTGTGAAAGCAGCTTGATCTTTGCTTGATAATTTCGAAAGCCTGCGTATGTCTGGTTTGGTCTGACTTATTTGATTCTATTGTGATGGTGTCTTCCAATATCAATCCATCGAGCACCCTTCGCAGGATTGTTGCACGACAGTGAGAGTGGTTGTAAGTGGCCGTAAACAGAAACTTCTTCGTAATCCCGTCTTGATCTTGAACATCCGAAAGAACTCTTCACCCAATTGACTCTGCGAATATCTGTTCGAAGCGAACAACTAGTGGGCACGAAAACGAGCCAATGCCCGCGGTGTGATGTGCAAGAAATGGAAACGCCGTCATGTTTCGCTTCCACCGTTTGGTGTTTTTAGCACATTGAAAGGTCTAAGAAAGATTTCAGAGATCTCTAGCCAGAAGTAGGATGTCTTTTGGCGTTGTGCAGTGGCTGAGGTTACGGTTTGGCTGTCGTTTACGACTATAGCCTCCCAGGCTCGGCGTTGCCGCTATGGATCATGGGTTTCCCACCGCCCTTCAAATTGACGATGACGAGGCTTGATGACAAGGTTCTCAGTCTTTTAACGGAATGACCGCTATCATGAATGATGCTTCTTGTAGGCCGCGCGTGCAATGCCGGATACTGAACGTATTCATCGACACTCATACCTCGCACCCAATAGGATTCATCATGATAGCCACCATCCGTATCACGCGGCACATAATCCAGTCTGCAGGTTAACCAATTATGGCAGTGAACAAACTCTTTTGTCTTTACGTTGTGTAGGTCGTGGACACAGGAATAGATGCGCGGGGCAGCCAGGCGGGTGTGAGAGAAGGGTAGATCCTGCTCATCTGGCTTGACCCTCAGCTACTATCAGGCTTCATGAATCATCTTGTAGCGCATTGGTGGTGACAAGCAGGCATTCTCCCGTGTTGAGCAATCATACATTCCATCCACATGCAACGTTGTGTCGAAGGGACTTTTTCTGATTCAAGTCTTAATATCCCGGATGAGAAACGAGCCATGCCTTCCATTGGCCCGGCACAGAACATCACGGAGGTGTGTTGCCAAAGCAACGTCGTTATTCCATAGATGAAGAGTGGCTAGTCACGAGTCAGGAGCACGGCTCATCAATCTGTTGCGAGGCGGAGGGGGATCCCGAGGGCTTGATGAGTGCCGGTGGATCACCTAGTTTAAGTCGACGACGATCGCAGGTCAGGATCCTCTTTAGGGGGCCAATGGAGACAGTGACTTATGCGACAATGATTCTATTTTTGTAATTTGAAGTCCTTCCTGTTCGCCGAAAAGGCAGACAGTGCTATACCAAGACCCTTCGACGCTCGGTCTTAAGTGATGCAACAGCTCGTACAGCAGCAGGAGAGAGTACGCTAATGCTGACCAACCTCATCGTCCCTTGCTGCTCGGCCGAAAATGTTACCTATACGGCTAGTTCAGGAGGAAAACCGATGGTAAAGTCCCTTGGTTTCTCCCGCGTAACCATCCGAACTTCTAACTGACTAAGATCAGCAGCACTAACAGGCGGCCTGATCAGCACTTCACCCGCGTTTTGTAGCCAAATACGAGAGCCCCTTCTGACGCCCCCAGCTTTTTGGCCCAAGCTGGGCCATCGGAAATACTCCAGAGGAGCTCTGGACACCCGGGCATCTGCGCGATGCTGGCAGCCAGTCAGTTAGGAGGCCCTGCAAGAACCGATCAGCGAGCGCACTTCGCCTTGTGGGGTAACCGGGTTTCCCGATCAGTCTGTTCTGCGGTGATCCCACGGAACTCCGCTGTACAGACAACAAACCCACAGTTGCTACGGGGCAGTTCCGAGATCTTTCACGGCCAGTCCAGGAGGTCGAGTTGCTCTCGCTGATCATCACAGCCAACGCGGACTAGTGATCATGCAAATGTTGGGTCTGAATGCTCAGCTTTGCCTACCATCGACTCACTTGAAGGTCGGCGTTTATTCAATGAGAAGAGAGGCAGGACGGCTAGGGCTGAGGGCCCCAGCCCTGTGGCGTCACCCGTTTTGCTTGTGTTCGGGGATTTAACGTAATCCGTGCCAGGTTAAATACACTCAGGGTTAGACTTGACATCACAGTTAAGCCAGACTTAAGCTTAGTTGATCTAAAAGGAGAGTTGGGCTTGACACACTGTTGCTGATCGCTATCCCGGATGGTACCTGCGCCTCAAAATACGAACCAGGAACCACACAACTTGATGGTCTTCCCCACACGAACATCATACCCACACCGGTGATGTATAGCCGACCTGACCGACTTCCGAGCTCACCATGATCTCAGGGGGCCTGGAGACGAGAAGGCTGAGGAAGTCATTGATTATATATATCTCCCTGCTTTCTGGCTTTTCGAAGTCTGGATATCTGCTGCATCACTCACAATCACTTCAATAATTCACTCTCGACCAACTCTCAACACTCTCACTACAGTCACTTCACCCGACTTTCACTCATCACCACTTTCAAAATGTACTTCTCCAAGGCCACCATCATCGCCTTCGCGGCTCTCCTCTCCCAGGGTCTGGCCGCCGACTGCGCTACCGTCCGCTCCGACTGCCAGTCCAGCGGCGACCCCAACCAGGCCGAATGCGCCAGCCTCGCAGCCCAGTGCTGCGACCAGGCCGACAACGCCTGCCGTGTCGGCCCTGACGCCAACATGGCCACCTGCTCCGCCGAGAAGGCCTCCTGCTACGCGTCCGCGTCGCTCCCCGACCCCTACGCCACCAGCAAGCGCGACGAGACCAACTGCGCCACCGTCCGCGCCGGCTGCCAGTCCCAGCCCTCCCCCAACCAGGCCTACTGCGCCAGCCAGGCCGCCAAGTGCTGTGAGACCAAGGACAACGCCTGCCGCACTGGCGACCTGGCCAACATGGCCACCTGCTCCGCGGCGAAGGCCCAGTGCTACGCCGATGCCTCTCTGCCCGACCCTTACGCCACCGCCAGCAAGCGTGACGCCGACGGCGAGGAGTGCGCCGCTGTGCGATCCGACTGCCAGTCTCAGCCCGACGCTAACCAGGCCGGCTGCGCCAGCCAGGCTGCCGAGTGCTGCACGAAGAAGGACAACGCTTGCCGCACCGCCCCTGATGCCAACATGGCCTCCTGCTCCGCCGCGAAGTCTTCTTGCTACGCTGCTGCTTCTCTGCCTGACCCCTACGCCAACTAAATTGTTGCTCTAAAATAATAATGCGATAATGCTTGGAGGAGTAATGTTCAAGAGGATGGCGAAGATGATAAGAGTGAAGGAGTAGAGACCTGGTGGGAGTGTATATAAGTGTGCAGCGGTGGCATTCAACTTCTTGTACATATGATTCAATCAAAACGATTGTGACCCATTGAACATTTCCCTGCTGCCATGTGAATTCTCTTTTGACGTGAACAATTGCTGATGGCTGAGACGAGGGCAAATGCAAGTGTGGACACTTGTCGATGGAGTTTCCAAACAGCCCAGCTCGAACACCTGTTCATAGCTCACCAATCCCAGTTTTGACATGTATGCCATGCCAAGTCAGTAATTGCCCGCCCCGGCAGGACGTCTCGGAACAATTTGGTTATGACGAGCCGGAGGCCGGACACGACTTGACTGATACTTTCAGATATCTGGGGAAAGGCCTCTGTGCCTGAGACGACGAAGCGGCAGCTTCTGAAGACTTGATTTCAGAGAATCACTTGATCCACTGTTGTTCTATTGGGCAATTCATGCAAAAAAAGCCCATACCCATCCCATGGGCTTGTGATTCGGGCCGTGCTTGACGTGAGATGCCCTTCGGCTTCGGTTGCCGTCCAGCTCCTCACCCTCCCACTTTGCGAAGCACACAGAAGTACACTTGTATACGGCCAAATGTACGAGCAGTTAAGACTGCGGTGCGTTGGCCAGTGTCCTGTGAGTTGTTGTTCTTACAAGCAGCCTCCCAGCAAGTTCATCTTGTTTCTCCTGGTGCCTACACGCTGAAAGACAGGGCCGTTTCCAGGATGGTAGCATTCTTCCAGCCACTTTTTCCACTCTTAATCGATGTCTTTATATGTCCGCAGGTATACATTGCTCGTCTTTTCCTTGCAGAGCAAGTCGAGCCGTTCCCTTGCCATGGTGCATCTGAATGGTTCTCGAGGAGGTCGTACGGCTTGGAGGGACGGGGGGGAATGGTTCGAGCAGGCAGGTCTACAGACGAACAGCCGAAGACGGGAGTGACAGAGGTGCTGAGCGGACGCATTCATAGCATCGATCGATGTTGGTTTGAGGTTGCGAACGTGGTGTGATGGTGTCGTTGAGGTTGAGTCACGATTGTCGGCGATGGCGGCTCGGTGGCGTTCTCAAGGTTGGTAGATCAAAGCTTGTCTCAGGCAGTAAGTACCTGGCAGCTGGGTACGTAGCCAAGCCGTGCACAGCAGCTGCCAGGCTCTGTGGCTGCAGCGTGGTCCAAGTCCCCCGTACTGACCGGGCTAGCGCAAGCCAAACCCCCCTGTCCCGCCGGTATGAATCATCTTGCATCTTCAATTGATGGCAACTGACGACATCTGCATGCGGCAACGGGCTTCGTGATGATAAAAATCAAGTCGCAACGCCCCGAATATTCCAGATTTCCAGGCTGCAAGAGAATGGAGCTTGGTTTCACACGCGACACCAAAGTTTGCGACAGCTAATCCAGGCCAAAACGCACCCTCTCAGAGCACTCTGCGTGCACAGCTCGACCAGATCAGCTCGTTCACTCTTCAAGCCATCAATATGATTTCTACCACAAATCACTCTGGGCCGTCAGATCGACAAGCTACCAGGCAGGCTGATTCAGCTCGCATCGTGCCCAAACCTGTCCCCAAGGCCCAGAATGACGACCCACGCACATACCAAATCAAACAGTTGCGCAAGCGCTACTCACCAAGGGAGTCGACCGTCGAAAATGGCGCCGCGACGTCTCTGCTCTTTGACCTGCTCCCTTCAGACCCCGACTTCCCATATGAACTGGACCATCTCAAGTGCCAACTTCGTATCCCCAAGAACTACCCCAAGGATTCCTCCCCGCCCACGATGGCCATCCTGAACAAGGATATCCCACGTGGGTTCGCCATCAATGTCGAGAAGGGATGGGACGAGCTGGTACAGGAGAGGAGTGGCTCCACCCTGCTGGCCCTGGTGAATGCACTCGATAGAAACTTGGAGGCGTTTCTCTCCAAGAAGCAAGTTGACACGGTCAAGTTGACCATGTTCAAGGACACGAGACATTTGGAAGACGTGGCCACCGGTACTCCAGACTCATTACCGGAGGAATCAACAGCTCACGTCCCAGAGGCCGTCGCAGAAGAAGTAGTCCGGAGGCCATTCGTCCCAGAGGAGACTTTCACCAAGGATCAAAAGGCCGAGGCCAAGGCAAGAAGGGCCCAAGAGACCAGGCAAATCGAAACCCGTATGGGACGGCTTCCTCACTACAAGAGGTCAAGCGACGGCATTGTCTACACACTGCCGCTCGAGCCTAAGCGCAGATCTGAGCTACCTGATGGCTTGCGCGGCGTCAATTCCTTTCAGCTAATCGTCCCATTTCTGTACCCTCTGCAGCCGCCTCGCATTCTGCTCAACGATGTTGAGTCCGAAGACGCCGAGGAGGTAGAGGAGCTATTCACAGAGAAGGCAAAGGAGAAGACAGAAATGTCCCTCATGAGCCACATGAACTATCTGACACAAGGTCTCCACGTGCTGGTCAAGCAGGCACTGTCAAGGAAGAACGCTACACCAGTTGCGCAAATCCCAGAGAAAACTTCAACTTCGGCAGAACAGGACGCTGTCAAGGCTCCCGCTATTGTCGAAAACAAGGGCAAGGTTCAGTTGATCCCCCGACCACCGGAATGGGACCACCAAGGGGAAGACAAAGGTAGCGACGAGGACTCGTGTGAGTTCACCGAGTCTGAGGATGAAGATGGAGGCGTGGCCGTAACCACTCAACCCGGAACCTCCGCTATCCCAACTCAGACGATCGAGCGAGGCACATCGATATCCTTCCCATCCATCGAGCTGCTTGGTATCGAGCTATTTCAGCTATCCATCCTTGCACTCAGTGTCAAGTGCCAACGCTGCAAGACTGTCAATGAAATTGGCGGGATCAAACCAAACGCACCAAAGGCTACCGAATCCTGCCGAAAGTGCGGCACCTCATTCTCCCTAACATTCCGCCCTGAGCTCATACACGCCAACTCAACAAGAGCAGGTTTCATCGATGCCACAGGCTGTACTATCGCAGACATGCTCCCGTCGACTTTCGTGCCTACGTGTGCTAAGTGCTCAACACCCACGGCACAGGGTCTGGTAGCTGTCCGCGGCGACACCACGACCAACGTCTGCCGAGAATGTCACGCGCGCTTCACCTTCAAGATCCCGGAGGTAAAATTCCTCGTCTACTCGGCAGGCTCCAGCGTCCTCCCACCGACGTCGGGCCCGCGCCGCCGAGACGAAAAACTCGGCCTCCACGCCGGCGAGCCACTCCCTAGCAAGGGCGTGTGCAAGCACTACAAGAAGAGCTACCGCTGGTTCAGGTTCAGCTGCTGCCAGAAGGTGCACTCGTGCGACAAGTGCCACGACGAGGCCGAGGACCATCCCAATGAGTGGGCGAACCGCATGATATGTGGATACTGTTCGCGCGAGCAGAATTACACACCCGGCAGCTGCAACTTCTGCGGGAGAAGCCTGGTTTCGAAGGTGCACACAGGGTTCTGGGAGGGCGGCAAGGGGACGAGGGATAGGATGCTCATGAGTCGGAAGGATCCGAGGAAGAAGAAGCGACCCCATGTCAAAAAGGAGTAACACTGTGAAGCTTGAGATCATTCCATAAATGCTTGATTGAATAGTCGTCATCAACCCTCAGAGTTGCGTCCCAGATGTCTCTCTTGACAGTGATCGTCCCCCCCGAAAACCCATCTCCATCTTGGTCTATGCACATGCCCAATCATGATATGAGAATGCTCTACGGAAGTTCACGTACATCACTTCACTACGGAAAGCACTCTTAGCTTAAATCAACATAATTCAAAATACGCCTGAGCAAACAAGGCTTGGTATTGGATAGTGGGCTTGTATATAGAACGGAGCCACACTACTCGAGACGATAATCAAGTTACAGGCATGAGAACATCAAGCAGATACGCTTCTCATACAACAACCCGGTCGGAAAGATCTCGAGTCTTCCCTACTGGGTCCTACACGCCGCAGTATCGACAGCCACCACTTTTGCCGGCTCATCCCCCGACCCAGTCACAACAAACCCCGTTTTACTGCTCACACTACCGCGCCCAAAGACCACAGACGCGGCACCCGCCACCGTCGTCGCATTCACCGCCCCAAGCGCCACCACCGGCGCACTGAACTGCGCACGCCCAGCCCCAGCCGCCGTCCCGTTCGCAGCGCCAGGCTGCAGCGCCAGCAGCGTGTTCCCAGTGTTAGTCGTGACCCACAGGCTGCCGTCATCGCGGACGTCGATGTCATCCATCCAGCTCGCGCTAGGAACAGCGGCGATCGTCTCCACGGCGGCGCCGGGCGCGGGCCCGCTGCCGTCCGGCAGGATGGCAACGCGGTAGACAGTCCGCGACGCCGCGGTCGTGAAGTACAGGAACCCGGCGCGGATCTTCATGCCGTTGAGCCCCAGCGCGTCGTCGGCGCTGCCCGCGCCGGGGACGGGCTTCATCTCGGGGAAGTCGAGCGCCGTGGTGATGGCGCCCGTGGCCGTGTCGAGCCGGAACGCCACGCCCAGCTGGCTGTCGCCGACGAGGACCGCCGACGTGCCCGGCACCGACGCCGCGCCGTTGAGCCGCGGCGCCATGGTGAAGTCGGCGATCTTGCGCGCCGTGACGTCCAGCGGCAGCGCCGCGGGGCAGCTCGGGTCCGGGTTGATGCCGCCGACGGGCCCGGTCGCCGGCGCGGAGCCGCTCGAACGCAGGTCGAGCTCCCACACCGAGTTGCTCCCCAGCACGCCGTTGGCCGGGTTGCCGCTCAGGCTGATGTTGCCGGCTATCACAGCGAAGACGTCCGGCCTGTTTGCGATCTCTGTGATGCCGTGGGTGCCGTTGCTGCCGGGGATCTGGAAGACCGGCGTCATTGTCGGGCACGAGGTCATCGGGTTCTGGATGGCGAAGATGTTGGCTTGCGGGACGGCCATGGTGACGAGGATGTCCCCGTTAGCGCGGGAGGCGATATTCTCGAAGAATGTCGCATCGTTTCCTGGTCCGAACTGGAAGATTGTGCGTGCTGGGAGTGGGAGGCTCGGGTCATTTTGGTTGAGGCAAGAGGATATGGGCCCTGCGGCGCCTTGGGCAGAGGCCGAGAGCGGGAGAAGAGCGGTGGCTAGGCTCCATAAGAACGGCCGCGCTGGCAGAGGTAAGCCCGGATTAATCGACATTATAAGTTGCTAGTTTACTGATCGCAGATCAGGTTATATAATGAATGGTGTTTATCGTCAACTGGTGCGAGCACAGCTCGCATCGCGCTAGGAACGAGTGAAGAGCAATAGCAGCTTGGAAGGAGTGGAAGAGAGCATGCTGTCGACGATGCACGGTGAGCGATGTAAGGGGCAGATGAGTCTATCGTGGGCGTATCATGTGGGAGCATCAGGATATACTGTGAGCGTAGATAGTCTTCGTCTCATGTTTGTAATTGTTTCATACTGAACCCAATCGGATCGGGGTCCTCCGCAGTAGTGCGTGTGTGATCGGCTTGGTCTTGTGCCGGCATTTGGGGTTGGACCCTGAGATTGGAGATAGTATGATACCCTCAAATGATTACGGGCCACTGACTATGGGTGACTCGTGAGGTATCATCGAGATGCTAAGCGATTGTAGGACACGCTTCTTCATGTATCATCTAAGTCCTCAGTCAACAAGCCAGAGAGTAACAAATAAGGTTGTTGAAGTCGTCCGTCGATACGCGTAAATAACACCAATAAGCTTGGGAAACAAAACACAAACGCAATGACTGACACACCACATCTTCCGCAAACTTCATGCCTTCTTCCTAGCGCCGATTCAGGCATCTAGTCAGGAAGATGCTCTGTTCGATGGTAGTTAATTGTGATTATATGTGGTTAACTATTTTTTTGTTTGCTTACAGAACATCCATGTTAAAAGGTTCACTCTTTCCAGTGCTGAGCGACATTAAGGCGAGTCAGCTCCTTTGCCCCTCTATCCCCTTATGTCTTTACCTAGGGAGCGAAAGAAGTACTATTCTGCAAAAGTACCACTAGATCGCGCGAGCGTCCTATTGACATCGACTGTACGACCACCTGCAAGGTCGGGAGTAACATCTTCATTAACTTCAAATGCACAATCATTAACACTAGCCTCATCTGAATCAGCTCCCGAACACTGCTTGGTCCCAATTTCTCCTTCTTCAGCGGAACAGATTCTCTCGATCTTTGAATGAGAAACGGTAAAAGCAGTCCAGAGTCGGACAAGCCTGTAATGGTTGGCGCCAATTGCTGACTTGGCGCTGGTGTTTCTGTCCTTCCAGGTGGTGAGCTGTCCGTGCAGGTGCTGTACGACACGGCTGTGTACGAAAATCTTGCTCGGTTTTGAGATTCGAGTGGTTGTCTCGATAGCTGAGGTAGAACATGCAGTTTGTACGATGTGACTCCTGCCCCATAATTGGCTATCTGGCTTGGTGTTCTAGGCACCTTGCTTTTCCCACATCTACCCCTCGTTAATGTAATGTGCCCACTTGGCTCCGACAGGCTCTTTCTTTCCCTCCATTTCATTGCTTGTTTGATTGTTCTTTAAAACACCAGTCATCTTCGTGTTATCCCCATTCATTACGCGCAACAGCAGCGACTCTGTGCTTCTTTGTAGTCCGCCGATTCTGAATGAGCACAGCTGACACAATGAGGGAAGATCGAAAATCAAAAGGAGGCCTGAAAGAAAGAATCAAGCACCTCGTCGGCAGAGATACAGAGGGCCATGAAGAGATCCCCTCTAGCAGCTCATCAGCAGGCGACCTGGCTCTCCCTGAGAGTGCCACTGCCCAATCGAACCTGTCAGCCCAGGCAGAACCCGGTGCCAGCTCTTCATCAGGGCAAACCGAGCAGGTTAAGCAAAACTCCTCACTAATTTGCCTCTGGGAACAAGCAGTGGCCAGACTTGACCAAGAAGATGCGAAAAAAGCCAAAAAGCTCCTGAAGAGCAGCCAGAAACGACCTGCGCATAGTGTAGCATTCACTCTTGAAATGGCAGGGAAGCTCAAGAACGAAGACAAAGAGTCAAGTACGAGATCTGTAAGTCTACTCTATCCACAGAGCCCAAACAGAGGCAAGCTTTTCGAAGTTGACCGCTCCTAGGTTGCCGATAAGATCATTCAAGGCGCATTAGCTTTCAAAGCTATTGGCGACGCTGCAGTGAAATTTGATAAGTCAGGCTATGCTGCCCTAGGCTGGTCTGTTGTCTCTTTTGGTCTTCAGGTCGCTGCTAATGTGAAGGAGGCCCGCGAATTCGTCCTCTCCAGCTCGGAGGTGATCACGCGATCCATGGCGAAGTACAGGGAGTATGAGCTGGTTATTAGAGGGCTTGAGACTGGAAAGGGTTTTGACGAACAGTTGATTAATGTGTATAAGGCTGTCTTGCTCTATATGATAGCTCTGGACAATTATCTTCATCAGCCCAGATTAGGTTTGTTCTTAAAAACGCCCAGGAATCTTTGTTGTGAAATTACTGACCCATGTCCTTCAGGTCACATTGCAAGTGCGGCATTGAAGCTTCAGGAACGATCTATCAACTCGACGAAAAAAGCTATCGATGCTGCAGATGCCGAGATTAGCCACTGGGTAAGTGCAATACGAGCTTACTTACGGCAGATACTAAATTCCTGCCAGCTCCTTGTCATTGCGCAAAAGCGTAATGACGATAACTTTTCTCGAATCCTAGGACTTCTTAAAGACCGCCTCCCCCATGTCCCAGAATGGCCAGGAGAATGCTTGAAATCGCTTTCCTTCCTTGGAATGGAAGACCGATACAACGATATCGATCACGCTGCCGAAGGGACCTGCAAGTGGCTACTTGGACATGAAGCATACAGAGACTGGACCAATATCGATTGTGGTATGCTTTGTATTAAAGGGAAGCCTGGCTCTGGAAAGTCGACCCTGCTACGATATGCCGTCAGGGATGCTGTTATGTCTTCCAACATCCGAGACAGGTCTCTCCTTCTTCAGAACAAAACCACGCATGAAAGCGGGAACACTGCTGTGGCACTCGCCGAGCGCGGTGCTCTGATACTCTCCTTCTTCTTCCATGATCGGGGTGAGGAGCTCCAGAAAAACACACTTGGTCTTTACCTATCTCTTCTTCACCAGACTCTTCGCCACGTCCCTCGTGCAATGCCGGACGATCTTCTTGCACAGTTCGAGAAGCGGACAAACAACATGGGAAACCCAGGTGTAAAGTGGAACTGGCACGAAAAGGAGCTGCGGAACTACTTTCGATTATCGCTTCTGAAGGCTCTTGAGGATCGCCCAGTCTGTCTGTTCATCGATGCTATGGACGAATATGGAAAAGACAATGCAAACGAGCTTATTGAGAGCTTTAAGCTGTGGATTAAAGAGTGTCCCTCTCGGTCACAGCTTCGCATTTGCTTCATTTGTCGGCACCATCCCCGCCTGGCCTTGCCCCAGAAAAGGACTGAAATCTGTCTCGAGAACGAGAATAAGACCGACATCCTGGAATATGTTCGGCTCCGATTGTCAACGCTGCCACCATCTAAGGATCTGGACGCAATACAGACAGATATTGTGAATCGCGCCTCGGGCGTTTTCATGTGGGCGCGTCTTGTTGTTAAGAAGGTGCTCAATCTTGAATCTGATGGATACAATTGGGAAATGATCAAAGACCAAGTCAACAAGGCTCCAGAGCTGAACGAATTGTACAAAAGCCTCATGGAAAAAGTGGCCGACAAGTCAAGTTCGTTCAAGTTGATCCAATGGATTTGCTTCGCAAAACGACCTCTAACGCTGAACGAATTGAGATGGGCTATGGTCATCGAACCTGACCTCTCCTACAGCCCAAATTCGCTGCGCCATTACGAAAAGACGAAGCATTTCGCCACTGACTGTGATATGATGGAGAAAAAGCTCACGATGCTCAGCTGTGGTCTTGCCGAGGCCGTGACATCAACCGGCGCTGTGCAATTCATACACCAGTCAGTCAAGGACTTTTTCATAGAGGAGGGCCTTGCCGATCTCAAGAAGAGCCTGAAACCCGCCACACCCGAAACGAACGGGGAGGATCTGGTTACCATCGCGCATTATCTTCTCTCGAGAACATGTATCCGATACGTTTCGACGAAGGAGGTCATGGAAACAATGTTTCGCGGATCTGAATTGATGTCCGAGTTTCCTCTATTGCATTATGCTGTAACAAATTGGGAAGCGCACGTACGGGAGAGTGAGAAACCGAACACCCCAAACGATTTACTGAGCTATTTCGACTGGCCATCAGAAGTCATTGTGACACGTTACAGAGATACTTTCGATTCACTACGATTGGAAGGACTCATAAAAGTGGGGATTAGTCAGTTCCCAAGATATCTCGAACAAGGAGTCACCCTATTGCACGTCGCATCATTCAATCGGTTCATGAGGCCGCTACAAGACATGATGGAGAGGAAAGAGCTGCTCGAGGGTGGAATTGATCCATTGACTGGTTACTGTGGTCCAAAGTACACACCGTTGTTCGTAGCCGCTGAACAGGGCCACGAGGATGTCGTACGACTACTTCTCGAGAACGGAGCCAGTGCGGACGCTACTGTCAACGATGATGGGAACATACCTTTAAAAATAGCTTCATCTCGGGGCCACCTCAGCATTGTGCGGATGCTCATCCAGCACAACGCTAATGTGAACGGTGGCGACGCATACTCTAATGCCCTGTCAGAGGCGTCGCGCATGGGCCACGATGAGATTGTCAGGATGCTTCTAGACAATGGGGCCGACGTTGATGCAACCCAAGGATTGGGTAGGGGTAGCGCCCTCCAGGGAGCTGAGCACTTTGGCCATGAAAAGATCATAAGGATGCTGCTTGACGCGAGTATGGGGCTGAGTGAGGGGTATGGGCAAGATCAATGCTCAGAGAACAAGGGTTTGCTCGTATAAGGTCTATTGCAGATAGCTGAGGGTAGCGTCACAAAGGTCCCCGAGTCTACATGATGCTGGAGATGGTACGACGTAGACTGAATCGTAGATTGTTCTGAAGACGATAGTGTCTGAGCAGAAGTGGCAATGTCTGCAAATTTTCTTTTCCAGGAGTGATAGTGCAGCCACAATGAATTCATTTGCTTTTTAAACGGAGCTCTGTCGGATGGTTTGGTCTATGGGATCAGACGTTAGCCTTAAGCTTTCCTAGCAGCCAATGATTTTGCCTGATGTCTCACATGCCGAGATGAGTCCCAGAGTTCAATTGACAGAGACTTCAGTGGAAGCGAAGATACACTAGTTAGCTGAATGAACAGGAATGACAGTAAAATCAAATACTCCGACGGTCTCAACCTGATGAAGCAAAGAGGTGTTTTCGTGTGTGCCTTGCGGGTCTACATTGAGCCCCAGAGCTCTGCTCACAGTATCTAGGCCGCACTCTAGGCTGAAGAGGGCGGGGCTTCTGGTCCAATGTGGTGGCTGTGCAATTTGGAGAGACCGAATCCTTCACGCTTTCGCGGTTTATTTCACGTTACACAGGCAGAAGTCAGCCATAAATGCCCTTAGAAGCACTTGACCCAATTTGATCTAATTCTAAGGTTGTCCAGAAGTAAGCACCTCCGCACAAGCACTTGTGTCACTTCTCAACGCAACGACTCTAAGAACTACTGCTACAAGCACCAGCCCTTCCTCTATGCAAGCAAGTCCAGCGGGAAGAATCGTAAAATCTGAAGATATCGAAACAGTATAGCCATTGACACCAATTTTCGTCACAGCAAGGATCTCCCTCCTATATTATCATAACCTGCCAGAAGTCAACTCATCTCCGCAGCGTCAAATTCGAAGTGGTCGGCAACCGAAGATGAGCTATTCAATATGCTCGAATTTTCGCCCAGAAGAGGTCCAATACATGGATTCGGGAACCAAAGCACGAGTGGTGCGACCGATTCTCCTCAAGGACATGAAATACACCTTGATCTACAAAGCCTATCTGATCACAATGGATGGTTGAAGATTTTGGATCCATAACCGCGAACATCGTCACGCAAGCCAAGGGTTTCCAGGTATGATATTATTTTGAAGTCGTTTGCACATTGCAGCTATCATGCACTGTACTGGGGCCGGGGGCATGCGCTGGGTCGAAAAGGAAAGACGGGCATCGGAGCAAACGGAAAGCCCCGTTCCGAGACAAATGTGGATTTCGATGATATTGCTCGCCGGGATGTCATCCTCGCAGGAAACTTGCTCACAGTGAGCGTGCCCGAAGCCCTTGGGGGTGGAGGCAGTTCATCTAGCCAAGCCCGCAAGCATCCAATCGTCGGCAGTGTTAGTGCTCGAAGGATTCAGAAGGAGGAGGTTGGCAGGTACTCGTTATTTTCCTTCCAATGCTCCCTGCAATTTGGAAGCCTGCGTTGCGGAAGGCATGTTCTGATTTACAAAGCAGGCAGGTTATTTAAACACCATTACTGCACTGGAGATACAGGAGAAGGCTTGGGTAGCTACTTCTTTCCAGAGCACTTATGCCGCAGTAAACGTCCAAAGCTGGATAGCTTCATCTCTAGACCTTTGCTGCCTACTAGGGTGATACCTCACCGTCCCATCTTTTTTTCAAAATGCGTATTCGAAACTCAGTTGTGCCCGGCTTCACGAGCTTGGTAGCTCTGGCCGACATGGCCATGTCCAGCCCATCTCTGGAGCACATAGAGAAACGAAATGGTATGTCAAAGAGAACTTTCAGCACTGAGAGAAAACACGACTAAGGCAGCCATGTAGAGGCCACGCCGCAATTCAAAAACTGGGGCGTCGTACTCTTTCGAGCTTTCGACGGCCTAGATATCTTTGGGCCTCTGGACGCGCTGCAGCTCTTAGCCTTCCAACGCCAGATGAATCTCTTTCTCATCGCGGAAACCATGGACCCAGTCACATCTCAACCCTCCTCCACTGCCATGAACACATACAACTCGAGCTTCTGGCCAGTTATTCTTCCGACCCACACGTTCACCACAGCGCCAAAGCTGGATGTTCTTCTAGTGCCTGGCGGTCCTGGTGTTCGAGCACCTAATCTGCAAAACATTACGGACTTCATCGCCGACCGGTACGAGAGTCTCGAGTACCTCATCACTATCTGTACCGGTGCCGGCCTGGCTGCCAAGTCGGGCGTGCTGGATGGCAGGCGGGCGACAACGAACAAGTCGGCCTGGTCTACAATCACGGCGTGGGGACCGAACGTGAACTGGATTCGACAGGCTCGGTGGGTCGTAGATGGTAATATTTGGACTTCATCCGGGGTTAGTACTTATGAAACGCTCTAAAATGATTGCTGAAGCTGACAATGACGGTTCAGGTTACGGCTGGGTTGGACTTGACCTTTGCATTTCTCACGGAGTTGTTTGGGTACGAGCAGTCGCATCGCATTGCGACTATTATGGAGTATACCCCGAACACAAATTCGAGCGATGATCCGTTTGGAGCTGCGCTCAACTTGACCAACGCGTAATAGACGAGGTATGGTGGTAGTCGCACATATCTAGTAAATCGTTGCAGTAAGTCTCATCATCTCGTCTCGCGATTGATGAAAGCCTCTTTCATGGTCATCAGCTTGACCAGGTCCTTCGATGTGATAGAAATGGGAGTAAGGAGCATCCACATCATACAGGACTTGGGGGAAAGCATGATTTATGCATGCTTCCAGATCTGAGTGCATGTCCTTAGGTAGTATGCTACTAGCGCATGGCAAGGGACATGTAATTATGAAAAACAAATATATATAAGCATGAACCATTCAGTTCATACTCAGAGTCTTTCCGGTATCAGTTTAGCATAAAGAACTTCAAATGGATTCAAGAATGTGGATTTTCTTACTTAAGATCCCACCAAGGGACGAGGAGACACCTCCCATGAGCGCCGAGAGCAGGCAGCTATTTAATGGAAAGGCCCCGAACACGATCCTCAGGCACCGTATCGCAGGGTGAGATGATTGGGGTGCAAAAGCGGATGAGAAAATCGTAGCGAGGAAATGGACACGATGTGTCTGTGTTCAAAGCTATACGTCTATCATGGCAGCTCCATGAATCTCAGGTACATATGGACGCGATCAATTTCAGACCTGGAGACCAGCAGCCTCCTCTCAGAGTTGGCTCCAGCACGCCTGCAATGAGTGCTATTATATGTTTCAGTGTATTTTGACCTGAACCTCATGGCATCATTTTGAAAACAAATTGTTAATCGATGCTATGCTTGCCTACAAAATTTACTGGCGACTTCTGTTTACTGCGCCGCAGCCTTGCACACCTTCGAACCAAGCATCACCGCGCGACGTCTCGCACCACCCGCACGAGCCTGCAATGAGGGCCTGGAAGCACCTTGGTGCCGCTGCTGATACGCTTTAAATCCCGTCACAAGACCAGTGTTCTTGCTTCTCTTCACTCCACCGCCAATGACCAATCCATCCCTCCTCATTCGTATTGCCGCCAGGCTCCTCAAAACCTTGTCACGACTCCTAAAGAATCGGTGGGCCCTCACATCATTGACTCCCCTTGTCTGAACCATCCCATGGCCCAGTGTGACACCCCAGAACGGCACGACCTTACCCGGCCCACCACCGAGCGCAATAGCATGCGCATCCACATCTCCATCCCGCTGTAGCAATACACTGTAGATTGCGCCGGTGTACCTTACCAGCTCCTGGGGTTGAACCTGGGCGGGGAACACCCAGCCATGTCCTGCGTCCTCGCCAGTCACAGGGTCAGCGGTGGGCAGGGCGACGGGGTGCCACGGCGTGACGAGCACGCCTTCCAGCCGAACCATGACCTGCCTGCGCACAGGCGTCACGAGCACGGCGGCAACCTTCCTAGGTCCCAGGGGCGTGGCTACTCTGGTCCCCTTCCGCAGCGACGAGATGCGGACATGCTTGCCGCTGGCGAGGCGCACCGGCGTCCGCCCAGCGAAGCACGGCGCGCTGGAGGAGTTGTACGATCTCATCGAGATGGCCAACGAGCCGTGAGCTCCGCGCGTTGGGGAATACGATGCTCTGCCCCTGAAAAAGCCCCTGGGAGCCCTGGCACTGTTATAGCGGGCGTGGCCTTGGAAGTTGACTGCCTCTGAGGGAATGTTGCTCGGTTTTGGGGCGGGGAGGTCGTCGAAGGCATTGCTCAGCGCGTCGCGGCATTTCATGAACAGCGGGGAGTCGGAGCCGTACTGAAGCGGGCCCGGATCCTTGAAGCTGTTGCAGATCTGCCTGACGTGTGCGCCGTGCAGACTGGGCAGATAGTGCTGGCCCCAGCGCCTGAGGTAGTCGTCTCGCGAGAGTGCAAGGGAAACTTGACCCAGGGGTTGGGGTCCATCCAAGTCTTCCATGAGCGATGTACATCTCGAGTCGTTAGGGAAGTGTGCTGCCGGGATCGAGGCGATGAGATCGCGGAGCTTTTGTTGCTTTTCCGTGAGACCGGCGACGCATTGGAGTCTTGGGGCCAGACGGTGTTCGCCAAGATGGTCGATGGGGAAGAGCTCGGAAAGAAAGGCGCATATGCGGGATCGAGAGACGTGATAAGCTATTTCAGCGTCCGATATCGTTGTGAAGGATAGATCCATCAGATCTCGGCTGGAATGGCAGACATACTGCGCCTCAGTCATCTTGTTGTATTGAAGGGCAACATTGAGGTAGGACGGTTCCACATCGCTGTCTGCCGAGCTACTCTTCCATCTCAAGTAAATATTCCGAGACTGGCCATATTGGAGGTTGCCTAATGGTATGCTGAGCTCAAAATTGCCGCCACGAGCCTGAGTTGGTTTCTCTTGACCAACAGCAGCGCCGGTCGTCTGCTCTATAGTGACGATATCTGGATATGTCAATCGGAGCGCGGCATTGTTTGCGTAAGTGGACTGGAGGTTGGCGACGGCGTGGACAAATACGGTGCCTATCATTCCTGCATCAGGAATGAAGGCATAATTACCTCCGCCAAATTCTGCAATGGACTTCAGTAGCCCTGATCTGAGCATATAGCCAAACCCAAAGGTGTGAACTGACGGCACGATTCCACCCATCGCCTTCAGGGCCGGGACATATCCTTGTGGAGGACACATGTGGTTAGGCACACCGTCCGTCAAAACCATGACAGCGGGCACGCGCCCTGTGTTTGCTTCATCTTTGAAGAGCTTGATGCCGTCCCGCAAGCCGTGCCACAGATTTGTGCAGCTTTCAACTTCCATTGCCTCAATCTTTGCTTTGGCGGCTTCTTTGTTGGCATCCGTCATTTCGGTCAGGGGTTGCAGAACATTGGACCCGTTGGAAAAAGTCACGATAGCTAGTCGATCATCCTTGGTCATCGTTGACATGATAGTGCGGCAGGCGTGCTTGACCAGGTCCAGTACTGAGAGGCCTGTCCTCTCTTGCTCGCCAGGGGCTGGCGCGTCAGTGCCCATGCTACCCGAGACATCGATTACCAGGGCAATATCACAGGGCGCATGCGAGAACTTCTCGTTTTGTGGTAATCTCGGAGGTTGGACTGTAATAATGACTCCGTCCTTGTCGGACAACGGTTGGACTTTTACGGTAACGTCGCTTGCTGAAGCTGCGTCGTCATCCTGCATCTCGACAACCTGGGTATAAGGAGGAGGTGCATCGTTTTCATCCTGATTGATGCCCCTGATGGGTAAAACGACCTGCCATCTTGTTAGCAAGAGTTCATTTTTTTTCTTCGCATGATCTGGTCCCTACCATAGTGATCAATGTTATTAAAAAGCAGTAAAGTCCTTTACGTCGATCAGAGTTTACAAACTCAGCTTATTTTTGCAGGCACGTCGAAAAGGAGAAGCAAAAGGAAGCAGTTATGATTTCTGTGCTACGTTGTATATATTGACCCGAATAAGATGGATGTGACTAGGCGGCCGTTTTCCATTCAGTCACAGCCCCTCAAGAGACCAGCATCATCCTTTGTCAGAGACAACGGCCAAGCAGTGACCGGGCCGAGATAGTGCTGGATTTGCTCGGGCTCCGGGGAGAAAGGAGGGGGGCCCTGAGGCCAGTGGGTCTTCCATCCTCACTACTTGTCTAGCGGGACGCTTTCCAAAATCAACTAATAAAGAGGCTTTGCCCTCGCGCTGCACACGTGCATAAAGGTGAACTGCCTGGTCAGTGACTCGACGCCGGAGGCGGTGGCATTCTCGACAAAGGAAGGATGCAGCACTCTGACATTTGCTGATTTTCGACTGCCTAGAAGAATTTAATAAATCAACTTTTCAAGTGTTTGGTTCTGTTGGCCAGGCCACAACGTGCTGTGGCCTTTGAGCCGGTCGTTGGATGGAAGTGGGCCATTCTTCGACACCAGGACAGCATCCTCCGCTTTCTCACGTTTCCCAGCAGTCTGCCTTGCAGGCCAAGCCGCTCAGGTGCCCACAATCACTGGACTGGTCAGCAATCGACTAAGATTTCTCCAACGGGACAGGCAGAATCAGCAGCATAGATATGCAGTGTAATCCTCTCCAAAGAGTTCATGAATCGCTGCTACTTCTTGAAGTGTAAAAGTCGGAGTCCTCCAAAGTGTGCCCGTAGGATCTAGCGTCGGGCGCTCAAGCTCTCCTTCGAGGCCGGCCATTGGGCCTGCAACAGCCACCGAAACATTTGGTCATACGGCCAGGGCCTCTCAACGTCTTGCTTACATCAGAAGAGAAACGCATGTATTTTGTTGATGAATGAGGTTGTGACACAAGACGCTGAGGAGCGTGGAAATAAAGTTTTGACAGTTGCTGTTGTGCAACACGGCGGCTCTTCTCCTGCGAGTAGGCGGCGAGTCAACCCCTGAATCGGTGGGGTCAGTGCTGCGGCGGGCTGCGCCTCACGCGAGGTCTAGTAGCCCATCCACCGCCAGATTCACGTGGTTGACTAAATGCTTAGGCAACATCAAATATTCTGACCGTGCCAGTGTCTAGCACCCATAGCCACTTTCATCACGATCATGCTTATGATTCGGAAGTTTGTGCTTTAATTTGTTTTTCTATCTCTTAGTTCATCGTATTCCTCACACATTGTCGAAAATCCAAGTTTTTGGTCCGGAGTATGATTTCATCACAGCCGTGGGAAGTGATGCTAAACACTGGATGTGCTCTGAAAGCGATCCTTCCGGAGGAAAGGGATGCTGAGAATTATGTTGCTGCTGGCGTACACTAATGAATGGCTTTGCAATGGCAAACAGTACCTCTTTCCAAGGATCTTAATGACAATTAATTGGCCTTAATGGGCCATTGGGAACGATGGTTTGAGAGGGGCCTTAGATTCGCCATCATTTGGACGCACGAAAGCCCTCAGACTTCATTGATACTCGAAGACCCTTTATTTTTTCTGAGTTTCCCCGATAAGATCCCAGTCGCAATGGAGACCAACAAGTCAATCATGAACAATTGCTAAACGATCCCAACTTAGAAGCTATCAGGTCCATAGGAGGTCACATCTCATGGAACCATCATTGTCCACGAACTGATCTGAAATCCCATCTCATGTGCTTGCACCACGGAATCTTTGGTGACATTTTAAATCTGACTCTATCCGACTGAGCTGTACTGCTATGTGGGGCGTTACCGCGCAAGAGTCTGAACCCGACGGACTGGTCCAGATTAACAGGACGCATTGTTTTGCCGATACGAGATCAATACGCGTACTTCAAGCCGGGGATTTCCAAGCAAGTCGTTGACTGATTGGAATTAATCGAGATGTTGACGCAAGGGGGAAATACGATCGTCTCATTCGACTCGTTTAGGTCCGAATACGCGCTTTTCGACTATACCATTCGGCGACTTCAGTCAACTTTGTCATGACAAAAGCTTCTGTTTCCTGCGTGCTTCGCAAGTGACATGGTCCAATATTCTTCAAACCAACCGCACAGCACGCAACCGCACATTTTTCTGCCTACTATCTTTAAAAACGTTTTGCGACGTCAGTTCTTTTCAACAACACGGAGCCTCCCTTTGGCCCTGTTGTCAACGGAACACAGATCGTTTTCTTCGAGTACCGACCGAATGAAGCTGCTGCATGGATATTCGTTGTGTTGTTCTTGTTCGCCGCCCTTGTTCATCTCGGCCTGTTGATATGGTTGAGGGCCTGGCATTTTCTGCCTCTCACGCTTGGTGCTGTCGGTTCGTTGCGATGCTCCCTATTAAATTTCCACCTGTCTAACCCTACTGATTCTTAGGCGAAGGCTTTGGATATTACGGGCGTGTACAAGCACACGAGACACTCAACACTGCGGGCCCATTCATCATGCAGAACATCCTGATTTTGAGGTGCGCACCACTCCTCGCCGCCACGGTGTATATGACTCTTGGAAGATACATTCTAGTCTTTCAGCTTAAATAACGTACCATCATCCCACCTCGTCTAATGACTGTGCTCTGCCTAACAGAAGTAGGTCCAATTTACATCGTCCTAGCCTTGCAGACTATTTATTATGACGAGAAGGTCATCGCTGGTACATATTGGCGGATCTGGGACTTCTTCGCGCTCAGAGAAAATCGGAAAGCAGCGTCCTCTGACAGGACATGTCGGCATAGCAATAGATCATAACACGCCAGATTCACCATTAAAGTTAGTGTATCACTTGGGCTAGGAAAGCTCCATATTGAATTCAAAGCATGTCAAGTTAAATAATCGTGATCTGCTCTGGTGGGTTATGAGGAATCAAACTGACGCCGTACAGGTGAAAGTATGCAGGTGGAGCTCTGAAGAGCCCGATCCTGTGGAATTCCTTCACCCGGCCTGTGGGCCTCAAAACAAAGCACAGGTTGACGAAAACCTGCAGAAGAAAGACAACTCCCCCGTCATCGACATGTCCTGTGCCTTCAACGCTCAGGATGTAGTCGGCATAAAAAGGCAGCTGCACCGAGCCCACCTTTGGATGGCTGATTTGAACTTCGTAGCGTAAAGGGTCATGCTCGTAATGAAACTCTTGACCATCCCCAACGCGACGGGAGACGAATAGCACCTTCGCCTCGGCCAAATGACCGCTGAGAACCAATTTGCCACCCTCCACCTCCCCGAACGGATTTTGACCCGCAACCTTTACGTTGCATCTGATAATCTCCAAGTTTTCGCCGCGTTTATCTACATCTCGGCTTCCAACGAGACTGGAGGAGCGATAATCTGGTGGAAAGACAAGCCTTACCAAGTCTGTGACCCCCCAGTACTGTACATTGGTGCAAACAGACGCCCATGACCAGGAGGGTGCTCTATAGGTTGACAGTGCATTCGAGGAAGGACTCAGCCTGTCGACCCGCCATAAAAGGTCGCGCTCGAGGGTCTTTTTCCAAAGCCCGGCAAGGTACATCGGGCCTGAGGAGCCGTCCGAGTCATCCAGAACTGAGGCACTTCGCTGCGCTAGGCCAGACAGTGCGGGCAAGCGATCAGACGCCTTGGTTAGATTTAGGGCTGAATACTGTTCGATGATGTTTTGCCATTCCGGCGATGCATCCCAGACAAGCTGTTCCGGGAATGCGGCAGGCGACGGTGCTGAACCCCTGCTGTCAGTCGACGGTGTTGAGCGCCCTCTGACAGCCCGTGTCAGCCGCTTCCAACGCATCTGCAATCGCCTGCGGAAAGATAAACGTGGAATGGCCTCCTTCCAATCGTCTGGAACCAATTTCAAACGATCCATCGTTGTGTTACCATCATCAAGCCGGGTGTCCTGCTTCAGACCGGTTATGGATGCGCCGCATTCGCATTGGGTCTGAGTGGCAGACTCCCAAATTAGCTCCGTTTTGCCAACGTGAATGACCCTGGGTGATAGAAGGATTTCTTGGAATACCCATCCCCTGGAAAGCAATGGCCAGTACGGCTGAGATGCGGATGTCGAAGGCAATGTCCAATGCCTATGCGCCGGACGGACCATGACAGGCGGAAAGTTTCGCGACCCGTTCTCCAACACAAATTTCTTGCCCTGACCGGCCTTATGGTAATCCGCAAAGCAGCCTGTAGTGCTGTTCGGAGACGATGTTGCAGCGATAGTCAACAAACTGTGCTGAAAGATCTCTCCCATCTTTGCGGACTCTCTCTGCCAGTCTTCGTCACTGTTCTGAACGATGCAAAGAGCATCGATCCAAAGGTAGTGAATGCCAAGCTCCAAACAGTACTGAATAGCGTCCTTGAAGGTTTGTGGTATTTCTGTCCAAGGAATACCGTCCTTTCGTTTGCAAATGTTTGCTATGGTCGTGATGCAGGGTTGGTGTAGCCCCCAGCAGTGGCTCAAAGTTGCATAGGAACCTTTGATAGAAGTATCATTCTCCTGAAGGCAGACGGAGATATCCGGGTAAGCTCCTTGGTCGAGCTTTAAGACTCTTTTCGGCAATGTCCAACGTGGATTTTGAGCATCTTGACGCTCCACACAGTCCTGAAGTAGTGCTTTCACCCACGCAAGGCTAGATTGTTCAAGCGGATGCCCTTTTGTCACAGGCTTCGCTCTTATTGCAGGCCAAGGGTGGCTGGAAGCCTCAGAGTCGTCAAGATGATGAAATAACTCTAGAATCAACTTGGGTCTACCGTCTTTGAAGTAGATCTCCACGCTCAATGTGTTGCAGTTGGCGGCAAGACCGTAAACGTAGACTCGGCTTATAGCTCGTGCCGGGCTTGATACGAAGCGTTCAATTGCTTCCAGCATAAGGGCGCATGATTTGCAGGCTCCTGTCTCCCCATTGCGGGAGAGCATCTCATAAGTGAAATCCAAAGCTAGGCGGTTGTCGTGCGGCGACCGCTTTCCTAAATTGTTGCAGAGTGAGCAAGGCGGCGACATCTTCGTTGGTGATGGACAGTTCGGACGTTGAGAAACGCCCTCTCGACACTGCTTTCATCCCGCGTGTCAGCACTGACAATCAGCTGCATCTGCGGTGTTACTCGAGGGACAGATTTGATTGGGTTCGGGGTCTCAGGTCCTTATCTGCAGGACGCTGCCTTCTGTTAACTTCTTTGGGAATGCCAACGCTGCGCATTTCGTCTTCCAGGGCTTTCGAGTGATTTGCGTGGCATCCTTCACGCCCATGGGTTTGACGGTTGCGAAGCCAGTCCTGGGTGACTTCGCGGGCTTGTCTCAGTGCAGGTGAGCAGCACATGCAGTGAGAAATAATCGATCAACATCGTGAATCAGCGCCACCCATTCTCTTCATTGTGTGGCTCTGGCTCTGCAAGCCACGTTTAATGGGATATTTGGCCCCCTGGCCCCTCAATGGCCCTCGACTTGGGAAAGCCTCTGCCCGCCTACCACAATCGCCGACGTCGTTGTTTATCTGTTCAACCAAAACGCCGTGATGTAAAGCCCGTGGTCTTCCCCGCCGGCTTGCCTGCCTTGCGTCGCCAGGACGTTTGGGCACTAGTGTACTTGCGAACAAAATTATTCATAGAAACAGCTTTTTTTTTTCTTCTCTTTTCTTCTTTTTTGAGAGCTACGAAGATAGCTGAAAAGACAGTATGAACAAACGGCCAACTTTATCTGGTCTTGCAAACAGTTGAACTGCAAGACAATGGGAAGGTAGCTTAGCTGGGTAGAGCAGCTCGCAAACGCCTCCCCAGGCCAAACGCCTCCCCAGGCAATGCAAGTGGTCCTGCGTTCGAATCGCAGCCTTCCCAAACTTCCTTTTGCTTTTCTAATGTCAGGAATTCTTTACTTGCTGTCAATTACGTACCGATGCAAATCTGGGATAGGCTTTGAGTTGGCTTTTCTGTTTTCTTAAATGCTCTATCAAATACTAGGACCAAGCGCTTGCTTGGAGCTCTGATATATACCGTCGTCAAACAACCCAGCGGCAACGGCGAGGGACTCATTAATACACTCAGTCTCTCTATGTCTAACAAACTGGGAAGGTAGCTTAGCTGGGTAGAGCGGTTTGCAGGTCAGAAGTCAGGATTAAGAAGGCTGAGGCTTGCGAGTGGTCCTGCGTTCGAATCGCAGCCTTCCCACATTTTAGTTTTGCTCTTATTGTGCCAGCATTCCCTTACTTTTCGCTGCAAGATGTTGATGAGGCCAGGTCTGGGGGGCTGGATTTGTGTTCGCTGTTTGATTACAAACTTCTCATGATAACCAAGGCATTGTAGCTTCTCATAGACTGATTGAATGGATTGGGGACGTTTCTTTCGCGATCCAAGTGCTCGATGAACCTAGAAAGGGTGCCGTCGACAAACGACACAACAGCGGGAATGGCTCGGGACTCATAAACACACGCACCCTTTCCAATTTCAAGAAACTGGGAAGGTAGCTCAGCTGGGTAGAGCCACCGGATTGATTGTCTGCGATTGAGAACTTACTTACCTCGGTAGGTATGGGGCTCTGTCTGCAGGCTTTGATGATGGTGTGCCTGCGTTCGACTCGCAGTCTTCCCTTAATTGTCTTTTTTGTTTGTCTCTCTTCTTTTTGAATTCCTTCCCACTCTGCTTATCAGCATGTTCTACATTACCTACCCACTCAAAACTCGCTGCGATCGTTTACACTTCAAGGCTGACTTAGAATTGAGTAGGGTGCTGATGAGAAGATCCTCAACGCACCCCCCCCCCCCCGGGCAGCCAATGAACCTATTACGAACCAGTCCCATAGCAACGGAGCTTGATGGAATAGCACAATCACGATACGAATTTTGGGGCGGCCTCTTTGCTTCCGTTTGTGTTTGTGTCCTTCGTTGTCTACGGCCTATCCATTGCCTTGAAGGGCGCATGCCGTTTGCCTTCGAACTGCTGGTCTCTGTAACAGTACTTGCTGTCGGTATTTGCACTGATTCCTTACGCATGATCAATGCAAACAACATTATGTAGGGCATGGGCGAGGCGGAGAGGCAAGTTTCACATTCGAGCATGGTGTACAGGTGAGCAGACATAAGATACTAGATTTGATATTACGATTGACACCCAGTCTTTCTTAAGGTAAATGCTTCCTTAATGGTGTTTACAGGCCTAGCATTGCCACGGAACAAGGACGTTGTCTACAGAAACCTAGCCTGTCCTTAAAAGTCAGATGCCAGGGCAACCCGTCTCTCACAGATGGGGCAGAACAGCTTTCCGACGTCATCTTCTGACGAGTGGATAAATGCCTGCCCGCAAGTGCAGAAGCGGGTTTCAGTGATCTCGGTGGGTTGACCCATGGAGGAATTTGTTGCGTCTTATGCGGAAACCTTCCAGTCGAGTAAGGGGTAGCAGGTACAATTCCGTAAAATGAGACACAGTATTCGGGAGCATATTTGTAGTTGGGCTTTGTGTGGAGGGGGTGGGCAGAAGCAACGTCGTTCCTTTTTGTCTGCGAACTTTCCATGGTGTATTATTGTGGTGGGGTGAGTCCTTCGAGGAGGTGAGCGGATCCGCAGGCCCTGTGGTGGTTGGTCTCGTCGTCGCATGCGCTCTGTATGACTGAAGCCAGTGAGGACTTGGCCACAATCCTGAGTCACTCACTCACTCCTCGGATTCGGTTTTGGTAGACCAGTGCACGTCAGTGAATGCCTGTCAATCAAAGGTTAAAGGCCGGCGGGGCTGCGTCCCATCCCGTCAAGGCATGTTGGAATTGATGCGATAAGTGGAGCATGTAGACTCCCAAGCCGAGAAGCAAAAGCCTATCGACGGCCATGCGGTTGATGAATGGGACGATTGGGGAGAATGTGGGGATAGCGTTCAGGAGGCGAGCTTAAAAGGCCATCACGAGATGCTTAGGGGAGCGGCGGTGATACAGTTTGAGGAGCCAACTACAGCGACGACAACAACCATAACGGACCTGATAGGTGATGCTGGCTCGTCATGCGTGAAGCTCAGCAGGGATCCAGAGGGGACGGCCTTCCAATGTCGAGCGAGTCGGGGTCACAGCGGACGGGAATAAGCGCTGTGCAGGACGGTTGTGTGGCCACAGGTGTGTGGCCCCGGGACGCTGATCCGGCGTCTGGAACGCGGCTCTCATTTGGCGGGCAGCTCCAAAAACGGTGTGATGACATTGTGGTGCGGCGTTCCGGATTGGAGAACGTTTTGGCACTTGCGCAGGCTGGGGCGCGTGTGCCTGTGTGCTTTGTTACGCGACGCGCTGGGGCTACCGTTTGTGCCACTGATGTCGTGGAATGGATGTGATGCGATGTGATGTCAATGCTCCAAGGGGTGAAGGGGGGGAGGACTCGAGTTTGATACTGTACTCGCGTCGGTCTTTGAATTTATCATTTATTGAATTTATCGATATTTGTTTTTCATTTTCATTTGCATGTCCGTCCTGGCCATCCGTCCTGTTTTTGTCCGTCTGTGTGTGTGTGTGCCCGCCCGTGTATTGACGATAAGCTCAAGGTGTGCTTTCCCTTCCCCGTACACCGGTCTGCCATGCTGCTACCCACATGCACAAGGACAGGCTCCGCCTACCACCCAGGTACGTGGTCATTCAAGCATCTAGGTACAGGACATACTCCAGGTGGCCTGTCATCTCAAGGGAGGGGAAATGTTTCTTGCATGCTGCGGCTTTTGCTCACCGTCAATGTCATGTTCCATGAATGTTTTGTTCCATGCGATTGGGCAGGTAGGTGCGGCCCACGGGGTGAAGCTTCAGAGGCGTCAGGTCGGCGCAGGTCAGGCCAGGCACATGACCGTCACCCCGTCACCGTCACCGTAACCGTAACAGGGGGTGCCTGCCACCTCCACAGATTTCGCCCTGCGCCCTGCGTGCTGCAGGCGGGGAATGGGCCGGGGAAGGTGGGCCCCTTCATCCGCTGAGAGAGCATTGTGTGGGGGAGTAGGGGGTCACTGGGGGCTTGCCCTGGGCAGCCAGCAACACCTGGGCAAGCCCAGCACACGGGGGCAAGTCGATAAAACGGAGGCGACTGTGACTCTGCACGTATTGTGGTACAGTATGTCACTTCGCTTTATTTCCCCTTTGGCATCCGAGGCAGCTGCTAGCGATATGCCCTGTCCCTTTCCCTTTGGTCAGTCCCACCGTCGCCCAAGCACTGCATCCAAGCTCGACCATCCGCGACCCCGTCCGTTTTCGATTGTTTCGTGCCCGCCTGGGGCCCTTCTGCATCTGCCTCCTCTACCAAATATCTCGCTGATTGCATCAACCACCGGTCCAATCTGGCTCTGTCCGAGACACACGGGACGGTAACCTTCTCTTTGAATGGCTGGCCATGGCTCTAGCAATTGCATGGCTCCAGACTACGCTCCCGAAGATCCTCCGCTGCCCTCCTCACTGTTCCTCCGCGGTTTTTCCACCCAGACGATCGAGACATTGTCTCAATCCGCGAGGCCTGCTCCGCGGAACCAACCGTTGATCTGCCCTGAACATATCCAACTTCTAGCAGAGCCGCATTCGTATACTGCAGTCAGGGGAATGAAGCCGACCCGTGGGTCCCGTGTCTCTCCCTGCTCGCCTCCCTCCCGACATTGGTTGCTTGGCTGCAGCTGCAGCCCTGACACCTGCAGGAATGAGCCGCTTGCCGTCATAGGGTTACAGTGGGCCATCCATTTTGGGCACCTGGGGTCATTGTTGAGCCCTGATGCGTTCGATCTTTCGACATGACGGAGCGTACGACGACGACCTGTATCACAAAGTGCATCGTAAAAACCAATGGAGCCGCATCATGACCAATGAACAGGGTGGACCGACTCCGAGTCAACACTTCCTGAGGTGATTGACTGACTGATCGAGTCTACCGTCGCCCAATCAGTCAACCAAGCGAGCGAGCTGCATCACTAGAGAAGCATGCGATGCCCATGTATCAACATTAGCAACTACACAAACCCAATTGACTCGCCGTGCGGGTCGTTGTGCATTTTCCCGTTTCACCGAGCCGG